TCAAATAAGGTTTATCAATTAGTTTTCAGTATCATCACTATTTTTCGATCATTTAGGTTTTAAGTTTCGGATAGAAGCTTAAATTTTGTAAAATAGCAGCTGTAATTATATTCATTTTTCCCTACATGAACATTTATATAGTTTTGTCCCAAGCGACCTAACGGACTATCAATACTAGAAATTGTGGAGCGGTACGCCTCCAAAGTTGAAATAGATTCCAATTCCAGTACAATGGCAAATACTACCAAGAATTTAGGTATTATTTGGCTTTACATTCTTTCAATAATTTCAGATATTTTAAAAATGTCTCGCTTATTTTTGAATGCGTTCAATAAAAGTACCATATATATTTGAAAATGAACTATTAAGATCATAGTCTTAAGATTGTACTGAAATGCCCAAATTTTAATCCTTTAATGTTCTGCTATGTTATATTTTCGTAAGCTACCTATTCTCAATATGTTACAATAATAAATATAACATATTTAATGATCCATCTGTACTGTACTAGCTCAATTCAAATTAATTGTTGTAATAATGCCTTCCACGAGTTGATATTTTTATACAAATTATATGATATTGTGTCCTTATTGGTTTTTTTGAAGCGATAAAAGTACACGCAATTAATATTTCAACGGTTCCTCAAGAATTTCTTACTTGGGCTGATACTGAATTCGATAGTAAAACGAAGTTAAGATTACCAGTGGAAGATATTTTAAAGGAACCAAGTAAGAAAAACGGATTTGTTATAGCAACACATTAACATACGCGTAAATTATAAGATAATATGTAATAATTTTAGATAACTTTTATAAAAAACAACAAGGATTACAATATCGATGTTTATATGGTTATTCAGATGCTAGTTTGACTTTTACTGAGCGTCTAATTAGAACATAGAGACAGTTATTTTGCCTAGGCTATATTTTTTTCAAGATATTTAATTACCTGAGGAGATTCTAATTAATCGTTTTTTTTCAATGAAGTGATTAATAGGTGGGTTACAATATCATATTTGAATCTTCATAAATCCATTCCAACAAGTCGGATTGGTAATATGTGAGTAGTTTAAAGCATAAATTACTGTTTGTTTTATTCCGTCTGATAACATTTAAAAATTACCTGTAGAGATTATCAACTAATTCTAACTAATAATTTTAGTCTAGCAAGCTCTTATTACTTAATTATATACGGGAATTGCTCTTGCTCTTCAACGTTACAGCAATTGCATTACTTAATAGTTTTAGCGCTTGAAATTTGCTCACATTCAATTAAACTTAAATTTTTTCTGTCAATTGACTTTAGCCAAGTTAAGTTTCACGTTTCCATTTATTGATAGCTTGACAGCGCCTTGTATAATCTACATGATTATTTTCCGCATATTATCTTCTTAACGGAGGTATCATATTTGATTGCATAAATTAGTAAAATTAAATATAAATAATTTCATAGAATCTTTATGAAAGTTCTCTAGCACAAATTAATTAGACTCATTCAGATGATTAATTTATAATTTAAGAAAGTAATTTATTTTTTATGACCGTCGATACAGTATATTAGTAACATTCGTAAAATTCTCAAATGACACTGTATCAGTATCATGACTTAATAAGCATGAAAGTGATATATAGATATTATGATTTTCGCGACTACTTAAAACGGGTGCGATATGTTACAGTAGAAAATATAATTATGATAAAATTTAATTTCTCCTAAGGTTATTTAAATAGGATTTGTACTGATAAAGAAAAATAAATCAATTTATTTTATAATCTTTCATCACTTCACCAATTGCTGCCGTTTAAAACTGAAATCTTTGATTATGTTAATTCTACTGCTGTTTATGAAATTTAAACCTAGTTATCGTATCTTTAATTTCAGAAACTTTCTAGTTGCCCATGAGAAAATTATTGTAAATACCCACATTATTACCACCGCATTGCATCAAAGATCTTCTAACAACCTGTCAAATCCAATTGAAATCGACTTTGTTTACAATTATGTGAGCTGTCATAAAATTAAATTTAAAATTTAATAGTATACTTTGCTAGTAATCTTTCTGTAGTAACTCAAAATTTTTGTAATCATTCTAAAATAAATATTGCTATCTAACATCTTGATGATTACCTAGCTAATAATTTAGCTCTATATATTTTATATTTCAGCCCGTAATACGCTACAGAAACTTCTCAATTAAAAGTGTGTGCGCGTACTGGAAGTCAAATTCAAAGTAATAATTATGTAACATAAATTCTTAGTTTGAAATTTCAATCTCTTTTAATGTATAAAGTGAACCTATTATTGTATTATTAGAAATATAGTCTTATTAGCCTATACAAATTAAATTCACGATTACTTAAATTATAATATCACTCACAGTTGTCATAATTATTCTATGCGATCATCATGTAATATTCAATGTCATTCCACTCATTTTACGTTAATTAACACAGAACATGTGGATGGGCGCTAAATGGCTGCGGATTGTCTGTAAGCAGTAATATAACCCATGGCACCTGTATTTGTAATCATACGGGAACAATTGCGGCTTTGATGCTGATAGTTCCTGTAAGTTTATAGATGATAAACCACCGAGTTCGTGTGACTTACGTAGTTCTCTTAAGTAATTGAGGAGATTAGAAATTTATATCCTGCATCTCAACATAAATGCAAATGCAGATAAGTAAATTATTCGATCTTGCAGTAATTATGCCATTAATGTACCTAAATACAATATTCGATGTAATAAATGACAATAATATCTTCTACTAATTGATAATATAATTACACATGCATATGTTGTTACTATAGGCCAAGATTATTAAACTTCAACCATTCCTTGTTGTGGCTTGTGTGCTATCGGTTATTTGCATTGCTGCTACTGTACTAATTCATGTAACTTATTGGCAGTAAGTAACAATGATAAGATAAAATATGAACTATTTTAATTGCTTATTTTAAATGAGTAAATATTAAAAATCGAACAACTTTACTATCATTTAAAAAATTCGCCACTAGCTATATTTTAGTTAAGATATGTAGGCATGAAAGAACATTGATAGCCTGATAGTAATCTTCCGTGACTATATCGGGTATCCCGTGAATTAATTTATAAAAAGAACTTTCATTAAATTCCTATTCTAGTAACGGCTAATTTTTCTCGTCTTTGATTAATCCTTTAACGCTCATATTACTTCCTAATTAGCAATACTTATCCAAATCCTTGTATGTAAGAATGAATTATTTAAACTATATTAGTTACGGTACAGTATTATTCGACGCAGTACAGAAACTATTAATTTCATAAGTAGGTATACGCATATTTTTCATAACCAAGCATATCAAATTTCACTTAAGTGTTAGTATATTCGGTATAATGAAATAATCTTTGCCTAGTGTTTAGCAGAAAATTTTTGGTAGCTATAAAATACCCACTTTATAACCAGGATAATAGTATTAATATTTTCCTTTAATATACTACACAAAGATATTTTTAATGTATGGGTATGTCCCTTAATCCACGATTCGAACCGATAATGATTCAATAATTTTTTTAGACTCGTAAAAGGAACACTTTCCCACATTAATCTGCAAATGTTTATCTCCATATTTGTCACGGATATAAGTTTACTTTCTGGATTGGCCTCTACAGAGTCTGAGGTTAGTTTTTAATTTTGGAATATTTTACAACTATACAAGCTTGATCAAAATATGCTTCATATTCTAGTTTGTTATTCTATTCTGCTAAACTTTAATTTTGGCTGTAGTTAAGCCAGATTAAGACCGAAATCACACACGAGTTTTTATGTACAACTCTCAATTATTTGTATCAAATTCTACATATACAAATAAATATTAATCTATGTTACGTCATCTGCCCACTGAAATATAATTAATACATTCTAGAATTCATAAATAAAATCTAACATAATTTAATAAAAAATAAGAGCCAAATTGAAGTTACAATTGTAAACAACTGTATCTATATTAATCTGGACTGAATGCTATAATGCTTCAGTATTCATTGTTTGCCTTAATTTTACCATAAAGTTAACGAATCGAAGTCTTTAGATTTTTATAAGACTTTCATTCTTTCAATGTGGATAGGCACACTTCCATAGTGAATACACTAAGCACTAAGTAATTTATCAAATTCAGATTAATACTTCTAGATAGTAAACTTTTCTTCCTTCGGACAATCCAACTAATATTTATAAGTCATTTTCCGGTTTCTCTCACGGCTACTGCCAATATTTTTAGTCGTATGAAATTGTATTTCTCAAAATGCTGTTAACCATCACTATTTTAATGAAAAATAAAACTATATTTGTGTAGTACTAATTCGATCTTTTACATTGTTACAGTTTTTCTGCGGATTTACTGCTATCTTGCTGCATTATACTATACTAGCAGCCCTAATGTGGATGATAAGCCGCAATCTGCATATTTTATATATGCTAGCAAAAGGAAATCGAGTCAAAAATAATTTTAAAATATACGCTATTTTATCCATAGGTAAGCCGTTAAAATAGATCTAAAGCTACTTTTACTACGTTGAAATAATTTCCTACGCTTAAACCACCCATAAATCTACTTTAAATTTGTACACTCTACAGTAAAGATATCAAAGGTTAATTTTTACTGATTACATAATTGTTACAAACGTTTCAGGCATACCGTTTTCAATTTCCTTTTTAACGGCTATAATTACTATATTGGGGACGAGCTTTGATGATTACATAGACAGAGATCCTACAGCGTAAGTTAATTTATTCTTAATTAAAATAGTATTAACATAATACGATTCATTTATTTGAGAAAATTTCAATTATTTTTCTTGAAATATATAACCGGTAGTATTTAATTAGCCATTGAAAAGTTGCTATATGGGTATTGTATCTTTTCTAGTCTTGATGATAAATTCTAAATAGACATTTCATAATCGCAAACAAATATATGATATAGTGCAGAAATACTAAATATTGGCTAATAAAACTAACATGCTGAAATATGGATAATTCTTTAATACTTCACTGATTATATTTCATTGCAGCTGCTGGTTGAGCAATGATCCACCAATTCTCTTGACGTGCTTTGTGCCGCTCCTCGTATTAGGCTTGGTTAGTTACATCTTAGTTACATCATAATAGTGAATTAGTATCTATATTTTACTGCTTCTACTTGCAACCATAAAGTCAGTCAACTGCGATAAAATTGGTATAAGTTGCTTGAAAGTTAATTTGTAGTATCTGTTTCAGAATATGAAGTATTAACATTTATTTTTTCGACATTCGAATTGGACAGGGAAATTGTGTTTTAATCGCCTGCTCCTATATCAAGATTAAAAACAGGCCAATTACTACGAAGAAAGACAACGATCGGTATTTCAATACGGTTAGGTTAGTTTGGATAGTGTTGACTATAAATTAAAAAGTGCACATTCTCTACTTAAGAATAGTAGACATAAAGTATAAAAATTTAATCTTTATAGGACGATAGATCTTTCAAATTTTTAATTATTGCTACAAAGCCAACACACTATTTCAGATTCTGCAACTCATTGTGCTTCTAAATTCGTAGACAAGAAACCGAAAATGGAATAATATTATTTGCATTTTCATTTCCTGTGTGGATATGTTTTCTGATCTNTACCACATTGGATTCTTTGGTCGCGCAATACATTTTTGCGATATGCATTTTGTTGCAGGTAACAAAAATTTACCTATTTAACATGTTAGTTTTACATGAAGGTATAGTCTTCAAATTTTTTTTATAACATATCGAAGTATAATAATGATTTTTTCTGAATTAGGGATTATTCATAGCCATTATATTCGGTTTTAGGAATGTATTCTTAGCAGACTACAGCGTAAGTAGATTTCGAAGAAATTCAATCAGTTCTTGTCTTACAAAACATTTAATATGTCTGATTAAAATGCAGCAATAGCCTGAGCTAAAATAGTCTCACTTCAAGAGTAAAATTTTAACCTAAAAATCATTATTCAATGAAGTAATTGAACTTAGATTTATTTGAGTTGTTACCTTTTATTATTAACAGAATGGAAGATCAAAAGAAAATCTTGATATTAAACTAGTTAAAAGGCAGCGAAAAATGAAAGAGTATGGGATCAGACAGAACATTGTTAATTATAGACTACTCTATTTTAAGTGCTATAGTTAATTAGCAGATAGTGCTTAATAATAATAAAACTTGTGAACTTAATTTGATGTTAATATGAGATGTTGTTAAATATTTTTCATCGATTTTCTTATATGCTGTGCATTAAAATTTGAATTGAAAACTTATCTAAACGTAGGCGAGCATTGCTCAATGTACAAAAGAGTAAATCTGCTACAGCTAGTGGTAAAAACCATGACAAAGGCGAAAATGATATCACTGAGGTATAATTATAGGTTTTTCTTGATTGATTATCAAAGTTATTAAATAAATTTACTACAACTTTTAATTTAAGTCCCTTATCGTTAATAGCAGTTTTCAAAATCTAGTTATTGGCTTTCTTAAGAAATTTTTTAGCAATACTAATACGCGTATTATAAAAGTAGCAATTTAGATTTCTACAGTAGTACCTAGGGTAGGGTACAATTTATTTCATTCAACAAAAATCTGTAAGTAATAATCATCAAAGTCTATTTCTTGATTTAGGAGAATACCGCTTCAAATTGACGGAATGCCTTGATTAGCCGTAGAACTGATCCTGTCTATGCTTTTAAATCTTCTAAAAAGCATATATTCAATATGAAATTAAAGCTTTATGTAGCAAGTTCTTGTTCGTAAATTAGTGCCATTTTATTACCCTCATTAGAACTTGCAATTCATAATTTATTCTCTGTCAGCTAAATGGTGGAACTAAAGATTTTTTGCAAATTAAATATAGAATTTATTAAATATGGTTAGAGTGCAGGTAGTAAATATTATGGGTAAAATAATGGCACGGTATTATACGTGTATATTATTGGTAATCATTAGATACAGTCTACTCGTATATTTAACTCCTCTAAGTTGGAATATAATTATTCGCAATTAATAGAAAAAATCGGCTTTTATTAAGACACTGAACATATGAGACTGTTATAAAATTTAGTTACTGTAACATCAATTTTGTAAAGGCATTGGGATATGCCTGAAACAAAAATAAATTGATTAAATTCTGCTATAGTTGCTAACAATACAATTATCACAAAATTTTTATATTTGTTATATACTCGAAGTTTCTATAAGGCACAACACTTGGTGATGATTTAATACAATATCTTGACCCAAAATAAATTTCAATTGCAGATATTTGTATGATAAGCTGCAATGTTAATCATAATGCTCAATCGCTCTCAATATAGCCCGCTATATGATTATTAGTGTCGAGTAAATAGTGATTGTCATTTTTTGGTAGAAAAATATAATTGTTATCAAAATGATATATCTGAATACAGCGTATGAAATTAAAAGCTAAACAGATAGATATAGACAAAAGACGTAGTTAATTAAGCCGGAATCTTTTAGGCACAGATCTTGACATATTATAATTAGTTTATTTTTAAAATATTTAAAGTTAGTATTTATCACAAAACAGCTATTGTGAACGTACCTAAAGTAGTCTATCTACTCCTATGGTTCTCCAACTCCGGAGATCCTCAGTAAGGGAAAACTAACTTATTCCTATACTATAGTAATCAAATCAAAACGATAGGTTTAGGTTAATAAAGATCTTTATTGCTAGCTTGCTAACGCTTGTACCAGTGTACCCTACGTTAGCCTCAGTGGAACTCAGATTAAGAAGTAATGATCAAGCTTATATACAACTTCATATGTCACACAAATAAGATCGGTGCTAATCATTCACATTAAATTATAGGATGTGTAATACAGGGCTTACTATAGATTCGACTAGCTCGAGTGTTACATATTACTTGCCACAAATTAATATTATTAATTAGCACCTTATTAACTAACATCATAATCTTCACAGCTTGACATTTCAATTGCTAACACCATATCCACGCTGTATATTACTACGATAATTAATAACAAAACTCAATTAACAACTAGGTTGTTGCCGAGATCGGCAACCTCCATAATATTATTACACATATTAGATCAAAATATTATTCATATCGGAGCGAGCTCCGTCACAGTATTAAATTAGGACTGCGTCATACTTCTATGCAAAGATATCTCGACATAACCGAAGATCGTTCAAATAATGGCTAGCTAGCTAGAATAAGTGATTTAATTTAAAGATAAATTTATTTCAATGCAGTATAGGCTTAAGCCTTCCTTAGTAGAAAACATACTAGTAAATCATAAGACAAGCTACATCTCAAATCGCTATTTAAAATGTTGACAACTCAAACTCGTAGCTTGTTACGAAAGAATAAAGTTAGTTTATAGCAATTAAACATCTTATAGTTGCGTTAGAAATTTTGTAACTTTATAACAACCGGAACATTATCAAGATGATCGATCACTACCAGTGTAAGATACTCGTACGTATGCAACTAGATATGTTCCTCTCAGTATCTATATATGTACAATTTCAATGATTACTCAAAAGTTAGTCAATAGTGATTGGAACCTTACCCATATATGAATATTGACAGATCTGGCAATACACAGTGCACACGTACTCGTATTAATGAGGTCTAACTATCACTTATTAAAATCTGAATATTTTAACATCTGTTCTTAACTCCTAGTTCTATTCCATTATTAAAAGATGAAGTTGCAGACGATTTCAATTTTAATGGAATTTCTATTTCTTGTGTATTGGCCAATTCAACTTTCTATAATATCATGACAATAGCTAATTTAAGCTCTAGCAATCCTAATCGATTACCTATACAATTTTTGGCCCACCACCAAACGGAAAATAGTTAAATGGATAGATTTGAGTTTTTCTATACCACCACATCTTTCTAGTCGAAACTATCCTAGCTATTCATACGCTTGATCTAGGTTTATTACATGATTGTATATTTACAATAATTAGCGACTTGACAAGAATGACTCATTAATTATCAGCTAAATGGAAAACAGTTGCAGTAATACTTAGACATGCCAGTTATAAACCGATTGATGTAATATCATGCGATTGCACATAGTATGATGATGATCCAGGGCTTAAATTAACGTCAACGATAGATCATTCATTAATTACGGAATCGAATTTGTTTATACGGAGATGGTTCTTATTTTCCGATTAATTCTCTGATGTAATCTAATAGAATAAGCTTCCATCTTAATACTGAGTCAAACTGAGCTTTTTTGATTTTCGCAGCTTTCGTTAAGTATTAATTAAGCAGCATTATGATCACATTAACTGCTTTGTGACTACTTACAATTTTTACATAAATGGCCTTGGTGTACATACGCTTATTATAGAAAAATGTGTTGTGTATGATTAGCACTGCAACCTTACGCTTAAGAAAAGTTATTGAACTAGCTCTTATACGCATCTCAATTTATCAGCTTTTTCCGCAAGTCTCCTTATTTATAGACGGTTATTTGTTATCCTTACGGTCCGACTCCTAGTCGAACTGCCTCAAGATCTGATAGATCAACTCCAAAGCGAAATAATATGTGACCAATCTACAAACGAGATGATCTATATACTGTAATCAATTTAATTTGCTGATAAGTCAGGCGAAGAACGATTGGAAAATTTGTTTATAAGTATAATAAATTTAATACGCTGAAATGATATCAAACTGCCTTTTATGATGGTGTAATTAACAGAGAAATAATAGCTCTCATCACATTCCACAATAATTGAATTTTTGGCAGATATATGTTCGACCTTGATAATATATATATATATATACACTGATATGTTTTGCCGTGTTGATAACTCTGAATGATCAGTGTTACGGATTTATGTTATGTTATTACTAGCGCATCCTATTATCTTATTACATAATTCTTTAAATTCATTCTTATCGGTTACTGTACGGTACGAGTTTGGTTGCGTATCAGATAAGAATAGATATATAAGACATTGGAAGAATTAATAAAGAGAGATAGTTTCCTGGAAGTATAGTTGCTAGTCTACAATCTAACAATCAGTTACTAGTACATTGTAGATGTAGTTATAGTATACTGATACAATGCCATTACCATATTAATACTCATTTTATAGTAGTATACAGTAGTACAGTTTATCGGCAAAGTATCATTAATATAATGGGGATATAGTTTCATGATTAAACCTGTACAGTATTATCTTAACATGACAGTAGCAATAAGAGGCTAGAACTAATATTCAAAACTAGATATTCTACAGCCTCGACACTTGACCACCAGAAGCTACAATACTTTCGCCTGTAATAAATGCTGCATCCTTTGAGGCTAAAAATGATACAATTTTGCCACAATCTTCCGGCAAGCCATACCTAAATATAAACGAAATGTTAGGTATTGCTATCGTTCTTAGACACTACTATAATATAAGTAGACGGATAATATTAATATCATTTAGAAACATGATTTAGGAGGCATTACTTTCTTAACGGTATATTGGACTTTATATATGTTTCTCCACGCCCATCCCAAAGCTAAAAGAAGACACAACAACAGAATTTAATTCAGCCAACAACAATGATACGGAATTCAATCTTAAATTTATTAAAACGATCACTTAACCTGTTTACTTAATTGGGTTTTAATCAATCCAGGAGACAAGCAATTAACTCTTATACCATATTTAGCCAATTCTAAGGCTAAATTCTTGGCAAGTCCTAACATTGCGGTTTTACTTACGCAATAAACTCCAAAAAGCTTCAAATATAGTAAGTGTAGTTTACATTAGTCTAGTAAGGTGGTAGAATAGGTATGCCTTACTTTACATACATGAAGGCCTACAATCTATAGCAAACTCACATTATCCGGTGAGTAGCCGCTAATGGATGAAATTAGCGTAATGGAAGCCCCGCTATGTAGGATAAAATCAAAAGCAGCTTATTAGTATTTAGAATATCTAAAAGACACCGAGTAAATTATTATTCAGATCATGATTAAGGAACCGCTAACTATGAACAAAACGTAAGCAATGATTAAAATCATATTAGAGAATCAATCAGGCAGTGTAAAAATTTACCTGCGATTCTTCATGTAAGGTAGAGCCGATTTTATTAGAAAGAACGAAGCCTTAACGTTGACATCAAATATCTGTAAAAAAATATTTAAGCTAAGATTCAGTTGTCACTGTGATAATATTAATTGGGCCCCTATTACAGTAGCAAATTATTCTTTATGGCTAAGCAAGCTAGAACTGCAGTTGACTGTTGCTAAACGATATACTACCTTAGTCTTACACAAACAATAACTACGATCGAAACCATAATTAATGCAAAAACTAATTACCTTATCCCATACTCCTTCAGTAGTAACCTAAACAATTTAAGAAGAGAAATCTTTTCATGAGCTAAAAGTTGCCAAAATTTGGCACGCCTAACAAGTGAAATTATAGACACGCTTATAATACGGCGCTCATTAAACGATCCAAGTTATTCTTACTTTTAGCATACGTCCATAAATTGGATTGACAGCCGCGTTAGAAACCAAGATATCAATGCCACCATAATTTGATACCGCCTTTATAGAAAGAAATTGATACTATTTTTACTTTACAAAGATTCTGATCTTACTATAGCACGTATCAATCTTGAGTAGTTTTACCTATAGGATTGTCAATTAATTTAAAGAATAACTTCATGCTGCTATAAGTGCAATAATGGTAACAAATCAATTGGTTGTATCTAGCAGCATGCTAAAGCTTACATCTTCAATGACGGCTTCTCGATGTTCTCGTTTACCCACATGACAAATACGACCTAAGACTTCGATACCTTGACTACGCAAATTGTTAACAGCTTGATCGACATTTTTTTGCTTCCTGCTACTTATAACCACTTTAGCGCCTTCTTTCCCTAAACGTTCAGCAATTGCATAACCAATGCTAAACAAAATAATGACAAGAAATGATAACTGTTTTCAATATTAAATAACATATCCAAGAGCATTATAAAGCGATACAATAGTAGCTTAATCAACGCGATGATTAAGGTTTTTATCGTCCTTCTAAAAGACTATAGGAGTAACTATATGCTACAGTACATCCTCAAAATACTGTCGATCGTATTTATCGATTAGATTGTAAGACTCTACGAGTGTCTGTCTACTCATGAACGATTTGGTAAGAAAGTTCATTCATGTAATTAAGTGGAATATAACGAAAATGCAAGTCTTGATATATCATTTGGAACGATATCAGCACGTTATTAACCAAAATTAAAGAACATTTCGAAGCGATACAAGAACAGCTTAATCAGTACAATGCATAGGGTTCTTGTCATCCTTATAATATCTACAGGAGTATACTATACGGCTGTAGTACACTGTCAAAATAGATCCTAATTGCAGATAAATTGTAAGACTTTGTGAGTGTCTATTCACGTACAATTTAGTAAGAAAACTTAATTATGTAATCAAGTGGAAGTTAGCAAGAAATGCAAGTCCTGATATATTATTTTGACTATAGTACTATAATAACCTCCATGCAAAGGTATGCATACAGGCTTTAAATAACCAATACTAACTAATATAACGATCAAACATGATAAACTGCTTCCTTAATGAGTGATAGATATGAATGTGTAGACAGTAATCTTATTCACACAGCATAGTGTGTGAGCTAGATTAGCATTCATAGCGTATTAATTGGTTCATTAAAGAGCATTTTTCAAGTGGTATAAGAGCAGCTTAATCAATACGATGGATAAAGTTCTCTGTCGTCTTTGAAATATCTAAAGGAGTTAACTATACGGCTGTTGCAAAACGCTACCACTTTGGTTTGCATGCAAAGGTATGCAACTAGTCTGCAGTCTGGCATAGGCGATAGCAACAAGTAATCGAGTGCATAACAGATAGTGGAACTAACTTGTTGCTATCATTCTGTGGAACTAACTCGTTGCTATCATTCAGTAAAACTAACTCGTTGCTATCATTCAGTAAAACCAACTCGTTGCTATCATGCAGTAAAACCAACTCGTTGCTATCATTCAGTGGAACTGAACAAGAAATGCAAGTTGTGCTATTTGCAAAACACTACCAATATGGCTTGCATGCAAAGGTATGCAACTAGTCTGCAGTCTGGCATAGGCGATAGCAACAAGTAATCGAGTGCATAACAGATAGTGGAACTAACTCGTTGCTATCATTCAGTAAAACTAACTCGTTGCTATCATTCAGTAAAACCAACTCGTTGCTATCATTCAGTGGAACTGAACAAGAAATGCAAGTTGTGCTATTTGCAAAACACTACCACTATGGCTTGCATGCAAAGGTATGCAACTAGTCTGCAGTCTGGCATAGGCGATAGCAACAAGTAATCGAGTGCATAACAGATAGTGGAACTAACTCGTTGCTATCAGTCAGTAAAATCAACTCGTTGCTATCATTCAGTAAAACTAACTCGTTGCTATCATTCAGTAAAACTAACTCGTTGCTATCATTCAGTGGAACTGAACAAGAAATGCAAGTTGTGCTATTTGCAAAACACTACCACTATGGCTTGCATGCAAAGGTATGCAACTAGTCTGCAGTCCGACATAGGCGATAGCAACAAGTAATCGAGTGCATAACAGATAGTGGAACTAACTCGTTGCTATCATTCAGTAAAACCAACTCGTTGCTATCCTTCGGTGGAACTGAACAAGAAATGCAAGTTGTGCTATTTGCAAAACACTACCACTACGGCTTGCATGCAAAGATATGCAACTAGTCTGCAGTCCGACATAGGCGATAGCAACAAGTGATCGACTGCATATTTTGAAATTACAACAGCCAGATAGCAATGGCTAAAACTTTAACAATCAGTCACTGATTACCCTTCTGTAGCACCAGTTATAACAGCAACTTTGCCTTGATGCCTTAGCTCCGCCATTGCTGATCTTGATGCAAATAGGAGCTAGGGAATAGACTGGAAAGCAGAAAAAGCAGTCAATCCACTTTCTCCTCTTGGATGGCTATATACTGGCTAGTTTTTGTTACTCCTGTTTCAGACATCAATTATTCAAATGATGCTATAGGGTAAGGTATCATTCGCTACTTTCTACCTCATACATTATTAGTTAAGCTAATGATCGATCTCGGATCACTATTGTTTCCAACAGCGTCAGCTAGTCATTGATTGTGTATTGAACGCTATCCAGTGTATTATACATTACTCAATTTTCAATACTGTACCTATATGGTAACCATGGAACCCAAATCAGTATCACTTTGCTCCATTTGTCCTTTCGAGGATCAGTATGACAGTATAGTGTTAAAAACACGCCTTGAATTCGATAGAAAATGCTATATCAAGGCTTAGGATAAATCATCTCCAAATAGAGAAGCCACTTAGCAAGAAGAACCTGCTGCAAAAATGAGCTCAGCTTATAATTTGGTCAACAGTAGTAAATTAAAACTTAAAGGAGCATCAGGGTAAGATTAAACTATAAAAATATGCATGCTATCATTATCATGAGGATATCAGGCTGTTACAAATTGCCTGAACTTACTGAGGAGAAAGGGAATTACAGCTAGTCCAATAACTGCATTTGTCTCAACAATCATAAATTTAGAGCTTAGCTTGAGCTAAGTTTTAGGTTAGAGGAGTTATTTGATTCTTTATTTAAGAGTTTATAAGTCTAAGATTTCTGCATTATACAACTCTATTCATATACTAATAAGATTGAATTGCAAAATGCCAATACAGGCTTCAATAGAAAGTATAGAATAGGCCGTATTGGCTTGCAAGAGCGACTTTAGTAGTGGCAATGGATGAGCCATTAAATGTAGAAATAGTCGAAGAATCAAACTTCTCTTCGCAAAGTTGCCCACGATGATCACATAGTTTTATCGTAGGACAACAGTCTTTAATTACAATGTACTGCTTTAAAGATGAGATAGTAATGAAAAAACGTTAATTGAATTACATATTGTAGAAACTTTAGGACATCTTGATCTTTGTCAGTGAACTGGTCTTAGAGCGGATCATTTCCTTTTGCTCCTGTCTTTGACCAACTTGCATTAGTCACATTCCAATAGAATTGATGGATGATGATGCTTCCCTAAAATAATATTGATATATTATGTCGCGAATAATCATTAAAATATGTGTATCGTTACACTAATACACTAAGTCCGAACCGTAGCGTAATGTCATGTCTGATAATTAGAATTATAGCAGATAAGTTATAAAGTTATAATAATCATAGATTACAAATTATCAACATGTTATGTTATCAAAATGCTCATCTGTGTCGTGTCTAGGAATTGAGTAAACTTAAATATCTGTATAGTACGATGCTGCTAAGTTAAAAATAGATCCGTTACTATTACAGCTAGAGTCTTATAAAAAGGAAAGTCTTACGACTTCTTCGGCTTTGCTTCACACGATCATTCAATTACTCTGCTAATGCATGTACAGTACAACCTTCAATAAAGTCAACTAACTAGTAGCAAAGTGCGAGCTGCATTTTATGAAAAGTATCACTAGTCAACCTCAAGATCCACTACACATTAGCTAAATTATTTCCCTCGCATAACCATTTCCTTCTCCTCTTTAGGAAACATAAAAAGAAAAAGCGAAAAATGCATCAAAAATCATCAGCTGTTAGTGATAATACCAAAGAAACCTTGGATACCGGTAAAAATTACAAGCTAACCTTACTGTATTGATAATTTATGGTCTACGCATATTTCGTATGCCTATAATACTGTATATCGACTAAGTGCACTGGTGGATATCGATGAGTGGTAATCATATGTCTGATTCAATGCTATTTCTATTTATTATTTTCATCCGATGTTGCTCATGCCCCAGTGGGCAAATGGTGGGCTGTTCAAAAGCTAGAACAGATTAAGGGTTGTGTTTCTATAGAAATGAAAGATCAACGTTATTTATTTGCAATGGTAGGCAATAATATTGACCAAACGATCGAAACGGTCTCCAAATTCGCCAAATTCTTTCACAACCTACTTGCGAAATGTCAAGTAGATGCTAGCGGATGACATTCATTGAGAACATCAGGAATTTTCTATACTTATGGCCCTGTTTTTGATATTTTACTAGGATAATGGTTCGTTTAAACTTGGAGATCCACGTCCTAGTGGTAAGCAATCATATATTGTTGCGTCTTAGGTGTTATACCAACTCAGGTATACAGTACTATACGCGTATATAATTTGGAGGGAGGGTCTATTTTCTACGCAAAAAATCCCTCCAGCTAAGCTTTCAATTTTGCCTTATCAGCTTATGTAAAGCTAGATATCATTTTGTGTTAGTTTGCTGTCTTACGATTGTATGTATTGCAAGATGTAATAGTTAGACAGCATACATAGCATACTCTATTCTCACTAAGCTTTACTCTGCATCTATTTATTTGCCCATTAAGTTCTGACTGAATGCCATATACTTTCTAAAGTCAATCAAGAAGTTGTCATGTCTTGGTCAACAGCTGCCATTACATAATGTAATGGAAATTAGAACTGATCGTTTTAATCTTAGAATAATTGCATTGTTCATACGTAGTCGTGACGCATGATGATAGGTCTACGATACTATTTCATTTTGCTATCAGAATAATTTGCTTGTAATAATGAAATTAAACATCAATCAATAGATTTACTACAATCTCGCCCAGTGTAATGTCATTGCTTTATTACCTATCATCAGCAACTTTGGCAAGACATGACTGAAGAAGGTTGTTGTTTTTCTTTCCCATATTTTACGGATATATGATGTAAATAAATTTTATCTCGCGTAACATATCAGAAATTATAGTAATAAGAAAAGTAACGATACATCGAGTATGTCCGTTAGCCACCTTCGTTCTTTCAAGGATATCTCTAATTGTATTAAGTAAAGTTACCTAGTAGTCAACCGAATTTAATAAATGCAATGTAGTGCTTACAACATAATTATAAGGGCTACGATTATTCCAATGTACATATAAAATTCACTTCTTTTGTATACTGTACTTCATATATATTTTCATCAAACTTAGGACCTGTGGCAGAGGAAGTATTTACAGCCGTCAATCTAAGTGAGAGAAGGATTGCCTTAAAGTCTGGATATGGTAAACTTAAAAATCATATAAATTTTGCGATTGAATAAACTTCATCCAATGTATTGGATTTGTTTCGTACACTTCTATCAATGATATATAGGAAAGTATGTATCTGTTAGAAAAGAAGGTAATATCGTAGGACGTGCTGACGCGATTGGACCACTAGAACACCTTGAACCTGTAATAGATGGCGTAAGTATAGCTATCTGATAAAGAGCAAAATTTATAAGCATCTTACTAATTGTTCAAACATCTACCCAGACCAAATGTGGCCTGCAGGCCTTTAATGAAAACTTTCTCGGTGTTCATGAGGACGATATGATCGCAGCATTAAACAGAACTATCGGAGATGCTGAAAATCTCAAGGTTCGATCTATATATATATATACGCGTCATGTAATACTTCGATATGCTTTCCTTAAATTATATCGATAATTACCATAGCTCATATCTATATCTCGATTGCTTTCGTCAGTTGAAGTTAACCAAGTAGGCAATTGACTCTTATTATAGATTAGAACAAATACAGAAAGGGAAACTGGAGTTAAGAAAGCCAAACAGGATGAAAGTTTAGGAGGCGTTGTAAACTGTGAACTTAATTATGTGTAAGGACTACATGCATGCATCTACAAAGCTCTAATCAGTATTATCCGCAATCTGTAATATTACTGTTATATTACTTAGGAAAATGTATCAGAGTTTTGGCGATCACAAATTACGGTTAAATACGGATAATCCTGGCACACTAAAAAAAGCTAGAAAGACGGGCAGTTTTCATGAAGAGCTGCTTGACAGGTTTGTAGTAATTGCATGTAATGTAGTTATAAACTAAACTAACTGTAAAAGGTTCCAATTTTACTATTATTTTATTTAGGAGAGAAAAGATGAAAGCAGACAGATACTGCAAATAAATAATTTGGACGCTCAAACGTACATTTGCTGACATTTACCTTGTCATGTAAAGCAGCTTCAGTAATAAAATTCCAAAGCCGTGTTCTCAATCGAAATAGTATAGATTTCTGTATTTATCCTCATATACTGTATATTGCTGATATGAGTATATGTGTAGATTTTACACGCATAGTAAATATGAATGCAAAAACTAAATTAGTTTTAACATCTAAATGTAGTAAAACGTTCTGTGCATTTCATTAGACATATTCTATCGTTCAATTCTAATGCTATGTTTCCGTGATAGCATGTTGTCATGTAAAGAATATGCTGTGAATTAGATGTTGATCAATGAATAATGATTAGATAATCCTGCACGAGCAGCAGTGTGTCGTTAACGAATTGGACTTAACATGATGGCCTACGACATTTTTATAGACCTACCAATAAAAGATATGATATACTCTCAATTTAGCGCTGTAAGCTTTACTTGCAATTTTGAAATAGTTTGCAAGCTTAAAACAGCGCAGAATCATCCAGAATGAAGAATAAAGTAATATTTGCTCATCTACATAATAATCAAAGCAAAAATATTAATAATCTTACGTTAACTTGATATTACCGTTAAATCTATTTAAATAACAATAGTTAGAGCCTGCGCTGTTAAAAATTCCATTTAAACTATTTGACCGGATTCGAGGCGCTACTATACATCCAATAACATAATACGGAATGATACTATCATATACATGTTATTTTAGGCAAATGAGTTAACTATTACGGATAAAATTGTACTGTTTGAAAATTGGACATCATTCATAAACTTTACGAATTCATTTGCCCTGTTAAGAAGAGTCTTAGGGAAATAGTGGTTTTACCTTCAGAGTGTGGTTAAGGATCAACTCTTCTTTAAGTATTAATTGAAAGTAGATGCAGTACAGTTTAACCTTATTACACAACCATGGATAAATACGCCAAAATTAAAAAGATCGGAGAAGGAAGCTTTGGCAAAGCTGTACTAGTTCGTAATAGGACGGACTCAAAGCAATATGTTATTAAAGAAATTAACATCTCAAAGGTAAAAATATTAAACTATCTGATAATACCTTTAGGTGGAGATTCCCCAAATACTAGAAAAGCCAAATTTTTCTTTATAACTTGAACTTAAAGCTCATCGTACACTCGCGGTAGTGTTAGTTCATTTGCATAGAAGCTTTAAATCAAGATATATTTGCAATTTGTCATCATAGTTCAGTTAATTAAATTTTGGTACAATAGAAACGCTAATAATTACATTCTGAGTAATCTATACTAGTCCATTAGATGGGTACATATCTCATGGTGCTATCTTGTAGAAAGATTTTTTGAAGCCAAGAGAAGGCATGTAAATTGTTGACTTGCAGTTATGTAATTAATTTCAGTTTAACACACGCCAATAAGATGTTGAATATTTTAAAAACTAAAAAGATACATGTTTATCATACTGTATATGCAGTTTTATATTATTACTCGATTTGGTCGCATCCTTTTGCTTCGCAATCGACTTTAAAGGAGAAGAAGATCCTGGCACGGGATTTAAATTCGCCTTTACAGTAGGAGCTGTAAAGATAATTCAGTTTAGAATTGCCAGTCCATATAGTTATGATATTCCATTCCAAGATACATAGAATTGCATAGAGTAAAATTTGTTACATAGGTAAGTTATCTATAACTATCATTATCACGCATCTTGGAAATAGCATCAACATGTACGGTACGTTAGCTAAAATCAAAGTGAATTTCTAGTAAGATAGTCAATCATTATCGTGCATTATAATAAGGATTGATTCGAGAAACATTATTACAAGACGCATATTCAAAACTTTAAAGTATTACTCTTATACAATACAAAATCAATTTCCAATTACCTTATGCTGCTCTAGTATCATATAATTTCTTTATTTTCAAATGGGAAACACAGACATAACTCGTGTAGTCAATATCTTTTCGGATGTTTGCTCTTACGAGTTATGCTATTATAATAGATTCATTGCAAGGATCATCAACCTTCGCTTATTCAATTTGAAGTATCACTTATATTTGATAGATAGTTTATATTAATTCTATCGTAAGATTGTAATAAAGTATAATTCAATCAGACTGCAATAGCAACTCATAACATCTACTCATTTACTTCAGATGCAAAAGAAGGAGAGAGATGAAGCTAGAAAAGAGGTAAATAAATATTTCATTTCCTGTTGCAAAATCCAACGGTGATGAACATCTCGCACGTTTCCATCGCAACATTTCTTATACAAGATAAATATGGCACAGATCGTAGTAGCAGGCAGACTATAACATCGATGCAGCGTCTGCCGTATATATTAATTTCTATAATTTCAGTTTCCATTTTATAACTATACAACACTAATGAAATAAATTATCCGGTATTAGGTTGAAGTTTTATCTCAATTAAAACATCCTAATATTGTCACCTATAGAGAGTCTTTCGAAGGTAAGTACGTTATATATACTATACAGCTTAGCGCGATATAATCTTCCTTACAGAAATAATGTGAAATATATTGTAAACGCGTCAAATTAAAACAGAATCCGAGTTTAGCTGACAACTCGGGTTAGTAGTTCATTGTAATACTTTATAAATTAAATTTAATGCTTTAAATATCTTATATGCTAAGATACATCTAGACTAATGAATAGAGCTTTTGAACTAACACACCGTTAACAAAATTCAATCTCATACATATTTTTAGCTATTAGTATGTTCAGACTTTAACGAGTGGTCTATTGAATTTCAATATATTTCGACACGATATATTTAATAATTAAAATTCATTCAACAGAACGAGGAAATCTTTACATTGTCATGGACTACTGCGATGGAGGTACATAAAAAATCATACCTATTTGAGTTAATTCTGATACTACTAGACAGAATATTATTAGATACAGTAAGTGCCGTATAATTTCAATAACTGATAACCTAATTCACACTACAGGTGATTTGTATCAGAAAATCAACCAGAGAAGAGGAGTTTTGTTTCCGGAAGATCAGGTAAATTAATTTTGATAATCATCAGCTCTTGCCTGAATCTATTTTTAAAAGATTGACAAATATAAATATCTAAAACCTTGAGAGAAAAACTTATTTCAAAAATTGTTAGTGCAATATGATTTCAAATTAACACCAGATCTAAATTATAAATAGTTATTCTTCTTCATGAATATTACTAGATCTTAGATTGGTTTGTCCAAATCTGCTTGGCAATGAAGCATGTCCACGATCGTAAAATATTACATCGCGACATCAAATCGCAAGTAAGCAGTATTCTAGTTTTTGTTAAAAGCATAGTAAGACTAACATGAATTTTATTTTCTAAGAATAAAAAAATTGAATAGAAACATATCTTTAAGCTAACATGAATTCATTTAGTATTAAGATGATTATTTATTAGTATTATGTGGTATTGTAATCTGACTAAAAAACTTGCAATTTCCACTCTTAACTACCAACAAATCCAATCGTAGAATATCTTCCTGACAAAAGGTGGAATAATTAAACTAGGCGATTTCGGAATTGCTAAAGTTCTTAACAGGTAGATATTAAATTAATCGTGATTTCTATCTGTACTTATCTGTACTTTCACTCGAACAAATAATTAAACTTTGGCATAATTGGACAATCTTTATAGTACTGTGGAATTAGCTAGGACATGCATTGGAACACCGTATTATTTATCACCTGAAATTTGTGAAAATCGCCCATATAATAACAAGAGGTTCACTTTAAAAACTAACAAACATAAAGAGTCAAAATTCTGATTCCTTCACTTTACCCAATATTACAATAATTTCAACACCTAATTATTTATTGAATCTTGATTTGTTAATTTAGTGATATTTGGTCACTTGGTTGTGTGCTGTATGAAATTACAACTTTAAAGCACGCGGTAAGGATTACATTAAAAAGTAACAGTAACCATGAGGCCTCTCTACTTGCATAAACCTTAAAGATTTCCGATAAATATTACTTATTTAACAGTTTCGTTATTTTTATTTCAGTTTGAAGCCGGCAATATGAAAAATTTAGTTTTGAAGATAATCAGGTAAATTTTATAGATTAATAACTTGGCTGAGAGTAAAGATAACGTGCAACAGGAATCATCAAATTGGTGACCATAGCTGATGGACATGATGCGACATTGATTTCTAAATCTCTTCTTATTTTAGAGGATCTTATCCTCCAATTCCTTCTCAGTACAGCTCTGAGCTTCGTCAACTTATCTCGAGCTTGTTTAAACGAAGCTATCGGTAATTTATAACTATTTAAGTTTGAGAAATGTCCATGTGAATGTAATTATCTTGATTATGTTGGTAGAGAACGTCCTTCTATCAATTCTGTCTTGAAAAAGTCAATTATACGCAACCGAATCGATAAATTTCTATCTAAAACCGTACGTTAATTATAATCAATTTTTCTTCTAATACAAGTATATATACATTCACATGATATTAGAATTATGTAGCTTACGTTGATTAATACTAAACAAGGCAAATACTTATATCCGGCCTGTGCATCTATTTTACCTTCTTCATATTCTCTTGTGCCATAGCTTTTAGAAGCAGAATTTAGCCATACCATTCTTCATCGTAAAAACCCTTTGAAACCTGCTCTACCGGTTAATGCAAAAGCGATTAAGCCCGCAGAGCATAATCCTAAACCCAGTCAACACGGTTAGCATAGAAATAGATCAATTCAACTTTATCCATCAATTTAAAACACTTGCTAATTTTGAATTTAATCTTATTAGCTGCTGTAAAGCCAAGTAAGCCTGATGTTGCCGCAATTTATGGAGCTCCAATAATAAAGAAACCCCCACAGATAGCAAAGTAAGTTCACTAATTCCTGATTTTCTTGTATAAAGAATCACTATAGAATTCATTCCATTAATGTATTAGGCGTCCAGCCGTTAATAAAGCTAGGAAAGATGCTTATGAACAACTTCAGGTTTGTTTATTACGCATGATGCTTATTTTGCCTTCTAGTAGCAGATTTATCAGGTTATTTCCATACTATAATCTATAATTAAAGCAGGTTGTTAACCTATTCTTATGTACATGACGTAAGTTGTAAGCTATACAGGAAAACTTTCTATTTAATCTCTACTGTATTATACACAAACAGGCTGATTTGGCTAAAAAGCGAAAGGAATTAGTTGAAAGAGAAAAGGAACGCCGCCTGAAACTCATGCGAGCAAAACAAGTAATACATAATCTTAAATACAATATGAAAGCTTTATATTAAAAATTATTCTTTATTCCACTTATGCTGTGAAATGAATTATAATATTTAGCTAGAAAATAAAAGTCTTGCATCTTATGTTTTATTTGCTCAGGAGAAAGAAAGCCAAAAGGAAAACAGAGAAGAAATTATGAGGAAGCAGCAAATGGATATCTTAGCTAAACAACAGGTAAAATTAAAGTTGTACTAAATAAATCTTCATCCTGTCAACTCCTGACAAAATTATGGAATACATAGAATTAGAAACATTTATTCATTGACTAGAATATGGATAATTTTATTCTAGATGGCAAGAATGAATAAAGCTCGAGAAGCTGGCTGGAGAAACACGCTCAAAGACTACGTTTCTCCGGAGGTAATACTGGCTTATACTTCTTACGATAATTTATGTCGAGATATCAAATTATTTATTGCATCAACGGTTCATTTTGACAGAAAAAGGCTCCAATTAAACTTGACAGACAAGTTAGCGAAGGTGATCAACCTAAAAATGCTGCTCAAGCTGCGGTTCAGCCTGTCAAACTTAAGGAAAAGCTAGAGGTTAACTTCAGCATCTTTATTATAGCCTATGCAATTTATTCTAGCTCATTTGAGCAATCAAGATATAACTCGATCGTTAAAAAACTTTTGGTGAAAAAGCGGATTAATTCATAAGGCAATTCGAATTCTAGGTAGATAAACCTGTTAGCGATTTACCTAAACCTACACCGCAGCAAGTTATTCAGAAAGCCGAAGCAAACAGGTCAATGAACTAAAACAACCGATAGAAGTTACTCTATGCTATTTCATCATAAACTTACAACTGAGCTATGGGTACTATAGACCTACAGTAATTGCCATATTTTATAACTGCGTCTATTTGTCTAAGCAATCTTGAGCTTTTGCTAATTTTTATATCCCGGATAGATTTATTTGCGCATACTACATGAAATATCAGAATTTCTTCTGTTCTAGCAATCTGTAGCAATTATATTAAAACTGTTTTAAAATATTTGCTCTGCACAGAGAAATTGCCGCTAAGGCTTCAGAAAAAGCTCGAATTGTAGAGGAATTTTTAATCAATAAACGAGCTGCAGCGAACAACAGAATGCGAGCTATGAACGATTTAGCAGTTATTGGTAAACCTTACAAGGTTAGCCAGGCAAGCTTTATCATAATTTTACTAGAGCTTTAATGATCAGTGAATGATATTCTTCGATCTAGAGAGGTGCAGATCCAACGCCTAGCCCCTCAGAAGGTCTCGGCAATATAGCACTTACTAAAAATGATCAACATGATAAAATAAAGCCGCCGTTTGAGATGGGTCCTAGTCAATATGAAAAGAAGAAAAATATACATGAAATGGTATATTATTTATTAATATAATATTGCCTCTGTACAACGATAGAATTGTATCGCTAATTGATATTATCTAAACGTAATAGGAATACCTTAAACGTTTGGAAGCAATCCGTCGTCAAAATTATTTGGAACAAAAACGATTACGTGATAAAGCGAACAAAGTGCTTGGCATAGAAGGAGACGAGGTATAGCACCTTGAATGATAAGAAACATGTTTTATTATAGCAATTTCCAGATAGCTAAGCTCTAGATAGCCTAGACCATATAGAACATAGATATCAGTTAATGTGATACAATAATATCTAATAAAATAACTATTAGGCTAAAAAAGAGGTAGCCGAAGGTGATCCACGGTTTGATCCTGATGCAAGAAGGAAGAAGATCGATCGATTACGAGTAAATATTTCAATTATAGTTATATTTGTTGATCCTTGTGCACTACTATTGCTATTACTTTGCAATGCTAATCCTTGCTTACCAATATTCAGCAACAAGCTGAAGAAGGTGCTAAATTACTGCGCGAGCAACTGGCTAGACGAAAAACAGATGTAAAAGTTCCAACCAAGAATGCGGATAAGATGGAAAAGCCAAAAAATTCGGAAAAACCAATAGAAGCTATTAAAAGCCCTATTGAGGTTCGAATAATGACTATCAGGCAGTAAAGAGGAACCTAAAGGAAGATTTGTCCTTACTGACATAAGGCTATTAATTTATTTAAAATAGGATAAAAGAAACAACCAAGATCCTGATGCAAGGTATCATTTCCTTCAGTATTTACGTTACTCCTTTAGTCAATAATAAGTATAGAGCCCGGAAATATATAAAATTTAAAATTAAACATAGGCCCTTGCCTGCATTGCAAAAGCGAATGAAAGAACAAGATGTCAAAAGTATTCTACAACAACCCCAACTAGACAAACACAGCCAAGAGCAACTAGAAGACAAAAAGAAGAAAGATATTTACCAGGCTAAAAAATTAAGTGACATTAAAATAGCTAAATTAGAAAAAGGCAAAAAAATTGGAGGTAATAATGGAAATAATGCAATCATGTCGTTTGATAATTAGGATTAAATAAATTGCAGATTTTTTATTTTTACTATGTTCATCATTTAGAGGGTAAAAAACTTGGCGTAACTCGGTTACTACGGTCCTCTTCCGAAAGCGATTTAACAAAAATGAAAGTAAGTGAAGAAGAAAGGAAAATAAATCGCAAGAAATGGAGTAAGAACATTCCATCTCCACAATATCTTGCTGATGTCCGCCTAGAAACAACTGCTTCACAAATGGAAGGTATTTTCTGAGGGTTCATGTCGAAGGTATCAGTTTTATTTAACGTTTCTAAGTCCTTTAATTTATTTGATTTAGCAACACAAGCCGATGATGAAGCCCAGAAACCATCACAGGTGAATAAATCTGTCAAAGATACCATTGAAGAAGGAGATGAAAATAACCTGAGACGCCGTTGGCAAAAACCAGGCGAAACATTTATTCAAAATTTACAAAATGCAACCCTCAACGTTTCTACTACAACAGATACTCAGACATCTAAGGAGGAGTTAACACCTACAGGTACGGTAGATGGAGATAGAATGTTCAACTTTAATGCTATTAAAATTTGCTCATGGCGTTAGAATTCACAAGTTTTAGTCTGTAAATGAGGGCAATGTAAGCTACACTAATAGCTATTATTTGATATAAAATTTAAACGTAACTTCAGTTAGGAGAAACGATAGTCTACTGAAAGACGATTTGAAGTTATACTATAATTTGTTGAATCTTCTTAATAATAGCTTATCGATATCTTAATGATATTAATGCTAAGAATTAAAGATATTAACAATTCTTCAATAGCTACTGTACCGCACTAAATACGTTTATGTGAACCTCAAACGTCAGATTATTTGAGAGAAATTGTAGTTTACCGAAAGTCGATTTAAAGTTATTTGATAAGTCATCAAATCTTTCTACTACTAACTTATCGATAACTTCATGTAATTAATGCTAAAAATGCCATGTATTAACAATTCTTGAATAGCAATTGTACTGCATACACTTAAGAAACAGTTGAAATCGTCGATTAATTGTTTTCGCAATACCATTATAATCAACCGTCGTAATTATTTTTCTCATGACATGATCTCAATTCATTTTAACCAGACGAATCCAGCGAGGGCAAAGTTAGTATCGGTAATCAACAAAATAAAAAGACACTAACACCGCTTAAATCTCAGCAAGCTTGGGCTAATTCTGCAAATAAGGACGAAACAGTTCATCCTCAATTACCCCCAATTCATGATTTGGAAGGTTTAGCTATAATTGAGGAAGATATCACTGTTGAAGAAATGGGCTTTAACAATGATAGGTAGAAAATGAATTTAAAATTGACAATGCCGCTCAATGATATATATAATATTTTAAGATATTTGCAACATATTTAATAACATGCTGAAATTATTATTTCTGCAGTAAATATGAAACAGCAACGAATATATTGGCGTGCACCTTAAATATTCAACAAGGACTTTACGATGTTCAAGCAGCAGTAAGTACTCGAATGGATTGCTTTACTATTATACGATTATTATTCGTCCTCAGAGTTAACTAATATTTTTAATTTTATTCTCAGCTATTAAGAACTTGTTCTGAACCAGATTTGCATAAAATATTAATATCGGAAGACGACAGTGACGTTATCAATAACGCTGGCAGCACCTCTAGCAACGAGGATCATGATGAATCTTACAGTAGCAGTGATGAAAATACGATCGGTGCTCATAAGGACGTACTAGGCAAAGAGGAAATTAACTTGGAAGTAATGAAAGAAGTTGTAGCAAGCCCTACTGAAAGTAATACTAATGAAATACAAAATGAAGAAGACGATGATGAAGATCTTGATGACAGCGACTGCGAGGCAGAAAAAGACTTCCAGAGTATGCTTAAAACCATGCAAGATGTCTTAAAAGATGATGGAGATGATGAATATAGCATGGGTAGGATAATTTCGATCATTTCCTAATTACTTACATTAGTCTGAGGAGTCGCTATTCATCTCTATTTCAAATATCTGCCTATTATCATATAATAGATTATGCTAAGTAATCGCATTAGCATTGAGATTATGGCATGCTCATCGTCTAAAGGTTCATAAATTGTAATTATTATGTTAAAGATGAACAAAATCAGGCTGAAAAGTTGACGATAAATCCTAAAGAAGAGTTATCCAATAATCCAAAAAGTGACGATAGCGGTAGTGAGAGTCGAGAAGATGAAAGTGATACCTGGGAATCAGGTAAATTTGAATTCTTCTAACTTGTAACATACGTTGCCCTTCGAATAGTAGTAGAACAACCTACTTGGCTGACTGTTAATAAATACTACATAAGAGCTTTATCGACATTTTTAACTTATACATTTGCAATAGTATCTACCACGTAACAAAATAGCAGGAATATAGTGTAAATTGTCTTTTCTATATAGTAGATAGACCAATATAAAATCCGCTAGATCAATTTTACTGCAAAAGATATTTCAAAACGATAAGAACTGCATAAATAAAATCTAAATCTATACATGCTATATTTATAGTATCTGTTATGTGTCTATGTTATTTCCTTCACACGAAAGTTACTCCGAAAGTAACTGGTAAATTAGACCTCTTATTACTTAACTCGCGCTAATATACTTCTACTAATAAGACAAAATATTACCATGAATCGTGAACTTCACCAACTACGAATAATTAGGGCTATGATCTAGGCTATGCTATTTTAAATAGTAAAATTTTACACGTCCATAATTATAGAGTTACAGAATGACTATACGCATGTGAATCTTATACATCCGTATTTAGGGTTACAGAATGATTATATTTTAATGCTTAATGTAATATAATCATCTAATTTTATGTTACAATTATAATTGCTTATTTCAAAATACTGTACCAATCTATATCATTAACTAGATGATGAAAATTTATCTAATGGCAATAACGGCGATGTCAATGAAAGCCTATTTAGTCGTTTAGAGGCAATGAGGTTATCATTAGAAGAGAAATTGGGATGCGATCAATTTGTTACCGCCTACCAATTCTTGCAGGTAAACGCTTAGATCATAGTTTATTCAAATTGTAGTTTTCTGTGCATTCTGGCCATTCATTTTAATTGTTATTAGAAATATATACATATGTGAGCACAATTAATTCTGCACTAGCATTATAAAACATAAATTAGGAGATCAGGAGTAATTCTATGCTAACTATTATTCAATAGGAGAAACATGAACTAGATGATGATAATACAGACATAGGATCAGCGTACTTGGATGAAATTATTCATATTTTAGGGGAAGAAAATAAAGGACTCTTTCCCAAAATTCTTCATCTCGTTATGGCAGATGCAGCCTATTTTGAAGGTTTTTATTTATAATTTTATAATTTCTTGAACTAGCTGGACACTCTTTAATGTCTAAAATGAACGGTATCAAAGGCTCAACTAATCCTAATCCTTTTAATTGTTATCGTAGGTAACGAGTAAATTATCCATTGGCTACTTCGAATTGTAATCTACCTTTACAATACCTACGGTAGTTAGCAAAAAGCCATTAAAGTTACTCTACTTTAACAAATATTCAAAGTCTTATTACTTTCAACGACTAGGCTTTTGTATGTGCCTCCTAAATTCAATACTACACCTTCGTCATTTCTTCAAATTGCCAATATACTGGTCAATAGCCATACTGTAATTATAATAGGTGAATTATCAACCAAAACTTAGGAAATATTTTCCTGAATAGTAGTTAGAGTTTATCTTAACGACATTCTAAGAATCATTTTAGATATAAATCAATCAAATAACGCCTGTGTATAGCTATCAATGTCTTATCAATTTGATGTAACATAAACCATTCTGTCTCTGATTAGGGGATGTAAATATTTTTAAACAAGATGCTATATCATTTCGGTTTCAATAGTTTGCCTATGTAATATTGATTGATTAGAAATTGTTAATCCCTTTTATAGGCCATTTTAAAATCATATTATTATATATCATTTTACTTTCAATAGTTTACATATGTAATATAGATTGATTCAAATCTTCTAATCGCTTTCTGAAATATTTTATAATCATCGTATTACTATACGTGTATGTGTTTATAATATGAACAAAATATTTTCTTTCCACGGCTTAATCAATAAATTTATGGTTAAAGTACGTTATGTTATAGTTTTGTACATTGTTGAGCAATATTCTAAGAGATCAATTTCTGTGAGCACTATTACCATAATAATGTCGCTATCAAGATATCTGAAGTAATCATACCTTACTCTCCGAGTAAATTCAAGAGATGCCACAACTGTAGTAACATCCGCAAAATATATAAATTTGCTTGATTTAAGCCTAATAACTACGCATTACCGTAGCTATACTATAAAACTACAAGTTAAATTACAGTAGTTTATGGTGGTTATGTTCTAAAAAGGGGTCATATTTATACTCAAGCAAATTCAAGAAAAGCTATGATGATGATAATAATGTCAAAGAAATACAACTTCGCTTAATAAAAGTATGATAATAGCACATAATCGCAGCTATTTTATACCTACAAGTTAGATTGAAGTGGTTTATGCTAGTTCTACCCTAAAAGAGATTTTAAATGAATAGAAGGGATGAATTTACATATAAAGCTAAATAAGAAAATACCTTCGGTTTGCTTATTTTAGTTAACATGGATACTTTTATCTAAAAAATTTTATGAGAAATAGTCTGAATCATAAGAATAGCTGTCATTAGTGAATGAAATATACCGAAGTTTAGAAGAAAGATTTATGGCAAGAGTAAATTGAAGACTCTGCCTAAAAACCTTCATGAAACAACGCGATATTAAACACACAATATCTTGATATTTAAATTAAATTAGATTGTAATTTTTCTACTAATTCACTCCTAAGATGTCGTATATCCTTTAATTCTTTTTCGGCTATTACTTTCAATATTAAATCGTATCATACGGAATAGGAGAAAGTGGAATAAATTTTATTTCGTTCTTCAAATTTTCAGAAGGGTATTATCTCATTCACAACGAAATTAATTCCCGAAATACTTCCACTAAAATATAAAGGTTTGCATTTTATTTAATTACTCATATCATAACCTCATTTTATAATAAAAAATGGACGATCGAAAGAAAGAAGTGTATCGATGAATCATAACTACGGTATCCAATTATGGAAATGAAACCCGTACAAATCATCGAAAACTGTTCTAGGAATATCTCCTGTTTTCTTGAGGCTTTCAGTTTGCTGTTGCAATTATGCTATATCTTCAGCAATGTAGACAGATATCACAAATTCAGTGCCCTAAGCTGCTGTTCTAAATTTCAGTTAGATGATATAAAATTTCGACTCAATAACGTCAACGCATGGGAATTTATTCTAGAATTTAGAATACTGATACACCTAAGATATTTAAATTTCTTTAAAATCTACAGATTGTAAATTGTAAAATGTAATATATATTTTACGTTTTTAAGAAGATTATTGGAGCGCCTAATCATTTCCCTATATTCAGACAACACTTGTATTTGAAATTAATTATATTCAAGCAATTATCGCGTCAGCTAGTTAAATTAGTCCAAAGTACGCGATTCAAAATTCCCAAATTTTAACATCCAAGAAGTTTGAACTATACGTTATCAGGTTTATTATAAAGTTTATCATGCTTCAAGTAAGAATGCACACCATTAAATATTCGTTAAATTCTCCGCATTGGAATTACTAAGTTCACGCAACTAAAATTGTTATAGCGCATGGAAATCGCCATAGAAAATTCAATTTTTGATGCTGATAGTAATTTCATATTATAAAGATATTAGACATTCATAATAATTAGCGTACGAATTGATGGTATTATAGATTGTACTGTCCGTTATCAATCTGCTGCAGATTTACAACCCGTTAATTTTAGTATTATATTGACAGTTACCAAGATCGTATTGCAAAGTATAGCATCGTATGACATATTATTCAGCATTCATACAATTATTTTATTCGCTCTCCATTCCAAAACAATTTAATATAATTATAAAGTATATTTACAAAGTCACAAGCAATCATAAAATTTGGAATTAAAAAGCAAGAGGTTTTGTGTAGTTTTTACTCTATATTGAGAGTTGTGAAGAATCAAATATAATTACATCAGATCTTGGTACTTTCTGATTTAGTGTACCTGTATTCAGATCCAATCGGAAATTATTCTTAACTGACATGAATTAAGACTATTAGAACAATAGGGGATCCTTGATCCTTACAGCATAGTATAATTAATACATATTTAGGGCTCAATAATGGAATAACATTTTTATTAAACTGATTAAAACTGGATCATGTCCGTAATTTCAACAAAATTCAAAGGATAATTATTAAAATTTCCAAACATAAAGTTTTTCTTGTATACTTTAATTATTTTTTAATAAGAATGATCTTAAGATATCACTTTGCCATATATATATATATATATATATTTAAGAATAAAAAGCTAAATCTAAGTTTACGGTATCTCAGTCCAAGTTTATAACTTTCAGATGGCGTTATAAAGATAAACTGCTGTCCTGTTAGTTATATCGTTATATTTTTATATTTCCCACATATGCTTCTCTTGCTCTGAGAATATATATGAAAAAAATGTTAAAAATTGTTATTAATGAGACAATTTCCTTCTATAATACTATGAATACTTATATACTCGAATATATATCTATATATATGAGGCATATATAATGATCATCGTATATATTTGATATATTTAGAAATTACCTAAGCGTCCGACATAATTCGCTACGTGATTGTGAAAATTTAATTTTGCCATCCGCTTCGGAGTGTTTCCCTTCGCTGATTTTGCTTGTACATTGGCACCATTCCGGCATAAAAATTCAACACATACAAGATGACCATTTTTAGCTGCTAAATGTAATGGTGTACAACAGCTCATATCACCTTTATTTACATCTCCTCCATGCTCTACAAGTAATTTTAAGCAGTCAAGATTTCCATTGCATGCTGCATAATGCATAGCAGTAACACCGTTTTCATCTATATCGTCAGGATGCTAAAAATTAATCAGCATTTGTCAGTTCATATTTTAGGCAGCAGTAGAAATTTTATCAAGAATGGACGTTTAACCTTAATAGTGGAGAATATAAGAGGCTATTCTGGGCAAAAATATTATCTTACAATAATAATCGTATTATCTATCTTATTATAAATATTCCTGCTAAATATTGTAAGTCTACAATTATGCCAACGATTATTTAAATATAAAATATAAAATAATTTATTTGAATATTCCACACAAAATTCTGTCACTGTATTTCAAAGCAGTCATCTACTACAACTTAAAATATTCATGAAGATATTTGTAAATTTAAATAAATGAGTTGGAATTGTTGAATATATGGTATTATGCGTAATCAATTCTGTAATTAATCTGAACAGAGATTTTTCATGAAAGACGTTAAGTACATGTAAAGATGAGAAAAACTTAAAACATAGTCTAATTATTGGAGCAGTTGTTCAAACGACCATTTTCGTAGAAATGTCCCAGTAGCGTATTCGGAGTAAAGTTGGTCAAAGAGTAATTCTAAATCTCTGTATCTGTAGGTACTCAATAATAATCGGATTATTGTTAATATTATAGCATATAATTAACCGACTAAAGTGCCGCAAAATTACTAATATCCACAACTTTGGATTATTCCTGAAATTATTGCTTGTTTTTTTAATGCTTGTTGTAAAATGAGACTTTGTTAGTGTAACGTAGTAGCCGTGAGGCTATTACAGCTACGTAACTGTCAATCAGTAAGAACATTATGAAAGTATGCGGCTAATAATATAGATCTCCATGAAAAGAAGGATAAAATTGCTGTTAGTAAAATTCGAATAAACCTAGTTAACAATAGTTTTAATGCTATTTAGATACTATGGTCATTTCTATGGTAGCATTATACCGTACTTGTACAGTCACTTGGGAAATTAAGATCGAAATCTCTACTATTACTGTTGTCATTAATGTCATTCGTTAATATTATTTTCAGAAATGGAGATAATATTTCTTATGTTTAACAACAACGTTTATCTAATTGTTATTACGTCAGAAATAAATTTCAGTTCATTTATGATATCAACACATTCTGTATAAGTGCGGTTTAACTTCAGATCAACATAATCCTTTAAGAAATTAACAACCACTATGTGAAAATGTAATATTCAAAATAATCTTTTTTAATAACCTTCAATTAGTAAATGATCAGCAATAATATTTAAGTGAATACTTCCTGTTGTAGTCACTATTATTTACTATGAGGTAACTAGATATTAACAATTAAACATTAAGATACTCAAAACACCTGTATTTGCTTATTTACAAAGCTCATTTCCAAGAATTCTTAACACAATTTAAATTCCAATAGTGATGCTACTTTTTACTGATAATGCAGCATATGTAGTTCATGTATAGGAATTTAACTATACATTTAATAATAGAGTAAATATCAAGTAGTATAGTACTACTATGATATTAAACAGAAAATTTTTAGATTAAAATCATCTAAAGTGCCCCAAATTTCGTACTATTAGAGTAGACTTACTAAAAAACGAAGTTTAAGGTTGCATTCACGAATTTAGAATAACTTTCTGTATAAATCTTACATATATTCGTATTGAAGTAAATTAAAAAATAAAATCTATTGTCGCATTCCACCTAGAAAGCTGGCTACACAAATCTTTTATACGAATTTTTTACAAAGATAATTACATTGATATTTCAGATCTGTTTGTCGTGAATAATTTAATACATTAAATACGGATTTTAGCATCGAAGGATATCGAGACATGTTGACATTAAATGATATCGTATATTTGTATTTCGTATAAATGATAACGATAATAAAATTATTCTGAAGCTAACCCCAATAATGTACGATGCTATATTCTATCTCTTATCGCAGACGTTTAGATAGTTCAATTACTCTCATCTTTTATCAATATTTATTTGTAGTATTCGGTTATCAATGGATCAAACAAAGGTAGATACGAATTCGAGGGTATGATCACATGCAGCCGAAATATGTTTCTGTACGTCAATTTCGAAATTGTCAATGTTATTTATTTCTGTATAATAGATACCTGAATCCGTATCTCGCACAGACAATACTAGGGCATTCAAAGCTGATTAATAGAAAGAAACCTCTTGATACTGATATCGATTATACTTGAATGAATTTTAGGCATTACGTTGCTATAGCAACTCGGGGTGAATAATGTAACAACAGAAAGGGATGAAGTTAAGATATAATGGCAAGAAAATATGAAGAAAATATAAATTCCAATGTTATACAATTGCCAATTTTTCAAATGAAAAATGAAAATGAAACTGACATAATTATTAAGGTGCAGTAAAGTCATTTCTGAATTAATTTTGCATATCCTGAAGTAAATAAAGCAGTGTTATCAAGATAAGATGGAATAGAATCTGCTCCGAAAATTAATGACATTTTGTCAGGCCTTTTTCATTAACTTAAAGTTGAAGCAATTTATAATCCCAATTCTTGGGCGATTCCAATTGTGACTTAGTAACTATCGAAATATGGCAGGAAAATAACTTAGGGATCAGAATGAATTATAATCCTGCGCTACAGAGTCCAAATATCTCGTAATAGGTTAGATTTAGTTACTGATCGATTTAATGCGACAAGAACTTACGCTCGTACATGACTATAGATGCCCTTTAACGAAAATCGAACGGAAACAAAATTCAAATCTGGGCCAAGCAATTATTTAAGGCTCTATTAAAGTAGTGAGTGTAGGTTCTTTAAATTCGCATTTAAATATAATACTTGATTTCAAGCCTAGACTGACATTTCTCAAAGACTTTAGGACTCATAGAAGAATAATAAATACCATTTTCACTGGCCCTTAAATATTCAGAATTACTTCTGTCATTTATATTTGACGATAACTTTTTCTCTTGAACACTAATAATGGGTAGAACAGTCCAGCCGCCATCTTAATTTCTGGAGCATTGTATTAGTCTTAATGCATTGGTACTATTTGCCTAGGTATATCTTATATTTCCGATTTAAAAAGTCATGCTAAGTGTATATAATTGCTTCCACGTTCTATCCATACTATGCATTCTGTATGTTATATCGATTTCAAATAGAAATTATTTTAAAGTGGTGCTCGGATTTTGAATTATGTTCATGATCAATATCTCAAAATTATAATCTTTTATCAAAACCAAAAACGTAGAATTCAGTAGCTAAAGGTTACTCTTACTGGTATTGCAAAATATTCTTAAGATCGTAATAAATTTTAATAGCATTAAGATTAGGAGGATAAACCAAATTATATTTTCAATTGATATTAGGTCTAATGTTGGAACAATTATTACTTCATCTTAATTCAAATACAAGGTTACAATAAATTCACATCACAGTAAGTGCCAATAATGTTACTCTGTCTAATTGGCATTATTCATTAAGTCCAGAAACATTCCTACGAATGTAGGGGAAGAAAATAATTTACCTGACCATTATCGATCGCTCGTGCTAGCATCCTGTAGTCACCAACAAAAGCTAAAAGCAAAAAATAGATAACAACAAGGAGGTTTACAGATAAGATTGGAAGAACTACTTCATTTTGAAGATAAATTTTGCTTTATATATAAAAGTGTAATTCGGAATAATTTGAATTTAAAAATACTTAAAATAAAATTCTTCTACTGATGATATGTCAATAAATCAGTCTTAATTGTCCCGTGATGATAGAATGTGAAGCAATTGAAATTGATGATCGCAAATTGGATTGATAACTATTGTCCCTATAATGAATAACGAAACGTTCTATTTTTTATCCGATATTGCAACTTTATAAAGAAACACTACTGACACTAGCTGCTGTTGAAGGCATATTTTTAAAATATACTATCGAAATGGACTATTGATCAATTCTATTTTCTAAATGACATTTTACAACTAATTCATGCTAAAAGTTCATAGCATGTTTAATATTAACTTGTTCTATTCCCATTTTGACGGTTCACTATCATCATATACTGTTAATATTAGCAGCTAAACATGAAATATTCTATTTAACTTTTAGTAAAGCAAGTTTAGCATTTAACTAGCTGGGATCATTCAACGATATAAAATTCTTGATGATTGGTAATTGTTTTAAACGTAATACTTCTATAATAGGTGATGCAACACTAATTACTAACCAAAATTGAAAAATCTCCAGTTGCTATTTTCAATATTTAATATAATATTCGATATCTTGATATTTACGAAAATCAATTTTTCCTATATTTTAGGATACCCTAACAACAGTTGGAAATTATTTGATATTTTATATTTCCATAAAACTTGCAATGTTGAACTATACGTATGGGTTGCTAGGTTAGAAAGGCAAGTAACACAAATTAATTGCAATAGCATTGCAGTATATTGTATAGCTATCATCGCACTATAGGAAATGACATCAATATTATAGGTTCTAGCCCAGACTAAAACTGAAAAATTCTAGCGGAAGCATTGATTATAAATTTCAGTACGGTAACTGGTGATAAATGTTACAAGAAGATTTCAACATTGTAAACTAGATAGTAGACTTTTAATATAAGATATGACAATCGTTTTCGTTGATGTTTTTAAAATTGAACCCGAACGAAATAATTGCCATCGACTAATATCAAGACTACACTAGAAGTATGGATGTTTCTGCATATCGTGGGGAGTAAAAGAAAGTCAATGTCCTAACTTATTGAAAATTGAGCAATGTCCGTCGCTAAAAATATTGCGTACAGATTTTATTGCTATGATATAAATTGTAAGTACAATTAAAATAACTCTAGCTATAGTGCTTGTTCCGAAGTAACTTCAATAATCAGAAACTCGTTATGCTTCAAACTTTCAAAATGTTAAATCCTAAATGTCTAATTTAACTGGACTAATTTGATTCTTAACTTACCGGCTTGGTAACCATTCAAATTTTTCATCATTCTTGTGTTAAAATGTAAATAAGAAAGTTCGATATATCCAATATTAGTAATAATGTTATCGGAGATTCACTCCTGGCTATTTTAGATGTCCAACTAGCGTGGTTAATAAAATAAGATACGATACTACTACTTTATGAGATTTGCTTAGTACTCAATTTTTATGTATAGACGATCGATAAGATTGCCACACTAAATGATTGCTTTTAGTCACTTACAGTACTAACTAAATTGATTATACCGATAAGGTAAATATAAAGAATCTCTAAGATATGCTATATTTATAAAGAAAAATAAGCAGTTCATAAACGTTGATGCCGTCGTCAAGGTAAATGATAATAATAATAGATACGGTACCAATTTATATTGTAATGTTTGAATTAAAAAATAAAGAAAGAATTTTGCGTAAAAATTGGTATTGCGTTTTTTATAAATGTGTGGGGTGGGGGGTAATAACCTAACTCTCCAGGTGAATGATTAAATTCTAAAAATTGATGGTAATATCTCTTTCATATATTGTCCACAATTGAATTGTAATTGCATCATCAATACGCAAATATATAGGGTATCATTTTTTATAGATTACAGTAAAAATTGTTGAATACCTTACAGTAGTTAGTATTAGATCCGAATAATATCATTCATTCTTTCTTACTATTATTATTTTATTGATAGCTATTTTTATCTTGCCATCGCATTTATTGAATATAGAGTTGTCAATTCGATTGATTGGAAGCTAGTATAGAGATGAAATGGAAAAATGATTTTAATATTCAACAACTAAAAACACTTTTGATTATATTTATTTATTAATATCCATCTTTTTCCTCCACCCCTTCTAGACTCATCCTATTCACAACAATCTTAATTATTGTTAATAAACCATCTGTCATATGCCATTCATCGATCGATTGGAATAGATTATAACAAACGTTTGTCAATGTTTCACAAGAATATTTTATGAGATTATTAATTGTAGCTTTCTATCATCTATTATGGCTATTATTATGACCAATTGAGGTTATTTGACATCATTTATTGTCTGTCTTTTTCTGATAATATTGTATTATGTGTATTTATTGATGTCTAGGTATTGATAGTAAGATTGCCTTCATCCAGAATGATATTGGATTTATATATTCCTTGATTTACAAGTTATATATTGAATTTACACAAAAATTTTCTTAAAGCGTAATGGATTAGACAATATAGTATGGTAACAAACTAAAATTTCTTGTTAATATAGTGACAATTACTGGTCGTCGTAATATCATCGATATCATATTGTTTATAATGGATGTACTGAACTAATCATGCAGTAGAAATGAGTCTTACATAGAGCTGATCTTCATTTTTAAAGAGCATGTAACTATTAAAAAAATGTCGTTATATCATATAAACACTACTAGACTATCATCAATTATAACAATAGTACACGATTTCAGTAGGATCGCTCTTTGCTGCAACTAATGAAGTGTATGATTGCTGTTTAGACTTTTGAGCCTTTATAGAGAAAAATTAATTAGGAAAGACAGTTAATACCTGCCATTTTACAGGAGATTTATAATATGGTAATATGCTAATTCTTTTCATAACCTTCGACATACGAGTACTATGAACAGTGTATATTTACAGAGCAAAGATCACAATCTAGTACATCTGTTGGTAAATAATTCTTTTAAATTATCATTAGTATCATAAAGTTAGATGAAGCGATATTTTGATTGCTCTATGACGATGATTCGTATTCAGTATTACTTAAGGAAATTGTGGATGACCTGGTAAATGCCGAAATTAGCATAATATTGGAAGTACTTTAGTGCGATACTTTTAGAATTAATCAAATTATACTATGCATTCAAACAATAACGTATACTAGCTAGAATCAAATGTTTTACAGGCTCCCAGCAGTGCAGCACAGAGTATGGCATTTCCCCAAATTTAACTTCTACAGCTAGCGATCTAATGCCATTATTGGCAATATTCGAAACTAGTATACTAGCTAGAATCAAATGTTTTACAGGCTCCCAGCAGTGCTGCACAGAGTATGGCATTTCCCCAAATTTACCTTCTACAGCTAGCGTTTCAATGCCATTATTGGCAATATTCGAAACTAGTGGATACTTAAATATAGACAGAACATATTTTTATATATATATAACAGTAGAATACTTAGCCAAAATAATGCATATCTGGTTTAAGGTAGTTTAGGTCATTGTGACTAAATACGGCATAAGAATCCCACGTAACAATGCCATGTAGACGGCAGTATTTTTTTATTTAATTTTCTTTCATCAAATTGAGTTTATATTTTAAGTTGTACATGTATTATAAGGTCCAGGAAGCGAAGGAAGTCGACCTAAATTCTATCGATTCACATTGAGTTTACTAAACTGCTTTAAATGCAGATTAGAGAGTAAATAAATCTGATGATAACTTCGTGCAAACGTTTATGACAATCATACCATGACTCTGTAGTGCTATTGTCTTCTATCTGTTAATTCCGGTTAGGAATGTTAGCACCTGTACTATCCTTTGGAGGTATTTGTTTTAGTTCGTACTGACTGAAAGATCGAGATAAATTTGTTTTCAGCATAGTACTTTAAATAATGCGCCACTTACAGCGACTAATGCCAGTCTTGGACTTTAGATTGTTGAAAATGTAGATAAAAGTGAATAGGAGATTTACCAATGTACTCCTTATCAATGTGAAATTTGATTGTCATCTTGACAAGAGTTGCCCTAACGAAAACGTTTTTATTCTTCTGAGTCTAAATTTGAACTTTTCCCGTTTTGTTTAAATTATCACTACAGACACGGCCGCAATTTAAATACAGATGGCGCCTCTAATTTTTTTTTTTTATTTAATCCGGTATATTGTATTCGATACCTCAGCGAAGATAGGGTTCATGAACCGTTTACTGTACGACGTAGTTGTCGATAGACGAGAGTAAGGCATTGTATTACCTATGATTATAATTATTACGAAGTATTTTATTCATTAGCTATGCGGAGAGTAATAAAAAGTTTAAAATCCAAGTTTAGTGGTTACGTAATTTGGCAAATGAGGAGTACTGTATATTCATAATCTAAGTGTCCCAATATTGATAGTTAGCTATATAGTAGGAGATAGAGGAAATTGTGACTAATGTTATCCGTTAGCAATTCACACTGTTACAGTGCCATTTTTTATGTGTTAACATGCATAGGTTCTAGAATGGATTCCAAATCTTGTCACAAATTCTGGTTTGGCCTCTTGGATATTTTTGAACACGCGCTCGTCTATTTCTGATAATTTATGACGTTATCATTCATGATGGTTTGAGTTTAATATCAACCCTATATGATGGATACTAGTGCAAACATGCTTTATAATTCGTTACTACTAAAGATAGTGCAGATAGTGGCCAATTTCACTCTCTACGGGTAACTTGTGCAAGAGTGATCTATAATTAATTCGTTGCTAACAGTTTGGCTGCCTGTGCGCTGCTATGAATACAAAAGTTCTTGTGATATTATTTGCCAAGATTGTTGCTCGCTTTTATTTTGACAGAAAAAGACACCTTTAAAGTATTCCTTTTCATTGTCCGTCCCGTCAAATAGCGCTGAAATATCATGTTTCATTGACAAGTATATCCGTAGATGCAAACTTGAACATGGTATCTGTAGCTAAAATAGAACATTAATGAACTCACGGTGAATACAATATTAGCCAGTCCGCAGTTAATGCCAGATATGCGACGTTTATGCTGACTATAGACATAGTATACAACGCATCAGTAAGCCAGCATATTATCAAAACATAACTTGACAAAACTCCTAAAATTCAATCACTTTCCGTCCATTTTCAAAGTACTCCAGCCGTGCGTATGCTTATGATAGCTTATCTGCCTCCAATATTAACGAAAAATGCTTAAGTGAATGTTTGCATAGGGTACAATTGCTCCCTTTATAAACTATCCCCTTAAAATAGGTTTACAATTTACTTGAAAAATGAATGCACACGTCAACAATGAAGACGTCTTAAGTTCATAAAACTGATTGGGGAACCAGCCAATGCAATCAAAAGTTTGATCCGTTTTACCACAACTGTTTGTAGTAAATGAATGACATTCACTTGTCCGCTGTTACTGAGACTGTATAAAATTGGATTCAAAAGTTATCAGTGTTGATGAACGGAAGACAATTTCACAACTTTTGTCAAACACTCGATTTTATGTGTCCTCCTTCATTTTAATAATACGCCAGTTGATGGATTAACTGTCGGTTCAATTTCAATTTATCCAAAAGCAATTGATTCAATAAAGAGAGCAGCTTTACAGTGAGCAACTTTTTCCTCTTTCTTTGTCGACCAGCCGGTGTTCCGGACGTCCGGTCCGGTTTGGTCAGGTCAGGCCAGAAATAAACTTTGTCACGTGTCTCTGTCACGCTTTTCTTGACATACTGTAGTGTACAGTGTATAGTACTGTAGGATTGGCTGCCAAGACTTCAGTCGATCTTGTACAGTACTGTACACTGTACAGTACTGCACTGTAGATTTCATTTTCTAGTCATCCATCCGTCCACGACGAGACGCACTGACTCACTGGCACCGTAGGGTACCGGCGCGCCGTCCCTCATAGTGCAGTATAAAAATAAAAAGACCCGATGGTGAGACCGGTGTACTGTGCACACGTGTTTTACTACATTTGACCGTGCAGTGTGCAGTATACAGTACGGTACTGAAGCGTGCAATGGCTCACGGGCAAAAACAGCTGACAGTACCGTACTCCCCATGACTGGTACGACAGCAAGTCTTGAATTCAAATGTTCCACTGCAATCAGTAGCGTGGACAGAAAGAGCCAAATTGGGCAACAGGTAGGTAGCCATTGCTGAAGAATTTGATTCAAATTCATGGTTCATGCAAGTGTACGATATAGTTTGATCAAGGATGGAATCGTTGATCACCATCTGTTTGAGATTTTTGATGAATTTTACCGTAAGGATCATCTGGTAATGGAATTTTTTTTATTTGACTTTGTTTGCAGGATTATCTATTTTCGTCAGGAGGTCTTCTCGAACTCGGTGCTAGTTTGTATCCGATAATCATTATAATAAATTAATGAAAGATGACTTTTCGCTGCATCATTCTGCTTGCATGGCTAACACTAGCTTGGTCAACAATCACTATCGCCAGTCAATCCCCGCGAGATACGTTAAATACATGCATCGCTTCAAGTTATCATAAAAAAGTGCCTACTCCAGAGCAAGATTTAGTTGAGTGCAAGCCTTGGAAGGCGCGTTCATGCTGTACTCCAGCAACCGTAAAGGAGTTATCGTTAACTGCAAATCAGGTGCTATACAATTTTAGATGGGATCACTGTGGCAATTTATCCAGCCAGTGCTATCGTTATATGGTGCAGGATTCCTGCTTTTATGAATGCTCACCTAACGTAGGTCCATGGATAGTCAATGCATCCTCTTCGCGTCGTAGTGAACGCTTTATGCATGTACCTATTTGTGCCAGTTTTTGTGATAACTGGTTTGCTGCATGTGAAAATGATAAGACTTGTAGTGGCGATTGGCGTTACGATTGGAAGTGGATCAATCGTAGTAATCACTGTAAAGCAAATAACACTTGCAAAACGTTCGGTCAGATCTTTAAAACAAGCAAAGGTTTTTGTGAGGGTTTGTGGCATTATTCATTTAAGTACCAAAGCGATGATAAACCGTGCATGAAGCCTTGGTTTGAGACGGCAGCCAACCCAAACAGCGATGTAGCCAAGTACTATCACAACATCAATGCCGCTCAATCTTCAACGCTTGCTTCGTCATACTTACTCCTGATAATTGGATTTCTGGTAATGCACCTTTCCACCAATAATATGTCTACAATGCTTTGATTTCGCAATATTGGGTCGTATCTTACGGCCTCGCATTGGCCCTAGTAATGAGGCACTCAAGTATATAATATACGATATAGAGAAACATTCGAGAAATTGTCAATCTTGGATATTACTGGATAAAGTTACAAGAAGTACAGTATCTAATGACCGCGGTATAACTACTGCTTGACTTCGAGCGCCTTTTTCCAATTTAAATTTATTTACGTACGAGTACCAAAATAATTAATTAAGAATGGAGACCTATAGTATATAACTACAAGTCTAATCTACATATAAATAACCAACCGCAAAGGACACTCATTTGTCGAAAACTTTCTCTGGGAAAATTGACCTCTTATTTCAGTTTATTATAATGGATGAATGCGTTGTACTGTATATTCGGTGCTGTTCGCTTATAAGTCTAGTAAGACACATGTGTCAAAATATCAAATAAACTTGGCTGCTGCTCTGCATGTTGTTTTCGTTTTTAGATCCGATACTATTACATAATACTTATTTGTGGGCAGATAGAATTAGCAACTGTTACTTAAGCTTTTTTGGTTGGACCTGTACATTACGTGTAGCCCATGACTAGTCCTATTCACTTCTGATGTCTTAATTAAACATATCGTAAAGATTGAAGTAGAGAAAAATCAAAATTCGAACAGCATTTGCTAGGTTGGTTATTAATTCGTGTAAAAGTGACAGTACGCACTGCAAACTTTAGCAATGGATAGAATGTATCAATGACTGTTGTATTCAAATAAAGGATAATGCAAAATTACAATGTAATCAGAACTCTTGATCACATTCAGTATATTGCTGTCAGCTATTATTCTATTGTAGGTTGTCAAAGTGGCCAATAAATACTAACTTACTATTGCAAAAAGAAACAGAATTAAACTTATGAATCTCTACTTTATTCTTGTTCATACAATGCCATTGCGTTGAACGTTGCTGAATGAACTGCGAAACGAGCTCACAGACGTCTTCGTATTTCTACTATGGTTAGTAAAGCAATTCACTGTCAATTGCATCTCATTGGTGAAATCAGCTATTATTCTCGACAAACTTTTAGTTATTTAAATAGTTTTATTGTTGTCGTGAAACAGTTCAAGCAACTCTGCACTTGTATTTGCAAAGGTTTGACACATTAACGAATGTCTTCGAATATAATAAAAAAATATACGAAATCTAACAATGGATAATAATTTACAGTACTTCAATTCTAATATGCCATATAGCCTACACCATGATACGTGCCATGCTTAACAATCCTGTTCAATGTTCAGTGAGAAGTTACAATAATATTACCAGCTGTATCATTAAAGTTTATGACTATTGATGTACATTTCATGTACTCTATTAGTGATATATGTAATAAGTTTCTGAGAAATTGAAATAAATACAAAATTGACCATTATTATCATCAAGTTCTAGATGAGTTACTCCAGAAGGAATAATCATTTCATCGTTATCAACACTAGTCAATTACTAGCGAATACTGTGTTTCAGTGGTTGCAATAGACTGAAAAGTTTTAGATTAAAATGCCCAAACATGCAATGTTGTATTACAAGCAGAAAGAATATCAGTACCTGCATGTATATCTACTGCTGATAAACAATTACTTTTAAATATTTTTTTTTCCATTATCACCCAAGTTATCAAATTTGAAAGGACGAATCAAATGAAAGTGCTCACAACAGTTGTACAGTAATCCACGATGAAAAGGATTTCGATACAATCCCGATGAACTACGGAGATAGGGGTATCGTGATGAATTCAAATATTCGTTGGTTGTTAAGTTTGCCGCGGCCAAGTAAATCTATAGTAGAGACAAAAAATTAAAGGAGATGAAGTCAATAAAATGAATTGACGTATTAACATACATGGCAAGATAGTACGTAGAAATACAGTTGTCAACAGTTACATACGTGAGAAAGTAGTAATCCTAAAAGCATAAAATCGAGCAGGGAAAAGTGGAATATAAATGCGCTCAATATCCAAGAAAATCCTTCCGTCCTGATTGCATGTATTGCATAGTATACTACAATACTACATGCAACATAGCATGATGCGACAAAAACTAGGAAAAAGGCACTATCACAAAAAATGATATATCAACAAAAGCTAGTACCAATTGTTTGCATGCACATCATATGAGTTATGTCAGTTTGTATAGTAAACTACTCCTATACAATTTTACCGATTTCTGTAACCAACGCAATTTAAAACATAGGGACAGTGATGGTCGAAATGGCCAACGCATCTATTGCATACTCGACAGTGTTTCGCACGTAACGGCTTTATTATTTTACATGTATGACAGAGGCGTTGTAAAGGGTTCTTGTTTAGTGTACATCCATCATATTTATGTACCTTTTAATCATTCATATTCTTAGTATCAAGAGAAATGATTTCAAAGTTATCGATATTTTTAATGAAATATTAACAGTACTGTCTTACTTCCTTAAGTGCCTTCTCGTAGAATCCAGTCTTTTTCGGAATATATCCTGGGTTTGTGTAATAAGTAAGCAATAAAAATAGCCATAATGTCGTATTGGATAGAAGAAAGACTACATGTATCCGAGGTGCTGTTGATATGACGTAACGATACAGCTATAACAAAAAATTAACATTACTTTAACCAAATTATGTAATTATTAAAATTCAATCATTGACTACTGATGCTAATACTTTCTATTACATTAAGTGGAGTAATCAATTTCAATAACATATGAATATATCTACCTTCAAGGCATACATTGGATAGCCCATACAGAATAATGTGATAAGCATGAAACCAACAGGGAGATAGGTTTCTCTGCTAGGTCCAGTTATAATTGTTCTAATTATCAATTTATTGAAATTCGTCAATATGAAAATTAATATCATAAATTCGCACTAAAATTACCTCTCCAATTACCATTAAAATTTAAATAAATAGAGAAAGCATTCACCTCCAATTACAATTAAGAAAACCACACCCTCCAGATTTCAACATTTTCAGATAATCGGCAGCTGCATCATTTTTTTTCTTTTCAGCAACATCAATTGGGTTTAAGCCATCTTCCGTTAAACTAGTAACACTACCTCCCTATATTAGTGAATACACGACAAATTTTTAAAGGCAGAATTACTTAATATGTAAATATGTAAATTCAAGACAAGACAATAATCTGAAATAAGAAATGAACTCACGGCATTAGCAACCATCTCTACAACTACAACACTACCATGTGATGCAGCCAAATGGAGTGGTGTCTGGTAAAAAAATACGACATTATTGACGCAAGAAGAGTAGATATACAGTATAAAATTCAAGAAATTTAATTTTTATGGGAAAAATTTGCAGAGATCGTTTTTACGATGAAAGATGATAAATATACTTAAGTAATCCATAAAATAAAATATTCATTGAATGCTTATTTTATTTGCTAAAAATCAAGTGAACCTGATCGAAATTATCCTTTGCATTCGGGTCAGCTCCTTCATTTATAAGAATTCTGGTTATATCTCTACAACCTATGTAGAGTATTGCCATCAGTAATATATTATTACGGATATCTTGCACATTTCAGATACTGCAAGAAATTAGTAAATTTCTAACTACTGGCACTAAATCAAAGTGTATAATCCCTCTTTTCTATGAGTTATAAGTTTCGATTACTATGCAACAAGTTTCTGGCTAATTCAAAGCAAAGTACTACAGTAATATTTCAATTTAATTTGTAGATAGGTATCATTAATACTTTTATCCATCGAAGCTAAACTTAAAGAGATCAGCTGATACAACCTTTGTGAGCCGCCCAATGTAAGGGCGTTTCACCATGTATATCCGTAAGGTCGATTGCAGCCCTTTTAGTAGTCAAATACGCTACCAACAGCGTATAATCATTCTGAACAGCAGTAATCAGTGGTGTTCGTCCATAACTGTCTTTGGCATTAATATCGGCACCAGCTTGAAACAACATTTCCACCGACAGTGTATGCCCATATGTGCACGCACAATGAATGGGCTTCACACTTAGTTTACTCATACTAGCACAATCAATATTAGCACCGAGATCAATTAAATATTGTACGACCTCTGAATGACCAGCGATGCACGCCCAATGCAACGCACTGTATCCATGCTGATCCAATTCACTGACTAAGTTGCCGTTACAACTACCATCGATTATACATTTACACATTTTCACATCCCTATTAATGATATAAAATTATTCAATCGAATCAATACGGTTTTTACAAACTCTGAACAATGTTATAAATAAAGAATTATTATTCTAAAAATTTCCTAGATTAATAAGAAATACTATAGTTTTATGCGCAAGATTATAGTATTTTATCGTTATCCCCAGTGCTGGAAGGGATCTTGCTATTGTCATTTAGGTGGTTATTTTACAGTAATTCGGTCAGTTTCTATCGGTGTTCATATCACCTATTCAATACTTCCTCTATCACATATCAGGGCATCACCCTTTAAAACTACTTGTAAGTCTACGCATGGTGCAGCGATTTTGATATGTGTACAGTATCGTAAAACTGTATGTGAATTTATGGAAAACAAGTACAATGGACTAGATGTCTAAGCCAAGGTAGCTATCCATGTACTTTAGTATAGCTTATAACGACGCAGATATAGTACATTAATAGTCTATTCATTCATTCCTTATCAATCAATAATTCATAGTACAAATTATAGAATTTTGTTTCCACAGTAAACCCTCTCGACTGTCGAGCATACCCATCCTCGAAGAAGAAAATTGTCCAGTACAGCATTTGTTGACTATAGACATCGATGATTATGCTAAAGATCGACAATGATTTACCCGTTTTTTACAGCTTTAATGAGCTGTAGAAGGAGTGAGTTCGATTCTGGATTTGAAGACATGAGTTTAGAAAGTTTCGTTGGTTAGTCTATTTAGGGATGGGTAATTTACATCTGCATTCATTCTGGCTTTGCCAAGTAGAGTTTGTTATGCAAAAACAAGAAACACAACGTTGCCCACACAGAAGGTGTGGTCCATGTACCGTACCGTATCGTGCCGTACCGTACCGTGCGCAACCAAACATACAGTACTGTAGATGCTATCGTTCGAGACATTTCTGAATATCAAGTTAAAATCTATAGGAGTGTACAGTACAGTGTACAGTACAATCCAGTCAGTAATTATTATTATTTTTACACTACTGTACTGTACTGTTAGTCCAGTCCAGTCCAGTCCAGGTACTGAACTTTTATGAGGCCTACAGTACTTACTACATACAGTATCGTACTGTACTGTACAGTACTACTATTTACTGTACTGTACACTGTACAGTACAGTACTGTAATCGGTTCGTACAGTGTAAAGGTCTTGATGGTATGGGAAGTACTTGTACAGTACGGTACGGTACGGTATGGCACGGAGCGGTACGGCACGAGTATATGGTACCGTACACCGGTACACGGGTACAGTACAGTATCTAGCAGTTCATACCTCTGTGGTAAAAGTACTGTTTTGCCTTCGATCTGTCGTGTCAACGTCTTGAAGGTGAAGGTGGATCAATAGTGAACGAACAGAATGAATTACTATGGAATGAATGTCTTGAAAGGTGGCGGCTAATTCAAATGCTTAACCATTCAACCACCCATAAACTTACAGTACAGTACTGTACTGTAGTGTACGACGTACTGTACAGTTAGTACTGTACAGTACTGTACTGAAAACAAAAACCGTTACAACTCTTTCGTAAGAAATCATCAGCAGTTACTCGCTTGCCATTACGTAAATAACGCAAACGTAAATATCATCTCTTCATCATTTCAACTTGATAAGCTGAAATTTCTATCGAGTGTCTTCGTTATTTATTACTGATTGATTTGTTCATACAAGGAACCACTGGCAAGAATTACTGCGTTGGTTATTACGGATTGATTTGTTCATACTAGGAACCACTGGCAAGCATTACTGCGTTGGTTATGACTTCTACCAAAGCAATAGAGGAAAATTTTCCAGTCCATTTTACTATGCACAGTTATGTTGCAAGGTTGCATACTTTCCAAAATTGGCCCTTCAAAAGGAAATCCAAATGTGTAGCAGAAAAAATGGCTAAAGCAGGATTTTATCATACGCCAACTTCGGATTATCCAGATTGTGTGACTTGCTTTGCTTGCATGAAGGAGCTCGACGGCTGGGAACAAAATGACGATCCTTTTCAAGAGCATGAAAAGCATTCCTCCAAGTGTCCGTTTATACAATTAGCAAAAGACGAAGATGATATGACGTTTGAAGAGGTTATAAAATTAGAAAATGCAAGGCAGATGTTGCGATTTGATCATGAGGTTGAATCTTACATCAGAAAGTTTGAAAGACAATGCAATGATGTGCTCGACGACTACTCATAAACTGTAGAAGCATCATTGATTTTGAAAAGGCCTTTTCTGATGTCGTTAATGTACTCTATTAAATTATATATTATAAAATTTGCAAAAATTTTGAACTCCAAGTAAAACTATTATTTGAAAATTGTAAGTGTATCTGTATACTGTACGAAATAGCGCTTAATATGGTGTTGACGCTGTTTGTAATTTTGATCTTGAAAGTATCTGCATTTTGTGGATAATGAAATAATTCTCGTCACAAAAGGTGATTACATGTACAAATCGCTCATCCAGTTTTAGGAAGAATTCATGCCGCTACCCAAAATTCGATCATGAAAATAAAAACATGTACGCGTATAGTCGTCTGTAGAAATATTATTGCGGGCAATTTTAGAACTTCTATACGATTTTAGATATGAGAGCTTGCTAATGCTTAAAATCTCATTTCCTTAATGACTTCATGATCTGATGTTCGCGTATTTAAGACAATAACAAGTTCCTCTTCAACTGTAGGAAACGACCCTTCGTATTTGGGATACTGTTAGCACTTTCTACAGTAAATGTTGTTAGTTGTACAGTACTCTACCTATGGACGTCGCTGGAGATATTTAAAATTTCTACTTTTGTCTTATTGTACTAGCTTACGCCTGATTATCACGAAAGGACAAGATATCACTTTGCAGCGTTCTACATCGCATTTCACTACTGTAAATGCTCCTTTCCGATCCTCCTGATTCAAGTTTCTAAAATTAGGAGAATCTAGCTCGTGATAATCTATTCTTTAATTGTTGTAGTTACAGCACATAGGAAACCTTAGGGACAGCTCACCGGATAAGTTGATCTACCTTTTATCAATTTCAGTAGTCTACTGTACTGTACGGTCGTTTATCGATTGCAGATGCTACCGTAGGCAATATCAACTTGTAAAACAGTTCAATCAGTTCTGAACTAACTCGAAGTTGCACAATGCCCGAAATAAAGTTCAAATATTCGAGAATTATTACCTTTATTTACATCATCCTATGCGGTGAATAGTGCCGCTTCAAGTGGTACTGTCATCTTTAAGATCTGCATTGCAAAGATGAGCAAAGTCCAACTTCAGGGATTAACCATAGCCTATCTACAGTATTACTAATTATTAGCATGACATAAGATCAATAGTTACGTGATGAGCGCGCTACTCAATCACATCTAGCAGTACTTGACGGCAATGTACAGCACAGTATGATATGTTGCTTGAATTTATTACTTAATGTTATGATCACTGGATCCTAGGGAGGTTAAGGATTCTTCACAGGCAATACAAGCACCCTTTTAATCATGGAAATAAGGACCTTTATTACTCCAAAGCACTAATATAGCTCCAGCTGCCTGTATAATCACAATTCCTGGTGGCATTGGCCAACAACTCGTTTTATAGTCTACTCACAATGCGCCATGACTTAATATGCTACATACAGTATAAAACTATATTATGCAATACTATTAGTATAGATCGTATTACGTTCCAGCAGATAACTGTCAGAATATAGCAGAAGGATTAGAAGTACGTATCATCTCATCACTAAATATACCATATACTACAGTATACCCCTGCTACTGGCCTGGTTATTCCATACTGTCGTTGGTAGCTGTACATTGTTTACATTCTAACTTTGAAAATAATGAATCATTTGAAAAAATTCAAAATGACAATCTTCCAACATGCCATGCCGTATGTCTTTCATGTATGCTTGCCTCTCTTTGTTAGTTATCAGCTAGCGAGTAGTTGCCAATAAATTGATTCTTGCCTTAATTTTTTATTTCTTATTTGATTAACGTTGACTGAGTTATGAGTGAACCAATATTATACTGTCAGTTATTCGGTTGGAATTTTGAATAGGCAACGTTTCCCCCAAAATCTGTGCAAAACATGCGTCCACCTCTATGCAAGAATCGAGGATGAAGATGAATGCACGCTTAGCGTATAGTATAGAAATTTAGAATTGACAGAGACATTGTCCATTAATTAGATGAATTTGCACTTTGACAAAAGGTAGTCGAACTTTCTGCACGTCCAGTACGGTACATGAGCGTACAATGCATTGTAGGATTGGTTTCCAATCGACCAGTACAGTGTACAGTGTACAGTACAGTACTGGAAACAATCTGGCCGCTTTTTCGCCGCGGATGCAAACCTGTACCTGCTATATCGAGTCTCTTCCCATATCTATCATGTTCAACATGATAGTAGAGTACTGTAGAATAGATTATGAACATTACTACCACTTGATTGATCATTTTGCTGCAATACTGCACTCCTGTTGTTATAACATATCGCCATACTGTATCTATTTCTTGTAGCTCTATCATGAGACACAAATTCCACCAATAATATTCTACCGTCGTTTGCTTGAACCGCGCCCACCGACGGTTACGTACACAGTGCGTACTGTACAAGATTTTAATCCACTGTACTGTACACTGTACACTGCACACTATGAGCATACTGTACAGTGTACAGTACAGTACCGTGTACAGTGTACAGTGTACAGTACAAATTTTGAATCCAAGTTACAAGCATACTGTACAGTTTGTACAGTGTACACGAGAACTTGCTACTGATGCTGCAGTCGGCAGTCTGTAGATTTCTTGCCATTTTAGCATCGTTGACTTCTACTTTGATAGGCAAGACCACCATCGATCGATTAATAAGGTAGAAAAGAATATCCAGTTATTGGCCCTGTTGTCGTTGTTGTTTACTGAATGATACTTGGATGATTGAAGTCGTTCATTTTCAAGGTGATTATGGCGTCACGAATTAAGAAAGAGTAAGTTTGAACCCGTTGCCATCATGCTATACAGTATAGAACCCATTCTACTTGCAGCTACTGTACATGATCAACAACATATCAATACTTGATATTCTATTCGTATCCACTAAAAACGTCCAATTCTTCAGTAAAAATGACAATAGTCAAGAAAGATGATGTTACAATCATATCAGATAGGGATTCTATTTCGTCACTTGCAACCAGAATGGCTGCTAGTTAACCTTACAAGTACTGTCACTGGAGCGTTTCTTGCGCGCTCGTATTGTTTTTGTTGATTGACATTGTTGGATTGCATGAGCGCCTGGTGTCTTTTTCAACCTGATATACAGTACTGCGCTATACTTTACGACTCTATTTGGTCTGCCAATCCATTTCAATTGAATTAATCTGCTGCAACAACGGCATAGGTGCAAGTGAATCTTGCATACATTACTATTATTTATCCAGCGTTTTTGTGGAGACATGCATTCATCTGTAGGTAGATTTACACTGCAAAATGACTGCAATATTACTCGTAGAAGAGATGATCGTCTACTGTAATAGGCGAGCTCAAGCATACACTACTTTACGGTGTTGTCATACAGTAGTCTAGTTTACAATGTATTATTCATATTCAGTAGTACAGTATATTAGTCTTATGTACATCATTCAAATTCACTTTAGCTAAATTGGTGGACATACAGATAAATATCTTAGCACAGAAGTAGACAACGGTCTTCATCCGGTCATAGTTATAGCGATAGGGACTACAATTGTACAAGACAGTTTATACATACGTTGATGTAACTTTCAATTGAATTCCTGATTCGACGTGCTAGATGGGGCACACCATTATTTGACCCGTTTCTCTATCGTTAATTATAGTACTTTACTTAAACCAAAAATAGATAGTATTTAAAAAGAAGATACTGTTGTACACATTACTATGTTGATGTCAGTCCATCTCTACATTACAATGATGATTCTTAAATACTTGTACAGGCTACATTAATATCCATATGTGTCGACCCACTTGATACCGGATAATAACAGTTTCATATTACTCTTAGTCCGTAAGCCGTTACTGGTTGCAGTAGAAACAACTAAAAATAATATTTCTCGCTTGTACGATAGTTTACTCAACAGGGCAAATGGATATTTCAGCCAGTAAGATATTGTACTACTAATACATAATATTATAACTATTAATTTATCCCTTCCTGATTTCTTCTAACGTACAATCGATCACCTGTGTAGACAGTAACTGCGATCGGTAAAGTTACCAAATTGTTGAGAGATGTGCAGTGCTGAAAAGTACAGTACATAATATCGAATTTACTATTGGAATAGAATACAATTGCCGAGAAAAAATACATGCAATATTGACTGCGTCAACGTCTGTATTGTATGTCCGTGGAGAGTTCCTACATAGAATGCAATAGCTTATGCCCATAATGACTGTAAATTACGTAAATGGACAAATTAAATCATAGCATTGCTGCTGATAGCCTTCACTAGTAACCAACCGTTCAAATAAATGAACTATAGTCAATCAGTTGCAATGATGAGCTACTTCCGTTGCTATCAGCTGTTATCAATCACGCAATCATGTAGTCCACTTAATTCTTTGTCTCTGTATGTGCACAGACTGAACTCCGATTGCAGTTTTACCATATATTTTAGAATTGATGACTTACGTGTATTAATCGTTAATTGTCCGTCATAACCTGTATAGTGGCTCAATCACCAGTATTAGCATACGTTCTAGACGTCACGACTTATACAAAACATGATTTTATATACAATTTAGGCCACGAAAAGATTCAGCATCATCTTCAAATGCGCGCAAAGACTCTGCCGGCCGTGAAGCGATCAACAGGAGCACAGCTGACAACTTAAAGCTCTCCGACTATGCATGCATACCTGATCAACTAGGGCGAAAAGCCTCTCCAGTTCAGTATAGCGATAGTAATAATAGCAATACCAATAGTGCTCCTATTGTAACCAAGGAGAACAGAAGTTGGCATTCTTACCTTCAAAATGTACCTTTACCACCAACATCTCCATCTGTGTTATTGTCTGGTAGTAGCAGTAACACAGATATAGATAGTAATTTGACTTTTTTGGATTATTATTGCAATGTAAAATCCGTAAGCGACGAATCACCGGATTCGAATCAAAGGTATTTAAAGCTCATTACCAATCGTTATTGCCATTGCTGTATATACTCGTACTGTTGTTGCACAGTTGTAAAAGAACGCTAATTCTCGTAATACTTTCCCTATTTATACTTGTAGCCATCAACCAGCGCTGTGTACCAACGATTTAGAATCATCGCTACGAAATTTAGCTAATGATGGAAGTTCACAGCCGGAGCTAAACCATAGTGACTTAATGAGTGCCACAAATCATTCTGACCCTGATGTACGTTATTGATTTAAAATTATTCTCTTAATTCTTTGAACCAGCCGCAACCTTTCCAATATATTAATTGTTACTGACAGTGTCTACGTAAGTTTCATTGATGATAATGAAAATGAGGAATACCTTTTCTTTAGATGTCTTCTATAGTTTTACCTCCTTTTACCTCTCCATCGAAATCTTCAACGGTCTTCCAAGCTCAAGAGAGGTAAGTTGCAATAGGCTATGACTGAGATATTGAATGGGACTACTCAGTAATGCTTCAATGACTGTAATATTCCGCTTGTCAACTATCGTGAACATCTATAAGAATTTATTTAGATTAAAGTCCATTAATTGAGTTAATCATTTTTCAGGTATAAATTTTCTTTGGAAGCCCCAGCATCAATAGTGCATAAATGGACTGGTGACGCATTGACATATATCAATAAAGGTAATTACATTACCGTTGCTTATTTGACATGATCCCAGTTTCCATTTATTTTATTGAAGCGTTGGACAAAATGTTCACTACTGTAATAATAGGATAGTCCCTGTTATATTGTAGTACAGACAGTTGCGGTATGTATAAGTGAGTAGATACAAAACAGAGTAAGTATTATTGTTATTCGTGCATAGAAAAGGTAACAAATTCTTTATCATACTCTAATTACAACTCTATAAATACATTATGTAAATTATTGTTTAATCATATTATTGACATACGGTATTATAGAATTGCCAAGTTAATAGCTTGTTCTAGTAGTTATATTCTAGCTTATGCATTTCTCGTTTCAGGCCAGTTTTACAATATTAATTTTGAGGCTACACCTGAATCTAATCCCTCAACTACTCGTCTGAAGGTATTTTAGTAAATCAGTTATGCAAGTATCGTCACAAAAGTGTAATATACCAATATTTTCTTCACGATGTAGTCGATACTACATCTAGTCTTCAGAGAAGAAAAAGAGCCTGATAATGAAATGTCGCATTGGCAGTACTGGTATAGTCAGCAGCCCAATCCTAATCAACGTGCCTTTGATATAGGTTAGCATTTCTAAATATTGAAATTAAAAACTATAAAAATATTGTTTTCTCCAAATTCAATGTTAATATGACGTAACTTTTTTATTTCTTAGATCGCAAATCATGTCAAAATGTAGAAGAACGTATTGAAGAAATAGCTTATAATGCGGTTGCCTTCTATTGGAATCCTGCCGATAATGCTAAAGTAATCATAACAATCTATTGTTATCATTTTATCTTTTTCGACTAACGATATTAATATCAATTTCGTTATATAGATTGCTGCACGTATTAATTGTTTGAGCACAGACTTTTCTCCTCAAAAAGGCGTGAAGGTAATCATGTATTTTAAGTGAAAGCACCATTACAATGCCGTACGTTTGACACAAATTACTATTTTAGGGTATTCCTCTGCATTTGCAAATCGATACTTACGAAGATCTAACTTCTAGCGATGTAGAACCTGTGCACAGAGCCTTTTGCAAAGTCAAAATATTCAGAGACAAAGTAATGCTTACAACCAATGTAATGTAGTGCCTCTTTTAGATTCTCAATCTGCCTTTAAATTGTATCTGTAAATCTTATTAGGGTGCTGAAAGAAAGAATAAGGACGAGTCAAAGACTGCACGGAAGCGTATCCAAAAAATGCTTAAAGCACATAGTAAGTTACTACTCTTACTATATCATGAATTTAATTTGTTTTTAAAGACAGCGGATATTTGTATACTTTGCGTTTTATTTACTGACAGGTTCATTTTATGTAATAAACGAAATTCCTTTTCTTCAATTTAATTCTTTTAGCTCAGAGTGTGGATGCATCGTCGGCGATTATGGAGAGTACGCCGTCATCTACATATCTAACCCCAACCACACCTTTAGGTCCGAAACCAGTATTGTTTATGCCATACATGAATATCGAAACTTCGAATCGACTGGTTGGTGTTCAATAGATCTTTTATCTCGCAGTGTTTACAAATTTTATGATGACTAAGACATAGGTATTAAAGAAACAGCTTGTCTTTCAGCGCCTAGAAAACGTTAATAATACGCCTACTGGATCAAGTAATCCTTCATCCTCATTTTTTACGACAGTTAGGTACAAAAATATCTTCTTTTGTATCACTAGTCTTTGTCTAGTATCAATGTCTTCATGATTTACTATTGCTTACATAGGGAGCGTGAGAATAAACGATCATTTACATATGCATTAGCAGTAACGAAGGTACCGTTAGAATTAATTCAATTCACTTTATTATCAAGTTATTTTCCAACTTACCCTTTAATAGATTATTCTGTGATATCAAGTGAAATAGTACTGTAAGGCACCTTTAACGTGTTCACTTATTACTTTTCGATCGATTTCGATAGGATGTATTAGCTGATCTAGAAGTTGCAACACCTGTAGTAAAAACACCGCGTGTTGCGCGACCGATTCCGCCAGGTTTTGTAGTTTGTGTAATTTTTTTGTACGCCAGAATGTGTATCATGGTTTCGATTAAAGTAACATACTATTGATCTTTGTTGATAGCTGTTACAATTTATGTCAAGAAGGAAGAAGAAACTGCATATCATGCGCTAATGCTGAAGAACTGCACTGTAGCAGAACTAGTCGATTGTGTATGTGAATTTTGACTATTGAATGATGGGCTAAGTCCAGGCCAATAATACTGTAATTAAGAAACTTATTACCATGATTTATTTCAGCTTGCCAAAAAATACGGTGTACGAACTGATATGATAACGGGTGTTTACAAGCGTACAAAAAAGGGGTACTATAGGCTTACTTTTTTTTGTTAGCGTTTATTTCATTGGTATTATGCAGTACTGTACTAAAAAGTTGTTATCTTGGTTAGGATTCTTGTAAATATGGACGATCAAATCGTAGAGCATTTTCAAGATGAAGATGACTTTGAAATACAGCTTAATTTTGACAATCAAACGGGACATTTCGATCTAATCTTAAAAATTACGTAGCTATTGCATATAGTTTAGTACTAACTATATTCGTATATTTATTTTGTACATGTGCAAAGTGCGTACACCTCGAGTCATTATTTCTTTTTGACCTTGAATTCAGATGCTTCATTTAAAAATCGGAAAATGTATCAAAAACTCTTATTTAGAGATCATTGTAAATGCATAAAGGTATTGCTAGAGTCCTGTCGTGAAACTTTGCTTCGTAATAGAAAGCTATTTATTTCAGTAACTTAACGTCTAGTTATGCTGTATTTATAAGGCTGTAACACTGTTTCCAAAGCCTCTATTTTAATTTCTTTTAATTATGACTTGCCAAAAATGAAAGTGTATTACCGTTCTATGAATTTCGCACCTGTTAACAGTGGCGCTTAATAGCTAGCGAATTATCTGTATATGAAATATGCCATGTTGGATTTAATAGCAAATAGGTATAAGCCCGTCAAGAAGGGACTTTCTCCAATTATGAAATGCTGTAGTCTGACGCGTTGATTACGGTAATTACTCTATCGTATTATATATTATAGCTATATTGTTGTTCGCTTTTCTAATTATAAGACACTTTGCTGCTCAATGGTATTATTCTCCTCTTTACGGCTGTATATTGCAACTATGTTAAATCAAGAGATCAACTTTTTTTATCATCACTCTTCTATCACAGCAGTTAAATACCGTTATAGGCCATGTTTGGGATTTGTCATAGCATAGATCACTAGGCTAGTGATCTATGGTCGTAGCTACAAATAAATAGTTCGAGAAATATTTTTAGTGAATTTTTTCTCCGTGGCAATACTGCTTCGTTATACGTATATCCTAGACGATACAGTTTGTAGTGCCAATCACATGAGGATATTTCAGTAAACGTATTTCTATAAATGTTAGTCAAACAACAGTCAGAAAGTGCATTGTAGTCAGGGAGTGAAGTTACAAAGCTGCAGGTAGAAACCTGCTAACTTAACTTATTAGGATACCAGTGTAAGTGCAATTTTTCGATATTCGTTGAATAGCATTTTGGGAATTAATCATAACAATAGTTGTAATCTAGAGAACGGACTGGGTTTGCAATGTATATATTTTATGATTGAAGATTGTGTAGACTGCATTGCAGTTTCCATGACCATAGCAAGATGGGTCATTTCTTGAATCGAGGTTGTCTTGATTGCTGGTTCTAATTGAAGCTCTAGTAGGGACTAATAAAATCTCTCTCTACCATCTATAAATATAGTCAGGGATCCACTCCTGACCAGTGTTGCATGGGTATAGCGTATTGATTGATTTATTCTTGACTTTCTACTACTGGAAATGCATGCTGATGCAATACTACAACATATCATTGTCCCACTTCGAGCCATAGCAACAGTTCCACACAGTTTACTTATTTGATGGCTGTGATGACAAAAGCAGTATAAAATTATTCATCAGATTCAATTTCTAGCATTTCTAACCTAGACTAATAGACTAAATTTGCAATGGATATGATTAGAGATGGAATAGACTGCCTTGCTGTTACCACAACCATGGCAAATTAGCAAGAATTGGATCCTACTAGCAGTGGTAAACCTCCCTCAGGTCCTTATGGGATGCTTATGATTAATTAAGCCACCTGACTTCGTGCTGATGCAACACTACAACATACAGTCCCATACGGTAAGTCAAGATCGTAGTAAACGCTAGCCGATGAGCGCAAATAGTGCAGTTTGTTATTCTCCTGGATAGTGCGTTACCAATTACTACTGTACCCTACCAGCCCACTCCCACTCGCTAATAATAATAATAATAATTTCCACCAGTGGAAACTACTGCAGAGCTGCCAGCCTGCCACCCAATCTCGAAATTAATTATTACAATATCTTGGACTGGCATTTACTGTACTGTAGGCTCTGAGCAGTCTATATAATTTACTCTTTTTCTTGGCCTCTCCCTTGTATCTCCAATTAGTCTATTTGGAGCTGTACATTGCATCAGCTTTTCAAGCCATAAGTGACGATTGAATATAGGAAAAGAAAGCAACAACAACGCCATGGCTTCCCCAAATGATCAACCGATCGATTGCAATACCGGAGATGAAATGTTAGATCAAAAGATTAAGGAATGGCTACGTTATGATCAGGTAGGATAGTGGAATAGCAGCAACATCGAGTACGCGATCGACTGCAATATCCAAGGGCGCTCTGAACGTACAAGCTTACAAAATGAAATTGAATGTTAACGTGCCTACACCAAGTACGCCCGAAGGATGGCGTACTATCAAATACTTGCTTATATTAATTAATTTAAAAAAAGTGAAAGCGTTGGTCTTGCTATTTCTCATCGATTCAATAACAACAGGCTATGGGGATAGCATGATCATACTAGTGATGGATAGACTGTAGTAGAGAGCTGTTTATCAATCCAATGCTATCATGCCTACACCAGGCACACCCAAACTATGGCGTACCATGAAATATTTGCTTAATAAAAAAATCAAAGCATTGGTCTTGCTATTTTTCATCGATTCAATAACAACAGGCTATGGGGATAACATGATCATACTAGTGATGGATAGACTGTAGTAGAGGAGCGGATGATGAATCAGTCAATGCTTTGCCAATGTTGGGGTAAAGGTGCATGTTTCATCAGTAACATCAATTCGGGCCTTGTCGACTGGCGTGACGATGTAATCTCCCTGACCAGCTTGCAAGGCTAGATGGCTGTACTAATATCGTACAACAATCTGCAAGCCATTCGATTTCTTTTTTCCTACCCTATTTGTAAGGTACAGCTCGTCCTACATTGTAATGGAATATTGTAATAGCAGCGTAAAAGTTGATTTTCTGCTCTTCACCAATGTATTACTAGTTGAAATGATTGGTAAAACTTATTGTACAGCAAACATGGCAACTCGTATCAAATGGCCAGTATGGCCAGGAAACCGCTTGTTGCATCGACAGTCAAGTTGAAGGTGGATCTCTTAAATAATCGTTATGTGGATAGCAACGAGAACGTTCAATTTGACTATCCTTCCTCTCTAGCTGTACTGTAGGCTCCAAATCGGTCATGACTTTGCTAAATTTTTTACCCACATCAAGTACAAGATGTCGTTTTCCATTTCAAAATGGACGAGGCGTACTACTATACGGATGATTGATTGTCATATCTTTCTGCGTCGATGAGAAATCTAACTTAGACTACTCAATGTATTTAGTATAGTCCATTGCCGATTTCGACATTCGTCATTTTATGCATGTCCAATCGGTTGATGAAAAGAGAATGCATAACTTAACTCTTGCTATCGATGGATAGCGCAGTCTGATCAACACGGTCAGCGAGATCCGAGTTGATGAAAAAGGATCTTCTTGTCGTGATAGTTTCATGTTATTAATATTGTTACTGTATGGGCCATACTATTCTTGGGTAGGCCTGGTGTGTACTATAGTATGGCTAAAAATCTCCATTTCAACAACAGCTAAGCAGATATTAAAGATGAAAGTTGTCTGTATCATTCAAAGCGACTTTTTCAACTGCAGACTATGGAGTTTGTTCATCACTTACCTACGACAAACAACTAAAACAGAAATCATAGCTTGATAAACTGTCATCATCGTACTCTGTATCGATATTTAGCACAAGCCCTTAAACTACGATTACTGATAGGCTATACTCGATCCATTCCTCTTGCTGGCTTAAAACCCAAAAAGTGTTTGTTATTAAATACTGTACTGTCCTGTAAAGAATACAAAATGGCGCATCTATGAAGTAGTTTCATTCTACGTTATTTGCTTAACCTCATCACCGTTTTCAATAGTTTCGTCAAAGTTTGCAAGTAAAAGTATGCATCAAGAGATGAAGTAATATGCATACCAATTGACATGGACAAATTTATTCCTTAACTTGACTTTTGATCGCAATTTATAACAGTTTTGATAGATAGTCGATAATGAATAATTATAATTGAATTGAATATTGTAGATAATAATCTACTCAACCCTTAACCCTCCATTGTACAACTCAAATATGATACCTACCAAATCATCGTAAACAAGAATTTCAATTGGTCGCTTTATTTTCTATCTTGAGCAATTCTCTCTTTATATTTGATTGGCAGCAGCATTTCTTCGGATTTCCCAACCGTAAAAGTACAATGTTGAATTGACTATTGGTTATCAAGCCGAATTAGTCATTGTTTATTTCTACATCGACTAAATTACTCTATAGATTACGCTATAAACTGTTGTTGTCTATTTGATGGGTTATTGCATGTTTCTTCGACACCGCTGGCAAAGACTTGTTCAACCATTTCTTTACACCGAATTTGTAGATGTTATTTCAACATCCACTGATCGATGGAGAGTCACAAACTAATAAAATGGGAACTTTGGTAGTCGATGGTAGAGTAGATGTAGCTTCCTAAAGTACCAACCCTTTTCATGATGTTGAGCTTATGCTGATCCTACAGGGACTTCAATATGCAGTCAATTGAGAGTGGACAAGCCTACGTTTTCCATTTCTCGCGAATCCTTTTCCCAACTGTTGCTTAGAGTTGATGATGTCGGCTCTGCGACATGATTGACAAACAGTGTAATTCCATTTCATTTTGCTGAGTTTGTATAAATCTTATTTCAATTCTCAGAAATTTAGGAAAAGACGAATCTATATTTTGCATTTCTAGCCGATCATCTTGCACATAGGGCCTTCTAATAGAAAATCTTAAAAAATCCTTGCATATAATCGGAAATTATACTTTACTAGAACTTCTATAACATTTTGAGTTGGTAATATTGATACGCCTATGAATGAATGAATTAGTTGTCATCAACGGTTGAAAATTTCTATGGGAGCTGCTAATTGGAATAGTTTGGTGAAAGATCTGCTACGGTCGAGTAAAATATTCCTGTGATGAAAAATAAGCCACCCTCCTGGTCATGCTGTTAAGTATATTATTTAGCAATCATTTAACAATAATTGCTAATTAATGCTTCATGGCTGCCTTTTGCTCTTATATACGTATAAGGCATATAATGCTAGGGGGCAACTCTAACTTATTCCAACGTAGGCTATTTGTTCAATTATGGGTGGTGTTATTTGCAGTTGGCCTCAATGATCTCGTTCTACCTCTTGCCATTATTAATTTATAGGTTTCTTTCGCTAACACACTATCTCCAAAAATAATCGTTTGCTACTCTTACTTTGTCGTTCAATTAATCGACTTACTTCAGTTCACTACTGTAGTAGTTGTTTAATAATGGCTAAAAAGAAATAGAACAGCTCCTACAATGGATACTTTCATCCTAAATCATTTAGTTACTGCTGTACATCGGTGATAAAGTTATAATCGAGAAAATTGTTACTTGGTCAATGAAATACCACATAGAAGAAACCTTGATAATAAAAATTAGAATAATAATTAATCAATATTTATGCAAGAACATAAACATAATCAATCATCATTGTACTAATGATTCTATTTGATTTGATTTGTAGAATGTTAAAACCCGGACTGAAATTTTAAATTTACTGCAAGACAAACAGTATGACGAATTAAAAGGAAGATTGATGAATAGATTAAGTTTTGGAACCGCTGGTAAAAGATAGAATAGCTAAGAATCGAATAGCCGATATCAATAGATTCTATTTTAGATGCTGTTATCGCGCTTGAAGTTGGATGCAAGTATTTTGCATGATAGCTGAATAAAGATTGATATTGTTTTATTAGGTCTAAGAGCTAAAATGGGCGCAGGCTATAATCGTTTAAATGACTTAACAATTATTCAGAGCACGCAGGTACAAGTCTACTCGAACAATCTATGTTACGCAATAAGTGTTATGCTACGTTTACGCTGTTAGTTATGCGTATATTGTATCTACCTAATAAATCTTGCCCTTATCGATTTTATCCATTTAAATGTTATAATAGGGGTTCTGCCGATATTTACAGCAAAGCTTTCCTGAAATTAAGGAAGGTGGTGTTGTAATTGGTTTCGATGCACGATATAATAGTCACCGGTATGAATCGATGCCATATCTAATTCTGTATTTATGAGATTATGTCGAAATTGATTGATAGCTTTCAATAGTTGTATGCCATTAATGCAATAGACTGATAATATACGAATAATCAACTACCTATATTCAATCGTAATTCTGACATTGAATAGGTTTGCTCAATTAACTGCTGGAATATTCCGTCATCAAGGGATACGTACTTACCTTTTTTCAAAGATAGTTCCTACACCTTTCGTTGTAAGTTTATTGTAAACCATGTCTAGCGTTGCACTAGATAAATTTTAATAGGCTTCAACGATAGATATATGGCATACGATAGGTCCTGTTCATCTTGACCTGATTACATTCTATATTCCGATAGGCCTTTGGAGTTCGTTATTTGAAGTGTTGTGCGGGAATCATGATTACTGCATCTCATAATCCGAAGGAAGACAATGGTTACAAGGTTTATTGGAACAACGGTGCTCAAATTATTCCACCACATGATGTCAATATAAAAAATTTAATTACTAATAATATGGAACCGTGGGCTGATTCATGGGATACCGAAATTGTTAATTCAGCTATCGATCCATATGACGAAATATATCAGGAATACTTTTCTATAATCAAGAAGCGATTTCATTACGGGTTAGAATCAGCGATTATTGATATTTTTATTGTCAGTTAATCCTACTAACGTTATATGCTGTATAAGTTTTAAAGTTGATTTTAAAATTTTTACTTTTATGCTTGTATTGATATCTCAAGAGCAAATGCTACATCGGAAAGTAAAATAGGAATTGTTTATAGTGCTATGCATGGCGTTGGTTGTAAATTTTCAAAAGAGTCATTCCGAGCATTTTCTCTTCCTGACTTTCATGAAGTAAAAGAACAGGTTGATACTTGAATATAATTTATTTATTTTTATTGTATAAAAATTTTTCGATCGAATTCTATTTAAAGATGCACACAATACCTCCCTCCTCGACTTACGATAGTTTTAGCACTAAACATAAATGATACAAAGTGCACAGAGCGTAAACTCTTTGTTGTGCTCTTCTGATTGCATTATGTTAAAACCAAGTGCTATATCTGACGTTATTGTATGACTTATTTTAAAATCGAAACAAAATTAATCTTTATCTTACAGTGCGAACCGGATCCGGAATTTCCAACAGTTAAATACCCCAATCCTGAAGAAGGACGAGGTGCATTGGTAAGATATGAAAGGCACAGTCAAACATTCCATAGAATAACTTGATAGTAGGATTAACTTCTAACATTGTCACGTTTGGAAAAATAGATTTTTCTAGTATGGCAATATGAATTGTGTTTGTATTGCTCTAACTAGCGGATTGTCGTCTGACTTGATTATAATATATCTAGGAATTATCAATAAAAACCGCCAAAGAAAAGAACTGTACTATTATCCTTGCCAACGATCCGGATGCTGATAGGTTGGCAGTAGCCGAACAACAATCAGAGTAAGAACTCGCAAATATTCAATGTATTTTTAAAAATTTTTGTAATGAATGTTGCTTATTAACTGTTGAAATAAATTAAATGTTTTCATTACCAGTGGAACTTGGAAGATCTTGAGCGGCAACGAAATCGGTGCCTTACTTGGCTGGTGGTCTTATTACACTTTTAAGCAAAGTGATCATAGCAAAACCTTTCAAGGTGATTATAACAAGAAATAAATAAAATTACACATGATACGTAGCTGTAAAATTGAAGAAAACATACTAAGCACTCTCTTATTGATATTATTTAACAGATTCCAATGTATACATGTTGTCTAGCACCGTCTCATCCACTATATTAGGTGCTATTGCATTAGTTGAAGGCATTAACTTTGAGGTATCGTCACATAACTCTCTGTCTTGACCTTAGGTGAGATTAATATTATGTTGCTGATAAACTTCTTTGTGTGCTGTAGGACACATTAACAGGATTTAAATGGATGGGAAATCGAAGTGATCAACTTATGCAGGACGGGAAAAGGGTTTTATTTGCCTTTGAGGAAGCTATTGGTAATAAAAATCATTATTTATGAGTGTTATGAAACTTATTAAGGTATTGTATATAATTCGGTATTTTCTCCTCAACCTTTATTTAGGATTTATGTGTGATACATTTGTTTTGGATAAAGACGGAGTGCATGCAGCTGCTGTAGTAGGTGATATGGCTAGATACTTGGCAGATAATGGATTGACTATCAACGATCAACTAGAAAGAATTTGGGAAAGGTAACAGTAGAGATGCCAGTTGAACTGACTGACGCTTGAAACTAATGCAGTCTATTCTTGTTCGTTTTTGGATATTAATGAATCCAGATATGGACGCCATGTTGCTGTTACTAGTTATTTCTTATGCTATTCACAACCGACAATCGAAAAAATTTTTTCGCGCTTGCGAAATTACGATGGAGACAACAAGGTTAGATCTAGTAACAGGCTGTTAGTATATAAGAAATATTATGCCATTCCTGCCAATAACTTCAAATTGTTATAAATGCAGTTGCGATAAAAATAATGTTGTCTTATTCATGGTTAAATTGAAAATGTAGTATCCAGCTGCCTGTGGCTCGTTTAAAATTAAATATGTAAGAGATTTAACGACTGGATATGACAGTAGTCAACCTGACCTCAAAGCGGTATGTGCTGTATTATCAACCTAAAATTTATGATTGCAAAGGCGTTATCTTAATTTCTTATTTCCTATTGATATGCATGGAACAGTTACTACCTTCTAGCGCATCATCACAAATGATTACATTCTCATTTGAGAATGGCTGTATCGCAACACTTAGAACTAGTGGCACGGAACCAAAGCTAAAATATTACGTTGAATTGAAATCACAACCAGGCGTCAAGTTAGTTATTATTACAAGATTTAATTTATTTTCAAAAAGTGTAAGTATTAATTAATACGGCTACCATATACTTTGTAGGGTTTCTGAAGAAGATGTGAAGGCATTGTTAGCGGATATTATATCAGCTCTAGTAGACAACTTTTTGCAACCGGAACTAAACGGTCTCATTGCTAGAGAGTAATATATATTATAACCTGGATTTGATGTTATCATGGCAATACATTGCATTAAAAGTAGATCATTATGTTTCGAACTTTATTGATGATTAAGAAAGCTCTTGAATTGGTGATTTTCTATCTTAATTCTACTAACATTTCGTAGACCAAATGTTGTAATGCTGTTTTACTGTGGAGCAGATACATATTTCATTCATTTTTTTCATGTACTGGTATTGTTACTTACCTATCATGTATTGTACTATACTAATACGATAACTGTCTAACAAAATATCAACTACTAGAACTAGGTGATTGAATTGGATGTAAAAGTTGCATATGCATTATTATACAACCATGCTTTGTCTTCTACTTGGTGGTATTGAATGTATCGAATTGACAGGTGGAAAATTTTTGGCTCGAGCTTGACAATAGTTGATAATTATAATTAGTCATTGAGTATTTGATATTATATTATAAATGATTGTAGAATCAACAAGCTTTGCATTGCGGGATATCTCGATTATCGTACTTGTTACTTGTATCTTATCAAGAGCTGCTGGTTATATTTTCATAATAAGTAATATACCAGAATTCAAAGGCGTCACTTCGATATACAAGTAAAATAATCCTCGTGCTGTAGCTACAGAGATCATGATATAACCACTTTGAAGTTATAATCATTTGGCTCTCGTTATGCATCGACTTTAGTTTATTATTTTTACCTTTCGCTTGAGCATAGAAAATGATAAATCTAGAATAATAATCAACCTAACTATTATTAAATATACATCGATTCTACTTTAAATTGGATTGCTTGATCTGTCCATTAGTAGTTAATGTCACGATTGTAAAGTTGTTGATAAAGAATGTTATTGTCATTTCTTTCTTACGGTTCATTAGGCTCAATTGATACCGATATATTCTCTCTATAAACGACAATTATTATCAGTAGAACAGCTACTAGGCCTACTTTAAGATCAGCCTGGGAACTAGATTGCATGTGAGTTACTATTCCTTCAATTCCATCTGTTGGTATATTAAATCTACAGACCACAATCAACCAAGAATCAACGTATTATTTTAATAACACTAGGTGATTTGTCCTACTTTTCAACAGTTCGAATTTAATGCGATATTGTTATAAGCACAACTTTATTTAATAGTTAGCACCAAAATACTATCTACTTCATTGCATGCAAGTCCTTGCTGTATTAAGAATACACATCTTCTCTTGTTATCTTTAAATTTGTACATATTAGTCAGCAACATACCCTATACGAGTATGTTGTATGTCTGGTATGTAGATTTTAATTCACTGCAGGTTAATGAGTGTAAGATGGAAAGCAATCACTGTTCTACATTCGTACAGTAAAAGTTTCATCGCGTGGAGAGAGAATCGATTATAAGTAGTAGTATTTCTGGCTGTAATTAGCCTGCAAGTAGTAGTGTATCATCAGCTAAAGATGGAATTTAGTGAATAGTTATTCGATTAGAATACAGTCAGGCTAGTAAGAATCATCATGGACAGTATTCGAGAATGCTTGTGGATTTCGATATCCGACAACACATACATGCAGTGTTATTAGATGCTGTAGCCAATTTACTTGCTCAGTAGGTCAGATATCACTAAAAGAGTCCATGTACACGAGGACAGCAAGGCATGAACTACTGTAGTAGAAGACAACCTAGAAGGAATCTTCTTGTAGTCTATGAATAAACGATGCCCCGTAATCGTGTTTTTAATTTATAGACAGTTTTTATTGATTTCACCTTGCATATCTGCTAGTGCAATATCCATTATGGGGCTGGCTATATCCGTCATTGATAAAGTAAGTTTTCAATATCTAGGTGTAGTAAGTTCAATAAATGTGTACCGGAAGTCAACACTCGCCAATCTAACTATGCATGCAAGCATGTCAAGACAACATGGTTCAATTAGATCATTTTACAGTATGTTTTTATTATTTTTATAATCCTCCTTACGAGAATGGCCGTATTTTATCGATCCGAACAATATACTAAATGTCCCATAAGTTTGTTGTGATGTCGTCCAAACTACCAAAAGACAGTCCAATGTTTTGGATGAAATATATTTACATTTCATTTTGAACCATCCTTCGCTGGCATAGGATTATCGGCATCCATCACAGACGTTATGGTCTTGATAATAATTTCTATATACCGCAGGCAACGTTACACTACACATTTAGTTTTACACGTACTATAAAAATGGAGGATAGACAGCGTTGATATACAGTATTCTATTCAAAGCGTACTCTAATTCAACGCTGCATTTTTACAATGTCAAACGATGTGATTATGGACTTTTAGTAAGAAATTAAGGCCGATTTTACCCTGTACAGCGAAGATACTAGCCCTGTCAAGGAAAGTGGTAAAATAGCATAAGCAATGCATGTCCACCATTCCATGTAGGCCGTTTACCAATGTACTGTACATATTAAAAGAGAAATACTCTACAAAAGCATACGCTAGCATGTTACTGAATGCATGGGCTTGCATATAAAATACTGATTCTAAATTTACGATTACTTTTGAAGTTTTATGCATGATACAACGATTGAAGTGATGCAATTTTATTATACTAGAATGATCGGATTGTGGAGTAGTCTTTATAATACTAGCTAGCAATGATTCAATTTGTAACGAAGAGTAGCGATGTTGAGATGGAATTGGATTCGCTGACGGCTGATAGAAAAATCAATTATCCATCTCGCCAAGGGCATCCATGTTGGAATAGTGTGGTGTTTTCACCGCGTCCTCTATACCCATTTCCTTGCATTGATGACCACGCAGTAGAATAAAGTAAATGGCATTAAATCCAAGGTGATGGTCGATGTCTTGCCATGATAAAATCGACTCTTTTCTTGGATTCTCGTAGCAATATTCGATTGCATTTTTCATGCTCTAATCGTCGTCGTTTAACGGTGGGTTTTTCATAATATCGTTTTCTCTCTACTTTTTGCGGTATCCATTCTCTGTTTAATATCCTTTGCAATGATTTATAGCCTGCCTCAATAGCGTTATTTCGAACAAAAACAGTCCTAGCAAGGAATCCAGCGTGGGCTGGCATGGCCAATGGATTCTGATCTCCCTACGTGTCGTTATCAACTGCTTTGAAAGCGAATTGCAAGCGGAATTGCAAGCAGAATTGCGAGCAGAATTGAGGCAAAATCTGCAGGCAATATTGTCTTGGCAAGCGTGCTCTACCACCTTACTTTACTACGCTTTACAAGGCCCATGGACTATAGTGATCCAATATCAGTGGAGTCCATTTTGGGGTAGTCTATCTACAGTACTACAGTATACCAGTCTGTAACACCAGTTAATCTAAGCTCTGAAACCGTAGTCCTAGGCATGATATAACTGTTTGTGTCATTGCTATGCATAACCCTTAATTGACTGAAAAGAGTAGGGTATTGTATAATCACTATGACAAATACATACCACATTGGTGGTCTACACTCAAGATCCTTTTCAATCTACTGTACACTGTACTATAGTACTGTAGCAATCCGGGACTACTCAATTCGACTCCATCTAAAGATGGCGAATGTCAGTTAGGGAATGATAGCTTAAGGATGTTCTCCATCATTTATAAGTGGCAAGCTTTGACCTACTTAACTGCACAACCATCAAAAGATGGAGAATGTCAGTTAGGGAATGATAACTTAATAGCTTAAGGATCGTATGTTCTCCATCATTTATAAGTGGCAAAACTTTGACCTACTCAACTACACATTACACAACCATCAAAAGATGGAGAATGTCAGTTAGGGAATGGTAGCTTAAGGATCGTATGTTATCCATCATTTATAAGTGGCAAACTTTGACCTGCTCCACTCCACAACCATCAAAAGATTTGGCGAATGTCAGAGAATGATAGCTTAATAGCTTAACTAGGGAATGATAGCTTAAGGATCGTATGTTATTTATAAATGGCAAACTTTGACCTACTCAACTGCACAACCATCAAAAGATGGAGAATGTGAGTTAGGGAGTGATAGCTTAAGGATCGTATGTTATTCATCATTTATAAATGGCAAACTTTGACCTACTCAACAGCACAACCATCAAAAGATGGAGAATGTGAGTTAGGGAACGATAGCTTAAGGATCGTATGTTATTCATCATTTATGAATGGCAAACTTTGACCTACTCAACTCGACTCCATCAAAAGATGGAGAATGTGAGCTAGGGAATGATAGCTTAAGGATCGTATGTTCTCCATCATTTATAAATGGCAAACTTTGACCTACTCAACTCAACTCCATCAAAAGATGGAGAATGTGAGCTAGGGAATGATAGCTTACGGATCGTATGTTCTCCATCAAAAGATGGAGAATGTGAGCTAGGGAATGATAGCTTAATAGCTTAAGAATGGCAAACTTTGACCGGTTGTCGAGTAGAATTACCGGCGTATAGAATTACCATTTGGTCGGTGAACGTATAGGCTGACCGATTATTCTATACGATTGCCATTTTTTGACATTAACCATAACATATCCATCGATCAATAGCGAATCAAATAATATTAGCATAATTAATGGCCAAATAATATACAATGTCTATTTAAATTAATTAATGGCCAATGTTGATTGTTATGATGATGACCGGTATAATTGTTTCTGGCTATAGGAATATGGCAGTGCTATGCCATCCTAGCTATTGACTTTATTAGTAAAGGGCTTGTTCCAGCCTCTACGGTCATTATTTGCTGCCTATAAGCCGTGTTAAAGGTCATTCCTAGTGTCAATATCGATATCGCTTTGAATTCAAAGCACTAGATATAAAGTTAATACTGCGTTTGATTTAGTCAGATATACTGTATCGAAACGATTTACACACGAGATTAGAACTACAACATGAACTGGATACCTTCGACATCGCAGATACTACAACTTGTTCTAGTTGGTCTAGCTTGGTACTTGTACAAATCATGGATTAGACCTTATCGTCTGTTGAGGAAGTTAGGCCTGAAAGTTCCATTTCCTAAACCTATTGTTGGTAACCTAATGGATTATCACCCTGCCGTACAACATCTTGGTCAGTTAAAAAATCAAGAAAAATACGGTCGTGTTTATGGTGGTCTCTTTTTCTCTATACCTGCTATATGGGTGAGCGAACCCAATCTTTTAAAATCGGTTTGTATTAAGAATTTTTCTAATTTTTCCGATCGCTATTCTTTGGTAAATGGTATTGAGCCTTTTGGTGAAATGTTGCTCGAACTTAAAGGCACCGATTGGAAACGTATCCGGAATATCTTATTGCCTACGTTTAGTGCTTCAAAATTAAAGGCGATTATGCCCTTTATTGATAAAGCTGGAGATCGCCTAGTTGCAACGATACTGAAAGCAGAGCAAGACGGTCAATCGATCGATTTATGGAGAACTTGTGGTAAATTTACTATGGAAGTGATTCTAGCAACTGCATTCGGTATAGAATTCGAATCGAAAGAGCATGAAGAAAAGTTAACTAATGCTGCCAGAGGCCTGTTTGAAATTTCTCCTGGCCCCTTACAATTCTTACTGATATTTGCACCGTCCTTATTTCGTGTATTAGAACCGAAATTAGGAGGTCAATTTATGAATTCCACACATTATCTTGTGAAAACTTGTAAACAAGTAATCAAAGAAAGAAGAAGAAACATGGCCCAAGGTATAGCCTGTCGTAGAGATATTTTACAACAAATGTTGGAAGCTGGCGATAGCGACAAGTTAAACGATAAGGAGGTTGTTGCTCAAGCATTATTATTTCTTGGAGCAGGTTACGAAACTACAGCAAATGCACTAGCATTTGCAACCCACTCGTTAGCAACAAATCCTGAGATACAACAACGAGTCTTTGACGAAATAAGCGACAAATTGAGCGAAACTGATTCAGTAGATTACGATAGTGTAGGCGATTTACCGTATTTAGAAATGGTAATCGCTGAAACATTAAGAATGTATCCGCCTGTTTTCCATTTCAATCGCGATATAAAAGAAGATATGGAAATTGATGGTCTTCAAGTCTCAAAAGAGGCTATGATTGGCATCCCTGTTTACGCAATTCATCATGATCCTAAAATTTGGCCTGAACCAGAACAATTTAGACCGGAGCGATTTACATCCGAAGAGAAATCGAAACGTGATCCATGTACCTATCTTCCATTTGGTAATGGGCCACGCAATTGCATCGGAATGAGATTAGCCATGGTAGAAGTTAAATTAGCTATAGTTAAAATTTTACAAAAGGTAGAATTAATTGTAACTAAAGAGACGGATGTACCGATACAATTAAAATGCGGTACTACCTTGTCTCCCGCTAATGGTGTACACGTAGGCTTTAGGAAGAGATAGACAATTAGCATGTTAATGCTATCAGGCTATACTATTTAAGCGTTTGGCTGATGAAAACACCGTTGCAATTCTAGAAGACTTTAGTGTTGTATGTAGCATTTAAATTTATTTTTGCTACTCCATCGTTGTCTAGTTTTATAATATTGTAGCACCATCAATAAATTCGATACACATTTCTTGAGAGGTTAGACTATGAAGGTGCGTAGATTGCTTAACTCATATTACCATAGATATCATACATATATTATTGAAATTTTTTTCACCATCATTTTAAACTTCAACTTACCACTATATTAAATAGAAATCAACTTATTGTCAACTTGTTTTTTCATTTGATCCTTCTAACTAGCCTCTATCATTTATTTTTGCGAATCTACTGGCTAAATTTAGCATAGTTACTACCAATCGTAGTTTAAAGCTGAAATAGAGTGATAGTCAAGTATAATATAATTTTACTACACCGGCTATTGCAATATCATTCGGCTTTACACTTTGCCTTAGAACGTGCAAATTACTTGCATAGCTCTCTTGCATGAACAATGAGTTAGCCTACTGAGTATAAAGCTGAAATAGAGTGATAGTCAAGTATAATATAATTTTGCTACATCGGCTATTGCAATATCATTCGGCTTTGCATTTTGCCTTAAAACGTGCAAATTACTTGCATAGCTCTCTTGCATGAACAATGAGTTAGCCTACTGAGTATAAAGCTGAAATAGAGTGATGGCCAAGTATAATATAATTTTACTACATCGGCTATTGCAATATCATTCGGCTTTGCATTTTGCCTTAAAACGTGCAAATTACTTGCATAGCTCTCTTGCATGAACAATGAATTAGCCTACTGAGTATTATAGCAGTATTGCTCTGTGATGATCGTCGATAATGCCAGTACACATATCATTGTCATCACAAAATGACTTTAACCAAATTTTATCTTTATTGCCAATAAAATGAGTTATCAAAATACAATTTTTTCTTGCACAAACAAATTCTTATTGCGTCAGATAGTAATCTATCGCTAACGGTAAGCTGTCTGCAATTTAAAATACATATTTTCACTCAACAAAAACAGTACCACAGTTGGTAGTGCATTGGTTCTATCCAAAGTGTTGTGCGAGTGCTAAAAACATTGCAATCTTGGAAATTAGCGATAAAACTGACAGAGCATGAGAGTAAGCCAACAGGTATGATGAAGACTATTGGTGCTAACACCTGGTTTCTTTACTAAAAAAAAGTGGATACCTGAGACGTTATCTTGCTATGATTCATTTTACCTATAATGTTACTCTACTGCTACTGGACTTTACTAAGTATAAATAAGAAAATTTCAAACATCACCATGATCAATATTGAATCAAAAGAAAAGTGATAATCTGCTATTTTATAAATGCTATTCAGTTTATCTAATTTTACTAGCTAAATGTGACAAAAGTAGTATCTATTTTGCAATGTTACATGGGATCAACTGCTGGTGGTATATTTATTTTTTTCTGAGCATATAATTCTTCAGTTTTAGCCACGAACTGCAGAAAATCTGGTATAAGCAAGTTTGGCTTTTCCAAAGCAGCAAAATGGCCTCCGTCAGGCATAGTGTTGTAGGTAATAATTTGCTTGTATTGGTGGCGGACCCATCGACGAGGTGGCCTGGCCATTTCATACGGAAAATCAGCTATGCCTACAGGGAGTAGAACTTCGGCTCTGAAACAATGGATGGGTACTGTTAATTAGTAAAATATCTCTAGTTTAGCGCTTAACCTGTTCCTTTAAGTTATAGTAGTACAATGATTTCATCATCCTCTACTTGGATGACGGATCGATAGGATAAGCTAACTTACTTTCCTGCATCCATATCATTAACGAGACACTCTTTATAAAATCGCATCGAAGTCATAATACTCTGCGTTACCCAGTAGATCATGATATTGGTAATTAACTCGTCTCTTGTAAATTTCTCTTCCATGCAAGCCGTATAGTCTTCTTCGTAGGCGCAGCCAGACCAACGAACAAATTTTTCCAAGATCCACGCAGCTAATCCTATAGGAGAGTCGTTAAGTGCGAAGCCTGGTGTATCTGGTCTAGTACTTTGTATAATAAAGTAACTAGCTTCATGAACAAAATCCATTATGCGGGCTAAAACCGGTAGATGGCGCTTCCTTTCCTCTGGATCTAAAACGTAAGTAATGATCATGAATGCAAATGGATACTATGCTCATACATTATAGTAAAATAACTGATGACATAAGGGTACCCCCCGGAAGATTATATTGACTGCAAACACGACAGAAAGTAAAAATTGGAATAATATTCTATGCAATATAGAGCTATTTTCTTAGAAATTGAACTGCTATCTATGTGATGCCATGGATGGGTGTAGTAGATCGTAAGATGCCATAAAGAAATAGTTGTTCCTACCTGGAAACACCCAAGAAGGGAAAATACTGCCGACACCATAAGTATAAATTGGATTGGGGGCCATGGTGGTAACAAAATTAATGTGTATTCCACGACAGTGCCTACAGGTCATAAGACAATAAATAAGCAAAATGTAATTCTTGGTTAAGCTAGGGCATAAGTTCAACTATCGACCATGGTATTTTTGTTCTTTCTAACCTAGTGTCGATTTTTGCTATATCACTAGCTATAGCTGCACCCCAGTCGCCGCCTTGAACGTAATATTTTTCGTATCCTAGTCGATTTATCAGTTTAGCAAAGATGCTGGCGGTTTCGATAGGACCTAATCCTGATACTTCTGGTGCATCGGAAAAGCCAAAGCCAGGTAATGAAGGCGCAACAACAGTGTATCCTTGCTCGTTTAACATAGGTATCGCTTTGTGAAATTCGAAAACAGATCCAGGCCAACCATGAATTAATAAAACTACCTTGACCGGTAGAGAATTAGTTTGAGCATCACTTTTAGGCTTGGCATGGATAAAGTGGATATCGAGACCACTAATGTTGGTTTTAAATTGATCAAAGCTGTTGAGTATCTTTTCTTGTTTTCTCCAATCATACTCATTTTTCCAGTACTCGATGATAGGTAAGAGATATTGGCTCTGAGTGCCATAATCCCAACCAGGCATTGAACGATAATTGCGAATATTATTCAATCTCGCTTTTAAATCATCCAATACATCTTGCTCGACATAAACTGTGAATGGTCGAATACTTGTATCGAAATTGGCTAGTTCTGGTGGTGTTGCCGACCACCAAGGATTCTCCTTGGCCTTAATAATCACTACCTTTTCAGGCTTGAGCGATATATAAGCTATGGCGGCGGCTGTTGTACCGCCAATTAAGCCAGCAGCCCATTGCCACGGCGAGACAGAAGATAAAGTAGCTATCGTTTCACTCCCAACTAAACCAGTAGCCCATTCCCAAGTCTTCATCTTGCCAATAAAACGTAGTTAATTTGCTCTTCTTGTAGTCACTGCAGGGATATCTCAGTCTAGGCTGCTTAATTATGGCCCAATATCGATATACACTCGTTGTCGATGAAGATACTTGCTGAGTTGAAGTCTACCTAACAGCAATAACAACGTCTTAGCGCTAGGAAAGATTGCCGTAACAACGCCGTTGTCGTGGCCTAGCTAAAGATTAAGATGGAGTGAGCATACTTTACACTCAGTACAGTATGGGCTACGCCTTTCCAGATGATCTAGTTTGTGTTGTACTGTATGTGTACATAGTGTACATTTGCCAATAGAACCGATACTCATCGCAAACAGTTCGCTTACTGTGTATAATGTCGTCTATACAGTCTTTCCCTCTCTATACAGTACTATTATATTATCTCAATTATGTATATGTAGACTAAATGATTAATTTACGGGTATATATTATATACAGTCTCTCTCTCTCTCTATACAGTACAGTATATTATCTCACTTATATATATGTAGACTAAATGGTCAATTTACGGGTATATATTATAGGCAGTCTCTCTCTCTCTCTATACAGTACTGTTATATTATCTCAATTATGTACAGTATTATGTAGACTAAATGGTCAATTTACGGATATAGATTATATACAGTCTCTCTCTCTCTCTATACAGTACAGTACAGTACTGTTATATTATCTCAATTATGTATATGTAGACTAAATGATCAATTTACGGGTATATATTATATACAGTCTCTCTCTCTCTCTCTCTCTCACTATACAGTACAGTACTGTTATATTATCTCAATTATGTATATGTAGGCTAAATGGTCAATTTATGGGTATATCTTATATACAGTCTCTCTCTCCCTCTCTCTCTCTCTATACATTACTGCTATATTATCTTAATTATGTATATGTAGACTAAATGGCCAATTTACGGGTATAGATTATATACAGTCTCTCTCTCTCTCTCTATACAGTACTATTATATTATCTCAATTATGTGTATGTAGACTAAATGGTCAATTTACGAGATAGACTTGAAAAGTATTTAAGATTAGGGATTGAGTTCGGGTATATATTGTATATAGTCTCTCTCTCTCCATGCAGTACCATTGTATGATCTCAATTACATATACGTAGACTGAATGGTCAATTCACGGGATAGACTTGTAAAGTGTTTAAGATTAGCGTCAAGTTCAGGTATATATTGTGTACTGTACAGTCTCTCGCTCTCTTTGCAGTACGACAGTATTATATTATCTCAATTATGCATATGTATACTGAATGGTCAATTTATGGGATAAACTTGTAAAGTGTTTAAGATTAGGGTCGAGTTCAGTTATATATAGTATACAGTCTCCCTCTCTATATACAGTACAGTACGATTATATTATCTCAATTATGTATATGTAGACTAAATGGTCAATTTACGAGGTAGACTTGTGAAGTGTTTAAGATTATGGATCGAGTTCGGGTATATATTGTATACAGTGTCTCTCTCTATATACAGCACTATTATATTATCTCAATTATGTATATGTAGACCGAATGGTCAATTTACGAGGTAGACTTGTAAAGTGTTTAAGGTTAGGAGTCGAGTTCGGGGGCTAGTGGCGAATGGTAAGGTTAGACAAGGTTTTATTTTTAATCCTCAAAAAATTAAAAATATAGTCAAAACAATCCTAGAATTAACCATAACATATATGCATAGTAGTATATAATAAATATATATATACTGTATAAACATTACATAGATATTGTATAAATACTGTTTACTGCTTATTTATATATCAACATATCATAAACGTATACATTGATCGAATTATTATTGTAATGTAGTGCCGCTAGATCTGCAGTACCGCGTTTCAGTCAACAAGGCCATACCTCCAATAGCAGCAGATCCACGGGGTAACGATTTTGTTTTTTTGAAACTATGTATTAATCATTATTATAAGGTAAATACACAGGCATCGCCGTTGCAATCTTGAACTCGCTACTGCATAATTAGAGATTCTTTTCTCTACTGTAATTATACACGCCCTACATTCCGGGATAAGTTATCACTAAATCTGATTATAATACAATGACTAAACCCCAACGTTGGTTGGCCAATGCTCGATGGATTCATTAAATCTTCCAAAATGGTAGTATTATCTTTACTTATTACATTATATTATACACAGTTGTATCATGATCTAACTTTCTATCAGTCATCACTAAAACGTCCAAGTGAGCCCATGCTCGATATTCAAGGAATCTTCCAAATGGACAGTATTATCTTCACTTATTACATTATACTCTACGTATGACGATATAACATTCGAGTAGTTATTGGAAATGTCCCAAAGTTAGCTAATATTTGATTGATTCATTAGATCAACCAAATTGACCGTGTTATCCTTAATTCTCACGTCATGCTGTACGTACGGATAATGATCTAACTTTCTATCAGTTACAATTACTTTATAAATCTGCTAGCTTATGATGTAGTATCAGTAATTGAGATCATTACTACCATTGGCACTTTAAAGTCGTTGTAGACCAGATTGGAATGAAGTAGTTAAGGATAGAAGTGCTAGCATAATTGTTGCTACAATACAAAAAAAATATACCTATGACAGTATCTCAATATCAGTGGACCTTTATTGGCGTGCAAACATGTAAACCTTGAAAACGACTACTGTAATGGTTTTCAGCTAAGTCTTTATTGATACATATTGCTAGTCAGCTCGTCAATCTTCATAGACTACAAGGTTGTAATATTAACATGCCTAGTTCATATAGTTCTACGCGTATACCAAACGCTATCTAACTGTATGATCTATCCTAACACGATTATATGGCCATCTGAATATGCCGAGGTGTAGACAACTGCATAGTATACGGCTAACTAATACCATAACTAGCACCGCCATCAACTACGAGTATCATCAGTGATTGAATTAATAGACACGTACTAGTATCATATTTGTAAATATTCTAAGTATATCGACGAGTTTTGCAGTAATCAAGTAGCATGAATTAATATCAATCATAATGGGAGAAAACTGATCAGTTTGCTTGTGGTATTTCTATTTTGTCCTGCGCATATAGTTCTTCAGTTTTAGTCACGAAATTAATAAAATCTGGTACTAGCAAGTTTGGCCTTTCTAAAGCAGCAAAATGGCCTCCCTCAGGCATAGAGTTATACGTAATAACTTGCTTGAATAGGTGCTTAATCCATGAAAGAGGTGGCCGGACCAATTCATATGGAAAATCAGCTATACCTGTAGGGATTAAAACTTTCGCTCTGAAACAATGGATAAATTAATTTTGATGAGTAAAATATGGATAAGTTTTCATGAGTAAACATGAATGGTTTACAGCGTGATCTATTTTAATTAATAATGATTCATAAATTACTAAAGAATTTTTCAAGTATCACTTATTCATTTCATTATTTGTTATCATACGCTTAGATGACTAATGAGTCAGCTAAATTAACTTACTTTCTTGCTTCCATATCATTAGCAAAGTACTCTTTGTAGTATCTCATTGAAGTCGTTATACTCTGAGTTACCCAGTAAATCATGACATTAGTAATTAACTCATCTTTTGTAAATTTCTTTTCCATGCAGGCTGTATAGTCTTCTTCGAAGGCACAACCAGACCAACGAACAAATTTTTCCAAGATCCACGCAGCTAATCCTGTAGGAGAGTCATTAAGAGCAAATCCAGGTGTATCTGGTCTAGTACTTTGTATCATAAAGTAACTAGCTTCATGCAATAGATCCAAAGCACGATCTAGAACTGGCAGATGGCGCTTCCTTTCCTCTGGATCTATAACGTCAGAAAAGACCATAAATGCTCATGAATACTACGCTCATACATTTTGGTAAGATTACTGATTTATGCAAGGTACGAGTGATATGCATTTGCAACATGTGCAGTATCACATCAAGCAAAAAAGATCAGTATTATTGCATGCAGCCTAGAGTTATTTCCTTGGAAATTACAACTGTTATTTTATATCTCAATTTATGGATAGACGGTAGATGATAGCATCGAGAAATATCCATTTCAGGACTTTAAATTTAATAATCACTGTTAGTTGTTACCGGGAAACACCAAAGAAGGGAAAATACTGCCTACACCATAAGTATATATTGGATTGGGTGACTGTGCTACAATAAGATTAATGTGGATTCCACGACAGTGCCTAGGATATGACAATAGGTGACGAAATGAGCAAATTGCAACAGTTCCATGTTAAGCTGGAGTATTATATTTGGCTATCGAACTACAATATTCCTTTTTAACCTTGTGTCGATTTTTGCTATATCACTAGCTATAGCTGCACCCCAGTCGCCGCCTTGAACGTAATATTTTTCGTAACCTAATCGATTCATTAGTTTAGCAAAGATACTGGCAGTTTCGACAGGACCTAATCCTGATACTTCTGGTGCATCGGAGAAACCATAACCAGGTAATGAAGGCGCAACAACAGTGTATCCTTGCTTGGTTAACATAGGTATCGCTTTGTAAAATTCGAAAACAGATCCAGGCCAACCATGAATTAATAAAACTACCTTGACCGGTAGAGAATTAGTTTGAACATCACTTTTAGGCTTGGCATGGATAAAGTGGATATCGATACCATACATGTTGGTTTTAAAATGATCAAAGCTGTTGAGTATCTTTTCTTGTTTTCTCCAATCATACTCATTTTTCCAGTACTCGATGATAGGTAAGAGATATTGGCTCTGAGTGCCATAATCCCAACCAGGCATTGAACGATAAGTGCGAATATTATTCAATCTCGCTTTTAAATCATCCAATACGTTTTGCTCGACATGAACTTTAAATGGTCGAATACTTGTATCGTTATTGGCTTGCTGTGGTGGTGTTGCCGACCACCAAGGATTCTTCTTGGCCTTGACAATCACTTCCTTTTCAGGTTTGAGCATTACATAAGCTATGATGATGGCTGTTATACCAATGAAGCCAGCTATCAATGTCCGGGCCTTCATTTTCCAAACAAGATGTTATTAATTAGCTGATGCTATCGCTGCTTGTTTGTCCACTTGTTGCTGCGGTTGTGCACTGTCTAGGACGGTTTTACGTTGTACGTCGACAACTAGAAATCAAAGCAATAACCTAAATGAGTTTAACTCTAAACCAATTTCTCTCACTTTACTGTGATAATAGGATCAAATTGATACAATTATGGCTTTCAACTTCGCTAATCATGATGCAATCACTTACCAAGGAAATATGCTAATCCAAGTGTGTTTGCGGTAACCCGGTAGCAGACACTAAAAATTCTAATGTGGCACTAGAGTGCACTTAACTTCAATAACTTATTGATTCTCTTACAATAGTAATTTGTATATGAATAACAGTAATTTATCTCGACGGATCGGCGTACGCCTGCTAATGCCCTACTCTCTAATCTGGAGATATGAACTAATTATCATCACAATCGCTAGCAAATACAAACAACTGCATTGAAAAAGAGCTCAGCAGCAGGTACCTAGAGTTACTAGGGCTGAATAAAAACATGCCAAACTATGTCAAAGTGGATTGCTTCTACTCCAACTTGTTGTCCATGAGCTTATATTCCAAATTGAGCTGATGCCATTCCATCACCTTTTCCTGCCTCGAATAGTTTAGCTATCCGATTCCGTGTTCGTATAAGCCTTACTAGGTCAAATGCTGTACTACGCTTTGCTCTTACGCTCATTTGCTCTTTTGCTACTCGTATTGAATAAAGGGAATCCATTGAAAGCGACAGCATTAGTCATTTCTTGAGTGCCAATGAGATCATCCTAAGTTAAAAGAAGCAATCTATCTAAATCTCAAGCAGTCAATCTATCAAGCCTTTCTTGTAGGCCTGCTTGATTGCCATCATGGTTAGCAAAGGGAATCAACCCATTGCAACGGGAAGCTATCAGACATTGCTTACTTGTCTATTGCATTCCAGTATCATGAATAAAGGGAATCCATTGAAAGCGACAGCATTAGTCATTTCTTGTGTGTCAATTAGATCATCCTAAGTTAAAAGAAGCAATCTATTTCAATCTCAAGCAGCCAATCTATCAAGCCTTTCTTGTAGGCCTGCTTGATTGCCATCATGGTTAGCAAAGGGAATCAACCCATTGCAACGGGAAGCTATCAGACATTGCTTACTTGTCTATTGCATTCCAGTATCATGAATAAAGGGAATCCATTGAAAGCGACAGTATCAGTCATTTCTTGTGTGTCAATGAGATCATCCTAAGTTAAAAGAGGCAATCTATTTCAATCTCAAGCAGCCAATCTATCAAGCCTTTCTTGTAGGCCTGCTTGATTGCCATCATGGTTAGCAAAGGGAATCAACCTATTGGAAGGGGAAGCTATCAGACATTGCTTACTTGTCTATTGCATTCCAGTATCATGAATAAAGGGAATCCATTGAAAGCGACAGTATCAGTCATTTCTTGTGTGTCAATGAGATCATCCTAAGTTAAAAGAGGCAATCTATTTCAATCTCAAGCAGCCAATCTATCAAGCCTTTCTTGTAGGCCTGCTTGATTGCCATCATGGTTAGCAAAGGGAATCAACCTATTGGAAGGGGAAGCTATCAGACATTGCTTACTTGTCTATTGCATTCCAGTAGCATGAATAAAGGAAATCCATTCAAATCTGAAGCTATTCCACATTGCTTGTACTGTATATCGCTTAAATTAGAGTATTATCATGACAATCTTTCCCATTTTGCAAGATTGGAGCATTAATGTGCATGGAGAAGAAGTCAAACCTGCATGCAAGATTTCAAAAATCCTTGCTAGTCCTCCGACTGGTATGCCGGACTTTCCAATACTGTAGTGTCTTTGTATAGGGATTTGTCCCTAAATACAACACCATATAGCGTACAGTATAAGAGGAGGAGAGAGCGTTTTAGGGGAAGTTGTTGGTGCAAGATTATCCATAGCTTGACTTAGTGTACTACCCGTGACAGACCTAAAATGTAATCGATCCGTATGCGATCGACTCGTAGTTAAAAGACAACCTAGGAGCATATTGGAAGAGGCAGAATTGGACATCGATTGCAATTAATCCATTTACTGGATGCTCTTGAGCTTCTTGTAGTCTTTCATCCTTCCTTCATTCGACAGCTTAGCATTAAGGAAAATCTTGCAGACTATGACCAATCAGTATTACTTGGCAATTGTTGGACGCCATGACAATCCACTCTTTGAGATTGAATTGTCGGCTACTAAAGGTGGCGATGTTATTGGTGGATCACGAGAGCAGAATGCTAATAAAGTAAGTTGCAAGCCTTGCAGAGAGGAGATGGCAATCGTCTATCGTTAGACCTCGGTTAATAAAATGGAAGCAAATCCTATCCCCAAATTTATTTTTCAACGATTCAATCGATTCGTACGCTTAGAATGGCTTTTTTAAACGTTGTACAAGTGTCTTCTCTTGATAGAGATTTTCGAAAGTAGCCATACTGTCAATCAATATACACCATGAAATGATATTTTTAAAATGAACCCTAGTTGAAATGGTAGATGGATTGAATAGAGAGTCTGTAAAAACTTTATTTTCAGTCGATATCCATCTTAAAGCAATAGCACGGATATTGCTAGCTACTAGTTTTAATGTACAGTAGAGTACTACATCCTCTGGTAGTATATGGATACAACAGTAGTAGCAATCTACAATTTTACATGAAAGCAAGACAAGTCTGTCTCCTACGTGATCACAAGTGGTATCGTGAAAGCATTCATTTTTTAGATGCAAGTTTTATAATCAACATTGATTGGATCTATCGTCTACTTGTATACGTAGAGTCAGTTTGTAAACCGAAAATAGGATCAGTGCATAGAGCTATTATTAGTACTTTGTTCTTATTAAGTGCACAACCATTTTATTTTTCTTTTCATAATGCACCTATAAACAATTTTAGCAATGTATCTTATGATGAAACTTTGTCCTTTTTTCATCACGGCTAAAAGAGAGAAGATCATAAGCATTTAAATCAGTTTATAGTCCATTCGTCACTGGATATCGTCGATGAGGTGATGTGGAATACTAATTCCATGTAAGTAAAAGTTATTGCTATTTGAGTAGGCATAGGAAATTAATATCCATCCTAGATTGTCTTAATAGTCTGCTACAGTCATATGATGAATCGATTAACCTGTAACAGAGTTTTAATTGATTCTTCTAATCAAGGGTCGTTAAGATGATAAGCTACCCGTATACAGTTACGTATCTACTAGTACATGACGATGTAATCTCCATTCAATATTGTTATATATTAATTGCGCTACCAGTTCTCCAGTTACTTTTCTACTATTAAATGATGGCCTTCCACTATTCGATAATTAATTAATGTTGTACTCGCATTAATTTGGTTACAAGCTCTTCAAATGCATCAATAGATGATGATACTGTATAGCCTCTAGTAATTCAATAATGCCATATCAGTCTACTTAGATTATGTTATAAATTCGATAGTTGCTGATGTTGCATCTAACAGATGACGGCATTCACCTTAAATAATGCTGTAGAGTTAAGACACTTGATACTTTTTCCTGGATTGATAATATTGATCATTTTGCTGACAATCATCTCTACAGTATCTATCGATAACACACATATTATCACATAAATTGATTATAATATTATTAACGGAGGTATAAATTCCTCCTATGGAGAATGAAATTGAAGTAATGTAATTGCATCTATCCATTTAGGTATTTAAAGGTTATAGATAAGTTCAATGAATGGCTAGTTTCTGCCTTGGTTACCGCTGGTGATATCCTTTTAAACTAAGCATAGAAATTGTTTGATTTTATAAACTAGCATTACGATAGTCTCGGATAACGGCTTTAATACTATCTCTTTACCGCGTCTTAGTCAACTGGCGAAGTCATTTCAGTTATAGCTAAGCATATAATTGCCGTACTTATGTAACCTTGCTTTGACGACCTACTGTTAATCTAATAAGAAATGGATAATTTCATGACATTCTTAGAAGAACTCTAATCTCATGCTTATACTGCTGTAGGCCAATTTTGAGTATCATGCCAAGATATTGCTATCATAGTGGTTCAATTTGCAAGCACTTGGCCTGTTTCATACTTGTTAAAAGATTTTGTATTCATAAATGCCAAAGAAGGAAATAGCTTTAGAGCATTTTAGAACATACAGTATTGTAGCATAAAGTTTTAAGAACAGTTTTTTTGGACCGTAAATGGAATGATTGTCTGGTTTGAGCAATTACCTTAACACATTTTTAGGTGCTAGATTTATTGTTTTACATGACGCTAAAAACGAGGATGGCATCAAGAATTTTTTTGGTGAAGTTTACGAACTCTTTGTAAAGGTATGAAAGTATCCGTTTAGTTGAGTTGTTACACCAAGTTGATATTAGCTATATGCGTATACTTGGTACTACATTCATTAGCTGCATTAGTTTACTGCTACTGATGGACAGTAGTACTCAGATCGCAGTTTTGCATGTAGATAAATATTATAATTACTAGTGCAAACTCCCGTCGCTTTGCTGACGGTTTACGATAATGTGCTCATTTAACAGATAGTATTACCATTTGTCGTAGACCTGTCATTAAGAATGAATCCATTGCACTACTCTCATTTTTATTGAAGGTCCTAATGAATCCTTTCTATGACATTGGAACACCAATTGAAATGCCAGCATTTGAAAAGAAAGTCCTGAATGCAGCGAGAAAGCATTTATTTAACTAAAAAATCCTTGTAGTACGGCAAATGAAGAATCTCCGTGTAATTTTAATATTCACTGATAGTTTAACGGTTATTAGGCCTGCAAACCAATATAGCACAAATCTTGTAAATAGAGAAGGAAAATAAAAAATTCCCAATTTTTGTCCATTTCTTATTCGAATTTTACTAGTTTAAATTTCGCAAACTAATAACATCTGATCATCCAATATAATACATTACATATAAAGTAAGTTAATGGTTCATTAAAATTAATGATATTTTAAGAAATGACAAATTATTAAACATGTTGAGGGATATGACAACCTCTTATATTATATCATATTGCAGTTAACTGCTAGTTATGCCAGGCTGAATCATACATTATTAACAATGCAATCTTTTTGTCTAGTATTAGTACGGGGTAAATACGTACATAGAAACTATGCTTAGTTTCGAATTAGAAAAGATATTATACAATTTTTTATACACTTTGTCATGTAGTCAATTGCTATGAATGACAAAGACTAACGCAATTTAATACGCAGGGATAACGGGTTAGCAATAACCATTTACATAGTTATGAACTAACTACAACGTTAAGCACCTTACCGACTAATGAGAATATACACAATTGTGTGTCGTAAATTTTTCGAAATTCTTATGCACTATTGTTAAAGATACAACAAATTAGTACTGCTGTAGCAATTTGATTGAAAATGATAATATTCTTCACATTGCAAAACTTTGCAATCGGAGAAAGAGAATCATAAATATTGCGGTATGTTTAGTGATTCCAACGTCTAGTGTGCCGACGTCATCAGTCTTCCCAAAGCGTCCTTCGTACCTATAATCGTTCTGTGAAATAAGTATAAAAGTATTTCCATAACTTATTAGCTTGACAAATAGGATAAGTGGCATTTATATGCATCATCTCAAATGAATCTAAACTTACCCAATGAATCCAATCACGATTAGCCCATAGTCTAATACCTCCTGAGTTTTAGTCAATTCACTAATGAAACAAGTTATTGTTTTGTAAATCGGATTTAAAGAGTAATAATCTCAGAATTAGGACAACCTTGCAGTAATATAGTACTCCTTACCCACGAAATATACAAAGGTGAAACCATCCAGGCAAAATAAATGCTAGCAATGTACAACAGCATGACCCAACTAGTGCCATCAACGTGGAAAAATTTGGAATAGCAAGGACAATTACTCCAGTCAGCAATACCGTTCCGGCGCGAAGTAGAAGCTGCACGTAGGGAAATTGACATCCACGCAAAAAAAAATGTTAGCACTAATTTTCCTTTATACTTTCAAATGTAGATATTACTGATAATTTATATTATCACTGCACGCTTTCATTACCCCAGCGCTAGTAGAATTATTACGGATTAGGAATTTTTCTTCCAAGATGTGGATAACAGGAAACATCATCACTAAGGAAAATATTTAAATTTGGACCGTTAGTACAAAGTAACTACGCCATTGGCAAATATTACACTTCTTACTTGGGTAAGTGAAAAATAGAGCGAAGCACAGGCATATTTTGACGGTTAAGGGCATCACACCTATAGTAATTAGAACATTAAGAGTAATTGGACATAAAATAAGATAAGCATTTTTGTATAGAAAATATACCAGGTGGTAGATTTAACGTTATAATATTGTTTGTAGCAGGTCCAAAGGACTGAAATATAAAACAAACGAGTTATTAGACTAGCGAAAATTGCTTAATAATACATGCTCTTATATTTACTCAGAGCGAAAAATATTGTGAATGAAAAATTGACAAAACTCACCAAGTAGCCACACATTCCAAAGGCGATATATAACACCGTAATTAGAACTAATGAAATCTTGAATAGACTACAGAAATAGAAACCGGATGACAAATCACTTAATTATAGGCGCAGCTTTTAAAGTCGAGCAAATACAAGCGCATGTTTACATATAAGGCAAATATAATTACTTTTTAAATTTATCTTTGCTATCGGCCGCAACAGAGGCATGCAGCTCTAAAATCATCCCGGCACCCTATTTGCAGTTGAAAAATTGCTTATATCATAATACTGCATACGATATCTATTACGATTCAGTCTAAGTAGGTAAAAATAAAAGCTGACATATCAACCTCATAACAGTATATTGAAATTCCAAGAAAGAAAGCTAATCCATCAAGAGACATAACCCTGGGATGAATTCTGTGCCAAGATGGAATAGAATTAAAGAAGTAAAACATATTAGCTTCCATTTCGTTTATGGCATAAAAATGACTGGTAAAAATCATACTCAATGGAGCCAAAATGAGCAAAGTCGAACCAAAATACTACTCCGTAGGCTAAAACATTGGCAAAATCAGCAAAGAGGCTATCAAAGTAGACAGAATAGACAGAATTATTCATTATAAGTTCAATGTCTTTGCATTCTAGTCATCTATTACAATTGACTACTTTGCGCTAACCAACCTGAATACAGCAAGGCTTTTTAAACTTTTCAAACAAACCAACAGAAATAATGGAGGTAGTAGAATGATTAAATAATATAACCTGCCAATATTGAATAAAATGTCAACAGATGTTACATTGTCAAGTAATAGAGCAAGATGTGGTTATAGCTTCTCAACTACGGTCGTGTGCGCGAAATACTGTGTAAATATAAAATTATGACATGCCAACTACAATGAAGTTGAATTAAATTTAAACAAGTTGGCAAAGTTACACCAGTATGATAGCAAGTCAAAGACTACAATACATTATGCAATGTAAGATTGTAAAAGGTAGCCAACTTACATTCGATAATCGGCCACCATGGTTTTTAAATTCTCGGTGATAAAAATTAAATACGCACATCCAAATCCTATCCACAACAAGAATCATATCAAATGATTTAAAATTGTTGGAAAACATGTCAGGGTTCACGAATATCGATTATAACTTTCATTCTATGGTAGACCGATTTATGATTTTGCTGCATGTGGTGTAAATTATCACCAGGAGAGCCATTTATTGTTACAAAATAGAACGAAATGAATTGTCTATAATTATTCAACAATTTATGATTTTGCGGCATTAGGTAATATACCGGGAGAATCATTTATACGTAATTATAATACAATTAGTACAAAATGGAAAGAAATGCTTTCTTTAACTCTATGTTTTGCAATCATGAGACAGTACTGCTTTGTTATTAAAAATTAATATTCCTTTACCAGTTTGTGAAATGATTATCGCAGTTTCAACTAATATCCGTCCAGAATAGCCGAGTGCATAAAATCCTAGAAAATTTTTTTAAAGGAAAACAACCATTGAAGATAATGACGTCTTAGCGATAGAAAGTTTGGATATGTACTCGAATGGTAGAGACTAGCAAAGAATAGAATTCTACTTGGTCCAACGTACTGTAAACTCATTAGTAAAGCATACAAATAGAAGAAATGTATCCCAGCATTTATTTTTAATGTGACATTTTATCTTGCATTAACCTAAATCGCCATAGCTAACTTCTACTGGTTTGGCTTTAAATGCAGAGTCTTCTTCATTAAGATTATTATTATTAACGGTTCGTGTCCATCTTCTGGAAGTACTAATTTCATCTTTACAATCGATTAGCAAAAGCATCGCCTTGATACTGTGAGATCCAATGGACAAGATAATTTCTTAATGAGTCAGCATAGTCAATTCGTTTCTTGCATATACTGGTATTGGGTTGTAGCCCAAACCAGGCTGCAAAATTGGTCTACTTTAGAAAGGAAAAATGCGATCTTACCTTAATAAACCAACAATACATAGAATTAAACTGCCTTCGATGACACCAGCCTAGAATGAACAAAACAATGATTGATGTTGAATGGTAAAATTGCAATTAAAAAATCTCTTCTCCATGAATATACTATTCTAGTCAAGTTAATGATCGATGGTTACTTGGGAAAGGCGGAAATGAATAATATCCCTGTTTGTATTATGTAATTACTAATGTATAAATTTGTTGATTAGATTAAAAGTAAATGAAAAATAATTAATTGAATAATCTGGACGACTGAATTCATAGCAGCTTAGTTTTAGAGTCAAACAGGTTTGACGATAGAACTCCAGTGTAAGTGGAAACAACAGATCAAATAGAATTCTTCATCTACTGCAGACTTGTCTCTACTGTCGATATATTCGCATGGACTGGAGAGTTTAGGGGTAGTTTAGAGTACAGTACAACATTATCATCATCATCATCCAAGTTCTTCATCGCCTGATAGCCTGCTAAGATTACCATTCAACGCTTGAGTGCTGTAAGCTACCGTGTGCAAGCAAAGAAACCTGCCATACCATGTGGAATACTACAGTACAGTGCGATATTGCTATCATCGAGCAAAGATTTGGTGGTTGTGATGCAACTGTCAATTTATGGATTGCGTCGCCATGACAAAATGATTTATAGTGTGATTATATGGGCTGCACGTCGAGAGTGAAGATGATGTCCATTGCTGGCCATGGTGGTATCAACATTGATGCCGGATTGCATTGCATGAAAATCGATTGTAGACCTACATCGTCATGATAGTGATGAATCGATTGATACAAAGAGTAAGCTTGGAATAGGTAAAGTTAGCCTTGAACGATGATGATGATCGTCTAAAGTCGTCCATAATCTGCAACAACGACCAGCCAGATAGTGGCAATCGATGACTGCTCGTTTAGCAACCCCGAGTGGAGTTGATTGTATATTCTACTGTTTATTTCACTTGAACCCAATTTTATCCTAGTTTATCAGTAAACTGACTTCTTTAAAAGCATATGGCAAGGCAAGGATTCCAGAACCAATGAATGAGATGAAAATGTTAGCAAATATTTTGAAAGAGCTTCGGGCTCCATCGTCGATGTGCGCCATTCTGCAAATAGTCTTCTATGCGTCGGCGTCAACCGTCGGCCAACGTCAACGATGTCGCTGGTATCGATCAGGGTGTGGCACTACAACCCATACAAAGCAATCGTTACATTAGTGTCTCGATCAGGGCGAGGGGGGGCAGTAAAACCAATACAAAGCCGTCTTCACATCCGTGTATCGTATGGACACCAGCCAACAAAGAGAATGTTGACGTGGACGTCCACACGTCCACCCTAGTGGTATGACCTGTGAAGGCATGACATCACTTGTAGATAAAAGACTGCAACGTAACAAACTATAAAAGCATAACCAGTATCGATTGCAAAATGATGTCATCCCTCATTTGGAGCAGTGATGATAGTAGAATAGTATCGACTATGACGTATAAATTGGTGTGTGCTATTAAGCCATGACATCACTTACGAACACTCCTTATATCATAAAACACACCGCACAATCCACTGCAAAAAGCTTCGCCAGGCGATGCCATCGGTTTATCCTACGATGCAATACACAGTACTGTATTGATTAATTAATTTCTAAAATGTTCTCATTCCTCATTGGAACGGCGATGATAGTAGAGTAATATCGACTACGACGGCGATAATAATAATTAGAATAGTCCTCTACATTTGTATGCGCTATGATGCTATGACATTACTTAGGAACACATGACATCACTTAGGAACACTCCTATATCATGAAACACACAGCACAATCCACTGCAAAAAGCTTCGCCAAGCGATGCCATCGGTTTATCCTACGATGCAATACACAGTACTGTATTGATTAATTAATTCTAAAATGTTCTCATTCCTCATTGGAACGGCGATGATAGTAGAGTAATATCGACTATGACGGTGATAATAATTATAATAGTCCTCTACATTTGTATGCGCTACGATGCTATGACTTTACTTAGGAACACTCACTAAAACAAAACAGTGTGTAGTATCAAATTATCAACGATCAACTGCAAAAGCATTACGAGTCGATACGATCGGTCGATCCTACGATGCAGTGTGTTAATTCTAAAATGTTGTCATTCCTTCTCATTTGAGTAGTGATGATAGTAGAATAGCATTAACCATGAAGTATAAATTGGTATGCGCTATCAAACCATGACATCACTTAGGAACACTCCTTATATCGTGAAATACTGCACAATCCACTGCAAAAGCTTCGCTAGGCGATACCATCGCTTTATCCTACGATACAATACACAGTACTGTATTGATTAATTAATTCTTATAATGAATATATTGATTAGTCCGAATGATGGCTAAGTAGACCCTGTAGTATACGTTGCCCATTTATGATAGTCGTAGAGAATATTATTCAATGACTTTCTATTTGCTTGCTATTAAAGCAATGATTAGCTTGCCATTGAAGAGCCCGCAATGCTTACCGTCTAAAGTGATTCTAAAACATCGACATGTAAATATATGTAGATAAATTAACAAAATAATACATTGGCCAACAAATTGATCGCTTCGATGATAATATATAAAGTATGAGCAATGGCTAATTACAGTCCGTTGGTAGGGAAAAATAAGCAAAGAATGGATACCAATATCAACAATCCTAAATTCAATTCATGATCCAATCTGCCACGTCGATAATTTCGCTTAAGGCCGTGTACAGCAACATTATACGGTGCTGCTAAACCGTGTAAAATTCGACGATGGCGTAGCGCATAACATCATGAACATTATCGGTGAACAGAAGTAGTATTGCATGGAGTGGCATGCATCATTTCATTACTTTCTAGCCAGCAAAAAAATAATTACCGCGATGCAATGAGAAGGTAAGCATTCATTGAGCAAGTTGGTATAGAATACGAAGATATTAAGGCTGCATGCAATAGTTCAATATTTTAATAACGACCAGCATCAACAGCTAGACAGCAATCCCACTAAAGTTACTAAAATCTAATTTAGAGACATAACGCAACTGAACAATAATTGGCCTATCATCGATTCACTCTGATTAGTATATTTCATTCTGACTGATAAATTGATTATTATTGATCCACATAGAGTACAAGGTATGCAATACTGAATGATAAGTTACGGCTTTACAGAATCATATTGCGACAACCTTAAAAGTAGAGATTGAGACTGATGAATCAGTAAATATAAAAATAAATGACCATACGCTGAGTGACTTTATATATTTTTTCAAGCATCAATTATTACTAATCTCTACAGTGAGCAGCAATAGGATTAAAAAAAAAGCTTGTAAGCATTTATTTGCAAGCCGTAAATAATCGCTGACTATGCTAAATCTAGCTGGCTATGTTGTATTTTCTTCTGGAAAATGGCATCCATATCCGCCCATTCGAAAAATTCAAATAGTCTAACAATCCTGTAGCCGAAGGAAAAAATCAGAGTGTAATACTGTAGCTTGATTTATTCTTGATCATTATCATTTCTTATAGAACTAGAAGTCGACATTGGCTTCGTGTAGAAATTATTCCATGATGTATATCATGATAGAACAAATAATAAGTAACAAGAACAAGCTGTAGTAATTCTTTAATGTACTTATTATTACTCAGAAAAATGCTTATTTTGTAGGGAAGTAAATTAATTAATAAATTATCAATGTCATCGTAACTTGATAATTTAGAAACTCAATTCAGCATTAATTTAGAGATAAACTCTACCTTCGATCCGCCTATCATTCATAGATATCAGTCCATGCGTCGTAATTAAGTAAATAAATACGACGTTAAAAATATGAAAAAGGGAGCACAATTATAATAATAGGTATATACGATAACTGTTATAACACAGGTTAATCAATCTAAACGCCATTTATAAATTAGCCTCCAAGATATTACATGTCTAATTGATTCAAGGTGCTACAACATCTTTCAATTAGACAACGATGGAATGATAAAGTTAACGTAAACGATATGTATCACTAAAGACATGTAGGATCGTAATAATTTTTTTAGACGAAATACGTAGCTAGTATAGACTCATAGCTAGTAACATGCTAATCGTCTATCTCTTCCTAAAGCCTACGTATACACCATTAGCTGGAGACAAGGTAGAACCGCATTTTAATTGTAACGGTACATCTGTCTCTTTAGTTACAATTAATTCTACCTTTTGTAAAATTTTAACTATAGCTAATTTAACTTCTAACATGGCTAATCTCATTCCGATGCAATTGCGTGGCCCATTACCAAATGGAAGATAGGTACATGGATCACGTTTCGATTTCTCTTCGGATGTAAATCGCTCCGGTCTAAATTGTTCTGGTTCAGGCCAAATTTTAGGATTATGATGAATTGCGTAAACAGGGATGCCAATCATAGCCTCTTTTGAGACTTGAAGACCATCAATTTCCATATCTTCTTTTATAGAACGATTGGCTAAAAAAATAGGTGGATACATTCTTAATGTTTCAGCGATTACCATTTCTAAATACGGTAAATCGCCTACACTATCGTAATCCAGCGAATCATTCTCGCTCAATTTGTCACTTATTTCGTCAAAGACTCGTTGTTGTATCTCAGGATTTGTTGCTAACGAGTGGGTTGCGAATGCTAGTGTATTTGCTGTAGTTTCGTAACCTGCTGCAAGAAATATTAATGCTTGGGAAACAACCTCCTGATCGTTTAACTTGTCGCTATCGCCAGCTTCCAACATCTGTTGTAAAATATCTCTACGACAGGCTATACCTTCGGCCATGTTTCTTCTTCTTTCTTTGATTACTTGTTTACAAGTTTTCATTAAATAATGTGTGGAATTCATAAATTGACCTCCTAATTTCGGTTCTAATACACGAAATAAGGGCGGTGCAAATATCAGTAAGAATTGTAAGGGGCCAGGTGAAGTATCAAATAGGGCTCTGGCAGCATTAGTTAACTTTTTTTCTTGCTCTTTAGATTCGAATTCTATACCGAATGCAGTTGCTAGAATCACTTCCATAGTAAATTTACCACAAGTTCTCCATAAATCGATAGATTGACCTTCTTCGTCTGCTTTAAGTATCGTTGCAACTAGACGATCTCCAGCTCTATCAATAAAGGGCATAATCGCCTTTAATTTTGAAGCACTAAACGTAGGCAATAAGATATTCCTGACACGTTTCCAATCGGTACCTTTAAGTTCTAGTAATGTTTTATCAAATGGCTCTATACCGTCGACTAAAGGATAGCGATCGGAAAAATTGGAAAAATCCTTAACACAAACCGATTTTAAAAGATCCGGTTCGCCAATCAATATAGTAGGTATAGAGAAAAAGAGACTACCATAAACACGACCGTATTTTTCTTGATTTTTTAACTGACCAAGATGTTGTATAGAAGGATGACAATCCAACAAGTTACCAAAAATAGGTTTAGGAAATGGAACTTTCAGGCCTAACTTCTTCAACAGACGATAAGGTCTAATCCATGATTTGTACAAATACCAAACTAGACCAACTATAATAAGCTGTACTATCTGCGAAGCCGATGGAATCCAGTTCATGTTGTTATAATCTCGTGTACAAAATCGTTTCAATTTGATATATCCGATTAAATCAAACGGATAATTAATTTTATAGCTATAATGGATATAGATATAAATCAAATGGAAAATTTAATTATCTCTGGGTTCTCGATGTGATATTCACACACCTTAACTCTTGTCTGTATTTCTAAAATCAACCTTCAAGACAATAACGATAACAGTTTATCAATGATGGAATGTTTCGTAAGCCAAGAGATAGTAAAAAAAGCCAAATCAATTTTGTTGATGAACCACGTCAACAAAATTCAACGTTTTTTTTTAACGGACTATATAAATAATAAGTGTCGTAGTTCTACAAGCTATCATAACTATTAACTATAGAAGTACACAACTTTTTCGAGTCACTAGAGTCATTTTCTACTTGCTAGTAGTGCTTAACCAAACATGCCGCTAAATAACGTCGTGAATACGTTAATGTCTATAAACTCAATAACATTATGTAAAGCACTTGCGTGGGTTCTACAGTAATTTACTATATAACATCACACAGTTGTCGACGTAACAGAATTAGTAAAAATTCAATTACTATTACAAGAAAATTTCAATAACAAAAATAAACAATGCCAATTAAAGAGACATTGTATATTATTTAGCCTTGCATTATAATTTTGCGAGTTTAATTTATTCGTTAACGACTACTGAGAAACTTTATTGTACATAATGCACTGGTATAACATACATACAGTAGTGAATGTCGTTCAATTTCGATCCATTTGCACGCAGTGATAGCAGTAGTAGTTGATGGCTTACCATTAATGGAGCGAGCCCTGGAAGAAGTGATAAGTGATTTTGAAATGTTAGATGTAGCTCGCTAAGGTTATATTGGAAATTACTCGTAATTTCCGGTTTACTCACTCAATTCATTACATATGCATGTTAATTAATTATAGATTATCAATTGAACTAAAGGCAAACAAGTAGACTAAAGTTGAATAATATTTTCTACACAGTTCATAATAGTATAGAATGTGCCGTAAAGTCTACTCGACCCTCAATGATGAATAATAAATTGAATATGCACAACGAAAAGCAAAATTGTTATATAAATTATTTTACGCGCATCTTTCCATTGATACAGTACTTGGCTTCTGATGTCCATCACTACTTCGACTAGAACTTAATGGGATTATGAAACATTAACATGCAGCTGTAAATACAGATTAGACTGTAGCCATTCGCTAATTCTTGTACGAAGCTAATTTAATCATTGGCGGTCGAGCAAACCATCCAGTGTATGCTATAATGCACTTTTACGGTATGCATAAGGAATATGGTTTCATAATCACCTATTTGCATGCAGCGACGATGATTGATGGCTTATATTAAATTGAGCCAGCGATAGTAATTTTGGAACTTTAAAACGCAAGTAAAATTAGCAAAATAATAATAGTCAAAATGGATTTGAAAACCAAGATAAATCCATTTTTCAGAGATTTAGAGTAATTTTTTATAAGTTTATAAGAAAAACCTATAGCTAGCATATGTCTTGGATTTATGAAAAGCCGGTTTATACTACTAGAATTATAATTATAATAGATTTTGTCAATCAATTCACCTTACTATAGATAAACTTGTACCTAATATCGTATTTATCTTTTCTAATATCTACAACTTATTTAATAGCTGGTCTCTAAACTACCGGTAGTAAACAATAATCATGTAATTTAAGGATAAAGAGGTTATTATTGCCAACTTAGCTGAGTTTAACATTCGTAAACCAATATGACCCAACGCTACAGTTATAAATCACAAAGATGTAACCGGGAAAACATACATTAAAACTAGAAACTAAATACTGCAAGTCTAAATATCAGGTTTGTCTTCACCGACATCTACAGTAAGTGAGACTCTAAATGCTGACGATAGAAGATCGTCAGTATTTACAGTAACACCGCAAGTCTCTCTTAGGCATACAGGCACAACTAAGCTCAAAGTTTATTACAATCTCAGCCAATGCGTATTTAGTCTACATAAGCGTTAATCGTAATTATCAATTTAATTAGTACTTAGATAATATTGTAAAGCTATATGGTACGCATTGATCTATGAAAGAATGTATAATATCATAGATAACGGTATTCTCAACAAATACCAAAGTATATTATCTAACGAAAATAAGATAAGCATTACTTAGCAAATGCCACTTCGCGACAACTACATATTCATTATCAGATATAGCTAAATTTTATTTTACTCTATCTTCTTTTACAGCCTAGGTGTACTCCATTAGCTGGAGCCATAGTTATACCACACTTTATTGGTAAAGGAACATCTGTTTTCTCAGTAACAGTTAATTCGACACTTTGTAACACTTTCACAAGAGCTAATTTAATCTTCAGCAAAGCAAATTTCATTCCGAGGCAATTTCGTGGTCCCATACCAAATGGAAGGTATGCACAAGCTGCACGCTTGGATTTCTCTTCCGGCGCAAAGCGTTCAGGAATAAACTGTTCTGGATTAGGCCATAATTTAGGGTCATGATGAATAGCATAGACAGGAACAGCAATCATAGCCTCTTTTGAGATCTGATGACCATCAATTGTAGTATTATTTTTGCATGCCCGAGTAAGTCTAAAAGCGGGTGGATATATTCTTAATGTTTCCAATATTACCATTTCTAAATAGGGTAAGTCTGCTACACGATCATAATCTAATGGATCAGCATCGCTAAGTTTTGTTTTTATTTCATTATATAATCGATTCTGTACTTCAGGGTTTGTTGCCAATAAGTAGGTAGCGAATGCTAAAGTATTTGCTGTAGTTTCGTAACCTCCTACAAGAAAGATCACAGCCTGAGCGACAACTTCATTGTCGTCTAATTTATCGCTATCACCAGCTTCGATCATCTGTTGCATTAGATCTCTACGACATGCAATGCCTGCAGCCATTTTTTCCCTCCTTTCTTTGATTACTTTTCTGCAAGTATCGGTTAAATAATGTAACGAGTTCATAAATTGCCCACCAGATAGTGGCTCTAAGATACGAAATAGTGGTGTTGCAAATAGTAATAATAACTGCATTAGACCGGCTGCACCACTAGATACCTGACTAGCAGCTGCAGTTAATTTCTTTTCTTGTTCTTTCGACTCAAATTCCATTCCAGCGGCAGTAGCAAGAAGAATTTCCATTGAAAAATTGCCACAAACCTTTCGTAAATCAATCGAATCACCTTCTTTCTCTGCCTTTAAGAGCAATGCAACAATTCCTTCACCAGCCTTGTCAACAAAGGAAAAATTTTCCTTTATCTGTGATACGCTGAATGTTGGTACTAAAATAGTTCTTACTCGCTTCCAATCGCTATCTTTCAATTCTAATAACGCCTTATTAAACGGTTCTAAGTTACTAGCGATACCGAAATGGTTGGTAAAATTGGGGAAATCTTTGATTAAAACTGATTTTAATATATCTACATCGCCAATCCATATGGTTGGTATGGAAAAAAATAAAGTGCCATATACATAACCGTATTTTTCTTGCCTTTCTATTTGAGCTATATGTTGCAAAGCCGGTTTACAATCCAACAAGTTACCCAATATGGGTTTAGGAGGGGGACCTCTTATGCCCAAATTTTTCAAGCAACGTTTAGGTTTAATATAAGCCTTATAAAAAAACCAGGCAAAAATTGTACCTGATATTAATAAGATTTGCGATGTTGATAGCTGCAATCCAATCATATTGACAATAATCTGCCTCTCCACTTAATTTCCAATTAAAACACTGACATGAAATACTTCAGGAAGGGCTAGAATATGCTACTGCCTTTTGCACCGATGTAAATAAATGTCGCAGGATTCAAATAGAGTGTACTGTAATAACTATCCGTATTATGATTGACCAATAAATACAGCTAAGAAAAAGGCCTCACTTTAACCTAATACTTAGCTGTATGCACGTCTAAGAAATAATACTGTATTTCAGAGAGTAAGTAACAGTCAATAACCAAGTTAAACTAGCTCAATATGTGCATATAATTGTATATGCTCTCGGTAACTCTAACTCTCCCTCTAACGTGCATCTAATTATAATATATCTAAGTATTATTGATCAACAAAGGCAGCTAGGAAAAAGGTCATGCATTAAACTTTAAACTTTACTTAGGTGTACGCATGTCTGGCAAAGAATACTATATTTCAGAGAGTAAATAATAGTCAATAACGAACTCAATATGTTATATAAGTCGTATAGTAAGAATTCTCTAATTAAAACTACTCAAGTAGAATTGTAGACAGAGAACCTTCTACGAGCATACCCGTACCAGGTACGTAATGACGTGCGGGTGTGCTATTAGAAATTAATACTCTACAATTAATTGACTTAAATATGGGCTATAAATGTCTATAAACATTCCCCGGAGAACATTGAGTAGTCCATGACTTAACCTATTAGCCGAGATAACTACGATACGGTACTGCTAATTTATTTGTGGAGGTACATGATTACTTCTTTCAAGCTGAAGTTAGAAGCTGTCACAGAATTTACTTAATGCACAAGACAAACTTTATGTTGTCGAGCCGTTGTTCTTAGTGTATGATTTACTTATTTGTATTTAGTGTGCTTTTTCTGCCATACTTTTACTTATATCGTCATGTACTCAGTAGATACAATGGCACTCACTGCCCCTTAGCTTGCTTCCATCCATCCAACAGAAAATTACCATAATGCTATGCAACTGTATTCTTTGCAAATGATGACTGCTTCTAAGTAGCAAGTATCCATGCTTAGTGCAAGTTGCGTATAGTAGATTTCCATTTACATGCTCCGCTGATACCTATATTTATATGTAAATACTGTAATGTCAATACAATAAATCATCCGACATCACATAACGTTGCTTCTAACTAATATCCTGTATTTACCATCAAAGGCACAGTGAATACAATAATATCCTCTACTTGATACCAATAGAAACTGAACGTTTGGATTAAACAATCCAAACAGTATGGGTAAACGATGTCGCTATTTGCCGTGTTTTTCAGAATTTGCTGGAATTTAATTGTGTTAAAACTTCCCCTATTAAAAAGATGATTCCATGATTTACAAGTATTCCTACATGTTGGCAGCTCTATGGCTATGAATTCCTGTTTATAGTATTCCTATTATATCTGTAATAGAGAGTTCAATGATTTAGTGGAAGTAAATTTAGCAGCCAATCAGAGATTTACATAAATATGTTTAGCAAGAAAATAGTTTCTTAATCGTAGACTACAAGCGTGGAGTAGTTACACTAGAGCAGCATATAAACTGACATGAAGTAACGTTAGAATAGTTAGCACTGTGACTATTACAGTTAACTAATTCTGAGGCAGAAATCGTCAGTATTTGTTGCTTTAGAGAAAGAACACATTCAGAGAACATGATTGTAGAGTTAGATATAACCTATGTAATACAGTGTAAGACCATGTAATGGCAAATGATGGTAGGAAATAGCAAAGGCCGCAAATGCCATAAATAATCAGAAAAACTTTTTAGTAGTCCCTGAAATAACGAAACAAGACAAGCTATATTTGAATGTAGTGCAATATGATTGTAAAGGCATCTATCTTTTAAGAATTAAAAAATTAGCTATATTTAAGAATATAAAGTTATTATTTAGTTATCAAGGATGCTACATTTCTTACAGTGCATAAAGGTTGTTTGGCAATATGAGAAAATAAATGGAGGTAATAATAAAATACAGGATTAAAACGATGTACTGCACACATTCATATACTGTATTTCTTGCTGCATAAGGCTGCTTGCAGCTATACTTTAAATTTCATAAAGTCACTGTAATTGTAATTAATTATTCCTAGATAATTACTCAAGTCAGGACAGCAATTGTATTTAGTAAAGTCTGACAGTTACTTTTGTTATGCAGCTTTTCGGAACGAAATTGAATATTCTAGTATTTATTTACCATAGATTTATGGACTAATCAATATGATTTTTATTTGCTTCTTATTTTATACATATTCAGGTTAAACTAGGTATCGAGCAGAAATCTGAAAAACTAACAGTATTCTTATGGCAGTAATACATTTGCGAGTAACAAATAATGCACAAGATAAAGTCTGCACAGCTTTGGTCTAGCTTATCCGTGACGTTATAATTATGGTAATATTTGGTCGTTGGAACTGTTAGATTTGGTGATGCAGGGAATCTTGTCTCCTAAACTTAGTAAGAGGCATCTTTTATTAGCGTTGGCGTGTGTAGACTTACTTGTCATTAGTGGTGTGTGGCACTCATAAATCATCATATATGCAATAATCTTAAGATGCCTTTGAAAAACTGAGAATACCAAATAGTAGCTGGGCTATTACTTTTTCGCGATAGTTCGTGGGATTTTGTATAAATAACTATTTTCCAGCACTTTGTATTCTAGCGAGTGAAGAATTATAATATTACAATATATTTTCTCACGTTAAATCATTTTCAATAAAAGAACTGATATAAGCGAGCTATACTAGTTAATATCTTAAGAAAATCGAGCAATCATTTTATAATAGTCTCATTTTCAAGGGATTAATTACAAAATAATTATTTGCATCGTCCATAATTCTTATATAATTATCAACTTTAATTATACGAACTTTCACCCTGTTATGCCTTGCTCTATAACTCATGGAATCACTGCAGCTATTTCAACTGTATATCACAGCCTAACTCCTAGAGCTTACGTTATTGATCTAAATATATAGCACACAGCGTCATATCTGAAATTGTATAATCAGATCCCCATTTCTAACGGACTTCTTTACCTTTTCCGTACAAACAATAGTCAAACCCTTATTAGAAGAAATTGTGTGTAATTTACTTTTGGTATTCCATTTCATATATACGATTAGTTGATTACCAATATTGTAGGTTATAAGCACTGCACTACCTGTTATGCAATTACCGCCTATACCACAGTACTAATAATTGAAACGGAGCAGTTGAGCGTAAATGTTATAATGTTTGTGCTACATTGCCTAATATTCATCTTCAAACAATTCCTTTAATGGCTAAAGACCCGGTTTCGTAACTCATCGTAAGTATTTAACTATTATGACATGAATATCTACAACACCTAGCTTAGATAGAATAATTATGGCTATTCATAACGTAATTATTAGCATGAAAGGAAAGTACTGAATTATTCGCAAGTTATGCCTAAAATTACAGTAATTAGTAAGGTAGTAACTACTGATTTGCAGGTGAGGAAAACTGGAGATATACATCTATAATGCAAAATATGTAGCTGTAAGTCAAGCTGTAGATTTATTACTAATTCATCTATTATTTCAACGAAAATCATACAGTTGGAAGTCCATCAAGTGATGAAACGTAAACATCAAAAGGTTAAAAATCCAAGGCGAAATAAGCTTCGTTTTCATATCAAGGTAAAAAAAGTTAACTTTTAGATCAACACCATATTTCTCAATTTCATGCACCTACAGTGTAGCTATAGGCTCGATTAATTTTGCGATAACGAACTGCAAGCAAATACTTAAAATTATTTTACAGAATAATAATGTCAATAACGATAATTTTTATCTCAGTTGCTTTATTATGGGACGAAATAATTCCTAAATTCAGATTTCCTCATTTTATAATCGCTACCACAGTCGGTGTTAGTTTATAAAAATCTTTGACAAAGGCTTTAAATTTTGAAATGTTACGGCTTAATTTCACATAGAATCTAATCTCTGAAATTAAATCAGATGATTCAAAAATCGTATGCAATGCTGCACGGAATATTCGTTTCTTAAGTATCAAAGGTATGCGCCCATGCTGATAAATATCTTGATGGATTATTTATTATAACTCAACAGTAACTTATTTAGCGAAATTGATAAATGTTAGTGTAATTAATTTATGCCTTGCAGTTAATACTAACTCTTGGGCTTATTTGTAGCTCATACACTAATCTACGCATGAAGTAATACTTTGGTGGAATAAAAGCGATGATTCCGCTCAAATTCTCTTTATTACAACTAATATCTGTTATTCATACTTGCATAGAACGCTGGAGAACAAAATTCTTTATACAATCAGATATCCTTTCAAAATTAGTACGGCTATTAGAAGATCAAAGTGATCGTATAGTCGAACGTACTACTGCTATACTATCTGTCATAACTTCTGGGAAAGCATCTGAAATAAAAGCGATTGTAGTGACTGGTGCATTAGTGCCGCTCATAAAATGCATCAAAAACGATAATATTAACATGAAGACAAATGTAAGTAAGCTCTTTTACTAATATCATCGTCATGTGAGCTTTCTTTAACCTGCTATGGCAAAATAACCGGTTTAATTAATATAAAACTGGGTCTGACTTTGCTGTAATGTGTTACCGTTTAAAGTATTTTGATGAATACCTCTAAAGTTCGTTGTACAGGTTATTTTATTAAAAACTACGGCCGTAGCTATTATTATACATGAACTCTATTATATTTCTATAACCTGACTAGTTATTTTAATATATCGAAAGTGGAATATCTATAGCAGCTTGCTGCCCTTTCAATTCTGCTCATATGCAGTGCGTATTGACGTTGGGGAATATCGTTATTGAAAGTGATAGTTATCGTAATGAAGCATTAAAGCAAAATTTATTACCGTCGTTACTACGTAAGCTCTCAAGAGTAAACAGCAAATAAGAATTTACTGTACGTACGAGTATGTGTTACCTATCAAATTTGGTAATTTCGCGATTTGCCAATAGAAAGATATCTAATTATAATTATAAATCCTAAGCCGATGAAAATTTATAACAATATAGAAGCAAAATTTCCTTCTTGAAAATTTATTAACATCTAATCGCTCTTTTAGTTCATTTTGCACATCAATAGGTTAATTGAGGTAGCTAAAGATTCAAAACTACAAGATTGCGCATTATGGACTTTTCAGAATCTTCAGTTATATACGCGCCCGCCGTCGAATATAACTATTGTTAGTATTCCAGTAAGAGGCACTTTTATATGCCAATAAATTTGCTTACCGATATGTTTACCTATCTACTCATCTAGCCCTATATAGCTTAATAGCCTTTACCACTGTGCGTAATTGAGATCACATAAGTTATGTACGTCGAAATACTGCGTATTTTGTTGGTAGGTCTCTAGTGCGATGCCAAATTTATTAAATCTCCTCCATTTGGACAAGGAGAAAGTGCTGTATGAAGTATGTTGGTGTTTAGCAGTGTTGACAGATCCTTCGTAACCAAAAGTTGATTATATAGTCACTATGGAAATGTGCGATCGATTTATGAATTTACTAAGGCAATTAATTTATCCAACTTTTATCACTATAATTATCATCTGCAGATTATGAATATTATGCTCAAGGTAATTTATACACCTTCGAACTATTAGAAATACGAAGAAATCTACTTAATGCCAATATTGAGGACTATCGGCAATATTGTTACCGAAAATAATGCTGAAAGAAAGGTAATTCTTGATGATAATTGCCATGGCATACTGGATATTCAATCTATAACCTTGGTTATGAAGTTAAATATTAAGCTCCGAACCATATTATTATTTATTTAGACTATGCTTAAATGCTCCCTCTTACTCGGAATTGCATCGACTTTAGAAATTACAGATTCAGAAAACAGCCATAATAATTATCGAGAATTTTGCAGTACAATTGCTAAGATATTAGGGGGCAGTTTTGATCAAATGGGAGTAAGCCCTATTTTCGAATTTATCACTTAATATTGATCAGAGGTATAAATGCCGTGTAGGATTGTTAATGTTAATCGTATATCGAATAGATTGCTATAAGTGAAGGACTAATATCATGGATATTAGATATGGCTGACGAAGATAATGATCCAGAATTTAATGAGTATGTAGTGTTAGCCATTGTTAATGCTGCCTTACGTGCTAGTGATGAACAAATTTGGTAAAGACGTAATTATGTTCATGTTATGGTATTTATTGCTGATGCTATGATTAGCGTTAGTATTAATTATCGAGATTTAGATATGGTTCCTAATGTAGTATAATTGACTGAAATTAGTAATTTGTGCTTGAGTATGACTGCATAAAATAGATAGCATTTAAGACCGTATAAGCTAGAGAGAGAGAGAGAGCTAGCGCGGAGTTATTGATTAGATTTAAACTTGTTATTCGTTAGTAATATATCGGTTTTAGTGTAGTTTTGCATTTAGTTTTCGTTGGTAATTTAGAATTTTAACGAAATAAATTGAAAACATTGACGGATCTAATAGGCTAATCATTATTAACTAATTACTATATGTCAACAGATACATTCAAATCATTAATTATATTTTAAATCAGTGTTATTAGCTATTACGAGTCATAAAGTAATCCATAAATGCGCGCAACACTGTTTAACGCAAATAGGTATTGGTGAAACATAGGGCAATGCTATCTTTGTTTACCATACTATCCGAAACCGATAACAGTGAAATGATACAGGTCGCATTAGCTGGCTTGGAAAAAATTAGCAGCAAATGAGAAAGTCTTAAAAATCCATTTTCACAAGGAACTGAGAAACGGGTGAGTCTTAAAATCTCCTTTAATTAAGGCAATTATAACAAAACTGGCACACTTTCGGCACATTTCGATTTCATAACTGATTCTAGAACTGGAAAAGGTGGAAGCTTTGCTAGAAGATGAAGACGAATCCATAGTTATGAGAGCGCATTTTCTCTTAGAAATGTACTATCAAGACTACTTTCGTGAAAGATTAGATGAAGACTAAATAATAGTTGCACTTAACACCGATTCGAACCATTATAAACATAATATAAATAACGAAATTTTAATCTAACCAGTTCTGGTTGTAACAGCAACACTTTAAATAGCTAAATGTGACTAGGGATTTATAGTATAGTACAATAACTTGCTTTTAGCAATGCAGCGTAACATTGTGTGCAGGCAAAACTATCACAACGCTCTTGACCAGTAAATTACAGTATAACGACGCTAAACATTACATAGCATTGTAATATGCATGCGGCTATCAGTGCTTGCTATTACTCTTGTAATGCTAGGATTTTACGAAAACTACCAGTTCTTTCAATAAAGTATATCAGAAATTTCTAATGCCAATAATTACGTATTTAAGCAATACTACAAATTTTTCGTTAAATACAGTATTTAAGATGTGCTATCTAACAGTAGGCTGCTTCTGCATAAAATACGATCTACGGTTTACTGCGTAGGGCATGCACGTATTTAGGCTTGTATTCCATAGATAGATTGTGCACTCAGTCACTTTAATGGCCATCACAATCTTCCAAATAGCGAAATGGAAATATACATTCGACACAACATCGATCGATTTCTTATAGCTTTAATAGTTAATTAATAAACCTTAACGAACAAGAGACTCATGACTTTGCTTTAAAATAGTGTGATCAAGTTAATTGCAACATCTTCATTCTGCAACCATCATGTAGATCTACGTTTGTCGCCCTACGATTCCTTACAGTCAACTTAATTAAAATAATAAATTAATCTACTTAATTAGGCGTATACCTTCTAACTAATTAATATTTAACTGTAATACTGTACTGTATTGGATTCTAATCTCACATTGCCCAATGCACAAATTGTGGTGGCTTAAAATCACATCTAGCATCAACTACATTATTACAAACATTCGGAACTGAATAAAATATATTTTAGCGTTTATGCATTACATGTCTAGCCGGTTTCCTGACATGGGATTCTTTACACGAGTAGTACAGTACAATTACTAATGATTTCCATTAAAGAAATTAATAGTAGTTGAAATAAAATCTATAAAAAGGGTCCACCCCAGGCTTTTATGACAACCACTTTTGTTTGATGATATTCTACATCAATTTGACAATTATACATAAACAAGGACATGTTACATAAGCTACTGGATTAGCGTGTTAACTGATAAAGATGAATGAATATTTAAAAGTCATAATCAAGAGAAACCGTAGCCATCTATAATGTATGGCAATTCCGTGCTGTGAGGTCTAACGGCATCGAAATGTACTAATATATTATCGTAAAATACTGTTCAATATTGCTAAAATCGACATCAATGGTTATTGTTCTATTTCTTAGATATTAAGCTTCTTGTTGTTGCTCTTCCTGTTGTCCTTCCTGTTGCTCTTGTTTTGGTTCTTGCTGTGGCTGTTGTGGTTGCTGTTTTGTTCTTTTCCTCTTTTGGCGAAAATGTTTAGACATGATACTACGTGCTTTCCTGCTAATAGCTTTATCTTGATGTTGAACCAATGATTGCATAAACTCAACGTCTTTTCGCAAAATAAAAAAGAAGCTAGTTTAATTGAGACATATCTTTGAAAAACTACTAAAATCCCACTTCCACTACATATCTAAGGCTTTTTAATCATTAAATGTGATACAGCCAAAAATCTCTCACGTCATAGATATTTTGATTACATGCTTAAGTGCTATCACTAAAAATACTATTTAGAGTGACAGAAATTTTAAAACCAACCTTTAGCTTTAAATTCAGCAGCATACGCATTTTCATACTGATTTTCCAATTTCCTAACATCCTCACCAACTCGCAAAATACTTTGTAGTGCAGAAATAACGTCATGAAGCGTGTCCGTATCTGATATTTTGGGCAACGTAAGACAGAAAGCTCTGACAGCCTTTTGATCAGCAATATACCTACAATAGTGGCCATATTAGTACCTAACGAAGAGATTTTTTTTGATAGTAATTTCTTACCATATCTGTTGATCATCAGAACCCAAAACAGCATCGGCAATAAGCATTACTAATTCGTTAGGTAGTTTCCTGCCTCTTCTCTTGCGTACAATTCTGATCAAGTTAGGCAGAATTTGGGAATCGATAGCGGACTGTTGCATTTCAATCGTTTAAAAATATACATTTGGTTTAGAATAAAACGCACTTTTCATAACAGTAACAAAGATACAGATTATATTTATTATCGCAACGCTCTAATGACCTGGATTTGCTCCTTATCAGACATCAGTTTCCATGCGACTTTACATAAAACCATCAAAATGTTGTTGTCGCATCGTAAATAGTCAGTAAAGACAGCCATATTTTGCCAAGGTGAACAATCAACTAGCATCTAAAGTAGACAATTTTTGGATACGGGTGGTTATGCCCTAATCGTACTGCACGAATCGATTAAAAACAAGGTCGTGTAAATACCTTTCTTTGCACTGGGCCACGAGATATGATGTTAGAAATTGCTAACATTACTGGCTTCACCAGAGGAGTATACCGATGCCTAAATATTTAAGCAAGGATCTATCATATAACTACCATAGCCTAGATCAAGTACAGAAATATGACGTAATTCTTACGGGATCAACTCTATCAGTCGTTTGCATAGATCAACGTTTATAAGCTCATCGACTATCGCTCCATTTGTAGGATCGGTCAGCCGCGCAACACACCATGTTACATGACTAAGAATGCAAATGTTTTCAGACTGAAGAAGCTGCCAAACCATGGGGATTACGGCAGGTATCTTTGAAGAAGTTCAAGAAACAAGGTTTATATTTAAGTTTAAAAAATGATTTTCGATATTAATTTTTCCATCTTATGTTGATTCATTATGACTTACAACGTGTTTATCTGAACGCGCTATCCTTTTATAACAAAGACAGCGGAAAGCCCATGCGCCATAAGTTAACAATTCTTGGTTTGCCATCTCATTTTCAAGAATCCTTTAAATAATTCATAATTAACGGATTACTAGATTGTTCCGCTTGGAAAAATTTTTATTTACAGAATTTTAATAAGACAAGCCTCGAAGAAAAAAACTTCTGTACTATCGTCAAGTGAAACGCTTAAAATGCTAGAGCACTGTTATTTCACAAGTTTGTACAGAAGTACTGTCAAGACACTCGATTCACAGAATCCTTACTGAGATAGCGGGGGCAAAATATTCTGAGCTAATAAATCGCTCCTGTATTTAGCACAATCTTCTGCGATACTTCCTATGGTCCACAAACACTACACCAAAGCGGAATAGTAAACATTATTTTTATAGATTTTCAAACTGAAGTTCAATTTCAAAAATATCTACACTTTACGGTTATACATACATTTTGCTTGACATCATCATCATCATGTGAAAGCAATGCAATCAAAGGAGGCACAGCACCGGCTTGTACGACTGCTTTGGTGTTGCGAATAGCACCTTTAGTGATGTCCTGATCCACATCTTTACTAACCAACAATTTCGGGTAGCGGTGACGAGGGAAATCATTAAGAATTTGCCTCATTTCGTCTACTTTTCCGCTAGAAACAACGGCTAAGACGTAGCTGGCTTCAGTAACAATTTCAGCATTTGGCGATCGCAAAAATTTTACAAATACTGGAACAAGCTCGGAGTCGACAATTTGTCGAATAAGAGACTTTCTGTATTCTAAACGCATCAACAATAATATTGATCCATTGTGTTAGATAATAAGTTAGCTATTTAGCAAATGTCATCTTATTTCCATTCTACCACACATTGGAATGGGTAAAATTAAGAAACTTCTCAAAAGAGTGTATTGGACACTTCGGTCTTACAAAATTATTTTTAGTTCGTGACGAAAACTCTATATCTTTTATATTTTGAGTGAATCACTGAAAGAACATTCTAACTTTTCGTAATTTAAGGCGCCAGATGATTGTATTTAGAACTCTACAAATTACTTGTCAAAGATACCTCTATTTCGCAAATGCTGGCAAAATTCTCGGATAGCAGTTAAAACTGTATTCAGATCTCGCGATCTCATCTGAGTTTTCAAGGCATTTAGCTTCTCTACGGTCAGCTAAGTCAAAAAAAAAAGAGATCAAAGTTTTAAAATCAACAAATCGCTATAGGTAGGTGCAAAAAGAACCACGATCCAGTAGTCAATTTTAGCAATCTACCAACACTTCGTAAAGATATCACACAGCCTCAGGATTCTAATCTAGGAATCAGTGTCGTAAGCAATCATTTAATTAGTAGTAATCGTTGATATTTGAAAGTAAGGTAATAACACCTTGGCAACAATCGTAGACATACAGTGCAGTACTGTATCCTGACTTGAAGCTATGGAATTGTCCTCAACAAATCCAAATTAAATTACCAAGTGCATATATATATACAACAGTACAGTACGTCCTGTCATAGGCTAGTAAATTACATCTACGGTTCTCTATAGACCAATGTCTACTTCAATCGCTCAATCAGCATAGAAATAACAAGGCAGTCCAGTGACGCCGAATGCGTTGCCAGTTGCCGTCAGGCAATAATCAACTACCATTAATGACATAACGATTCTCAATTCATTAATTCCTTCATTGGTGGGTGATACCACCATCCATTTGGTAAAGCCCAAGTGGATGTGAGCTATGCTCAATCTTACGGCCTATCATAGTCCTTGCATCGATTCATTTGATAGCAAGGTATTCTATTTCGGTTGCATGAGCGAGTTATGGTTGCAAGAGTAATTCGTTAACCCTGTCATCACTGTAGCTGGCTGTTGAATACTATGATGTAAGTTTACATTTTCTCATCAGCTTATAAACTATCGGTCAATTTCATTTTAAGGCGTAGGACTCGATTTCTCTTGTTTTATTTTTTCAAATGGAGCGCTCCTTGGCGCCTAGATACTGTGTCTTATGCTGGGTACCAATCAGGAACGAAAATGCATAGTAAACTCGCTGGTGACAATGAAGATTACGGTATCAAAATGACAGAAAAGTCTACCAAGAACACTACTGTACGCACACTCAGTACAGTCGCCTAAAGGTACATAAAAATACCGTACAGTACGTACTGTATGACGTCTGGATGCAAAACAAGGAAATCTTTTCTACAGTACTGTCCTTACAATGTAAACACTGTACGGTATTGTACTGTACAGTGACATCTACTGTAGGCAAGAGTGAGACTGAATCATGTGATACAGTTGGGTCAATTTGGCTCTTTTTTTCTTGGTGGGTTTATGGCAGTTGCAGGGGCTATATGCTACTGGGACGTTCATCGTTCTTTTTTCTTGGACAAATAATAATGTTGTTGCAATTAGGCCGTGAAAAATACAGAACATAGAGAGCGCCCTAGCGTCCTTGTTTAGCACACCTATAGTCGTGAAGGTCTAATCCATTAGACTCCAACGTACGGTACAAATTTAATACTACAAACCACAAACGAACGTATCATCATCACAATCTATAATATATAATATACTGTATATACTCGTATATGACTTGGGTCACCGTCAACACTTTCATCCACTGTACTGTCAATGAACAGTGTAGTATAACGCAATTTACTTCAGTTTACATTGTTTCGACAGTCTTGGTTTCCATTTTCTCAAAGCGATCACTAGTTTAAACTATTGCGCACTACAGTCCACGATAGAAAGCGGCGATTTGGTTGAGTAAGCCTGTAGAAATCAATGCAGTCCGATAGAAACACTGCAGCGATCATGATTTGTTGAGTATTTGCTTACTACAGCAGCAATAGCGTCTCAATTATTGCAATGGATGCAATTTTGAACAAGCAGAAAAATCGACGGTATTACCCAAGTAGAATGGCGCGCGTAGAAATAAAATTAGAATATACATAATAAAAAAGTTGCCAAATTTTTCACCAGAAATAAAGAGAAAATTCTTTAAAATCTTGCAATACTATGAAAGGCGACTAGCAGATCATCTAACTCCAACGTACTTGTACTTAATAAAAAATTAAAATAAACTAATACGCTAGTATCCATTGACTACTGTGTGCATAAACGAGTATAAGACACATATTACTTTATTAACTTGAAAAACAATTTTACATTAAAGTGAGATTCTGGAAAAAATTTTTTCGACCTCTTATATTCGAGAACTTGCCGTGTGGAAATTTACCCATCCTCAAAATAATATTCTACCCGGAAATATTTTTGGATGATTATCCATGGCATGCATACTATTGCAGCCGGTATAGAACATGAAGTATAAGAGTATCATGGAATCCACAACATCAACACAATTACTCACTTTCTTATAGAAGAATTTCTTGGCTTGCCATGAGTCACTCTTTCTTGCAGTAGCTTTGAATCGCGCCATTTCCAGATCAATCCAATCTGTTCCAAAGATATTCCGTGTCAAAATAGCTTGTAAGAAGAGAAATTTGGCAAGGGATTGGCCTTACAGCAGTAAAAGTTTACAAAATATTTCTATAGTAAATTTAAAAAGTTGTATTGGTAGTGATAGATAGGTGCAGTAACTTTTGCATCAACTATGACGACCGCTGAAAGTGTCGGACAAGCAGCAAAGCAAAACTGTACACTATGAAAATGAAGAACGTAAACGCGCGCCAAACTACTTCACCGTAACAGCCGTACTAAACACTGTTCCCGTACGTACAGGCTACTTGTATACTTTCGCGCCTTTGCTGTACCCACTGTACGGTACAGTACTAGGATTGTAGCAAATCTCTAATGTTGCTCTTCGTCATGTACGCTGACGGTAGAGTATTCTGCCACTGTAACAAATTGGGGCAAAACGCCTACAGTAAAGGCAACCTACCTTACCAAACCGATAGTCTGACGTCGATATGATTACTGGCTTGATGCTAGTGCCTGAGATGATATTTGTCGTCAGTAGCCTAGACGTTGGTAATCGCCTATATGGTAGTATGGGAGACTACAGTACTGTACCGTCTGTACGCAAGATGGACTGCAGCTGAAGGTAGCGCTACAGTGTACAGTGTAAAGTACAAGACTGTACTCACGTGACTATCGCTTGTTTACGCTTGAGCACAGTACTGTACCTGGCGACGGGCTGTTTACTGGTACAGTAGACACAGTACTGGCACCTGATAACACCAGGCCGCAACTAGGGTTGAAATTTTACAGTACTTTGTTCCATTTTCTCTATTGTACAGTACTGTATTGTACTGTACTGTACTGTACTGTACAGTACAACAATACAAGACTGTACACTGTACAAGTACGGTACTGTACCACAGTAACCACACCGTATCGTATGATTGGCATCATCATGCCTGACGATGGTATGGTATCATACGTCATTGCGCTTCACGTCGTTCAGTTGTGCAGCATGACAACACGTCGGTACTGTTGCTTGGTAGAGCGCAAAGTTTTCAGTTTTCTAACAGGCAAAAAAAATTCCAAAATACAAAATCTACAGTACTGTACCACTGTCATATCCACGGAGATATTACTACACAACCAATGTACTGTACTGTATATAATAATACCGTACTCAGAATGCTTTTGCTTTTCTAATGTCGTCAAATCATTTCAATCAAGTCGATCACGCCGATCTATCACGGTGTAGAGGCAAACTGTAGCGTGTTGATGGACACCGTGGTGGCTTGACTGACTACTGTGGAACGACATTCCAAGTTTGGATTTTTTGTCCCTGTCTCACCCCAAAATAAAATGGTGTCATCCCATTAGTCATGACGCGTTCGGCGTAGTAGACGGACGGATGGAGAAACCTCGACAATCGATGGATCTTGACCGCAAAATGGTCCTAGCAATCATTCCCATTTTGATGCGCGAAAAATTATCGACAGCGTAGTACTGCAGTACAAATGAAAACCAAATACTACATTCTCAACTACAAATGATACACTTTCTAACCCTAAATACACAACGAGTATTGGCTACTTTTATTCAAAACTTTGTGAAAGTGAGTGCACCTTTTTAAAGATGAATTTCTAAAACTCCAATGCAAAAATATCAATACCATGCCAGTATGACGTGCCATTTCTAGACCGTAGTTGATTTTGGATTGCAATTTTGCGGGGTTTTATACAATGCGTTCGATTGATCAATGAACTACAAATTGATGAATAAAAACCTATTACCCAAACAATTAGCTGACAGTACATTGAGCTGGCAACTCGAATCAAGTCCATCTTACAGCTCATTTTTAAACTTCTTGACGTTAAGCATGTTGCGTACAAGTATATCATACAAAGTGTCATCTTACAGTCTAGTTATTAATGAATTCATGAAGGCATTCGCTTACATGAAAAATATTTTCGCAAGACAAGATTTACTAACAATATAATTTCATGATTACTGTCACTTTTTATTACAAATACATTTTATATGTACCTTGACAAAATTGGACTGAATTGGGCGTATCGCAAATCACCGCTTAACACAGGAATAGTTGAATCGTCGCTTATTCTGAATCGGTATTTTGTAGAGTATTCTTATGACGACAACTACATTAAGAATATCTTATTAACTCGAATTTTAAAGAAAAATAGTCGAGACTGCTGTTGAAGAATAAATTATATTTTGATGTGAATATATTATAGATATAATAAAGCCCATCGATGCATTAAAATTAAATTAATTAATTGAATGATATTTAAGGTCAGGATAATGATTCATAGCCAATAAATTATGATTGTACAGTTGAAGAACAAAACAAAGTACAAGCAAATTTTTAATTTCAAGAATTAATTCACTGACTTCACTGAAATATTCAATCAGTTTTTACACACGTACTATAATAAAATCGAGAATAAAATCAATACCTGCACAATCACTAAGTAAAATCATGCTTATAAACTGCAAAAGAGTGGATTAAAAGTGCTCGGTCTTTAATAAATTTGCAAGATTCAAATACCCAAATTCGATCCTTCATTTTAATGCCTTCTCCTAGTTTTTAAATACACACCGCTCTCCGGCGACGCTGTTGAACCAGTTCTTAACTTTAAAGGTATTTTAGTCTCCTTACAGGTCACAAATTCAACACGATGCAAAATTTTCACTAACGCTAGCTTTACTTCCAACAGAGCCAATTTCATGCCAATGCAAATTCGTGGACCTCCACCAAATGGGATATAGCTGTATGGGTGACGCCTTGCTTTCTTTTCTGAACTAAAGCGTTCAGGAATAAATTTATCAGCGTCGGGCCATAATTCAGGGTTGTGATGAACTGCATATATTGGAAAAACGACCATACTATTTTTCGGAATAAACACTTCATGTACATTAATATCGCGTTTAGCTTGTCTAGTGATGAAGAATGCGGTAGAATAGTCTCAAAGTTTCATTGACAACCATTTCTAAGTAAGACAAATCAAGAACAGTTTCATAATTTTAAAGTCTCTTCGTCAGGACATTTAGAATCGATTTCGTGTATAAGTTTCTGCTGGACGTCTGGATTAACTGCGAGTGTGTAGCATAGAAATGCTAATGTACTTGCTGTAGTTTCGTAACCAGCCACTAGGAAAATGATAGCTTGACTTACAACTTCTTCATTGTTAAGCCGATCCCGATCACCTGCTTCAATCATACAGTATGTGGCAAGATATCTCTGCGGCATGGAATACCTTGTTTCAGATTTTTACGCCGTTCCTGAATAACACCTACAATCGTATCACGCAAGTAATATACAGATCTAATAATTTTCCCTCCAGTTATTGGTTCCCACAATGCTAAGGCTAGATACGCGTAAATAAGTACAAGTTGCAACAAATTAGTTTGATTTCTCAGTAAGGCACTTGCGGCTGTAATTACTTTTTCCTTATGTTTTTTGGACTTAAACTCAATCCCAAATACTGTAGCAATGATGGTGCTCATACTAAGATTTCCAAATGTTTTCCAGACATCGACAGATTTAACTTGGTGCTCAGCCTGTAGGAATTTATCAATTACATCATTGGTAAAATTATTAATAAATGGAACGTTAGTTTTAAGCTTTGACGCGCTAAATGACGGTATCAATAAAGTTCGTAGACGTTTCCAGTCGTCATCATCAGCTCTTACTACCGTTTTATCGAATGGATGATGTGCTTTATTAACAGGGAATCGATTAGTAAAATTAGAAAACTCTTTGACCATAATCGTTTTTATTATCTCCGGGTCACCTATATACACAGTTGGTATGTGATAATGTAGTAAAGTATAAATTTTCCCATATTTTTCTTGACGTTTAAGTTGACCTCTATGTTGACAAACACCACCGTAATCAAAGACATTACCAATAAAAGGTTTGGGTATAGGACCCTTCAATCCGGTTGCAAGAATAGTTCTGTAAGGAATAACGTAATCTTTAACAAGTAGTGTTATAAAACCGCAAATCACCACCATAAACAACAATGTTGTCGATGATTGCGATTGTACCCACGACATTAATACCGATCCAATGCCTTCAGCCATTGCTGCCAACAATTTCTTACTAGCTTCTGTTATTGTATCACAACTGATGCGATGAATAGTTCATGAAGCACAGACGAAATTGCAAGCTTCCCACTTTATCAGTACATTAGTGGAACGTTATAAATGCTAATGACATGAGCAACAACTTAAATAGTAGCCAAAAAGTTACCCTATTAACACTTGTACATCACCGGCTAGAATCCAATAGTAATCATGATAAATTTCCCTTCAGGAAATAATCTTATTACTTAATCAATCTACGTCATAATACTAATAAGAAGACAAAAGTGAGAACAATGCTATTCTCATTGACGTATTGATGTATTGTAAGGCTCTATTGAATAAATGATGTCAATGCATGTAATCAATTGTTATTTAGCTAATCATTACAATTATAGTATTTACAGAACAGAATGCCGTACGTTAGATGATTAATCTTAGATTGATACAATTTTCATCCGGTTAGCTAAGAAATTTAAGCCTATCAGATCTTTCTTTACTCTGATTTCGTTTTAGAGAAATTATTGCTGATAGCTACATCAGGTGAAGAACATATTCGGTTGCATTGCATGACCTTACTGCAATATCATTTTCTATAAATAATCCAAACTGAGCTAGTAAAATTATTATAAGATATGCTTCACTTAGAAACTCTTAAACTGCTCAAATGATACTCTATCTAAGGTTTCTGATAGTTAATAAATTTGATTCACGCTGCTAGTGATCGTTCTTGTTTATGAAAGAAATCCTAATCTGCTAGTGAGCAAGTAAATTCAAATCTAATAGATGTGTGCTCAGATTTTGTTTTAGAGAAACTGTTTATATAGCTACATCAAGTGAAGAATGTATTCGGTTGAGATATATGACCTTGTTTTATAATCGGTTGATATAAAATAACCCAAGCTAAGCTAGCAAAATTATTATAATACGAGTATGCACACCTATATACTCTTAAACTGATCAAAAAATACTTAAATTCATGCTACCATTTCTGATAATTCATAAATTTGATTTACGCTGTTACTGATTTTTTTTGGTTATGAACGAAATACTAATCTGCTAGTGAGTGAGTGAGTCAATTCAAACCTAACAGATCTTTGCTTAGATTTTATTTTACAAATACTGTTATTGTCAGCAACGTTAAGTAAAGAGTACATTCGGTTGAGTTGCATGACATTGTTTCAGCGTCAATGGTTGCAAAATAATCCAAATTAAGCTAGTAAAGTCATTACAAAATGTACTTCATCGATGATTTATATTGTAAAATATTTTGGTATACTTATAGTTAGTATAGGATTGAAATGGACGTAAGCGATATTTTGCCTACCTAAGGTAGCTCTGTTATCAACGCTATCCAGAATTGGAGGGGCACATCCGATCAACCACTTGCGTACGGCAACACACAACTTCTTCAATATCGCTTGTCTAATGCTGTTACGTTTAAGTTCATTATATTACGTTCCAATCTTACTACATTTTGTAATGCATTCCATTAACACAAGATCAATAATTTACTACATTACACTAGATGATGCTCCTCCTGCTAAACTAGTACTCCCTTAATATAGCAATTTATTGCAAATCGATCAGCATCTGCGCTTATGATATGATTATAGTTATCAGTATAAAATACGAACAGGAACTTATTAACAATTTAATGATCGTAATAGAAGTGATATTAACAAGAATAAATTGATTAATATATTACTATTATATATGCGCACAAGACAATAATCACTTCTAGGTTGAGATACTCGGAAAAAAACTTTATTGATCAGATCAAGCATCTAAGTACTGATTAACTCTCAAGTATGGGTTGAGTAAAAATCTTAATATAAGTTTATGTGTAAGCACACATCAAGCTATACAATTTTATGTTAGTTTATTGCGCAAAGTCATAATATTATCATAGTGCTACGTTGTAATTATAAATAAATGCATAGTACACATAGATAGATCTTGCTGAAAAATTAATAAATTAAATGAAGGGATTTAACAGTGGAAAAATTTTCATACTGTTTTTTTACGATTTTAATTAAAGTCTTTGAAAATTTATATTTTATTTCAGGAGTAAGCTTTGGAAGGGCTGCAAAAAAGAATAAAGATTTGAAACCTTTAATAGGCTATCAATCTGCCTTTAAGAAATGGTATACTTATTTATGATGTCAATACTTTCTTGATTACCAGCTGACTACAGAATTACTTATAGACAATTGTAGGTTCAGAACAGTTGTATATATTCAAAATGCGAATATATACTGATATGTTTTAATCTATCATCACTTGATGCTGATTCACGAAAGGAAAATAATATAAGATCTGAAAGCATTATATTCGTAGATTTGGTATCCCAACAATGTATCAAAATCGCTTTAGCAAAAGCGATACAATTTAAGTAGGAATGCTCTTTCGTACAGTATTACTGTTGAAAATTAAGCATGTAGTTCCAAATTATCGCAATGGCTTCGTCTTTAATAGGCTTCACAGCTTCAGACCGATCAATTAGCTATCGACGGTCGATGCCTAAACGAATACCATTAAGTGGAGAAAGTGATGACAACCCCTTTAATTTAAGCGGAATTTCGGTCTCTTTAACTGTTGTGAATTTAACCTTTTGCATTAATTTTACTAAGGCTAATTTGACCTCTAGTAATGCTAAACGCATTCCAATGCAATTACGAGGCCCACCACCGAAAGGAATATAGCTGTAAGGTACAAGTTTTACTTTCTCTTCTGGCATAAATCTCTCAGGAATAAAATCGTCTGGATTAGACCAAAATTGGGGATCGTGATGGATGGAATATACTGGGAAACCAATCATAACCCCTTTAGGAATATGAACGCCATTAATTGTTGTATCTTGTTTAACGTCTCGATTAATGAAATGTGCTGGAGGATACAATCTTAATGTTTCAGAGACAATCATTTCTAAGTAAGGTAGATTAGTTATAATATCGTAGCTAACCGAATTTACATCAGGACATTTGGAATCGATTTCATCTATTAACTTCTGCTGCACTCTAGGATTTGTACCCAATAAATAGCAAGCAAATGCTAAAGTATTTTGAGTGGTTTCATAACCGGCTGTAAGAAAAATAAATGCCTGAGCTATAATCTCATCATCATTTAATTTATCATTGTCACCAGCTTCTATCATTTGCTGTATTAAGTCGCGACGGCATGTTACGCCAGCGTGGATATTCCTCCTTCGCTCGTTGATAACTTGTTTAGTTAAGTGAATAATATAGTTTATGGAAGATACTAGAGGTCCGCCGAATTTTGGTTCTAAAGCAGAGAATACTCGAGGGGAAATAATCATGAGAACTTGTAATATGCCAGGATCAGATCGAAAGAGTGCCCCAGCTGCGTTCATTAGCTTTTCTTCCTGCTTTTCCGATTCAATCTGAATACCAAAGGAAGTTGCAAGGATAACTTTCATAGTATAATGACCGGATGCCTGCCATAAATCAATGATTTTACCCTCTTCATCAGCTGTAATCAGTGTATCAATGAGGATATCGCTAGCTTCCGATATAAATGGTAGTATTAATTTTAGTTTTGAGGTTGTAAATGTAGGAATTAATATATTTCTCATACGTTTCCAATCTTGATCTTTTAACTCCAGAATAGACTTATCAAAAGGATGTAATGTTTTAGTCACTGGAAATCGATTGGTAAAGTTTGAGAATTCTTTCACCATGACGGATTTGATCATATCAGGATCGCCTATCCAAATAGTTGGGATTTGAAAAAATAAGGAAGCGTAAACCCTTCCGTACCGTTTACCCCATTCCATCTGAGCAACATGTTGATTACCAGGGCCAAAATCGAAAAGATTACCCACCATTGGCCTAGGACGGGGAAATGGTAGCCCTAGCTTTTTTATGTTCAGGTAAGGAGCAATAAGAAATCTATAAATTAAATAGATAACAAATCCAAAACATGCTGTTATAATGCACTGGCTTAGGGTTCTGGGAATGAATAATGTTATGATAGTGTCGTCCATTGCCGTTGCCTTGCTTGAAAATGGTTCAATTTTCCTAATAATTCTTGCTGTTATCGAAATATCAAAATTATAATATCACAATTATGACACCTACAGTCAACAAAATGAGGTATGATAACTATTTTAAAAAGTATACAGGATGCCGAGTAGATGCCATAACGTCCATCACACTGTAACATAATTAATTATTAATGATGTAATATTTCATATTTTCTAAGTTAAGAAGATTATCATTACAATAGTAGTCGCTATAGTAGTAGCGCTGTAACATAAACCTTGAATGATATCATGTTACATGCTTTCTAACTTAAGAATATTAGCATTACAGTACGGTAGTAGTCGCTGTAGTAGTAGTAGCGCTGTAACATAAATTGTTTATTAATGATGACATATTTCATGCTTTCTAACTTAACAAAGTCAGTATTATAGTAGTAGTCTTTGCATTTACCTTTGGCATTAGAAGTAAAAATATTTGCGCTACATTACATTGATAGTGGCTGCCGTAAATAATGTTAGAAAGCATGAATGATAAACATTGTTAATATGGTTTAGTAGCTTATATCGAATACTATTACTATCCATTTAATGTACCTAATGAGTTTGAATATTGAATTGCACTTTTAAAATTACTACTTCATTTCTCTTACTAGTAGTTATTAGCATAAATTGCAGCTTGATTCTATTCCGTTGTAGAACTACAGATTCTCCAATAGTAGTTACTAAACTATTAAACTTAGAATTATCAGCGAAATGCGTAACTTTATGTGCATGTATAGCTGCCTGGGTAGTGCTTACTATTTTCTGCTATTTGCTAGACGAACTTCATATAAATAATATGCAGTGCAACTGTTTATTGTAGCAATCAAGATCAGCAAAGCCTAGTAGCAGAGTTAAAATGAAATTAAAAGGTCCTACCAGATTTTAAAAACATGGTAAATGCGAAATAAGAATAATGATAGTAAATCAAACATTGCCAATATTGGTGCCAGAAAGTTTTATCATCGATTTAGATCAATATCCTTCAAGAGACAGTTGATATGTTTTATTTTGAATCCAATAGAAGAAATCAAACATATGAATATCTTGGTATTTTATAAAATAAACGAAAGAGGCTTATAACTTTATAGTTAATTCTAAAACCATTCAAATTTTCTAAATTTTCTACCGATATTCAATTTAAGCTTTGATATCTCAATAGTTTTAGGAATCTAACGTTTCACCTTAGTACATCAAGCGGCTTGCAACAATGCGATAGACATTTGATAGAGGCATAGAAATAACTAGATAGATATACAGTAATCTCTTAGGTTGTCCGTTATCAAAAGATGGAGCTGTATTCAGTAGAAACATAATATCACAAATCTTGTCCTCAAAACTTACAAATAGATGGAAAATTTACGTCATTGAGATCACCTATGATAGCATTTAGTATTACATAAACAAGAAATACAGGATAGACATCGAACCCCAGCAATCGGCAACAAGCCTAACTGAATGTTTACTAATCTTTTGCAGAATTCATCTTGTAAGCATTTAAATGACTACCACAATTATAACGATTGAAATAAAAACTTTTATCCTACAAGATAGATGATTGTATCCAATATAACAATTACTGCATGTATTGTAGTAATCTACTAATTCCTATAGAAGTTAGCGAAAGTACACAGAATACGGCGATGAGTTATGGTGTAATATGTTTTGTATTTTGATGATGCCAGCCCAAATTATAAAATCTATGATAAATTCAGCAATTTTGAGATATCCTATAGCTTTCAGGAAATTTAAGCTAGTCGCAATGGTTTTGCTAAATTGAAAATTAGATAAGAATGAGAAATTGCCGGTAACTGCTATACGAGTAGAACGTTTAGTTGGTCATCTACTTATAGTGTACTATAGTTGATAATATGCTTCTTTGGTATGTTGCATTAATGCCAAGATATTGCCTACTTTCATACGTAACACAACTCACGTAATATCTTTGCAGACGATTAATTTATAATATAAAGCAATATCCTAGTAAAGTTAGGACATGTGTTTGTTAATCACTGCATGATGTTGGCTGCAACATAATTCTAAACTACCCTAATCGATTTAAACCACTAACTGTTTCATCACTGCTAAACGAATATCGATAATAGCAATTAATGTATAATACTTTAAACAAGCTGCCATTTCAAGTTCGTATGCCAAAGCAAAACGTAATATTCTTGCAATCGCTGGGACACAGCTAAAAAGCAGTTTTATTTCTAATGCCTCCTACGAATGCCTAAGTAAATTCCGTTAGCAGGACATAATGATACGCCGGTCTTTAATTGTAGAGGTATTTCCGTTTCCTTAGTAGCATAAAATTCAACATTTTGAATTATTTTAACTAAAGCTAATTTGATCTCTAATAATGCTAGTCTCATGCCAATACAATTTCGTGGACCACCGCCAAAAGGAATATAACTATAAGGGTTTCTTTTCGCTTTCTCTTCAGGAGTAAAACGTTCAGGTATAAACTGTTCATGATTAGGCCAAAACTCCGAGTTGTGATGTATGCTATAAATCGGAAGTCCTATCATAGTATCTTTTGGAATGTGGAAACCTTTAACGGTGATGTTAGATTTAACATCGCGATTGACAAAATAAGTTGGAGGATACATTCGTAATGTTTCTTCAACGACCATTTCTAAGTAAGGCAATTCGCCAATGACATCATAATTCAAATCATTTGGATCAGGGCATTTACTATCGATCTCATCAATCAATTTTTGTTGAACATCGGGATTAGTAGCAAGTGAATAACAAGCAAAAGCTAATGTATTCTGCGTAGTTTCATAGCCAGCAATCAGAAACAGAAATGCTTGTCCAATAATTTCTTCATCGTTCAATTTATCATCTTCGCCTGCTTCAATCATTTGTTGCATAATGTCTTTCCGACATTTTATACCATTTTGTAGATTCTGTCGACGTTGTTGAATAACATTTTCAGTTATACGAGTAATATACTTGATTGAATTGACAACATTGCCTATTAAAGGTTCGAGACGATCGAATAAAGTTGGAGAAAGTACTACAAGCAATTGGGATGGTCCAGTAAAATCACGAAACAATGCTCCAGCAGCAGCTATTAAACGTTCTTCTTGTTCATGTGATTCAAATTCGATACCAAAACCAGCTGCAAGAATAATTTTCATACTAAACTGGCCACTCGTATGCCAGATATCCAATTTTTGATTGCTCTCTTCGGATAGGAGTAATTTTTCAACAAATTCATCGCTCCCTTGTTGAATAATAGGAATAACCGCTTTTAACTTGGAAGCACTAAATGCCGGTACCAAAATATTGCGAACACGTTTCCAATTCATGTCTCTTAACTCTAATAATGTGGTGTTAAATGGACGTGGCGACTTGGATAATTGCTTACGATTAGCAAAATTGCTAAAATCTTTGACTAAAACAGATTTCAGCACTTCAGGATCGCCCACCCAAATCGTTGGAACATGGAAGAAAAGTGTTGCGTAGACATTACCGAATTGCTTTTGCCATTCCATTTGAGCTATATGAGCGCTTGTAGCACCATAGTCCAGAAGATTACCAAAAAATGGCGTAGAACGAGACGGATGTTTTATTCCCAAGCGTTTAAGTGAACGCTTAGGAATAAAATAGATTTTATACGAGAAATAAGCAACTAATCCTAAGATAGATATTAAAATCGACTGTGTCAACGTCGATGGCGACCGCCATGATGGTAGAATTGTCTCATACCAAGCCATTATTTCAATAGTTCTAGTTGAAAAAATGCTAGACAGGATTATGGTATCGTTATTTCAAGTCCTCCTAGAATCCCTTTTGAAGATGATAGAACTTACGTAAGACTATTAAATAGCAGTGGTAAAATCCAGTCCCCCCCAAAATAGCTTAGTAGACCAGAAATTTTACCTGCGATATTAGCTTCAATTTTACCAGAAGAATTTGTTGCACGAGCCTACTAACTTTAACTTTGCCTGTACATTAATGTACTGTACACTACAATCAATCTATTTGAATTCTTTACTAACACAGTTTATATTGTATTCGGAAATACTGTAGCTGATCAATTAACTAATTAATTATTACAGTCTAAAAGCGAAGAATTATCAAGTATAAGAGGCTACACGTCTAACGGCCTTATATACAGGAATGCTAATGTAAATCAACGTACTGTATTTCATCAGACTGATCAATGACAACGTATTATAATAGAATTGCAACATTTCGTTAGCCTAACCTATCATAATAAATTAGTACTGGACTTGATTGATGTACTGACTATGCTACTACTCTTAAGTATACAGTCAGATTATGGTAATTAGCATTCATAAGGTAAATGCCATCATGATGCCATGATGATGAATTAACTAGTTATTACATGCTTCCTTGCAATTTTGCATCATTTTATGCATGTGTAGAAAGAACGATATAAAATCTTGCTACTATAGATTCACATACTGTAAGATAGATTAGAGTAATGACGAGCTATTAGATATGGATTAGTAAAAGTCTGCTAGAGTAGCAAAGTTGTGCAAACAATTAATTTATTCTCCCTTTAAGCAGTATGAACAAGAATTGTCTTAATTAGAATAATTAGAACGATACAAAATATTACTACTATAAATTCACATACTGTAAGACAGATTAAAGCAATGGGGAACTATTCGATGTAGACTGGTAAAAGTCTGCTAGTGTAACAAATTCATGCGGACAATTAATTTATACAGCCAGTAAAGCAGTTATAACAAGAATTATTGTAATCGTAGATTCTACTGTAGCAAGTTAGATAGATGATAGATATTCCTTGGCAATTTTTGAATTACGCACCTACTATGCAATATGCTACAATTAGTATATTGTAAGATTATGGTAATCAGCATTCAAGAGGTAAATGCCATAAAGATGCAGATTGGTAATGGATATCCCGTGATTCATCATTTTATGTATGTACATAAACATGGATACAAAATTTTGCTACTCTCATTTCACACACTATAAAATAGAATAAAGCAATGACAAGCCATTGGATATGGGCTGGTAAAAGTCTGCCAACGTAACAAAGCTGTACGGACAATTAATTAACACTGCCTGTAAGCAATTGCGACTAGAATTGTTTTAATCGTAGATTGCATCGTAGAAAATTAGACATTTGATAGTTATTCCAAGGTAATTTAGAAGACGAACAGATATATGAAATAAAGTGAAGCCTTACTAGAAACTGAAGCTCTTACACAACTATTTTAGATAATTTATCACAACATGATTTCTCCAATTTTAAGGTTACAGCTATCCAATTACCATAACTGTTCAGGTAGCATTTACCTATTCAGTTTATAAAAGCCCTTATACCAGAATTTTTATTCACTGTGCTCTCCGTGATACACGGTAAAATGTATATTCTACAATCCCTTTTTTAAAGATTATTTTCAAGTATTGATTAAATATAGACACCTAAAAATTGGTCGATAATGCGATCTACAACCGAATGGAGTGTAAAGTGTACGGAATTTAATAAATCATATATTATTACATAAAAATGAAATAATATCAAAAATATCTAAAGAAATCGATCAATAACATATATAAATCAACGATGATTTATACCGTAGTTTTACTAATAGACTATGATTTGCGATCCGAGAGTTGTACTTGGATCTCGCAATATTACCACCGCAAATGAAATTACGTCAAATTTATTAAATTATAACACATCGATAAATAATGATAGAATTGAAAATTTTCATTCATTTTCTTAGCAATAGATTAAATCGAAGTACAGCAATAAACTATTGACTTTAACAGGTAAAGGCTTTAAGATGTACCCACAAAATCTTATAACCAGTGACTATGGATCACAGCTACAGTAACATTCACTGATTAATAGGAACAATTAAAGTATGGATAACGTAGTGAAAAATATCAATAACTTTGATTCAAATTATTGGTAATCTAATTATGAAAGATTGAAAACCTTCAATCTACGGTTATTCCGATATTTTGTTTTTTTACCGCTTGCACTCGAGTTGATGCTGTACAGTATATCAGATAGGGATCATGTCTGATATGAACATCTAATTTTCCAGATCATAACTGCTCTATACAAGCACAATACAATGTTGTCTTCACGCTCTGGATAGGTAAATTCAGATCATGGCGTACTCAAGTACACAGATAGAATACAGTATACGGTAGTAGACATTTCTTTAATAAGTGAATATATTCATTCTATGCACTGAAAGCTGAAAAATCGCATTTCGGGCTGCATCCATGTCATACACATTGTAGAAACAGTTCTGAGTTGCAAATACTTGCTAAATACAGACCCTTAAGGATTGATCGACAGTGCATCCAAACTAGATGAATTAATGATCTGTTCTACCGAATTGAAGAAGTCACATACTGCATTATTATAATGTCCTCCTCACTTGATCACGAATAAAACGATATTTAATACAACTGAAGGAACCATTATAGAATGTATACTAATTAGCCTAGACTTATAAAATTTCAGCAATAGATTTATTTTTACAATTGGGCACAGCGCTCTGTGATCTTAGGTACTACAGCAAATGAAATTTAGTTGAATTTATGAAACTTTAAGATACGTATCTTTAGACGATGATAGAATTAAAAATTATTATTTAACGTCTTTGTAAGAGATTAAATAGAAAAGCCGCTTATGAAGCTCTGTAAAGATAAAGATTTATAGATGAACCTTTAATTTCCTAATCAGAGATTATCTTCAATTAAACACATTAGTTAAACTCAATAAGAACAATCAAGGCGACAAAGACGTTATCCTTAAGATTATTTCTTTATAAACGTCATTAGTATAATATGTCCTTGATCTCTATAGTAAAAATCGAACAGAGGGCTCTATCGAGCAACAAGTACCGTAACTGAATTTTTATACTGTAAAAACTATCTTACTGGTAAACTGCGCTACTGCATGTCTCCATTGGATCCTAAGGTGGATGAAACTATCCAATGCTACATCTAACCTTTAGCTCGATTATTTTAGCCAGTAATAAAAGTTTATGATTTAAAATCGTTTTCGAATGCCCAAATATATCGGGTTAGTAGGAGCTAAAGTATTGATAGATCGTAATTTTAAAGGTACTTCCGTTTCCTTTATAGCTACAAATTCCACGTTTTGCAATATCTTGATTAAAGCTAGCTTTACTTCTAATAAGGCCAATCTCATACCGATACAGTTTCGTGGTCCATTGCCGAACGGTAAATAAGCAAATGGATGTTGATTTGCTTTTGCCTCTGGTGTAAAACGTTCAGGTTTAAATCGTTCAGGCTCTGGCCACAATCGAGCATCGTGATGAATAGCATAGATTGGAATGCCTACCATGATATCATCGGGGAAAAATATTCCGTCTATTGTTGTAGATTTCTTAACGTCGCGATTAGTAATAGTAGCTGGAGGATAGAGCCTTAAAGTCTCCGAAATAACCATGTCCAAATAAGACATGGACGATATTATATCATAGTTGATAGAATCGCCGTCAAGACAATGACTATCTATTTCATCGATTAATTTTTGCTGTGCTTCAGGATTCGTTGCTAGTGCATAGATTGTAAAGGATAGAGCATTCTGTGTAGTCTCGTAACCGGCTAAAAGAAATATAACTGCCTGACTTACAATTTCATCATCTGAAAGCTTATCCTGACCGCCAGCTTCGATCATGTGTTGCATCATATCTTTACGACAAGGTTTACCAGCAGCAAGATTATCTCGTCGCTCTCGGATAACATTTTTCGTTATATCAACGATATAGTTCACAGCATTTGAGAATCGACCCCCTAGGAGAGGTTCTATATGCTTAAAAACATTCGGCATCGTGAATACTAAAAACTGTAAAAGGGTTTGTAGTTTACTCATATCATCAGTCCTAAAAAAGACTCCGGCTGCTTTAGTCAGTTTCTCTTCTTGTTCCTTTGATTCAATCTCGACACCAAACGCTGTACCTAGAATTACTTTCATCGATAGTTGTCCACATGAGCTCCACATATCTAATTTTTCACCTTTGGTATCAGCTTCAATTAATCGTTGAATAAACTCACTTGTTGCTTGTTTAATTAATGGTACAACAACGCGTAGCTTAGAGGTTGTAAATGTAGGCACTAAGATATTTCTGACACGTTTCCAATCATGATCTCGTAGTTCAGCTACAGTTTTATCAAAAGGAGGCAGCGACTGATTAAATGAAAAATGATTGGGAAAATTACTAAAATCTTTAACCATGATTTGTCTCAAGATATCAGGCTTAGAAATCCAAATGGAAGGAACATGGAAGAATTGCACAGCATAGATATCGCCATATTTTTTCTGCCACTCTATTTGGGCAATATGTGTACTATTAGGTCCAAAATCGTTTAGATTTCCTATCACCGGAGATGGTGGAGGATACGGTAATCCTAATTTTCTTAACTTCAGACGAGGTGCAACGACAATCTTGTAAAGCATGTTTAACACAGCAATAGCAAACACAGCTAGTATGTACCACATCCATGATTGTGGTAACCAGGCAAAAATCGAATCTAGAATCATTATTTTTCTACTAATCAATGGTGTCTTGGTGATAATCAAGTATTTTACAACCAAAGTAATCACAAACTTTTATTAGAAACCTTCAATCTTCGCTTATGCCGATATTTCTATTTTCCGCCGCTTTTACTCAAGTTGATACCACATACTGCTTCGAGATTACGTTTGATGCGATCATCTAATCTGTTCCGATTCCAACTAGCCTACAGTATATAATAACACTGTAATGCCAGGCCCACATCCTAGATATACAGATTCAGACAATAGCGTACCCAAGGAAACAAATAGCATACAATAAATTATGATTCAATTGGTCTTATTAATTACGATAACTAAACAAGTATTGTATGTATGTATTTAAAAGCTGAAAGGGAAGTTTTAGGTAATATTACATCAGCTAGTAAGATTCTTGAAAACATCGGGATATATTCTTATTTACTTATTGCGATATCACAAAACTTGTTAGATATCACATCTATAAAGTCTGCATTCAATTGATTTTATCGTATTTATTCTATCGCTCTACTTAGCAACATGTATCCATTATGACAAGCATCCTGCCCTATGTTAAGCTTTTATTTTTTTAGATGGAACAAGTGGGGAAGGCATAACATGAGAGAAGTAACATTACGTTATAATTTACCCGCAGGAAATTATATCATAATGCCATCGACCTCTCACCCAGATGAATTAAGAGCATTTCTTCTACGTGCCTTTTCAGAATAATCAATAGAAGGATCAACTTATGATAACCAAAATTAAATAAACCTATTATTCTTCCCAATATTTACATAAAATTACTTCAAAACTTAAGCAGATAATAATTTCTCTCAACCAAATCTGAGATATATGATTAATTTTGATCTTGTTTTAGAGAAGAGACTCACTTTACTTTACCGCGGTAGATCAAGAAATAGAGCATTGCTTATTTTCTTGCTATTAAAAATAATTGATACGTATTATATTACATAATATCGTATATGGTATAGTTGTAGCTAGATGGACGGATGAATCCTTGTCAAATTAAATAATCAATTATTCGTACAGTACTCCCAAGCTATGTTTCGAAGCTTTTCGAAAAGCAAGTGTATTTAAACAACTATTAAAATTAATCAAATTAAATCTATTCTAGCCTAAGCGTCAGGAGAAACTCTAGAAGTGAACGAAAAGGTAAAAGAAAGTTTCAGAGGATTAGCTGGAAGACAGTTTATTACAAGTCAACTTTAAATTACGGTAGATGCGATCATTGGTCTTGTTGTCATGTCCATATAAGATCAACATATGCATATTATAGCATATCAAATTTAAATCAGATTTAACAAATTAAAAGTATTTTAGAGATTTTATTTAGTTACTAGATCACTTGTTGGATAATAATAGTCCGTGTTAGTGCTGCTGAAGCATATAAATATCACCAATTTATAACTTTTCAATAGTTTACTGAAAAGTTACTTTCGTGTATAACTTATAATTTGGCAACGTAATTGTATTTTAAATTTCATCAGGATTCGAACGGCTGTAGTCTAAGCAGAAATATCTACATATTTTAGAATTTAGCAGAATAGTTATGGCAATATCAAGATTTTAGTTTAATACTTAACTTTATTATAATATTTCATCAGAATTATAATTTCTATTACTGAAAATACGTACGGTAATATCTGGCAGGATTCGAAGTAAGTAATAGCCATTTATTAACAATACGAAAGCGTTATTCAAACACGCCTAACGTGATTATAGTTTTAGTGTTTTATACAATCGCATTAAAATTACTCATCGCTAGGGATAAGGGCTGTATTAATAACCGCAATAGTAATATAATCAATGAACTAGCTAAGGCTTGCCAAAGTAACAACACGTGTATATCAAAATGTTTGGTAGCCTTAACGTATTTACTTCACCGTATCGGTTGGTTTATCTATTGACTAATGCAAATGCTGACTGATTCAAATTTTGTACATTTTAGAAAATTTACAAGCTTCCCATCAGAAAATGGAAATAATGCTCAGTTTTTCGTAGACTTGGTAAGTAAACTAAGTAATAGAACTGCCATCTAGTAGCTATCATAAATGAATATCAATCTTAACTCCAAAATTATATTATATAATTGATAGCTAGCTTACAAACATTGCAATCACAAGCTAATTCCAACCATGAAGTTCTGGCATCTCTATCGCCAAAAGCAACCTTGGCAACGCAATGGACCAATTATATAAACTCATCAACGAAAAGAAACAATTTAATTGTACAAATGATTTCACAAGTGATTTAAATTACACAATAGTATACGCTGCACTATCAATACCAAGCATTTCTGCGCTTGTGTTCCTTAAAATATCCTAATAGTGTGTTTTGTACAGACATAATAATTTAGTTGTTATTTATTTTAATAATTCCCTTACTTATCCCTTCACCTTAAAATCCATGGTTAGTACAGTAAAATACGGTAACTTATTTTATGATTAGCACTTATTGCATGATATGAATATATATCTTTGAAGGCATCACAGTTTTGATCAAAATAATTCCCAAAACTAATAAGAATAACTTTACTAATGGTTCCTGTTTTCTCGTATATGTTAGCTAAAATTCTATGTGAAATAAATCGAAACACCGTAACTGTAGGATAGAACATGTTCATATTTTGTATTGTATGTAATCTTATTGGAGTACTAAATTACGGCAAGGAACAAATTTATCGTTACTACGTCGGATATCAGCGACTGAGTTTATTGTACCGCTCTCGAAAATCAATTCAAAACAACAATAATCATATTAGATATTTGACATAGTGCATAATTATACTGTAGTAGTAGTAAATAATGTGATGACTTTATACAAAGATGAGCTGTGAGTAAGATGGCTTTACTGCAGCTTCGCATGTACAGCAAACCGTATGGTATAATGCAATAATTATTACCATGATTCTAAGAAAGTACAAGAAGCTTAAATAATACCAACCATAAAATTGAAGGCAATAGACCATCCATGTTATGCATAGACGAGCTACGAATAAAATTTCTTTATCATAGCTTTGATTTACAATAGGCATACATTCGAGAATAATTTTAATTTAGTTTGCAATGGCATGCAATCATAATTTGATTTGATTTAACGGATTTGCTGCCAAATCATGTTCAACGGAACAGATCATGCAAATAGCTAACGGAAAATGTCTGTCTTCAAACATAAATTGCTTTTTAGACGAGCTAGACTCTCTATTAGAAATTTAAATGAATTGTAGTAATTCAATTTTAATTTTTACATAATATACCGATTTTTTTGTACCACCGTACGCATACACTTAATTTACTATCAATAGAGAATACATATCATTTGATTAGAAACTATTTAATATCTCTTTATATATGCATATTACATTGACAGAGAATATATCGCATTATATCAGTTTGATTATCTAGCTTCTATGATGAAAGAGAGCTTAATTAAAAATAAAAATATTGAAATCGCACGACATAACCTCTTCATAAATACTAGAGTTAATTTATTGAACAGTATAACATCATTATGCAAAAAATTAAATTTTTTAAGTGATAGTCCTACTAATGAGCTATCAAAGATAAAAAAAAAGCCCAGTCTAGCCAGTCTTGAGCAAACCTCAGACAGTGTCACAAGCAAGACAATAATTAACATGACCGTATAAAATATAAATACTAGTTAAACTAGTCAGAATCTTTTGCGAATCCCCAAGTATAGTGGATTTACCGGTGATAAGGTGGACAAAGATTTTAATTTCAAAGGAACTTCAGTTTCTTTGTTTGCAAAAAATTCAATATTTTGCAACGTCTTGACTAAGGCTACTTTTAGCTCCAGTAAAGCCAATCTCATGCCAACACAATTGCGGGGTCCAATACCAAATGGTAGATAGGCATAAGGATTACGACTTGCTTTTGCTTCTGGAGTAAAACGTTCGGGAATAAATTGTTCTGGATCATGCCAATATTTTGGATCCCGATGAATAGAATAGATAGGAATAGCCAAGATAACATCCTTGGGTATATGTATCCCATCAATTATCATGGATTGACTCACTTCACGGTTAGTAGTAATCGCCGGAGGATATAATCGCAGCGTTTCTGCTATTACCATATCCAAATAGGGCATTTCTGATACAATATTGTAGTCTAGAGAATCACTGATAGGAAATTTGCTATCAATTTCGTCAATTAGTTTTCGTTGGATATCAGGATTGGTCGCTAATGAGTAGCAAGCGAATGTTAAAGCGTTTTGAGTTGTCTCATAACCGGCGACAAGAAAGACAAATGCTTGACTGATCATTTCATCGTCTGAAAGTTGGTTACTGCCATCTGCCTCAATCATATATTGTAAGACATCCTTACGGCATGGTCGATCATGAGCGAGATTATTCCGGCGTTCTTTAATAACAGCTTTAGTTATTTCAACAATATGCCGTACAGAGCTACAAAAATTTCCACCTAACAATCGCTCAATTGGAGCAAATATTATCGGATTAGCAAATACTAGAAATCGCAAAATAATTTGGATAGTTCCAACATTCTCGGTTCTAAAAATATCACTTGCAGCTTTGATTAACTTCTCTTCTTGCTGTTTTGATCCAACTTCAATTCCAAATGCGGTACCAAGAATTACTTGGATAGAAAATTGACCACTTAAAGTCCATATGTCTAATTTTTGACTCTTTTGATCAGCAGTGATCAGTCGATGAATAAATTCATCACTTGCATGTTTAATTATTGGCATAGTAAGTCGAAGCTTCGATGCAGTTACAGTAGTCATTAAAATCGTCCGAACTCTTTTCCAATCGTGATCTTTTAATTCCGGCAATGTTTTATCAAACGGTGATAATGCTTGAGTAAATGGATAGCGATTACTAAAACTACTAAATTCTTTAACTAGTATAGTTTTTAAAGTATTCGGATTAGCAATCCAAACTGCAGGTATATATAAAAATAACGCTGCATAGGCATCACCATATTTTTTGCCCCATTCTATTTGAGCAATGTGCTGTTGATCAGCACCATAATCGAACAAGTTACCTTTTAAGAATGTTGGCGCGGGATAAGGTAATCCAATTCTTTTCAGCTTTCGACGAGGGACAATTCCAACTTTATAAATGAAACAAATCAAAATCATGACAACTCCTACCCCAATTAAAAGTGTAAATGACTGGGGTAGCCATAAAATACTCAATATATTCTGTTGTAAGTGCATTCCGTTTTCAATCAATCCGTAAATCAGTTGGTAATGTATTATCATTTACTTTATGCTTACTGATTATAAGTTAAAGATTAGATCAGCTCCATAGATTTACTAGGTGGAAGTTGAGTACCAGCAGCACTAATTTTATATAAATATTATTAACATCAAAATGTATTTAGTTAAGTTTTATCGATGAAATATTAATATTGCCTCAGCTGATAAACACCATCATCAACCAGTTATAGGCTTGCAATGCGATTAAGAATATTATTTTTCATCTACTATCCTGTACTGTATATTAATTAATTTGTACTGTATGCTGTAAAATTTGCATAATGCATTTACGTCATATACGTCAGCTTAGCAACGGCTAGATCTTTTTCATATGCTGTAGTGGCATTACACACATTACACATATATGCTCTATATTATTTCAGCTAATTATAGCAGTTACAGGCTTTAAAATTATGGTAGTAGTATGGAGTAAAGAAGTGTGTACGATAGAACAGTCGATTGCACCTAGTAAAATAATTGCATATTGTTGCTAGTATTAGGAAGGGCGCACGTTCTACTATTTTAGCAATACAAATGTGGAGCTTCTCGATTTCGAACCCAAGCTCTAGTTAATCCACTTATTGCAAAGATCAATTACTATTAGTTTAATAATTTTGCCAGTAATCAAGGTATAATATCTGCAATAATTAGAATTGACCTGTTCAAGATTCTAAATAAGCAGATCGATTACTTATTCCATGCTATATGATACACAATATAACATTTTTACATTGCGATATAACAGCGCTGGCATATCGAGATTTGAAATGATGAAGATATCTCAATTTACAGTAGAACCCTAATTCACTTGATAATTGGCATTAAATTTAGCAAAGTTATAGTAGTTAACATTTCTTAAATCTCATACGGAAATTTTAAGAATTTCGTTAACTAGTTTATCAATATAAGGTTGTTACTGAAAAATATAGGCTCCTTTTTATTACCGAATTAAGATATAGTCCTTATTATCGCTGTTCGAATGATCAACCAGTGCATTCCTATAAAATCTTACAACTTATTTTTAAGGCCCTCATAACGTCCATATATTTTCACAAAAGATATCAATCTAATGATCTAGAAATCTGAGGTTATAAATAACGACGGAAGTAATAATGATCAGTTTGAGAGCATTATAGTGGCGCGAGATAATAACTTGGAATGACGATTAAATTAAGCCTGAAAAATTTACGAAATTGCCCCTATTGGTAGAATTCTGTAGCCAATCAGGTGTTTAGAAAATCTGTACACTGCCGCTACACAGTAGTCGCCGGAATCATGATCTATTTCCAGGATCTATATTTTTACTATCGCCTCGTCTGTAGTAGGTACTACTGAATTTCTTACTAGAAATATTATAATTATTCTTCCACAAAAGTAATAATTTTGCTATTAAGTTGATTCTCTATCGCTTCTATCTCAGAGCTGCGATTTGTAGACACGCGGCTTATATTTTGTTATCTATATACAGTACTCCGGTCTTTTAATATTGCACTATCAGTGGAAAATATCGCTGTGTTTGCACTTGTAACGATCGAATTATTTATTTTAATTTTATCCTTCAAAATCTTGCCACTCAACTATTCTTATAACACCAACAATAATTAATGGTATTGCTGAACTAGTTGTTAGCCACACACATTATTATACGTCTTCAGCCACTTTAAATTAAACCAGTACGCAAAGTATCACGAACGAGAAAATCTACTAAGGTAGTACTTAAAAATAAACCTGGATAATTAGTACGACAGTATAAAGAAATAGACTATTTTATTTTATGATTTATTGACGTTTACAAGTATACCGTAGTAATATTTGTTGCTATCAAAGCGCATGACTTTATAAAAACCGGCAAATTGATATTGGAATGGTATAATATATCATCAAAAATGTATTTAAGTATCACCCATAACTCAATTTTACTTTCTGTTGATAATTACTAACCAAATCTGGTTGTTAGCATTTAGAGTAAATTAGCTTTTGAAAATATATTTAAGCTTCTTAATGGCAGTATAAAATATCTATTTTGTTGCCCAACTCAAGTACGGACAAACAAATCGAACAGCTATCAATGATTATCAAAATGCTTGAAGATATTACACTTCTGAAGCATGATCTACCCCTAAGTCGTTATAAACTTACTTGATAGAGCAGCACTATACATAATATGTTACGTACACGTATCGTACTAATTCTATGGATATTTACTTAGCTATAGTGAAAGAATACAGCCTTATAGCGTTGGATAATTAAGCACGGAAAATATGATCGATAGCAGCCGCAAAGAGATCTTAGCAGACCTTGCTATCAACTTTACGGCAATCCAAAAGGTGACTTAATGACTTAGTTGCAGGCCTTAGTATCTCTTTCGAATACCCAAGTAGACCCCATTCTCTGGCGATAAAGTTGACAATGACTTTAATTGTAAAGGAATTTCTGTATCCTTAGTTGTGATAAATTCAATTTTCTGCAATAATTTCACTAATGCCATCTTCACTTCCAGTAAGGCTAATCTCATACCGATACAATTTCGCGGTCCGCTTCCAAATGGCAGATAAGAAAACGGATGATGTTCACTCTTTGCTTCAGAGCTAAATCGTTCTGGATCAAATCGTTCAGGATCTGGCCAATATTTTGGATTGTGATGCATTGCATAGATTGGAAATGACAACATAACATCTTTTGGAATGTACGTTCCATCAACAGTCGCCTCCTCATTTACTTCACGATTAATAAAAGAGGCTGGTGGATACATTCGTAGAGCTTCACTTACTACCATGTCCATATAAGTTAACTCAGAGATTACGTCGTAAGTTACCGAGTCTTCATCAGGACATTTGTCATCAATTTCATCGATAAGCTTCTGCTGGACATCTGGGTTCGTAGCTAATGAATAACAAACAAACGCAAGCGTATTCTGTGTGGTTTCATAACCAGCTAAAAGGAAAATAAAGGATTGACTGATAATTTCATCATCAGTGAGTTTATCATCGCCACCTGCTTCAATCATGTGTTGCAACATATCTCGACGACAAGGTATGCCTGCATTCATATTATTTCTACGTTCTTGAATGGCATTCTTGGTTATGCCAACAATATAATAAATAGACTTGACCACTTTACCTCCGCATCTGGGTTCAAGGAAGAGGAAAAGTTTGGCTGAAGCAAAAAAGATTAACTGGAATATAGTTTGCCTAATGCCAAAGTCCTGTCTAAAAAATAGACCTGCTGCGTTTGTCAGTTTGACTTCCTGCTCTTCATTTTCAAATTCAAGTCCGAATGCAGTTCCAAGAATGACTTTCATGCTAAACATGCCAGAGGCTTTCCAAAGATCGATATTTTCGCCTTTTTCATCCGCTTTAATAAGTTTATCGATCAAAATATCTGCAGTATCTTTAATAAGTGGGACAATTAACTTGAGCTTGGATGCCGTAAATGTTGGAATAAGAATAGTTCGAACACGTTTCCAATCCTGATTTTTTAATTCCAATAACGTTTTATTGAAGTATGGCAAAGCTGCATTAAATGAAAAGCGATTAGCAAAGTTGGAGAAATCTTTGACCATGATTGTTTTCAACAGTTCTGGCTCGGCAATCCATACTGCAGGAGCTTTAAAGAATTGTGTTGCATACCTAGTACCATACTTTTTTTGCCATTCTAGTTGAGCTATATGTTGTTTGGTAGGTCCATAATCGAATATATTTCCAGTCAATGCTGTTGGTGCAGGAAATGGCAATCCAATCTTTCTCAATCGACGCACAGGAGCCACAAAAAACTTGTAATAAAAATAGCTACAAGTAACAACCACCACTGCAACAATCAACTGTTGTAAAGGAGTTTGTGGTAACCAGATTTTTGCTAAAATATCATTAATCGACATAATGGCTCGCTGGAAAAGAATAGATTCTAGTCGAGATTCCTATTCTCAACTGAAATTAAATACATTAATATACATTGTACAGTACAATAATAAATAAATATCATCATCAGCCTGCAGGTAACCTCAAGATTTCTGATCGCCCTTGTAAATATTGTACTGTACTGTACTGTAAGATCGTGCTGAACTACTGTACTGTACTGTACTGTACTGTACAGTACCCGGATATCGTACTGCATGTGTGGAAAGTACTGTACTAAGACATTTAATCAGGTATGATACGGGTAACGTTTGCCATACTGTATATAGTGAATTTTGTATCGGCATGATACCGATGAGGATCTGTACGTCAATACCTTACAGTGTACAGTACAAAACGAGGTTGGTACTGTACACTGTACAGTACCGTACGCTAAAGTCTTGCGGTAAAGAGTCTCTGTGATATAGTAGTAGCAATTAGTAATTATTAGTGCTAAAGGAGGGGAAGATAAAACATTGAATTTAGAGTTCAATTAGATAACACGGTTATAAAAATAAATAAATTTAAATTTATTAGCAGTCAAAAAAACACGAGAACACAATATCAAAAATACGAGTAGTTTTGAAAGTAATAAAACATCGAATTTAGAGTTCATTTAGATAACACGAGTTATAAAAATAAATAAATTTAAATTTATTAGCAGTCAAAAAACACGAGAACACAATATAAAAAATACGTGTAGTTTTGAAAGTAATAAAACATTGAATTTAGAGTTCATTTAGATAACACGAGTTATAAAAATAAATAAATAAATTTAAATTTATTAACAGTCAAAAAACACGAGAACACAATATAAAAAATACGAGTACTTTTCAAAGTAAAAGGTGTGAAAGGGCCGATAAAACATTGAATTTAGAGTTAATTTTAATTTAGGTAACGCGAGTTATAAAAATAAGTATAAATTTATTAACAGTCAAGAAACACCAGAACACGATATAAAAAATACCAAAAGTATTAAAAGTAAAAGCGGCGGTGAAAGTGAGAGTGAGATTACTTACAGTATACGACGTATACGTGTTCTAGGGAATCTCTATCACAAAATGTAAATTAAATTTTAAATTAGATACGAAGTTTCCAACAGTAACTGTTTATAAATTAGAATGATTTCTTGCATACAAACTCATGCTATTCAGGTATTTGGTACAAATAATCTGCAGCTTTGATACGTGGCACGCAGTTTCCGTGTACAGTGAAAACAGTATAATAATTATGGCTGCTAAATTTAAATGTTTTGATATCACACACTAAAATAATTGTAATCATATAAATATAAATCAATTTGTTAGCTTTCGATTTACTACTTGCAATATTGCGTTGTTACGCTAACTTACGCTTCGTGTAGCGTAAACTATAAAACTTAATGTGCAGGCGAAAAAGAGTGAATTATATGAAAAACCATACATACTTGCATAAATATTACAAGTCATTCATCATCTCGTAGTGATTACTCAAATAATTAACTGACTTAGAGTAAACCTTATTGAGACCTGTACTAATATAATTGAGCTATAAGCAGTATACTATGAGCTAATACCCTGGTATTATCGTATTAGATAGAGTGAGTTTAAATATCTAGAACTTTGAAGGATTAATTATGTCAGGAATGAATCATACCTACAGTATGCAGTATTATATGAGTGCCGGTATCCATCCAAATTGGTAGAAAAAGATTTTAATATGATGTGACTGTAACATGAATCGCTAAACCTTGACAGATACGGCAAGCGCAATCTTCAGGTATAGCTTAATACAAGATAGCGCAATTTATTAGAATTAATAAACGAGTCACTTACAATACAAGGATAAGGAATAACAACATGAGTAACACCACATTAGCAATAATTATAATCAAACGCATAAATTACAAAATTGGTTTAAGTTCTACTATGGAACCAATAAAGGCAAAATTGATTGATTGATCATGCACTTGTCATCAATTATTGTTTGAATTAATTATTAAGTTAAAATCCACGTACTTGAATCGTCATTTCAACGCTCAAATATGCCAACCTGCATTATCTGACTACTACCGACTTACATAGAGTAGTCAATGCATGCTTTATCGAGTACCAAGTCCTAGCCAGATCCCGTTAGCAGCTGTTAAAGTACCCCCGGTTTTCAGCTTTAACGGTACCTCTGTATCTGCCACCGTCTTTAACTCTAAATTTTGCATTAAGCTTACTAATGCCAATTTTACTTCCAATAAAGCCAATCGCATACCAACACAATTTCGTGGCCCATCACCAAAAGGTAAGTAACAACATGGATTACGTTTGGCCTTTTCTTCTGGTGTGAACCGTTCTGGTATAAATTGCTCAGGATCTGGCCAAAACTGAGGATTATGGTGAATTGTATAAATAGGTATACCAACGATACTATCGTTGGGAATGCGGACGCCTTCAATTGTTACCTCCTTCTTAACTTCACGATTGGAAAAAAATCCCGGTGGATATAGCCTTAGTGTCTCAGAAATAACCATATCTAAGTAGGTTAAATTATTCAATATTTCATAATCAATGCTATTTACATCTGGGCATTTCGTGCAAATCTCCTGGTATAACTTATCCTGAATTTCTGGATGCGTAGCCAACAAGTATGAAGCATATGCTATAGTATTGGATGTTGTATCATAACCAGCAATGAAAAAAATTATGGCCTGACTTATAATTTCCTCATCACTTAATTTTTCTTGGTCGCCAGCTTCAACTATAAGTTGTAGCATATCTTTGCGACAAGGCAAACCAGCATTTAAATTCTTTCGTCGCTGTTTAACAATTTCATTTGTTAGATCTGTAATCTTATTAATAGACTGTACGATGGTACCAAAATATGGTTCTATAATCTTCCACATAGAAGGGCAAAGCAGAAAAATAATCAAAAGGAACCCTTGTATAGGCTCAACTAAATCTTTGGCAGTACGAGCTAATTTGATTTTTTGCTCCTTGGATTCATATTCAATGCCAAAAATAATAGCCAAAACAACTTCTAATGAAAAATAGCCGGCATGATCTAAGATGTTTACTTTACCATCTACTTGATTAGTTTCAACTAGCTCTTCAATAAACTTGGCATCAATGTCTTTCATCAACGGCACAATTTGTTTCAGTTTAGAAGCTGAAAAAGTCGTAATGAGGATATTTCGAACGCGTTTCCAGTCATCATCTTTCAAAAAGAGAACTCCTTTGTCAAACGGTGATATGGGTTTTCCAAAAGGTGGAAACCGGTTTGAAAAGTTGGAAAAACTTTTAACCATCACTTCTCGTACCATATTGGGCTCCCCAATCCAAACGGTCGGGGTACCAAAGAACATGGTAGCAAATACATTTCCATATTTCTTTCTCCATTCCAACAGAGCAAGATGCTGCCCAGTCGGCCCCCAATCTGCAATATTTCCAATGACAGGCTTAAATTTGGGGCCAGCGAGTCCCAATTTCTTTAATCGTCGATATGGGTCAATTACTATTCTATAAATTAAAATTGCTAATCCAATTATGGCTGTTAGTTCAATAAAATGAGTGATGGATTGTGGCACAAATAGGAACACCAAGATGTCCTGGATCGCCATCATAATAAAGATAGCGGATTTGCCTTAAAGGAAAATGTCAACGGCAATGCAATCCCACTTTTGGACGTCAAACTTGGACTAAAATCAAGAAATAAAAGACATTCAAATATCAGTAATAAAATCTGTCAAGGGAATACCTTAACTATCTATTTAGTTGCGTCATGACTAAGGTTGTGGCAAGAGGAGATAATCAGAATTAGGTATTCTTTCCCTTCGATGATCTAGTCAATTTAGCTCGTAGCTTGCTTTTTAATTAGAACCCTTTTAATACTTACTTCTAACCGGATATTCTCGGTTTTTACTCTACCTATTAATCCTGTAGATAACATGTTAATCAACGTGTCCAATTTGACTTTAACGAGCTATTATACAGGTACTGTAGATCCATTCACTTACTACCAACCACCTAGTCAATCGCTCAATTACGTTCTATACTTTTATTTATTATAAAGAATCCCTTACTTAAGATTGATTGATTGATAGCTGATATTATACATGCGATGTGACTAGTATTAATACTAGATGTAACGCATGCCAACTGAATGTCAAATAACATGAATATTGTCTAATGTACACTTGTACAGTAATAAATAACAATATACTATTCGTCATCATCTACGGATTTACTATACTACAGTATTGACGTAACCTAGTCAATCATTCAATTACGTTCTATACTTTTATTTATTATAAAGAATCCCTTACTTAAGATTGATTGATTGATAGCTGATATTATACATGCAATGTGACTAGTATTAATACTAGATGTAACGCATGCCAACTGATTGTCAAATAACATGATATATTGTCTAATGTACACTTGTACAGTAATAAATAACAATATACTATTCGTCATCATCTACGGATTTACCATACTACAGTATTGACGTAACCTAGTCAATCATTCAATTACGTTCTATACTTTTATTTATTATAAAGAATCCCTTACTTAAGATTGATTGATTGATAGTTGATATTATACATGCGATGTGACTAGTATTAATACTAGATGAAACGCACGCCAACTGATTGTCAAATAACATGTACGTATATTGTCTAATGTACACTAGCACAGTAATAAATAACAATAAACTATTCGTCATCATCTACAGATTTACTATACTGTACTACGTCCAGTATTTACGTAACGGTGCAACATGAGTGAACACGGACAATACTTACGAGTCGATCTCTTCTACCGTGCAGTATTTGCACACCTCCAGATATGATCGAGAAATCAGGGTTAATTTCCTGTCCACGAGGAGCAATAAACTAACTGTAAAATGAACATCTATCCTTATTCCTATATGCTCCTATGGTCACTGGTGGTCCTCCCTATTTATAGAATTCTGAGTTTAGCCGGCTCCTTTCAGGACCGTGCTCAATGAGTTGCTAGAAATGTACTGTACGGTACAGTACGGTACTGTACTATTACTGTACTGTACTGTACTGTACTGTACTGTACTGTACAGTACTGCACATCACGCTGGAAGTGACTTTACCGTACAGTACGGTATGGTACCGTAATGGTACCATACAGTACTGTACTGTACGTGTAAACACCGACACACCGTACTGTACTGCACGACTGACATGCCCACTACAGTGTACAGTACTACAGTACAGTACATAGCCATCAAGCCTTATACTGTGTACTGTACACTGTAGACTATCTTGACTAGGTAATCTGACATCATCCTTAGTCCATGGTACAGTACCCGTAGAAATGAGTGAAGAACGTCAATAAGGCATGACCATGACCTCTACCTAGACCACCATAGTTGTGATTCGTTGTCATTAGTTAGGATTAGTTAGCATCAGTTAGGATGAGTTGTGATTGGGGATTTGTGGATCATGAACTGTACAGAAAATGGCCAAGGTAATAGGAAGTCAATCTGTCAATGCATAGACTCACCAACGTAAATCGTAATAGGCGCATAACAACCTACATAACTCTGCTAGCAGGGTATCGGTACACGAGTGAGCAAACCTCGACAGACAGCTTCAAATGTGTTCTTTTCACAGCTTGCTAAAGACGCTAAGATCCATATAACTAATAATGGAGTGGGGAGTTAATAAAGTCCGTATTACATAATATCAGCAGTTGTATCTCGTGATGGTTACGTTTTAGTTTTATCATCTTATGACGAAATTCTTAATGTTGCAATAATCTCAAGAATCCACATGATAAACCCTTAAACGCTCTTATCCTCACTTTACACAAGCATAATCCACTCTGTTGTGACCCTCCTGCTCGATATTGCAACTGCCTCACGGGATTAAAATATTGCCAATACCGAATGAAAAGATTTATAGATTGCCGTAAATTAGGATATTCCACCAGCAAATATGAAATTCTCATTTTAAAACTCTTAAGATCTGGAAAGTCACTCTCCTTCAATACTTCCCATAACAAATAGGAAAAAGTAATTTGCAAAATTGACTACAATAAAATAGTCATTTATTCAACAGTCCAGCAATGAATGTGCCATTATTTAAACAGTATTAAACCTTTGCATTACATCATGTAATGCAAATAAAGTAAATTGAACCATAGAAAGTAAATATTGACCATTCATTATAATTATTAACAGTTATTAAATCACTAGCATAGGTAGGGTCTGCTTCAATTAATGAGGTGTTACTGTTGCAAAATGGACTATTGAATTAAATATACGAGTAGGTTTAGTCATTTTATGAAAGGGTAGCGCATTTTACTGTAGAGATATTGCGTTAAAAAATTGATTAACCTATCTCCGTCAGTAAAGCGATTCAATCTTGCGAAAGCGATGACAAAATTGAATTAGTGAAGTTCTACCAGAGTGAATATCAGCAAAGCGATTGTACTAACTAGCGTAACAGTAACTTATTATCAGTAAGATATTAATGAATAGCTGGGTCTAAGTAGGTTCTTGCACTATCGTACATGTATACGTTTATGTACTCATAGGTAGCTTAAAGTGTGATTCTATAGAAGCTGGTCATGATTTATAGACAACTTACTATATAATAGAGTGTTGTAGTATCTCTAAAAGCCCTTAGCCGAGTTTTGTTTATGTAATCTTGCTAAAGATTATCACCCGATGTAATTCGATCATAACCTTATATTACAAAGACTATGCTCACAAGACCCAGAATCGAAGCTGAACGGCCAAACGCTATTATTACTCTACACAAACTAATGGATGATTGCTTTAATTAATTTACTTCCAGTAACCAGATATATCACACGATGACGACTGTAAAATATCGCTAACATGTCCAAAATGCACTATACAGACACTATAGCTGTCATACGCCATTATCAACAGCACTGCCATATATTTTTCAATTTGGTTTAGATGATCAATTGTAGACGAAACTACGATTGCATAATATAAACAGTTGCAGCTGGAAACTATGCAAAGTAAAGGTGAATACTACTAGTAGTGCAAAATAAATATCTTCCAATAGTATCTATATTTCGAGTTAAGAATATTCATCCACAACCTATATTGCTTGCTTCAATACTACATTCAAGCATTACTATATCATAATACTTGCAAGATTGAAAGAAAATCAACTTAACGATTGTAATGAATGGCAAAGATGCAAGATTAAATGCCTACAATGAGTTATTGTAACATATTTTCAATTAAATTGATAGATATCTCACTCATTCATCATTCATACTCTTTGTCGTAACATGACTCGTGCTGTACTGTATAGCAATATCGTAGCTTGTGTAATAATATGTCTTTCTAGTTATAGACTGAGACAAGAGAGAGCAGTTTCAGAGAGGAGAACTTTATTACTCTAACTCCGTCAGATACAAGGTGCGGGAAGAATTCTAGATATTGTACTACCGTATGTAAGTTATAACCATGCACTTTCCATCCGGCTTATCTACACTTTATCTAATGCATAGTATCACATGTTATAAATGTTCACGTATTTTGGGATATAATATAAAATTTATGTTCATGTTAGATTTGATTATTATTATTACAATTTCATGACAAGACGTGATCCTGTCTGATAGAGCACTTAGTTCGAGCAAGTGAAATAAAGAGCGACCTAAACTTCAACAACGAGCCGATAGTTTTATTGCATTGTTGTATACTTGTTACGATATAAACCATGTATTCATAACTTCAGTCTGATAGAATAAAAGCGAGTCCCTAAATTGTCTTTTTGTCTGCCTTTACTTACATATAGTGTGCATTAAATTTTGTACTAACCATTACAATGGTTACATTCTACTGTTATTTGGTAAAATGAAATCTCAATTTCTATATTATATTTTGAAACTCAAAATTCTTATGAGCTTGCTTTTGTGTAAGACAAATCTATAAAGGCGTAAACAAAGGCTATCTAACTTGAAACAAGAGCTTTGATGTAAATCATTCTACTAGGAGATGATTTTAGTTCGCTACAGAGCTATACATTTCTCAGAAGATTCTATTAGCTTTTACTCATTTAATAAAAATATAACCCATACTGCAAGGAAAGTACTATTCTATCCTATTTATAGATAATCACGACAACAATCCTCTACTTCTCAGCTAACCAAACGCGAAAAATTATCTTAAATACAACAAAATAAGAACTATATGTTCTTGCTAACTTCACTTTATTATATAAATTAAGTTCATCTTACACTTATCAGGTGCACATACAACTACCAAATTGAATCTTGAGCTAATTTGGGACTACATTACACCGGCTAATATATCAAAGTAACGAAGCCAGTGTAAATTGGAATTTTTATAGTAATTATAGACTCTTTTTATCAGCTTACATCTAAACAGTAGATTACTCATCCTTTACGTACAACGACTCTTTCTCAGTTCATTACTCAAAGTAGTAAACAATCATTACGTAAAATTCAAGTAATGCCTTGAAGGCAATAAACATCGGTGTTAATAATCTTTTACTCTAGCAGTTTATATTATATAATTATAGCGATAAATACTATCGCTTCTTTAAACCTAATATAATTTCTTCAACAGGCATCAATGTTGCCTCGCTCTTTATTTCTAATGGTACTTTAGTTTCTTCAACTGGAAACAGTTCGTATTTAAGTAATATATTCACTATTGCCATCTTAACCTCTAATTTGGCTAAGCGCATACCAAGACAATGTCGTTGCCCACCACCGAATGTAATATAGCTAAATGGAATCTGTTTTGCCTTTTCTTCAACTGTAAAACGCTCAGGACGAAACTCTTCTGGATTTGGCCAATAGTCTGGATTATGATGTATGGCGTACGTAGGAAATCCAATCATCACCTCTTTAGGAATAAGCAAGCCATTGATAGTAATATCTTCTTTAACCCCACGATCGGGAAATATCACAGGAGGATACATTCGTGTAGTCTCTTCTAAAACCATTTTTAAGTATGGTAACTCAAGAACGAAATCATAATCTATGTGACAATTATTATTATCATATTTAGCTTGAATTTCATCATATAATTTCTCTTGGACATTACTATTTGTAGCAATCGAATGTAGAGCAAACATTAAAGTATTAGCGGTAGTTTGATAACCTCCAACCATTAAAAAGAATACTTGAGCGACAATTTCTTCATCAGTTAATTTGCCCTTATCGCCAGCTTCTATCAACATTTGTAAGATATCTTGACGGCATGACTTATTCAACTTGATATTATTGCGTCGATCGTTAATTACATTTAATACTATTTGCATTAAGTAATCCATTGAACTTAGCACTTTACCGCCCATTAAAGGTTCGAGAAATTCCCATAGTCGAATGGAAAGCATCATAACCATACGCAAACCCACTGGCATATTTGCAAACAGAACATTAACAGCTTCGGTTATTTTACTCTCATCCTTTAATGTTTCAAATTCGATACCAAATGCTGCAGCCAGTAATACATGCATAGAAAGGTGTTCACAGGGTTTTGTTAAACTAACTTTTTTGTTTTTATGAAAACCCTCATCAAAACTAATCATTAGAATACGACAAGAATCACTTACTAGATTTCCAATAGGTTTTAATTTGGCAGCACTAAATGATCCGATCATCACAGTTCTAATACGTTTCCATGGTTCGTCTGCGATCCTTAAAATGGATTTTTCAAACAGAATGGGCATATTAATGGCTTGGAATCGATTGCAAAAGTTCGAAAAATGAGTAACCATAATACTCTTAATCATCTCTGGATCCGCTATAAATATAGTAGGAATGGTAAAAAAGAAATCACCATAAACTAAGCCGTACTTTTTCTGCTGTTCTAGCTGACGTTTATGAAGTGTTAAAGGATCAAAGTCAAAGTTATTGCCTACTAAATAAGTAGGACGATCGAAGGGTATGCCTGTTCTTCGTAAAACTCGATAAGGTAGACAATAATGTTTAAAAATGGAATAAATCAATGAATAGAATAGCGAAATAACCACGATTTGAATCCAAGAACTTGGAAACCAAAATATGGCTGAAATAATATAAAGGGTGTCCATCTTGACGGCAATCAGCGACAAAAACGATCAAAAAAGTAAAATGGAAACAATGAACAATCTATAACCTCTCGGCAAAAAGTGCTATCAATAATCATGTATAAACTACATAGTCAGCGTACATTTAATTAGTGAGTACTGATTTACGACAAAAGCGATATAAAGGCCAATTACAAAGGTTCTATTCACAGAGCTACGAAAAGGCTTTGACAACCTGTTTGTGCATTGACGAACTTGAACTTCGTATATTAAAATTTATTACAGTCAGGTTATTACCTTTCATTATACGGGTACCATGTGTCTACTTTCTAGTTTAATATTCAGTATCATTAGCTTTCATTGGGTCACTAAAGTAAATAATAGTGTTTATATATCTTTCTAGTTTAATGAAGCCAATCACATTACAAAACTGATCCTAGGGATATCAAGAATTAATAAGTGCAAACTGTAAAACTCGAGCATATAAAATGATTAATAGTATGTTCTATGCGACACCAGCTAAAAAGCTGCTATGCTTTTATTATTCTGAAGAAACCCCCATTGATTCCAGACTCATGCTGGTAGATCAGATATATTAATGTTTATTATAATAGTTGACGGCGTAGTTAGCAGAAGTTGAAGTAACAAAAAATGGATTATAAATTTTATTTGCATATCAATAATTTCAATCTTAATGATACTTTAATACCTATCATCATGAAATACAAATTAAATACAGAGATGAAAGTTTAAATTTGATATTTCTGAGACAAAATACCGTGTTTAAAATAGGGAAGAAGATATCTTTGCATTAGATCATGATTTTATGACGGAGGGCTTCCAAATAGACTTCGATACTGATAGACATTCTATCTGCGTATTTGTATTAACGGACAATTAAGTTGCTACAGATTGCTAAAAGGAAACTAACCGTGTGTTTAAAATGCTGCAAATATAGTACGATATTATCTGTACTTTCGAGAAAGAACGCAAGATTCCATTGAAACATTTTTTGTAATATTCCTCGCTACTGAATTCGTATATGGTTATTAATAATAAGCTGATTATATTATTACTTCACCACGTCGACCTCCAGACAATCTTCGTTTCCGCTATGAGTGATTATTTCGTTATGCAAGAGATGTTTAAACCTAGTTCTGGTCTAAATATAAACTTGTTTAAATTAATATAGTATGTTCTTATACCCCATTACCGACTTTATACGCTAGCGATTTCCAAAGCTATGGGAGCTGTCTAAGTTATTGCAAAAGTTATCCTCACAATTTTGTAGCAGCTTGAAATTTTGGATCAGTTCGCTCGCGTTGGAGTTTCAATGGCTAGTCTTTCTTAGAACAAAAATTGAGTATAAGCATCTTATTATCACTGCCCGAAGTGAAACATGATTTAAAAATTACAGTAAAGTATAGATACTATCGAATAGGTGCTCATAGTAAGCCATTATAGAAGTATCATTAAATTGATCTATTTAGATTTACAGCTAGTAATGGTAGTGAGAATAGCTAAGTCTCACGTACGCATTTTTTGTAGCCTACTAAGAACAAATTTTAGTTTTACGTAAAAATGTGTATAGCTCTAGAAAATTCGTTTAGATTTTAGATTTATTCATATAAAGTAAGGTGTAGAAAGTGAATCCTACTACAACCTAGGCGCTACCTAATCTTGTTTTGAGGCACTTTTGACAAATATGCCGCTACTCTTCTTCTCTGCTATCCGCACATTAATAATTAAATATAACTTATTTAGCAATATTTCAATCTCCAGATACAACGTTTTCTCAATTTATTCGCAAAAATAACGCTCCATCACTGTTTAAAAGTCAAGAAATATCTTGAAGATAATAGCAGTGCTAATAATTTATGACTTGATTTCTTACTATATAGCCTACAGTTGCCTGCTTACTTGATTTTCGTAGCGCTTGCAGTTGCAATCATCATAGAAATATTCTATCCAAATTTACGCATATTCAGATTATTGTCAGCGGCCACATTTTGCAGTGAGCCAGCTATAATCTAATATAGTAATAGTAGTAATTCATATTTACATAGACATTATTTCTACTAGCCAATACATGATAAAGTAATCATATTCTAATTAATATATTACGTATCTGCTTTATCTCTAACATTAATCGTGACTCTACGCCCTACCGCATGCACATATAGTCATTAATACTCTAAAATAGAACCTTCTATCCAAGTCTGAGGCTATAAGCTACTAAATAAGCTAAGGATGCCTTTAGATATATATAGAAAGCTACGCCACCCTACAATATACCATACATAGATAATTATTTACAATCCAATGCTAAGTTACGTGAGAGACTAATAAATTACAGTTCTAAATGAAAGAGCAGTCCCTGGCTACGTAAAACACTGCAAAGTAGTATGTACTAGCGCTTCTTTAAACCTAAGACAATCTCGTTAGCAGGTATCATTGTTCCCAAGCTCTTCAATTTTAAGGGAATTTCTGTTTCCTTAACTGGAAATAATTCGTATTTAAGTAATATATTCACTATTGCCATCCTAATCTCTAATTTGGCTAAGCGAACGCCCAGACATTGTCGTGGCCCATCACCGAAAGTAATGTAGCTAAATGGGATCTGTTTTGCTTTTTCTTCAGGCGAAAATCGTTCAGGGCGAAATTCTTCTGGATTTGGCCAATAGTCTGGATTATGATGTATGGCGTATGTAGGAAACCCAATCATGACCTCTTTAGGAATAAGCAATCCATTAATAACAATGTCTTCCTTCACTCCGCGATCGGGAAATATCACTGGAGGATACATTCGTGTGGTCTCTTCTATGACCATTCCCAAGTACGGCAGCTCAGAAACAAAATTGTAATCCACTTGGCAGTTGCTATTATCATATTTAGCTTGAATTTCATCATATAATTTCTCTTGTACATTGCTATTTGTAGCAATCGAATACAGAGCAAACATTAACGTGGTAGCGGTAGTTTGATAACCTCCGGCCATTAGAAAGAATACTTGAGCGACAATCTCTTCATCAGTTAATTTGCCCTTATCGCCGGCTTCAATCAGCAGTTGTAGGATATCTTGACGGCATGGCTTCTTCAGCTTGATATTATTGCGTCGATCTTTAATAACATTCATTACTATCTTCTCTAAGTAATCGATTGAACTTTGAAAATTGCCACCCATTAACCGTTCAAGAGCTTCCCACGCCCTCATAGAAAGCATCATTACAACTCGTAAACCAACAGGCGTATTTGAAAACAGAATATTTACAGCCTCGGTTATTTTACGTTCGTCTTTCACTGATTCAAATTCGATGCCAAATGCTACGGCCAATAATATGTGCATGGAGAAATGTTCACATGGTTTTATCAAAGCAATTTTTTTACTTTCGTAAAAGCTTTCTTCAAATCTAGCCATTAAAATACGACAAGAATCACTAATTAGATTTTGCATGCATTTTAATTTCGCAACACTAAATGATCCGACCATTGTAGTTCTAATACGTTTCCAAGGTTCATCTGCAATCCTCAAAATCGATTTTTCAAATAGACTAGGTAAATTGATGGCTTGAAATCGATTACAAAAGTTCGAAAAATGAGTAACCATAATGCTTTTGATTATCTCTGGATCTGCTATAAATATAGTAGGAACAGTGAAAAAGAATTCGCCATAAACCAAGCCGTACTTTTTCTGCCTTTCTAGCTGACGCTCATGAAGGAGAGAAGGATCAAAATCAAATTTATTGCCAACTAAATAAGTAGGACGATCAAATGGTAATCCCGTTCTTTGTAAAACACGATAAGGTAGATAATAATGCTTGTACAGAGAATAGATCAATAAATAAACTAATGAAACAACCATGATTTGAATCCAAGAATTTGGAAACCAAAATATGGCTGAAATAATATAAGAGATGTCCATCTAGAATTTTTAATGTTAAAAAAGTAGTAAAAACAAATTATCGCAAGAAAAATGTATTCTACTGAACGTCTTTTAACAAAATGTTTACTAGCAATGACGTACGATTAATATAGACAGCTTTCATACAATTAGCCGGTATTAATTTATACAAAAGGCGTCATTAAAATTGATCATAAAGATTTTATTCGTAGAACCGAGAAAAGGCTTAGTAACCTGTTTACTTCATCAACTAGCTTACATTATGCTTAATCTAAACTAATGATAGTCACATTGTTATTCTTCCCTACATGTCTACTTTCCTATGCAAGTAATCACTGTCGCTAATTCTTATTGGTTTATAGGATTCTCGTGATAATAATAGTAGTAAGGGTGCTTTTTATTTTCTTAGTTTCATGAAGAGAGCAACTGTATCACAAAGAGATCAGCAGTGATCATGAATATTCATTGGTGCATATAATTATATACTATAGATACACCTTATAAATCGTGAACATATTCTAAATCTACTGTAAATCTCTTGATGTAAATAAACCAGCAGCATTGTACATTGTATTCAATGCATCATCTACTGAATGAATAATATATAGGATATCATCAATAATCTGATAGCAATGATTTCTCAATCATACCAGTAGATAGTATATAATATAATGGATTAAATAATTGAAATCAACGTAATAAAAGAGTAGATTATTAAATTCTGTCGGTATCTCCACATCTGTAACGATATATCTTGAATTAAAATCAACCAGAAAAACAGATTAAATGTGAAAGCACAAAATCTAAACTAATCATATATTGGAGATCCAATATTTAGAGTTAATTAAAGATGATATATTTGCATTCAATTTTATTTCCAAGATAGCAAGGATACTAATTTGAAATAAGATGCCAATTTCCCATCGCTATTTATTTGCTAAGGTGCCTAAGAGATCAATACACAGATGGCCGCCAAAAAGGAGATTATTCCACAAAACTACTAGTATAGCGTCATTGACAATACATGTATATCATTTTCCAAATCTGACGAAATGATAATGTCGATGTTATCACAGTACAAAGTAGATATGATCGCTATGCTTCGAACTGGAACTGTGTCTGTTATCTCCAATATAATCTAATACTGCGAATGATATACGGTAGCTAGTATTAAACACTATATATTACTGAGATATTCATCATAATCCATCGCAATATATCTAATATCTAGGTCTAAAACTGAAATTTAATAAATCATTCAGTGCAAGCTCAATGCCTTATTAGATCAAAAATGAATAATAATCGATAATATACCGTTCAAAGGAGTAATTATGAAATGAGATAAATTGTAATTTTAGCAACCAAATAAAATTCATTTCTTAATCTTGTACTAACTAACACAAAATGTTTCATGTGAACCGAGTGGGCTATTTTTCTAACAAATCAAGTAATAAGTCTCATAGCAAGGCACTTCCATGGAATAATCATGAAAACTACAGTTTCATTTATCGGTTTAATATGTTACTACTATCAGCTGTGCTTATTATTTTTCGATATACTGTATCACATGAAAATCTTATTAGGCAAAAACAAACAAATTGCATGTCTACTAGTCTTGCGCGCCGATTTAAGATACTAGACAAGCGCAAGAGAAAATCTAGCTCAATAATACACTCCAGACAAATGGAAAAGGCCCTGAATTCAACTTGATTTATCCTTTTCACATTTTTCAATTTCTTGAGCTTTCAACTGCCGTCGCAAAATTTTACCACTAGCCGATTTAGGAATACTTTCGATAAATTCTACTCCTCCACGTAGTTTTTTATGAGGACCGACTTCTGATGCAATAAAAGCAATAATTTCTTCCTCAGTAATATCATTTGCTCGCTTTACCACGAAAGCTTTTGGTAATTCACCAGCATCAACATCAGGAACACCAATAACTGCAGCATCAGCAACTTTAGGATGAGTCAAAAGCAACTCTTCTAACTCAGCAGGCGCAACCTAATCAGAAATATAAGCATATATATCGTGTCATTATATCAAGATCTCTTACAATTGCCATCACGGATGCTCATGTAATTGAAAAGGTTAACTGACCTAAAAAATCCCTTAGTATTGTTAAACGATAGCAAAACTGACCTGAAATCCTTTATATTTAATCAATTCTTTCAGACGATCCACGATATAAAAGTGTCCGCTCTCATCATAATAACCAATATCTCCAGTATGAAGCCACCCATCTGCATCGATGGTTCTATCTGTTGCTGCTTTGTTTTTCAAATAGCCCTTCATGACCTGCGGTCCTTTGAAGCATAACTCTCCCGATTTTCCATAAGATAAGGCCTCACCAGTTTGAATATCTACGGTCTACATGTGGTTAAGAGATGTCTTATGAGAAAAACTATTCTCAATTAATTAACTATAATTTTTGAGTAAAATCGATTTTACGATACGAGCTATGAATGCAGCAGATAGTGCATTTAACATCGAGCCTGTTAGATAAACTAATTTAAAGTAAAAATTGGTACCGATGTTGAATTATTGCACCAACAAAGTGCACTATTACGCAAAAAGTCGTTTACTTTTGATATCTACCTTAGCTTTGGTATGTGGAATCAATACTCCGGCTGAACCAATCACATTTCCTTCCGAAATAGATACGGTAATAACTGGACTTAACTCAGTCATACCATAACCTTTATTGAATACGTGAGTAAAACAGCAATCATCATAAATTTATCCAAACAAAATAGTGTCTATAATACCTATACTTATACTAATAGCACAATACTAGTTATTGGCGATATTGATTACCGTATTTTACAAATATTTCATGTATCGTATATTTCAAATATAGTAAGAAATTAAAACATGCGAAATTTACCTTGCCGAACATTTACTCCTAATCTTGTCCCCAGCGCAGCTTGAGTTTCCTTACCCAAAGGTGCAGCTGCACTTATAACATCTTTTAAACTGGAAACGTCGAAGCTGTCTACTAGTGGATGTTTCGACAGAAATACAGCGATAGGTGGTACTATTGGAGCTATAGTAATCTAATGTAGCATAAATAGAATTCTAAAGATGACGCGTTATTTGAGGTTATAAGCCAATATGGCTTAAAATTGCCTATATTTGAACAACACAAATGATAAAAAAAATACCTTATGCTTCTGAATAGTCTCAAGAAACGCTTTTGGCTCGAATCTTGCCATGGAAATTATTTTAGCGCCAAAGCGCAATCCAGCAAATAGAATAGTTACCATACCATAAATATGGAACCATGGTAATAAAGCCAATATTGTATCATCAGTATTCACGTAAAAGAAGCCCTTAATCGTTGCTTGACTGACGTTACTGACAATATTGTGATGCGTTAGCATTACGCCTATATTTTTCATTTGTAAAATTTTCATATTGATTATTTCATTTTATAAGGACATATTTCTATGCCAGCTAATTGACGCTATCGACATAACCAAATTAACCTTACATTAAAATACAAGTAATTATGGCTTTAAATCTCAACATCTATAGCTAGAACTTTTCTTCAAACCGTAATGACTATGCCTATAATTAAAGATGGTTATACTATTGTAATTCATAGTGATATATAATACTTCAGAATCAAAACATCCCTGTATTATAATTAAAGTACCAATTCGGTTTCATTGAATCCATTAATTCACGGTTAATATTTTTTCAAGTAAACTATTTTAGTTCGTAATTCCTAACAGATAAGAATAGAAAAATGCAATATTATATCCCATTTCTATATTTACCTTTTGGCAATCCTGTCGTACCACTCGAAAATGGTAATACAGCCACATCTTCACGAACGTCGAACTTAACTTCTTTCAGATAGCTACCATCGTCAGCTAGTAATTCTTGAAAAGATGTTATACCGTCACCAGTTGGACTTCCAAGGACGTAAATGTTAGAAATTTTGCTGTAATATGTACAAATTAACATCATTTAAGTATACAAATACGATATTATTGGCATACTCGTATATGCTATCAATGATTAAAATTAATAGCAACTATAGATTAACATGTTATAAAACCTTAGAAATGCTGCCTCCTTGGCTTTTTCAGCAAACAGATTAACAGTAAAAATGTGCTTTGCTTCAGCAAGATGCAATTGATGAGATAACTCTTTAGGAGTGTATAACGGATTGCAAGTAGTAATAGTACCACCAGCTATTATAATACCAAAGAAGACGATTGGATATTCAGGAATATTAGGTGAGTAGACGGCAACAGTATCGCCCTTCTGTAGACCACGGCGAGTTAAAGCAGAAGCAAATTTACGAGCTAATCCTCGAATTTGTGCATAAGTATAGCATCGGCCACTGGCAGCATCGACCTGCGATTGATTAATTCGACAAAATGAATGGAATCGAATTTAAGAATGACAACAATTGATTAAATTTACGAACAGTAAATACAAGCTATTACTAACATATTTACGCATGTACAGGACTTAATTAAACCTGGTAGACAAGGATACTTTGCTATAAAGAATCATCATCTCGAAATATCTCTTTCTAATTGCCATTAGATAATGAATCTTATAGTAACTGTCAGACCCTTTGAGTCTTTATAACACCCAAAATATTTCAAAAGTAACTTCACTCTGAAAGTTTTGCCCCGAATTATTATCTGACTAAATAATTTGAAACTCAAAGCCATCACACCAATGGTAGATTAGTAATAATTGGATTTATTTCAGCGAGTTAACAAAAATTTAGCGGTGAAAACGATTTATAGAAACTGTTCGTTTAAATCAAAGAGCCTCTACAGTGTACAACAAAGAATTAGAATGTTAAAACTATTCCAGACTATTAGCAGGAATAGTGGTGTAACAAGGTACAGATTGTGTACGGCTATCGATTTGCTTCTAAAGTGAAGAAAAAACACCGTGTGATGTTTATTTTCATTATCTTATAAAACATAGCCAACTTCATCTTAGCAGATGAATTATTTTTACTGGTGAATTCATCTACAATGTTAATCTCAGCGTCCTTTAGTGTATTAATTTCAAGCTTACAATCAAGTGACTATATTTTTTGGAAGGAGTCCAAAAAATTAAAAGATGAACTACTAAGAATGAAGCAATTACTGGCACTGCTTGTTGGCTTCTATGTGCTAATTATAAAATAATATTGTGACTATAGTGTACGAGAATATCAAACCCTCACTATTGTGTCAATCTTCTAACTTCTCAAAAGAAGATCAATTGCTACCGATAACTAACGTCTGTTTTTTCATACTAAATTATATTATCATATCCTCGGTTTATCATGTTATAATATTGATCAATAAATCATGAATGAAGTACTGTAGGACACTGCTATAGTTTCTAATGTTCAGTCCTTAAAAGTAGATGAAAAGTGTATAAACAATGCTTAAAATCTGCTGAAGAAGGAAAGTATCTAATTGGATAATTTTAATTCATATAACTCTCCGTATATATATCATACTAGTATAGTTATATTATTGATGTACTTTCACAATTGAGGCTCTTAATATAGTCCTTGACAGAAATAAACTAATATATAAAGTTAGTTAAACTAGTCCTCAACACATTCATCCGCCTTATAAAAGAATAATCACCTTTCAAAACAACGTGACCCCGAACACAATGAAAGTAACGCGGGTGTTGATAGTAATTAATTAAAATCACAAGACATTATATATATGGCGCTTCAATTGTTGATCTTGTTTACGCACATATTTTATTCCCAGTACTAGTAAAATTACGTATAGTATTTCAATAAACAACTTAAAATCTATTACTAACGATTATGGTTATAACTATGTTTTATCTACACATATGTTATCTACGTATCAATATCGCTTCATTACAGCAACTTATGAGGACCGATCACGATAATTAATTTAATTAAGCTGGTAAAAATTCTATAAAGCGTTGCTGTTTGGAAGATTGAGAGAGGAAAAAATTAGATTGCTGAAAGCTTCATTAAACGCTCTGAAGTAAACATATATTTAAATTAATGATTTATGGCTTTATTATGCCTAACTAGGCCCAAAAAAAATATAAAAAATAGTAAGACTTACCACGGCCTCTCTATCGCCGTATTTATCAAAATATTCAAAGATGAAATCCACCAGATTAAGATCCTCTGGTAACTTACAGTCATGTTTACTTTGTATCTCCATTTTGATTTAATTAAAATACCAAGATTCTGTTTAACTTATCGTCAGTGTTCAACCAATTCAAAATCTAGTTCATAGAAGGTAACGCAGTAAGCAGTAACTAAACAGTCTTGCTTTCACGGTGTGGTTCAAGTTTTACTCTTTCGTAGTGCTTCAGTTTGATGTTTTAAAGTACTAAGGGATATTGTCGTTCTGCTTTATACCGGTCAGTGATAATTCTTACTTAAAACTAAAAAATATAAGAAAGCAACCAGAGCTTTTCAGCCTTTGAATCCAGCGTTCATACTTTAGTCGATGGCAAAGCAGTATTAACTATCAGATAGAAAGATAAAAAGTCCCAATAACAATATAGTATTCCTTTTTCTACGTTACTTCTTTCATTCTTTCTTTTTATTACGTCCTCTATTGATCTCAGTAATTTTCAGCCGTTCGCAAAGAAGGGATTCATTGTCAAAAATTTTCCTAAAGCATAGCTACTTTATTGACAATAACAATCGTTTAAGTTTAATAAGAGAATTAATTGATGTCAGTTCTTTACGCTTGGATTCTGATAAAGAATGGTTGCTGTTAATGTAATAAAGCCAAATGTATTCAAGAAATTCTATCTGATTTATTTACTATCTTTCTAACTGCGGAAGCGTCGAGAACCAATTCAAAATATAACAATCTCCGTAGTCGCTTTGTTATGATACGTAATAGGCAACAGTCCAAGGTGGGTGCTGCCAGGATCAAATTTGATTTATTTCGTATATGATATTATTAGTCTTTAAGATTTTCCCTAACGATAACCGATGTCGGCATCAAAAACTCCTTAATAAATTAAATAAATTAAATAATGCATAATTCATATCTTAGAGTTACACTGTTATATTGTCCGAGAACGAATCGTCGCCATTTCTTCTATCTTATTCTATCCAGTCGCTAACATTTTATTCCCATATACTGAAAGTTTCACCTCTTTAGTTGACGTACTTTCTGAACATATGCCGACAAAAATATGAACGTAACATCAACCATGTTCTATTTCGAGTTATATCTTGCCCTTAGAGCTAAACTGTTAACGGTTCTTTTCCCACAGACTGATCTCTGTATAATGGCTATTTTATCGACCTTCCGTAATTTCTGAAATAAAGAAGTACTAATATCCGTTTAATTATCAATGATACGGAATTAGAAATAGCTTTCTTATAATGCAAATACCTTTTTGAAGACATATGGAATGGCAGAAAGTAAATAATACCAAATTGATGCTAGCAAACGGAAGCCCAGTGAGTTAGGTCAGTAAAGTACGCGTATAGTATTTCTGAGCTTTCTACCGTTGCTACGGTTTTGTTATCTAAACGAAATCATTAACCATAAATTAGCCAAAGTCAACAAACTTGGTTCACCTATGTAGTACTACAAATCTTACCACATACACACTATACTTGTCGATACCAATTAGTCAGTGAGTTAATTAATTGATCGTCTACCATTTATTAATATATGGATAAGTAACAGCTAACGATGACGCAAATAATTGTTTATTATTAAAGATATTTCAGATCAAAGCATCTTTCATATATCGTCAATTTAAAACAAAGCAAAACTAATCTACTGTTAGGCTAGTTATTGTAATAACCGTTAACATAAGTTCTGCTCGTGATATACTTATGGCATACCCAACAGAACTATATAGGCAGATGCATAATACTGTCACAATTTCACTTCTGCGACAAGGTAACGTACAGTAAAAGTCTATAAGTAGCCACTGACTGTAACGCCCTTTTACTTAACGTTAAACACACACATCAAAAGACTGTAAAGATGAAACTTTTATTAGCAAAGATATATCTACAACTTTTTACCACCCTCTCAACTCAAATGTTCCCGTTTATATAGGAATCGCCTAATTTGTAAACAACAACAGTATTATTTATTATACCTTACTAGGAGAATCATCTCGAACTAAGATGCTCCTTACATAGCTTTTCTATCAGTAAATATTTTGAATCTCTTACTCATACTTAATCTTAATCTAAGCTCGTAGGTTGTCTAATTCAACTATCATCAACTAGAACTTGAATCATCCTACTGCTATCTATCACACAATAACAATCAATATCAAATATGTAATGAACTATTACAAACAACATCCACATTAAGGCATTACTTATCTTACCTAGCACTACAAATATGGATATTCTTCATACTAGCTACTACTGTACTTATTAAACTATCCTAATGACAAGGCAACACCGTAACAAATACATATATACAGGATTAGTTTGTAGAATTTACTACAATTAATGCTATTAATTTACAGATTCAGAAATTTAAATGATGAAGTGAATAACTAATAAAAAATATATTACGCCAAAACTAAGCACAAATTATAGTAACTAAACAATTACTTATCAAATTATAATTAACTTTCAGTATCCAGTACAATCAATGCTATTAATTTACGGATTCTGAAATTTAAATGATAAAATAAATAACTAACAATAAATATTACGCCTAAAATAAGCATAATTTATGGTAACCAAATAATTATTTATCAATATACCAGTTATATAGTTACTACATATTAAAGTAAATGGATAAAAACTTTTGAATTGCGTATCATCTAAGTTCTGATGTGCTGCATTAAGACTCTAGATGATTGTGAGTGGATACCCCAATTTAATAGAACGTTTTTGACACATAGGAGACCCTTGATTCAATTTGATTCGGCCTCTTAATATTTCTAACCTCTTGATCTTTTAGCTACCGTCATAGAAGTTTACCACTAGCCGATTTAGGGATACTTTTGATAAATTCTACTCATCGTGCAATCTTTTATTGGGGTCGACTTCTGATGCAACAAAGGCAATGAATTCCTCCCAAGCAACATTTTTCACTCATTTGATCACGAAAGCTTTTGGCAATTCACCAACTTCAGAACCATGAATTCCAATAACCGCCACATCGGCAACTTTAGGATGGGTTAAGAGCAATTCTTGTAACTCAGCATAAGCTAGTTTACTAGTTAGCCCAAAAAATCTTTTTGTTAGTATTATCAAGTGATATATCATAGCAAAGTGACTGAAAATATTTATATTTAATTAGCTCTTAATCAATTTAATTAGCTCAGCAGTTGCTTAGCTAACGTTATTGATAATATTTTGTTGCGTTAACATTGTACTTTAATTCGTCAATTGCATAACATTTTCATAGCACTAATTAAACATAATGTTTGTAAGAGAATTTATTAACCAGGTGACACTATACGCATCAAATTATCGTCATGCTAATATGAAGACGATATAAGAATGCTATCGCACGCATTGCTGACATAAATATGCACTTAGAAAGATGATGAGCGCTTTTAAATTTCATTATCTAGAACCAACAATCAGAAATCTTCCTTCTGTTAGTGCAGAATAATTAGCCAGTGTGATATTGGCATCTATATCTAAAATTAATGCATATGATACTGTTCTAGTTTATAACAATAGAATTGATCTCCAGTATCAAGTATTTATATGGTACTAAGGGAAGTATAAAGATTCACGTCTGCATTGAGAGCCTTTATAAATCCCGTGTTTGTATCAAATATTTAAAGCGGAATATTTTTATTAGTAATTCATAGCAGGTAAGTACTGGAACTATTTTAGCACATTTATGTACTTACCTTTTGAAACTCTAGTTGTACCGCTTGAAAACAGCAAAATGTCAACATCTTCGTGCAGATCGAACTTTATGTCTCTCAAACAGCCACCACCATCAGCTTGTATATCTTGAAAAAGATATTATACCGTCACCAGTTGGGCTTCCAATGACGTGGATATTGGAAATATCGCTTTCATATATTGTAATTGACATGGCACAAAACTTAATAAGGAAGCTATTGAACGTGTTTTTTGCTACCGTAATGATTGTAATTCAAATCAGTTATATACCACATTGATGCTGTATAAACCTTAGAGATGCTGCTTCCTCAGCTTTGTCAATAAATGGATGGATAGTAGAAATGTGTTTAGATTCAGCAAGATGCAATTGATGAGATAGTTCTTTAGAAGTATAAACGCTTAATAGATTGCAACTACAGTAGTAAGAGTATCACCAGCTATTGTAATACCAAATATGGAGATAGGATATTCAGGAACATTAGGTGAAGAAATAGCAACTATATCACCTTTCTATAAACCCTGTCGAATTAAGACGGAAGCAAATCTACGAGCTAATGGTTGAATTTGCAAATAAGTACAGCATCGATCGCTGACTGCACCGATCTATAAGAACTTCATGCGATTGTAATGATGCATCTATGTTTGATTATAAGTATAGCTATATTTGATATAGATAGGTTACTCTGAATAGATATTATCTTGAAGCTAATATTAGATGATTGCTATGTTATACTCTGCTACTCCCGGTGCATAGTCCCCACTTAACCCAACTATTATTCACAGCACTACTGTATGCTAAGCTAATAACCTTAAAAATACCTTTTACTTCGTATATATCTTATTTTCGGCGTAACGTCGTTCCTTCGACTTCCACATGCTTAATTACAAAAAAACCTCTCTTCGTGCTACTGGTGGTAATTAATCATTTGTAGGCATTCTAGTCTCGATTGCTAGTTAGTTACAGAATATTCTAATCAACAATAATCTAGTACAGACAATTACTATTAACATTGCTTAATTACACCATTAAAGTGCATACGAGTATAATTTAATAAAAAGCCCCCCCCAAAAAAAACATATATCTAACCCAAGAAGTATCGGCTTCATGATTCTTTACTAGTTCAGAAAGTATCAAGATATCGAACACTTGCCATAGGCTTTCATTGCCATATTCATCAAAACATTCAAAAACTATTCCTACAAACTAACCCTTTCAGGCAACTTACTGATATTTATTTATTATTTATTTATGTATATCTCCATTTCCATTAAGTTTTATGCGAAGACTAGAATTAATTTGTCGTCCGAGTAAAATCAAGCTAATTAAACAAAAGCTCAAAAAAGATAAGAATAGCAATGCTGGAAACAGCTATAAATGACTCTTGTTGCGTACGTAAATTTTTGCTTCTAACGACTCTTTAAATCGATATCTTGAAGTTTATCCAGGTAACGTAGAATTTTCAACGCCCAAATTGAATCAAGGTTTAATACTGTATTATTTCATATATTAGTTGTTGTTACTTAGAGTGAAGATTATACTATACACCCCAATTTTTCAACAGTTAGAACATAACACTTAGTCTAAATTTGACGGAAAATTGATATGATCTATTAGATAGAAAAAATACAATCCTCTAGGATAACATGTTCATTTTCTTAATGACTTCCAACAATTGCCTTATTGCAGATTTAATTGATCATGAATTTGCTACTATATCTAACCGTTTACATAGAATTAATTTATTGCGAAAATTACACATTGCCAACATGCAAGCCATTACTCATAATAATTGTTTAAGATTAGCAAGAGAATTTAATGACGTTCGTCCATTGTGATCAAGTACAATTAAATATTAAGATAAACTGACCAAATCTACTCTAGAAATTTGATCTGACTTAAAAGCTACCTTTATACTTGTAGTGCAACATTATTGAGAATCGAATTGCCAATGCCTTAAATCCTCGTGATTGCTTTATTACAAAGAGCAATTCGCAAATATTATAATTAAAGATATCGAAGAGCACCCAGATTCTACATAGGGCAACGTGATAAACTGCATCAAATTTTAAAACTTCCTATGTAATCAAATTGAGCAAATATTGTTAAATATTGTTCTAAGGATTAGCTTCCACTATTTTATGTAATGAAGCATTTAATTTTAGGCTTCAAGAATTGAAAGAAAGTAGAGAATGATCATAAAAAATAATTATACCTGAGATAAATAGAAATTACGGTTCCTCGCTAAACAAAATTAGCAATTCCTTTATCAAATATTAAATGATGCGTAATAAACGAAAAAAATAAATCTAATTGCAAGAAATACATCCAAGAAATTACTAGTTTACTTTTATCAGTCTTCACGCACAACTGTCTGGAAAGCTTATTTTATCAATACACCATCTTTGCATCATTGGCAAACTACATCATCAAAACAAATATAATATTATGTATCTTCTTTATCTAGTACAAAACGTTAAGACATCAGACCATCTTAGGTGGAAACCCAAATTAATAATCCACTCCTGACTTATAAGAAAGATCTTAAAATCGAGTTGAATTGACCTTCTTGTATTTTTCAATCTCTTGAGCTTTCAACTGCCTTCGAAGAATTTTACCACTAGCTGATTTCGGAATACTTTCGATAAATTCTACCCCTCCGCGCAGTTTTTTGTGAGGACTGACTTCTGATGCTACAAAAGCAATAACTTCCTCCTCGGTAACATCATTTGCTCGCTTTACCACAAAAGCTTTTGGTAATTCACCAGCATCAATATCGGGAATACCAATAACTGCAACATCAGCAATTTTAGGATGAGTCAAAAGTAGCTCTTCTAATTCAGCAGGCGGAACCTAATCAAAAATAGGAGCTTATATGATATGTACTGTAGTTGCACTAAGATCACTAACAATTTCAATCACTGATGCTTGTGCAGTTGAAAAATTCATCAGCCCAAAATACTTCCCCTATTAAAAAATGATATTGTTGTAAAACTAACCTGAAATCCTTTATATTTAATTAGCTCTTTTAGGCGATCTACGATGAAAAAGTCTCCTTCTTTATCAAAATAGCCAATATCTCCAGTGTGAAGCCATCCATCAGTATCGATAGTTCTATCTGTCGCTGCTTTATTCTTCAAATAACCTTTCATGACCTGAGGTCCCTTGAAGCACAATTCTCCTGATTTTCCACAAGGTAAGGCCTTACCAGTCTCAATATCTACTGTCTACATAGAATCATAAAGTTAAACATGTTCCATATAAAAGAACATTTTTAGTTAAATTAATTTAATACTAACATAGCAGTAAGAGCTAGAAATTACTATCTCTAAATTTATTAGGAGCCGTACTTTGCCTCAAAACTGCTGTGTAGACTATGTTTAAGACTGGCCTGGATGTTTAATCCTTGTAAAGAGAGTAGTACATCTAGAATAGTTATTTAGGTTTTAATGTTTGCCTAGGAATTACTTTAGCCTTGGTATGTGGAACCAATACTCCAGCTGAGCCAGCCATACTATTTCCAAGTATAGATATACTAACAACCGGGCTTAGCTCAGTCATGCCATAACCTTAAGTAAGCATTCGTTTAAATCAGTGATTCTTACAATCCAAATTATCCATGGAAAGAATGTATCAATAATACTCATACGCATAATTATACGACAAAACTGTACATCAGCGATGTTGATTATCATAGTATATATACTTTGGAAACTCTTTTCATTAGCCAAAAGATTTAATCCATTTTAAATTTACCTTGGCGAACATTTACTCCTAATCGTGCTGTTAGAGCATATTGAGTATCTTTACCCAAAGGTGCAGCAGCACTTATAACATCTTTTAAGCTAGAAATATCAAAACTATTTACTAGTGGATGTTTCGACAGAAATACAGCGATTGGGGGCACTATAGGAGCCACAGTTATCTGAAGAATACATAAAAAATGCCAAATTTAGATACAGCAGTCTATAAACTGATATATTCTAGTTTAAAGTACTTGCAATTTAATAATAGAAGTGCAGCAGTAAAATGAATACCTTATAGTTCTGAATAGTCTCAAGAAAGATTTTTGGTTCGAATCTTGCCATGGAAACTATTTTAGTACCAGAGCGTAATCCAGCAAAGAGAATAGTTACCATACCATATATATGAAACCATGGTAGTAAAGCTAGCATAACATCGTCTTCATTAACGTAAAAGAATCCTTTAACTGTTGCTTGACTAAGATTGCTGACAATATTGTAATGGGTTAGCATTACACCTATATTTTCGAAAATTTCATATCATTATCATTACCATTTTTCAAGGAAATGGCGGTAGTAATTAAAAAATATAATTGAACCCTAATTAGCCACACATTAATAAGCAAGATGGCATAATCGTTGATAAAGAATTTTATCTTGCCTTTACTACCAATATCAAACATGACTCTATGAGGGGTATGAGTAGATGTAAATCTCATTGCCTAAGATCTGATAACTAGAACTTTTTCTTCTAATATTATGAAATAAACTAGCTATTAAGATGATGCAAACATTCATATAAACTGTATGCTGCAATGTAAGATCATGATATTATTCTGGTTTACAGAATTACTATAATACTCCAAGCGTATAATATCTCAGCACGCAATGAAGGAAGTTAGTAGATTTTGCGCGTGAATTGATAGTTCAGTCCTATCCCTTATTCACGATGCTGTACGGTAAGTAGTCGTCATATAGAACTTTTCCATTCATCATATCTTAAAAATTAAGAGCTAAAACTACGCCATTTTAATGTCTTTCCACCTTTACCTTTTGGTTATCCTGTCGTACCACTCGAAAATGGTAATACAGCGACATCTTCACGAACGTCGAACTTAACTTCTTTCAGATAGCTACCATCGTCAGCTAGTAATTCTTGAAAAGATGTTATACCGTCACCAGTTGGACTTCCAAGGACGTAAATGTTAGAAATTTTGCTGTAATATGTACAAATTAACATCATTTAAGTATACAATACGATATTATTGACATACTCGTATATTATATCAATGATTAAAATTAATAGCAACTATAAATTAAGACGTTATAAAACCTTAGAAATGCTGCCTCCTTGGCTTTTTCAGCAAACAGATTAACAGTAAAAATGTGCTTTGCTTCAGCAAGATGCAATTGATGAGATAACTCTTTAGGAGTGTATAACGGATTGCAAGTAGTAATAGTACCACCAGCTATTATAATACCAAAGAAGACGATTGGATATTCAGGAATATTAGGTGAGTAGACGGCAACAGTATCGCCCTTCTGTAGACCACGGCGAGTTAAAGCAGAAGCAAATTTACGAGCTAATCCTCGAATTTGTGCATAAGTATAGCATCGGCCACTGGCAGCATCGACCTGCGATTGATTAGTTGGACAAAATGAATAAGAATTTACTTCTGGATTTACACGTTTACAGCATCTCAACTATATATTAATTTATATATATTACTCTACAAAATAGTTATCTTGACAATTCACTATGATACATAATTCGGCGACATGGAGTATGATATATAGAATCCATTATGGATGTGTCTCTGAGATGTATAATCAAAAGTTTATTTTGGAAATCATATGATTTGTGCTCTAAAAGTCATTGGGTAATGAATTTTTTAACTGACAAATCCATTGATGCTTCGTTACTGTCAGAATGCACTTTGTTAAGATGTGAAAGATGCGTAGACATTCGGAAGGTTTTATAATATTTAGCAATAACCCTATCGATCCACTATTACAAATTCCCATTTTCTAAAGCACCACCTTCTCAATCGACTGTAATAAATAATGAATACGATTGCCTTTATACGATCCTCTTGCAGATTATAAGAACCTAACCGATCGATAACGACAGACAGTACTACAATGGCTACCAACTTATGGCTTTCATAAGTTGAAGGAACTACTACCTAAACACTGTGCGCTGCGAATTCTTAGAACTACTTAAACTTTCCAGATCACTATTAAACTATTTCATTAATTAAGACATGCTTTCGTGTCAGACTGAACGTCAGCTAAGGCAGAGAGATCGATGTCTATGACAACATAATCGAATTTTAACAAATTAAGATTTCAGCAAGTCTTTGTCGGCAAAAATAACACATATCCGTTTATAGAACGGGATTTACTCTAGTTTGGTGGAAACAAACTATAGTTCCAACTTAAAACCCCCTAGTAACCAAATATACTCGTGGTGGACTCATATAAATTTCACTTTCTTACTGGCACAGAGGGGCAAAGATCCTTTCTAAGCACCATATTCTAACCTACAGTTTTCTTAGGAATCTAACCAGTAAGCTTCTTTACTTCTTAGGATAGGGTACTACTAATTTTATGACAGATCCTTTATTTTTTAATGTTCCGTTTTAAATAGTCAATGGTAATATAGCCTCCTGGAGATAGGAGTTAGTCAGTAGTATCTTAATTCGTATCACAAGCGAATAGTCAGTAGGTTTGTGGCTTCAATTCCTCATTTTAGACATCAGTATCAGTTATTTTACAATAGTAATTAATTGGTGACTACTTCAGTGGTCTAATTTCTTCTGGGTTGTCCCAGTGGCATCCATCTAAATCAATTCATAGTATCCGTACAGTAACTCAGCAATAACTATTAAAAGATTCTATCTACTAAGATTTGATACCATTGCAATGGATTTCAGATTGAATTAATTTTATGATACAATGTCATGATATTACAGAAAGGTTAATTTTAATATTATTTTAATCGGACATATTCATAAGTAGTAAGAAATAATCTGGCAGTGAGTTTTCTTTCAACGTCTTGCTTTGTGTAGAATATATACCCGTTCGTTTGAATGGGAACTTTACTAGTATAAATAAATAAGAAGTTCAAAAAAGACTAGAGCTTTTAGAATATTATTCTAGACTACAGACACGGACGATAGCATGATAAAATGGAGAATGCGTATCTTAAATCGGTTTATTGCTAAAACCAAGGAATAGATTTACGGGTTAAATCGCGATAATAGAAATCAATTTTTAATTATGAATCCATTTATGGACTCGATTAACCTCAGTACCTTTTGAAAGGCTACTTCTAAATCAAGTATAGATAATTTACGTAGGCCTTTGCGCGTGGAAAATACTACAAGCTGACGAGATAACTGGGTTAAGGCTTATAGGTGCTAAAATGAACCCAAAGTCTGACACAGAATTAATATACGATAATTGATGGTATATCAATCGTTTCATAGAGTTTACTTTAATATGTTTGATTTAATATTACGAACAAAGTACTAACCATACTAAACCTTCTGAAATTTTTAGTACTAGATTTAGCCATTATATCATTAGTCCGTCTATTAATCTTATTCATAGCTAGTTCCTAGTACGTAATAGTTTAAAATATGTCTTGAATATTTGCAGTTAAAGGTTAGAAGGAAATCACGATATTGAAATAGATGATGTTGTGCTATAGTGTAGTTCCAAGTAATTCCTGCTTTAAGACGCTACCTCCCATTGCATATTAAACAGCTATTATACGTAACCGTATTTCGGGGTTGTGGTCGTTTGTTAAATTATCACATGTTCATAAATTATGGGTAAAATTTCACTCGATGTATTCCATTGTATTGTACAATTCTCCATATTTTAGCAACTGTTAATATCATATCTAATTCATAAATAAGAATTAAAAAACTCATAGCTTACCACAGCTTCTCTATCAGCATACTTATCGAAATATTCAAAGACATAATCGATCAAACTGATCCCATCAGGTAACTTGCAGTCATATTTACTTGTTATTTCCATTTTGACTTAAAAGTTTATCAAGTGTGAACACTAACTTGAGTTAATTGTCACAGTTAAATCAAGCTAAAATAAAAGCTTATAGATGGTAACACGCTAGAGTAAAAAGCAAACAGCTATAAGGGGCTATCCTTGCTGTGTAAATATAAATCTTTGCTCTTTCGTAATTCTTCAAATTGATATTTGAAGGGTTATGATAGGCGGTGTAAGACTCTCAACGCCCAAAACTTTATCGACGATCGATGTTGCACTAATTTACACAGGTTACCACAATTCATAAAGTATAGAATTTATTATATGCTCAAGCTTTTCATTACTAGAATATCTTGCAGTCACACGTTCAATAGAAGAAAGCTGTATTATTAGCTAATTAGACGAGAAATACAAGTCTGGATGATAATTAGTATTTTCTTTTTTCTCGGTTACTCCCAACATTCTTTGGCTATACTCTCTATTGGCTGCGAGGATATCCAACCGTGCACAAAGAACTAACTAATTGTAGAAAATTAAACTTTAGCAACATAATAGATTTATTAATAATAATCATTCCAGATTAATGAAGAGCTTTTATTGATATTATTCCTTTGTAACAGGATAATTAATCCTGTGGTTAATATTGTATAGCCTTTTACCTAATAAGTAAGATCTGATTTGCTCTTTATCGTTGTTATTCCAATAATGCTGGGAGATAAAATTGAAATATTCAAACACTTCGTGGTGGATTTAGTATGATCTACAATTGGCTATAATCTGCTGTAGATACTGCTAAAGGTCTAATTAATTTATCAATATAATATTACTAGCTTTGTGATGCTTCTTGAAGATAAATAAATTAGCATCAGTAATAGACTTTGAATTATACTGACTCAACTTTCTCAAAGCAAACAGCTACAGTACTCGTAGTTCGTTTTTCAATTTATCAGGCTATTAACATTTTACCCATACTTTTTAATCGATTTCATAACTTGATTTGACTAAATATCTTAAAAGCTACAGGTAGAAAGTGTGAGAAAACAAACTCAAGAACTTTCTATATTCAGTTCTAAGAAGTTCTATCAAAAGTTATAATATCGGAAATTAATCTTATCCATTGCCTTCAATTTATTCTTCAATGTTGATTTATATGGCTGTAAAAGGTGCTAAAAGCAGAATTTTCCGACTTTATATTCGATAGCAGTTGGCAGTAATGGACAATGACTGGATGAGGATATTAGTTACAAAGCAATATAATGCTACAAATTGGATCATATAAAATTGCTATAAAATGATTATTGACCGTCAAAACCATTTTATTTATTAAACGTAAATATTCTCACTGTGAAGGAGAGTAATTGATAAATGTACTGCTTGCTGGAAAAAAAATAGGCCTGAACTTATCGTAAATGACGATATTAGTTTGTAAGCCGATATCTATATCGATGATGCAGAATCTGTAATCATTCTAAGGTGATAAGATATTCTCTCTTAATCTTACGATTGGGCTGTAGATTTTTTTGTTTAAGAGCATCTCATTAAGTTACAGTAATAACTGTAACGATCATGATGCTGATCTGATTTTCGTTAGCTGTCATGAGGCTGTAGTGGACCAGAAATTTTTACTATAATTTAATAATTATAAAAATAAGAAAATACTGCTGTACTGAACTAGAAAAGTGTAATGAATGATCATATTAAACTTTCATTGAGAAGGAATGACCAGAAGTAACTGTTTAGAACGCTAAAAGTAATTTCAGCTACATGTTAACCTTCATTTCAGCTATCATTTGAGATAGTTACTTAAAGAAATTTCTATGACAGATCCACTACAAATAAAATGGAAAGAACTATCCTTCAATTTGTGCAAACGCATATGATCAACGTTCAATTAGCTGCATTTATAAGGCTATAGTGCATGAAAGTACTACCGTATAAAGTCTTAATGTTGTGCCATTTTGTTCCATCGTAATATCATCTTGAATCTAAGCCTATTGTAATCATATTCCTTCAGTTGCTGCCTTAAATTGTCGGTAATAAATAGTCTATGAAAAACATCATTGAGACCGTAATATTTCACCTCTCTAGTCCAATATCCTGATGTACTTGGTTGCTTCACTTGAACGATGTTAGCTACTTGAGCCGTATATAAAGTAAGTATTTCATTCAATGGTAGCCATGTGCATTTTCATTTAGCCGGATCGAATGCATCGTTTTATATTTTAACATCGTGTAAAGTAAAATTTATTATTACAATATGTTGTACCGAAACATTACGAAAACTGCAGAAAGAAATCTCTACAATGCAATAAGGTTCGATAATTTCATAATCATAGATTGATAATTATTCTGTATAGTAGTGCTACGAGTATGCCTAAAGAAAATATTAAGACATAATCACATATACATCATACATATTTGTTCTCTCAAATAATCTACTTAAACCATGGTTACATTATTTATATTTCCTACTTAAATAGTGTCACTATAAGCCCAAGCTTACGAACAAAAAGAAGCTATAAATAGTTCGCAAACAAAGATCAATGATTTTAACTAGCTAAACAGCAAGAGCGATAAAACTGTCAAGAAAATAACATATTTTCAACAGTATATAGGTAATATAACTATTGGTAATAATTATACCTGATATATTAAGAAAATAATGATATGGGGGTTACACAGAAGAAGCCACACCGATCACTCTTCAAACCATCGATAATTCATAAATTAAAATCCTGACCCTTTTTCGCTAAGCATATAAATGGAGGGCAATCAGTGCACTTTGATGTAGTAACAAAGTGCTTGCGAAAGGATCTCATTGCTGAAGAGCACCGTATACAAGAAATGGGACAGCAATCACTGATTAAATTACAAGTTTTCGAAAAAGATTGAAATATAAGATGCTGAAGATATCACACCATTTGGGGTATCTAAAAATATCACATCCATATGTAATGCAAGATAACCAGATGAGCTGCTCAAATTTTAAAAGCTTTCTACGGTATCAAACTGAGTAATTGCTTTTATCTTTTCTATTTCCAGCTCTTTCAGTCGACGACGCAATAACTTGCCACCTGTCGATTTAGGCAGAGTATCAATAAATTCAACCCCTCCATATAATTTCTTATGTTCAGCTACTTCTGAAGCAACAAAATCTTCCAACTCTTTCTCAGTGATATCATTATCACATTTAACTACGAAGGCCTTGGCAAGCTCTCCACCATCAATATTTGGAATCCCAATAACAGCTGCATCGGAAACCTTAGGATGAGTTAATAAAACCTCTTCTAATTCAGCCGGTGCTACCTATAGCATGAATGAAACGAGGTCAAATTGTCATCCTCAGACTAAGTGAAATTATCTATTAATCATAGTAATCAGCAGAAATTTAATTTATGGGATGAAATCTTTCCCTTTATAACTCCCATTTACCTGGAAATCGTCATATTTAATGAATTCATCCAGGCGATCAACGATATACAAATTGCCCGATTCATCATAATACCCAACATCTCCAGTATGTAACCATCCATCTTCATCAATAACTGATTCAGTAGCAGCCTGATTTCCTAAATAGCCTTTCATTACTTGAGGACCTTTAAAGCATAATTCACCTGATTCGCCAACAGGTAGAGCTTCACCAGTTTCAATATTTACTACCTATACCAACATAAATCGAAGCATTTAAATCATTATTTTGCCGTACCATAACTTAATACTAACGTTTACTACGGCATTAACTGACGAATTTATTTTGTGATATAGTAAGAAAATGGTCGAAATGGACGGATAGCAGAACATTATAACTATATCAGTACCTTTCCCTTCGTATGGGGAACAAGTTTACCGACCGAGCCAATAATTGCCTTGCTTGAAGGCACAACAGCTACTACGGGACTTAATTCAGTTAAGCCGTAAGCTAAGTACGCCCGGGGAAAAAAGACATATAAGCAATTGTATGAATACCTTTAAATGATGGGAAAATAGTGTGCTACCTGAAGAATCAAACCAGATGTTACTGATATTTCTAGCTATGTATTGCTTACCTTGTCGATATGATCCACCCAGATTACCTCCCAATACTGTTTGCGCTTCTTTACCTAAAGGAGCTGCTGCCCCAATAACGTCGTTCAAACTGCTAACATTAAAGTTGCCAGTCAATGTCTGTTTGGATAGCGAAGCTGCAATTCGTGGAGTAATAGTTGCAATGGTAATCTTGAAAGAAAAGAAAATTACTAAGCTCCCTTGACATTCCAAATAACCTCGTACATCAATAAAAATGAAGAAAACGATCGCTAGAATATAGTTACCATACCTTGTGTTGTTGAATTGTTTCTAGAAAGACTGTTGTATTAGCTTCGGCCAGGGAAACAAGTTTGCCTCCAAATCGTAAACCAATCAAGAGATTTGCAACCATACCATAGATGTCGAACCATGGTATCAAGGCCAATAAGATATCTTGTTCATCGACTGTAAAGAATGGCCGTACAGCAGCTTGGCTAACATTGCTGATGATATTGTGATGAGTTAATATAACGCCTGATAAAGTGAATACATACGATTGTTAATAGGGATTTTGGCAAGAACCAATTTTAATATTGAATTTTTTACAAGCGCTATACAAACATCTCAACAGAGAAGCTGTGTATAGTCCTAGCAACTAGCGGTCTGGTCAACACAGCTAGGGAGAAACGACTAAGATATTTTTTGGGCATTACCTCGCGATAATTTTGGCGAATTTATAAATCTATTGACTACGGTTCGAGCTAGGGTAAATGACTTGACGATTATAGTTTATCGTTAGATGCAACTTGAATCAAAATTTCACTTGAAAAGAACAAGTTTTAAATTCACTATTTACCTAACTAGAGATTATTTACCGACCTCTCACTATGGAAAAACAGTCAAATTGCATAATAAACGAAGCAATAAATCTAACTGCAGACGGGTAGCTTACAGTAAGGTGTGATTCGAATCAGGGACTGGCCGACTATACAAAATTTAAACTCGCTGTCTATCTTAACTAGAGACCATTCACCACTAGCTTACTATGGAAAAAACAGTAAGATTACAAAGCAAACGATGCTACAAATCTAACTGCAGACGTATTGAATACTATATTGCTCACTAAATAAAAGAGCGTACCAACAGTGGTTGTTGAAGTACAGAGTTAAAGGATATAATAACCTAATTACTACCTATATTCTTAACGAATAACATTAGTTCAAGGATTGATAAGGCTACCTTTGGGTGAGCCTGTAGTACCATCAGTAAAGGCTATAGCCGCTATATTTTCGCAAGAATTGATCTTTTTACTTTTATATCGACTGCCATCATCTTCTAATAATTCTTGAGCCAAGGTAATATCGCTATCCGTGATGTTATCCATGACGTAGATATTAGAAATATCTCTAATGATGCAAATATTTTTAAAGACATTAGATGGTAAGAAATTGATAGTAGTAACAGCTAGCTCATTTTAAGTATAGAGAAAATAATGTGCATCATTTCTGACCTTCTTGCTGCTGCTTCTTTTGCTTTGTCAAGGAAAGCACTCACGGTAAAGATATACTTGGCTTCAGACAATTCTAGCTGATTAGTTAATTCTTTAACGGAATATGCCGGATTGACTATACATGCTGTACCACCGGCTAATACCGTTCCAAAAAATACGATAGGATATTCAGGAATATTGGGTGCATAAATTGCAACGACATCATCATTACTTAATCCTAGACGCAATAAAGCCGATGCAAGCTTTATTGTGAATTCTCTGATTTGAGCGTAAGTGTAGGAATGGCCAGTTTTAGCATCAACCTGTAAATAATATGAGTATTGATAATAGTTATATAAGAATAACATAAAAGATCTTGGTCTTAACTACGTAACATCCTACCTTAGTAAAGCAGATTAATTCATTTGTAATTTTAGGGTTATATAGCTATGGATTGGACTCTGCCTACGTTCATTAGCCGTCACTACTTAATAATCTTGTCTGATACAAAAACTAAAAGTTAATGGTATACGAGTTTAGGAACGATAAATTAATGATTGTATTTAAATTATGAAATATATTTTATTTAAAGTAGGTTCAGATAACTGTCTGCCTCTATCCTTAGCTATAACATTATTTGCATTGAAAAAGATATCTAATTGCTATTACATTCACTGTACAGTATAGTGCAAGGACGAGAAGATTATAAAGCTCAATCATTAATCTATTGGAATCTATATCTATTATAAGTAAAATTGGAGCAGCTTGCTTATAAAACTAGCAATAACCTATTTTTTAGATGATAAAGAATATTTTCTGTGGATAGGTATCATTAATATGCATTAAATATACTACCGTGATAATCTATTATCTACCTTAATATCCGTATATATTATATTATATTTTAGGTCATAGTATCATTTTTTATGTTTTATTCTAATACAAGTTCTCTAAGTCTTCAAACATAGTGCATATTGTGTTTTCTTGCTAAGAAAATGTTTCTGAAGCAGCCAAACAGACTTGATATGTAAGTTAGTATTTTGTCATAGATTTGAAATTGCATATATATACAGTAAATATCCGAGAGAGAGGGCTTTCATTTCGTTAAACTATTTTTTAATTAAACAAACAGGTAAGGGGATCTGTAAGGTAAAAAAGATTCGCCTTAATAGGCCTAAAATTGCTTTAGCAATATCGCTTTAAAATCTTAATTATTGAATCAACCATGTACAATGGATCTAAGTCATTCGAATTAAGTATTAAGATCCTTAGAATTGAATGCTTGATGGAAACTGATCTGTACTTCATATTGTACTGATGATTCTGTGCCTATAAAACTTTCTAAGGAAAGCTAATCTACGCTAAGCTACCATGGTACCAAATGCATCTGAAATGTATCATACTGTAGTTAGAAGCGCATCTTTCAGCATTTCCATTTAAACCATAGCGTTAGCCGATTATATGTCATTCACTTTAACAAGAAAGAAAATAATAAATGCAAGTAACGGATACGGTAGTCAGACACGGTTACTGTATTACAGAATAAGTCAAGAGTCTTAAAATTGATATCTTGCAATAAAGTAGCTGGTTTTCTATGTATTCATTGACTTCTTGAAATAAGTGCCGTATAATATCAGTGAGTATAACGGCAGTATCTGTGATCAAGTAATTAAAATTCTAATATTTTCGTCTCTAAATGTATACCGTGGGATACATATTTTATATTTGTGATCCAGAAAACATTACTATTACACTTCTCGTGTACAGTTCCAGAATTTCAGTCATGTATATCTAGCATTTCAATCAGTTAAATGATTTTTATAAACGACTAAAATGATTTCACAGCTCAAACTCTACAAATCTATCCTCCCGAAATAACGAGCAAACTTAATGAAGCCTTTGCCATATCAAATATTTTCATATTAGACTGTGAAAAGTTAAAAATACTATAGTCAAGTCTGGTTGACTTCAATTCCGTTAGCTTTCATTTCGGATTAAAATAAAATTAGTAATTCAGTCGTTAGCATCATGTCATGACAATAGCAATCATCGTTAGAAATTTAAGAAATCATGAAGATGGATGGTATGCTTATGAAATAGTCCTAATTATCGAAATTAATCTAAAATCTTTAGAAGTTAACTCTATTAACCTAGCAAGTCTGGCTCGATATAAAAACATATGAATACGTAGGGGCACTTTAATCACACTTTTCACTACTAATCTGACAGAATTTTATATTTTATGTTAAAGATAATCATCATTTATCTCTCCTTTTATAGTATCATATCTAGTTATATATGAAAACCTTGTTAGAATAATAAAAATGATACGTTGTTAAGACATTTGCCCTTCAAGATACTGCAGTATGTAGTTGGTTATAAAATTAAAACTATTAGAAAATGATAAACCTTGTCTTAGGTTCTGTAGCTGAAGAAATTGCAATGGCTATACAACACTAACGATACAGATATAGCGAAAGCAGTAAAGCTTCTAAAGAATAGCAAGTTATTAATAAATGGGCTTGCAAAATATGCACACTGTTAACCGATTATATCCCGACTTTAAAATTGCGTTTAAGACATTATACTACAACGATTATTTTTATTATACCGCTAGAAAAGCTTCTTTGTTTTTCATCTTGGATAGTAAAATTAGTTAGGGATGACTTTCACTCTTTACTATTTCAAGATGGTAGTCTGTTGGTTTTAGCTATTGATCAGCCATCAATTTCGTTTTCTGTCATTGGATATCGTTAACATCTTTTATATCAGTGATGCGAACATATTCTGCTTGCTGGTTGGGATTAGCGAAATGCAAATGATCATGTGGTGTATTACAGAGATGTAAGAGGCATTTTGCTTTTGTACAAGTCCGAAATGCAATTGAATTTGTTTGGGATAACTTCTTAATAAACTTTTGCCCATCGCGCAATTTGTATATTGACTAAGTAGAAAATGTTAGAACTTACCACAGCAACCCGGCTGCCATATTCATCGAAATATTGGAAGATGAAATCCACTAAATTGATATTATCAGGTATTTGGCACGTGAATAAGCTCTGTACCTCCATGGTAGTTTATAAGAACAGGATTGTTCAAATTAATCACCAGTAAAATGCTAGTAATGCACGATTTAAGTACAACCAACACGATTGAGAATAACGAAAATATAAGTAGACTTATATCGTATACACTAGCTTCGATCAGCGTATGTGTTAAGTACGGCGCTTTCAGTAATTAAGACTCCCGTCAATGGTTGATTCAATACTAAAACTTCCTTGTTTTCGTTCGACAAATAATTCATACACCAATTCTATCCAGTATGACACCTTATAAGGAAGATACTAACGATACTTACTGTAGCCTAAGATCACAGTAATTAAATAGCAAGAACATAAGACCGACAATAGTATAGATTGCGGCCATTCAGTGCGGGTTTATTAAGCAATGCCTTGCCTCATAACAAACAATAACCGTAATATGGCATTATTATGTATATTTCTTGATGAATTCTGTCTCTATAGTAATTAATTCAGTTATAATTATTGTATACAAATTATGTGGCTAAAATTAATGTTATATAAAACTAATGGAGAGAAGAACAATAGCTGTTCTATTCTTTTTCATACTGCCAGCGTGTTGATTCATTACAAAAGTGCTCATGACATCCTAAAAGATTGATAGTTTAATGAAGGCCGGAAAAAGTAACCTAAATCATTTATACAGCATGCTGCAGACATTGAATTTCCTTTCTTTGCTCACTTACGAACTTAATAGCCTTTAACGGGAAATTTATACATCATCATCTTATTTTCGTATTATAAATTGTTTTGCTATCGTATAACACATTGCTAAAATCCTAGAATAGCTCCTGGAGATCATGACTTGACATTCTAACGATTAAATACTTTCATATAATTATTCGTAAAATAAAGTACGTAAGCTTTAAATGATCAATTATTATCACAACTAACAAATCAATTAGACTACAAATTCGCAGATGTAAGCTTTCTACTGCCAATTCAGACGGTATTAAATGCTTACTAGAATAGATTAAATATAAATTTGCAAAAGATTGATTATATCTCATGCTAAGTAGAAGTCTAATTTTTCAATCAGCTTCAGTCAGTACTAACATATGTGTAGTTAGACAACTGGTATATCATATAAATTACTCAATCTGCAAGAAAATGTCTAACTTACGATGTATTCTGCTATTTTATGCATTAACTGTAAATATTGATTATTTCTACCACTGTCTTAAGAATTTAGAAATACATCAATATTCTCTAGAGCACATATTTTTCCTCGCTCTGACTACATATAATTATCTTTAAGATGATACTAGATTGCGAAAAAATGCCTGTAAAGCATAGTGATGAGCTTATTTTTCCAATGTTTAACATTGTTAGCTCAGCCGACAAACTTTAAAATCAGCACCTGAGCTTTATATTTGAATAACTATTCGGCAATAGCTGATGAAGATTTAAGCAAGCTTTCTCAAATTTATTTTTAGGAAAAATGAATGTGTTTACTAATCACTTATAAATAAGCAAAATTGATCCAACTAAATTGACAATGATAGGATAAAGAGAAGTAGTTATCGAAATATAATACCACATAAATGGCGGTTTAGTAGAAAACAAACATAATATTCAACATCCGTCAACTATGAAAACTAAGAAATACAAAGGCAATCGAAATATTAAATTGCTATTGCTCTAAATAATATTATCATAAATCATACTAAATTTAATGCTGAATATTTGCAGATTGTTATTTCTAAATCTAAAGTCACTCTTAAAACTGACATTGTTATGAATGTGTAGAGGTAAATAATAACAGAAATAATGTTGACATTTATTATTAATCTTATGCCAACAACAGCACCATTTCCGTTCGATTAAAATCGAGTTGAATTGACTTTCTTATATTTCTCAATTTCTTGAGCTTTTAACTGGCGTCGTAAAATTTTACCACTAGCTGACTTAGGTATAGCCTCAATAAATTCAACGCCACCTCGTAACTTTTTATGTGGTCCCACTTCTCCAGCAACAAACTGTATAACTTCTTCAGCTATTAAATCATCGCTTTTTTTGACTATAAAAGCCTTTGGTAGCTCACCAGCGTCTACATCAGGAATGCCTATCACTGCGACATCAGCAATCTTGGGATGAGTTAAAAGTAATTCTTCTAGTTCAGCAGGTGGAACCTAAATTTTCAGGAGGATAAAATAACGTAATGATAATAGGGGCTGATTTTAGTAGTTGTTTTTATGTGCAATGGTGGTATACTTAAGTAGCTAGCATGGACTGTTACATATTAGGTATATACTCGTATGTGATAACATAATAAGCAATAAATTAACGAAAACAGCAACCCTTAAAGTAAACTAGAGAAATTGTACCTGAAAGCCTTTATATTTGATCAGCTCTTTCAATCGATCAACAATGAAATAATTTCCCGATTCATCATAGTAGCCAATATCGCCAGTATGTAGCCATCCATCTTGATCAATTGTTTTGTCAGTTGCTGCTTGGTTTTTCAAATACCCTTTCATTACTTGAGGGCCTTTAAAGCACAATTCACCAGATTTTCTGGCAGGTAAAGCTTTACCTGTTTCGATATCCACAACCTATCATGTCGCAATAAAGCAATTTCAACGAAAAATTAAATTATAATAAAAATCTTCTTGTTAACTGTCTCGATTTTATGTTCATAAAAGCAGTTTATGAAGAGAACTTCGCTGCTAAAGTTTTATCGTTGGTCATTAATGTTACTATTGTTACCTTTCCTTTGGTATTTGCAACGAGAATTCCAGCTGAGCCAGGAACAGATTCATTGGCTGGAGAGACCGTAGCAACAGGGCTTAGCTCAGTCATTCCGAAACCTACGATGTTAAAATTGTTTTACCATTTTGCATCTTCGGTTGATGTTAATTATGATATTGCTAATTTAAACAGTATGACTGAAAATTATTCGAATACGAATAAAGATTTTAACTTGCAATCCTATTTTGATGCTTGGTATTTACGATCAAAACGATATTTTACCTTGTCTAACCGAAACACCCAATCGGCTGGTAAGTGATGATTGTGTTTCTTTCCCCAGCGGGGCTGCAGCACTTATAACATCTTTAAGACTGCTAACATCAAACTGTGATACCAGTGGATGTTTAGATAGGAAAACGGCAATTGGAGGTACAATGGGTGCAACCGTGATCTAAACAACATTAATTTTAACCAAAATAGAAGAAATCATGACGACGAATTGTAGCGAGCGATTAAAAGATTGAATCAAGGTGGTAGTTGCTCCAGTTATCTTGCTTACTTTATTTTTTTGGATACACTCTAGAAAAGCCTTTGGTTCGAACCTTGACATTGATACAACTTTAGATCCATAGCGAATTCCAACAAATAGTATAGTAACCATACCATAAATGTGAAACCAAGGCAGCAGAGCTAGGATAACATCATCAGTGTCGACATTGAAGAAAGGCTTCATAGCAGCTTGGCTAACATTACTGATGATGTTATAGTGAGTTAGCATAACACCTATAAATATCCGAGTTCAAGATACACCGATTACTTAATATTCTCAGTCATTTTCGAACAATTTATCTACGATGTGATGAGGAAGTTAGACAAATTGTAAATTCGCAATGGAATGGCAATTTAAATACTTGCCTTTCGGTAACCCTGTAGTACCACTAGAAAATGGCAATACAGCTACGTCTTCGCGAGGATTGATCTTTGCTGGAACATAATAGCTACCATCGTCCGCTAATAAATCTTGAAATGAAGTAATGCCATCACCAGTAGGACTTCCAAGAACGTAAACATTTGAGATATGGCTAGTTTAAATCATGATGAGAAAGAGGATTGGAGCACATAAGAGATAATATAATAAAATTGACTCTTCTCCACAACATTTTAAAGCAGACAATAATCAAGTGCTAGCCTACTGAATACTCGCATCGTACAGTATAATAATCTATCATACCTTAATGCAGCTGCTTCTTTAGCTTTCTCGGCAAAAAGATTGACTGTAAAGATATGCGAAGCACCAGATAACTCTAACTGATGTGCTAACTCTTTCGCGGTATATAGTGGATTACACGTCGTTACTGTTGCTCCAGCAGCGATAGTACCAAAGAAAACGATGGGATATTCAGGGATATTGGGTGAATAAACGGCTACAACATCCCCCTTTTTCAAGCCACGACGCATCAAAGCCGATGCAAATTTTTTCATTAAAACCTTAATTTGTGCATATGTGTAGCTGCGGCCAGTAGCGGCGTCAATCTGGAAGTAAATGATATTCATACCCAAAGTTAAGAAGAACTAAAGACATCACAGATTGATAATGCAATTAAAAATTTTGTGCTAAGCGCTATGATTATGTGACTAGACTAAGCCACAGACTGTTATTTTCTTTTCAGTAATCACCTCCTACACTAAATTATGGAATACGCGTATCATCAAGGGTGAGAGTGCCAATATGTGCTAAGTCGCCTTTAAATAATTTAATTCCACAATTTAGGCCGTCAAGGTGATAAAGGGAAATTTTCATAAAGAATCGATTTATAGGGATTAACACTAGCTTACTTACTAAATTGAGTGGTTATCGATATTGTTCAACATAATTACATTAATAGCATTCGACGATAGCGAAGAATAAGTAATCAAATCAAAACTTTACTTTGCTAATAAACTAAGGGCTATCACTACAGCATTTATCACAAGTATCGCTTCTGGTATGGATAATCTCGATACAACATCACGCTAATGCAATGTAAACTTTGCCAAAATTTGATGTAAGATGCCGATTCATACGAATCAAGCGGGCTCCTGTCGTACTATACAAGTGTGCATGCTGAAAGATTCATCTTAATTTGCAAAAGATGTACTTTTCACCGATACATAGTTTTATTTGAGTAATGTACGAGATGGTAAGAATACTTTTGAGCAGTGCAGAGTATGGCCAAGGAAGGTAGAACTTGATTTTTTGGTCAGTGCTTAGAATAAACTTTGAAATGCAGCAGATTGTAAGCATAAAATCCGATCTTTATTACTGAATGCTTGCCCCAATCAATTTTATGGTGTGATTATTCGGCTATCAAAATTAATCTTGGATGCGTTCGCTGAACTGATTATAAACCCACGTTAGGATTGTGCTGTAGTTATAAAATGATTTTGGCTCAGTAATTACTACATTCGTCCTAGTTGACGAATTATTCGTTATCATTTCTTATAATCTTGCCCCATTTAATCTTGCAAAGATTGTATTACGTCTTAAATTATTTTTGATTAGATTAGATTGGTATAATAAAAGTTATTAATTCATTACTAGATGCCGTGAGCTTTAAAATCACGTTAATTGTTGCGCTATAGTTTATTGACTTAAGAATGCAATCAAATTATACATGAAATAAAGCTAAAACTGCGTCAGTTGTACTCTTATACACTATAATGTTATCTGCAATATTTCTTTCCGCAGTATTAAGAGCTAAGATTGCGAACGATGCTTTGGTTTGAATGTGCTGTTGTTGATGGCATTTGCAGGGCATTAAATTCGCAAAACAATGTTGAACATTCATCTAGAATTTTTCATATAACTGATGGCGAATTTGACACCCACATTAATTTTATGTCTAGTTTACAGACATCGGTTATGACTCATGTTATTATTTACAACAAGTTCGATATGAACACGGAATTACAATTCGTGCAAACGGAAGATTTTCTGTTTTTCATAACAATTTGTTATATCTCTCAAAGTCTTAATACTGTAGCAGAACATAAGTTCCAAATTTGTATATCGCATACTTTCGTGAATATTTCTGTACTATTGATTGTTATTGATGGATCTACGAGAAAAGGTATAGTTTGAGAGTTATTTTTTGACCGAAAATTCGGGGTCACTGTACCTACTTTGTATTACCTAGACGCAATCTCATGAAAACGGTTCATGTTTTTAATATTGTAGCGACACTTTGACGTTAGAAGTATCCTCTAATTCTTACATCTAAAAGGCATATTCTGCATAATCAAACTGCTGAAAGCAGATTATTCATGTTCACATTTGTCAAGAAAGTAAAATGATTTTCCTTATGAAATCAGAACAACATTCAGCTATCTAGCCCATCTGCTATAAAATTGATAAATTAGCCTTGAGTATATCTTACGGATTGAATTGGGTAAAGTAAAGATGATGGGGTAAGGGTAGTAGAAAATTGCATTGAACGCTTATTTCAATTAATAACGATAAAACAAATTACTAGCTAAAACGGATAAATTGTATTCTTACCACAGCTTCACGATCGCCGTATTTATCACTGAATTCGAAGATGAAATCGATCAAATTAATTTGATCCGGTAACTGACAAGTATATTTACTGCTGATTTCCATCTTGCGTTTCATTCCATGAAAAGTAAATCGCGTCCAAGTAACAAAAAATAATCATGAAGAAAATTAAATTAGAGTTAGGAAGACGATTTCATATTGGTGCATATAAGAAATGGCGAATTATATTGACTTTGACAAGAAGCAATTGATACAGGTTACTTTTTTTTAACAGTATTCGCTGATAATTAACAACTAAAGCATCAATTGCTTACCTTTTTAATGCCAAGAAATAACTGGAAAAAGTATCACTTATTTATATGTGGTAAAAAAAAGAAACTGAAAAGCCTCCTGAAACAACTTAATCCTCGTCAATCAGGGAGGGTCTGATTTATCTTAAGTTGTAAATGCAGTTACCTAATGCACATGTTGCCTTATATAGTTCTAATATGATTTGAATCAGATTTACTGTTAAAAATATCCAAACTACGCATTTCAAGGTGTGTCCGAGACTTTGCCCCACACCCGCCTATTCATAACTAGGCTACCTTAATGGATATTCAATAATAATAATTAATACAACGATACAGAAGTTTTGACCTATTATTTGTTGCAATTGAACTAATTGTAATGAATCATTATATTAATGAATACGGCTTTAGTTTATTTGTAATACTTTTATGTGTGGGTCCCACCAGTATTTGTTGTAGGCAATGACGAATAAAATCTTCGACAACGCCTCATTAATGCACCAAGTAAAGTAAATATGTATAAATAAGTAAAGTAATTCTTTTTTCGACTATATATGCAAATTTAGTAAATGACTAACCAGAATGAACTGTTATTACAATAACTATATCCGTAATTACATTTAATTCTGGGTTTAGTGATGGTCATGTTACTGGACGTATAGAATCTGCTGTGCGTTAAGGACTGCAATCGTCGTAAAGAAATCCATCAAATTATCCGCAGCTATATAAAAGATGACCGTAATGCAGCGGTAAAACACAAACTCAGAAACTATCTCGTAACTCTGCCTCTAAGAGTGATCGTATTTAAAGTTTCCAATTGATATTTTTACTTCATAAAGCTTAAGAGTGTTCGCGTTCGATCCCAAACTTATAACAATAAATCGTTTATATTCATGTAACGACCAAGGCCTTTACTCATTAATCTGCGTCGTAATGATAAAGTAGACGATGTCTAATGTTGTATTTTCCGCCTTTCATCATCTGTCACTGATATTTTTAATCCTCTTAAAGTCTGAGGCAAGATTTTATTGACGGCAGCTTATTTTAGGTATGGTCAACATTCTAGAACTAGGAAGCTGACATTTAACATGGCTCCGTTTAGTTAACATAACTTAGATTAATAAATTCTAGTTTCGTAGCATTACGCGAATAAACTTTCTAACCCAAAGAGATTTTTTATCCCGATAACCATCTCATATCAAGTCATCAGAGTCCGATTTATTACGTATTGGATCACGTAATCATTTATAGGCAGTTAATGTTGCCTTCATACTTGTCGTAGATATTTTGCATAAAATTGGTATTAATTACTTATATGGGCCCTGAATGAAAACTCATCAGGTTAGCCATATAGGCCGATATAGCCAAGGTTCCGGGCTTTTATTATTGTTAGGTAGTTACCGGTAGCAATGTAGCTATTTGTTGACATTGCCTAGGACTTGAATTCTAGTTTTATTTACACTTTCTCATATTCTCAGGTTTATGTATCGAAAGGTTAATAACTATACTCATATGGTAGGAGGTCACAGTTTGGAGAGTAAATATTATTGCAGTACCATAAAAATTGAAAATGTTAAACTTCTACCCCAACAGAACGTTACGTAATGCTTTACTGAACTTGTACTGAGGTTCTCCAGCCAGCAGCTTGCTACACATACATGATTTCCTGATGATTTGCATTTTGCTTTCTGCTCTATAGAAGTTGAATCAGTATACCTAGAGCTACCTCACGAGTGTTTTAGCTAGCATAACGAGCTTCAATTAGCAATTCTAACAACAACGAGATGTTATAAGGTAAAGTAGTGATTAGTGGATAACAAAATGCTGTATACAAAATACTGTGTGTCTTCTAACTGTTATTATATTCTCATAGTTACGTCCATTTTGTATTATCAAGTTAATGTCTATATGAAAGCAAAATAAGTACCCGATAGATAAATTAATACAGTACTTAAAGAAAGAGGTAAAATATGTCAATGACAGAAATTATGTAATGCTATTAGATGGGATAACAATACACATATGTCGAAAATTTTTATCTTACTAGCTTCGTGTAGTTTTTTCAGAAATGTTTGCATTAATTTTTTTTACCGCTGTAGCATCGGCTATTACGAAATTAATTATTTCCACTTGTCTGCTAATCCTATTGTTGTTAAACCAGCTATTCTAGATAGAATGAAGAAATTCTTTCCTAAACTACATTATAAGGACTTTAATTTAGAGTATTGTAGTACTTCTCTATCTCTACTTCTGTTACCTAATAAAATTCTCTACATTTACAATCGCGATTACATCAACAAGCATCTGTAAGATCGTAGAATAAATTCGCCTCTATTGATGGCCAGGAAATGATAATTTGTCGTATCTTATATTGAGACTATATCACAGAATGTAACATAATGTCGTAATATAACCAGACAATTATATTAACCGAAAAGCAATTATGGACGCAAGAAAATGAAATTGATATTTTACATCAATAAAAATATAATCAGCAGCCAGAAAAATTATAAGGTCAAAGGTTCTCCTTTTCAATAAAAGTTTTGAATGACAGAATCAAAAAATCATAAGATATGACTTGGCTATTGATTATGGAACGATTTGACTTGGACAAGCCAAGCTCGATAACTTACTTATTGACAGATGCATTGGCTTATAGTGAATTAAGTTTTTAATATCTATATATAATCAAGTCAATATGTAGCTGCGTATTAACGGCATAACTGATTGGACATCTATCTATATCTACATGTGTATTTATACTTAATAATTTATACGATACGAGATGCTACCGCCATATTTAGGTACAGTACGGTAGCCTAACATGGTATTATTTAGATTAGTATTTAAAGATAGGGTATAGAAGACGTATACTCTTTATATAGCAATAAGTTGGACAATACTTTGATGCTTACAGTAACAACAGTAGTTCAATAAAATTGCTTTCATACACGCCAAATACAGTAAGGACTGTCAGAAATTATAGCTAGCATTTACAGTAACTACGGAATAATTAATTCTAAGCTAACTTTTCGTACAGTTTTGCAAGGTATGAAGATCTACATTGCCACATTACTATATTGGATTTCAATATATCATGAAAGGATCGCTTCTTTCTCGTTTATTCACAATTTCCGCATATTAAAATAATGATTCACTTACACGATACTCATTTACTTCCTATTTACGGTATTTACACCTCCGTATGTTTAGAACAACGATATATACGATTATTTAGTGTTAAGATTTCGATGAATCGTTGTTCTGTAAATGTAAGATTAGCGTTAAATATCGTCATACAGTATGCTATACGTAAGGATGATTGCGCTGTTTAGAATGTACAAATAATCAATCGTTTAGCGGCTTTTCCCGGTGCTTATTTAGCCACTAGTATTTGCGTGGTTGCAGCAACTTATGATAATGCCTTCTGGTTGTAGTTTATCCGTGGGTTACTAATTCCCTAAATCGAGAACTCTTTACAGCATCTATAGGTTGAGTTTAGTGATTCTTGGTCATAGCTGCCGAAATAGGATATTAAAGAGCAATATCAAGTGGTGAAATCACTTACATGTATAATAACGAAATACGAGGTTCTCACATGACGAGCAGGATGGGCTGGAGCAGAAATGGATACTTTCATTTAATTATTTCCGAAATAGATTTAAAGCCATGAAAGCCTTTATTTTCATTAAAGTTTACTGTATAATTCCAGTTTAGAGTAAATTGGGTATAAAAATTGGGTTAAAATATGTACCAGTGATTATCAGTATTTATTGCCATAACAATTAGAAATGATGCATTTCTCAAAAGCAATATCGCATGGTGACAAAAATTTGCTAGAAAAAATACCTACATGCCCTTATTTACTGCATCAGCTGTTGCTCTCTGCATTTCAGAACAGATTGAAGCATAACAGCATCATTAATTAGAAACAAGAACATGCCTATGTATATATTCTAGCAGAAGCATTTGCATTTGATTGAATTATAAATTTTACTACTAGATTACAACTACAATCTTACTATAAGTAAAGTACCATACTATCAAGATCTTAGATTATATCAAGCTTCTAATCTGATATCATGTTAAAGGTGTAAGATAGTCGACTATGCTCTCAGATGGACGCTAACATCTAAATTACTTGCGTTATCGTTTTCAGGGATGCATAAATGAACATGTCAGAAATGGACTTCTTCCAACATGTAAAAATTAGTGTATCCCTTATTTAGAGTTTAGTGTTACAATAAAATACAAATACTATTGGATCAGAGCCACTATAGATATGCAAAATTTAACCGTTACAAAAATTCTTTTGGCATATCTAAGCATTTAATAATCAAGTATTTAGGTATTCTAGATGTAGAAAAAATTCTAGTCCAAGCCACTAATTTTGAAGTCCTAACTAGGCTAGCTTTTAAACAATGAATAACTAATCAACCTCCTATCATATAGAGCCATTTTTTTACGTTTAAGCGACAACTGCTGATATCGACAGTTCGTAAATTAATCTAACCAATATTGAATCAGAATCAATCTCGCCGTTTACATATATTATGTAGCTCTCGATATTTTTCATGCTCATAGTTTGATAGTGCAGCAGTTTTAAGTAATTGATTAGCTTTTACTTAAAGCTGCTTTAAAACTTTTAGTAACGATTCTTCCAGAGAGCTATAGCTGAAACAGTATGGACCAGGCCCACCTTTATAGGCAATTTTTCCATTGACTATAATGTACAACCTTTCAGGTCTTGCACCGTAAGCTTCCATAGTATCGTTATCGATGGAATCGACGTACATTGGTATATCGTAATTATAATCCAGAATAAAATTTTCAGCAATGCGAATTCTATCCTCTAAAGTCTTTGGCTTTGCTATATTTATACCCAATGCACTATTCAGATCAGGCATATTCCAATCATCTGATGCATGAGCTTCAGCAATATAAATGGTTAAGAAAGAAGCATTTGCGCTGTAACGATTGACCAATTGGATATATCGATCGATACTCTGTCGAAATGGAGGTCAGCTATATGATCCAAAGTTCAGTACATGGACAGAATGTGAAGATTGCTGGAAAATGGTTGCTAAATTAGTTAGCTCACCTTTTAAGGTGTAGAGTTTACCAACTGGAGCGTCATTTCCAACGTATGGATAGCCTACCACATGATATCTTTCTTGAGCTATAGCTACTAGAGCTTGGGTATTAAATAAATTTCTTTTCAGTACATTCCAATTTGATATCTCGTTTCGATGGCCAGCTGTATCAAAAAGACCATCCACAAAATTGGCTGCTTCAAAATAATCACTTGGATAGAAAAGCATTCCACCAAAACGTAAATAAATCAATTTCAGAAATCCATAAACTGTTAAAAGTGCCGTAGTGATTGGGTGATACGTAATTTTTGAGCGTTTAATGCTGCCATTTATGACGGAATGCTCCTTCTTTCCAATAGGCTGAGAATTTTGTTCCCTACTGGCGTTTTCCATGCTTACTTAATCTTCGGAAACAATCCTATGTTCAAGATCAGAAAAGTTATGCAAGATTCTACATTTAATCTAATACGTTATGCTAAAATAAATGTTGTGATATGTTGCTTGGATCTTAGATTATTAAGAAATTATGTCATATACGCATAAACATTACCTAGAAATGTTAATTTTTCACTTGCGTGACACATACAGAATTATATCTGTCCACTACATCACGGTAAACGGAAACTTTTGTCTGCAATCAATTATATTTCAACTGCTAGACTAACCAGTAACTGGGTGTAAGTTACCGCTTGTATGAAACTTTGTAGGTGTTGATTAACTTTTGTAAGTAAATTAAGAAAATCACTATAATTCTTTACATGTGCATGCGTAGGTTTCCAGAGATGTACGCGTATGCTATATAATTTATTAGGCAAATAGGATTGTGCTAAAATCTCATTCTGTGAACTTTCTGACTTAGTTGTGTATGAATTCTCAATTACTTTACAAAATAATCTTATTATCGTAGTACTACCGTAAGTGTTTAAAACTGAAGCTAATTGTAGATGATGATAGACATACTAGAATAATTATTTTAAACCCAAACTCTCTGTAATACTTTAGTACGAGTAGTTTCATTTTAATATCAATATATTCGGTTTTGTAGTCAATTCTAACGGAATTATAAAAATTTATCGCTACTACTGTGATACTGTGAGATCCATAAATCGCCTAGCTAAGCATGCGAGTCTGTCAAAGTTGTCATAACTCGAGGATGATAAGGAAACAGAGGAGAAGAAAAAACAGTAGAATGTCTGATTAAAGAGGTCTTAGCAGAGCACTGATCACACGCGCAACGAAATTAAATTACTACTTGAAAGTAACTTTACTTCGCTATAATCCAGTCTCTTGTGCTGTGAAGTTTGTTAATATTTAGATTATGAAACCTTCGTTTTTCGTCCTTAATAACTAATTTATGGTTAATAACCAGTAATTAACGATTAATATGTGATACTAAATTAAAAAATTGTTACCTGAATGATTGTGTAAAAAATGAGTTTTTTCAGTTGACTTTTTAGTGGCCTTAAAAGGCGGTTTTTAATGGTATATATGGGGACCTGATTAAGTTATTTCTAGTCTTTAAGAGTGCCACAGATTGTCTCTATGACCTCCAATTTTAGCATAATATATTTTACTTCTACTAGACATACCTTGAGTAGGACCATTTATCGCAAAGAAAAGAAGCTTTCTAAATCTCTAGCCTACTGCAGTACAGATTTTACTTGATATGGATCTAAGGAAGAATTTATTAATATTAAACGACAAAAATATCCTTTGTAAAGCTTTGTTTCAACAAAATATTATAAAAGATGTGTGTTGGAACAAGTTTAACTCCTGCTTTATGTCTTTGGACAACTTTTGGCTCTGTAACAGAATTTATCGATTCTTATAAACTATGATTCTATTGACTACTTTAAAAGTACTTGTAAGAGCCAAGCATAGTGAATTTTTGCCTATATTGAGCTATCATCAGTAAAGTAGGAATCAAAACAGCATGCTATCTTCGTTTTTCTCCTCTAATCTGACTTCTTGTTTTCTTCAAACAAAGAATTGTGCGTTAATAAATTCATGTTAGTACAGCTTATCTATAAGTCTGATTAAAGTTTTCGATTAATTAATAATTCAAAGATAATAGTTAATTATCTTACTGTTTCTTAATATTATTTTAATTTCGCAAATAATGTAATATAAATTAGTAGATTTGTTATAAAATAAAAGATTGGATAACAATGAAATTGAACTTTGAAAATAGAGTTTTTGCATTCAACAAGAGCAGCATAACATCTAACAATGAATAATAGCCTATTCAATATCATAGCCCCTCTTTTACGATTCGTTTCAAAACATGTTTTCTCCTTAATAAGATGATGCTGTATGTAAGTACTTAAGCTGTAAGTAAATAGCTATGTCGTATGAAGTTGTTATCAAAATTTTATAATGTGAAAATGAGAGAAACTTTAACTAATACTGGCAAAAATGTATCTAAATCATTACACAGTCCAACGTTTACTATATTGCAATCGTATAATTATGTCATATCATCTACCATAGACAAATCGCATATTTACGATATACTCGTACAAAAGTAATATGCCACTCGAAAGGTGTTTGATGGCCTCTTTCTTGAAATCCGCGCTTTATATAAGCTATGAGTAATCATGTAGGTGTTTTTTTAGGTAGTAATCCTTATAGCCTGGTACGATATAAGATAGAGAAGACTAACAAATTGTTGATAAATGTTTCTCTTGTCAAATTTATATAAAAAAATCATATTAAATAATATAAGAATTATCTATCTTGGCTTAAACATAATTGCAACCGAGATTACATTACATTAAGAGATTAAGCTAAATATAGACTAAGATAGGCCTAAGTGTTTCAAATAATAAAATATCCTTCAACGATATTATATCAATACAATACCTATTCATTTTTATGGCAAATATAGACGACTTAAAATAATATTAAGGTTAAGGGTTTTCATCGTAAAATTTAATTTACTATGAATGGATGCTAACCCTAAGGCTAAAGGTATCATATTTACATTGTACAAGCTAGTAGGAATTTAATAAAAGTTCGTAAACCATAGGTATGAGTAGTGCGTACGAAAAGACCAAGTAAAATTTATTATCTAACGCAAATTAAAACTGATACTCGAAATTCATAATGGGCATCTATGCTATTATGATTGGGTAATAACATTACAAACTCTAAATTGCGTGCGATGCTATACTGAAGGGCCATTCGATTTTCTTGTATGTATTGGTGCTAATTTGTTAGATCTCATATAACATGCATTACCAGATATACGAGTATAACGGTGCTGGTTACTCTACCTGTGCTACCAGTAACTACCGATTAAGGACATTATCCCAGGTTGTAGTAAGTACTAATAATATAATTATGATTAATGCATTTGTTAATGACCTGGTTTAGCTTTATTAGAAAGATTGAAAGGCTTAATCATAAGTATTTTAAGCCACATTCTTACTATACTACTCTTCTTAGCTTACAGCATGTCCATAATACTGTAATTGTGGTTACAACTATTAATGAGATAGCAATAATGAAACGGTAAAGATAAAAATCGTAGCCCAATATCCATAATTTCTAGAATCTAGCAATGCACATACTGTTTGCTCATGAACATTAGATCATATTCAAACATATATCAAGTTATTTCTGTAGAAGCATTATGTTACATGTATGTGCACTATTGATCGATTTATTAATACGGTTAGTACTGTCACTTTAATATCTTCGGGTTAGACCGACGTATGCTCCGTTAAATGGAGATAGAGTAGTTCCACTTCGTAGCTTTAGTGGTATTTCCGTCTCGGCTACTGTTTTCAATTCGAAATTTTGTATAATCTTAACCAAGGCTAACTTTGCTTCGAGCAAAGCTAATCGCATCCCTACACAGTTACGTGGACCTCCTCCAAATGGTAGATAGCTACACGGTATCTGTTTAGCTTTTTCTTCAGGTGAAAAGCGTTCTGGTATAAATTCATTAGGCTTAGGCCATAATTCTGGATTATGATGAATACCGTAGATTGGGAAGCTAACCATAATATCTTTAGGAACAAGAAGACCATTAATCGTGATATCTTCTTTAGCTTCACGGTTAACAAAATAAGCTGGAGGATACATTCGTAATGTTTCGGAAATGACCATATCTAAGTAAGGTAAGCTGAATAGAGTATCGTAGTCGATTGAATTTGCATCAGGACAGAGTGAATCAATTTCATCTCTTAATTTCTTTTGCACGTCTGGATTTGTAGCCAGTGAGTATGATGCAAATCCCAGTGTATTAGCAGTAGTATCATAACCAGCGATCAGAAAGATAAATGCTTGAGCAATAATTTCTTCGTCAGTGAGCTTGTCACCATCACCAGCTTCGATCATTTGTTGTAGAATATCTCTTCGGCAAGGGATACCATTTTTTAAATTTCTTCTTCTTTCTCTCAAGACATTTTCTGCTGTCTTAGCTAAGTATATGGTCGACTTGACTAAGTTACCACCAAGTAGAGGCTCGACCATGCGAAATAGTGGGGTAAGAAATATAGAAAAGAATTGTATAACGCCATTAGTATTACGAAATAACCTAGCAGCTGATTCAGTTAATTTCTTTTCTTGCTCTTTTGATTCAAAATCGATACCGAATACCGTGGCTAGGATAACTTTCATTGTATATACACCACAAGTACGCCACATATCGATTGCTCTTCCTTCTTCTTCAGCTTTTGACATCGTCTTGATGAGATTGTCGCCGGCGTCGGTAATAAGTGGCATGATTCCTTTCAATTTTGAAGTACTAAAGGTGGGTATAAGAATTGTTCTTACACGTTTCCAATCTTGATCCTTCAATTGTACCACTGTTTTATCAAAAGGGGGACGCGGTTTAGTCAAAGAAAATCGATTAGCAAAATTAGAAAATTCCTTGACTGTTATTATCTTTAACATTTCGGGATCACCAACCCACAGATTAGGTATGTGAAAGAATAATGTTCCGCAGACATTGCCATATAATTCTTGTCTCTTTACTTGAGCAATATGTCGATTAGTGGAACCATAATCCAGCATATTGCCTAATAAAGGCATAGGTGGTGAAACATTAATTCCTAATTTGCTCAGCTTGCGATAGGGGACAATAAAATTACGGTATAATGTAATGGTAATCAGGCCAAGAAAGCTTGCAAAGAGGAAGCTTTGAATAGATAGCTGTGGCAGCCACAAAAAGTCGAAAATTTTTATCATGTTTATTTCTATCTCGCAGCGAAATACAGTAAAGATATATACAAAAGCTCGTAAATATAGTGATAAATAACTCAGAAGCTCAAGCTGATAACTTGTTGCTGATCGTCAGCAAATGAAGAATAGGTAATCTCGTTTTATGTAGAGCTAAATTATGACGTAATTCTAGTCTTGTATCCAAAGCGTGACATTTAATAATTAAATATAACCACTTCTTCGATCGGACCGCGCCCTGGTGCAAGTATAGAGCTATCACAAAAGCATTTACTATTTGTTTAAAGAGTAGTCCAATAGAAATCACTTCGGGCGGGATGGAATGGAAATTAAGATAGAGTTCAAGACAATGTGTAGATGATGTACTGTATCTGCTGCTAGACAGTGTAGGCTACCTACAAAGTATTATAATACACTGCAGACTAAGCGAATTTTGAAGTTATCGATCTGCTGTACTTTCTAAGTTGAGACTAGAATAGAATACTAAGTGCTAATAAAGATGACTTTTACAGGAATAAAGAATCATTAGACAACGCCTCAAATCGGCAGTCTATAAAACTGTTACTAGTATACGAGTACGTACATCAATTTGGGTGAGATAGAATGGAAATTAAGATGGAGTTCGATACAAGGTCTAGATGATATATTTGCTACTAGACAGTGTAAACAACCACAAAGAACCATCATATACTGCAGCCTGAGCGAATTTTGAAGCTATTGATCCTCTTTACATTTCTAATTTGCGACTACACTAGATTAACCAGAGCTAGTTAAGACCATTTTTATAGTAACGAAAATCATTAGGCAACTTCCGAATACAGTAGGCAGGCGACAAACCTACCACTAGTGTTTGAGCACATATGTTAGTATAGAGACTATGGTCTTTTACCATGTAGTAAAGTTCCCTTGTATACTGGATAAAACCTGAAACTGTTTTGATTTCCGCTTGTCAGTGGCTGATTAATATATATTCGTAAATGCATGAATAACTAATTATATCTTGTATTAAATCAGCTATTTTCATTTATTTCTTAACCTTTTAATGGACTATAAGCAGTAGTCACCTTGCAACTGAAGCAAAAATTAGTATTGCATCGTAGTTTCCTGGCATATCTTGAAGAAGTTCGATTAATGCTTGTAAATAAAAAATTCTATGCTGTATGAGTAAACATTAGTTTACGTCTTACGTAAGTATCAGCCCTTTAACTATATACCTGTATTTTAGAATGCCCAGTACTCAATGCAAAATTTTAGAAACTTCTGGTGTCATAGTGCAATATCAGATTGCAATATTCGGTGTGTTATCGTTACCGTATGCGTATAAATTCCTTTAGAAACTACGAGCTATAATCGTATAAAATTTAAGATCGTGCTATATCAGCTTTTACATCAGCAGTAATGAGGTAACGTAATTAACTATAATTAATCAATATGCAGCGACCGCACTGAGACGTAATTGGTAAATTTATGTATTTACTTTAGGAGTATACGATTTAAGAATATATGTATTATATGATTGTGTATGACAGTGTACGAATTTATAGAAGAAATTGCCTTTCTAGTAATTCTTCATTCAAGCTTTAATGAACTTATGGGCGCTGTATTAATTGCACGTATTTTCGAAATCGATTATGTAATATCTCAACACTTGAATGCCGCCTCCATAATATTAACTTTGAGTACAAAGAGAAAATGTAATGATCTTAAAGAGGATTTCTTTAAAACAGTGAATATTTACCCACGCCCAATTACAAGTATGCCAAATCTGCATGGCTTAAAAATAAAGTTGATATTTATGGCTTTCGTTTTTAGATCAAATTGGTTATGCTAGAATGTTAAATTTATTGCATTATTGGATACCACGAATCTAAGTAAAGCTCGCTTATTCAGAGGCTGTATGAAAGAGTAACCACAAACTAAACAAACTGTAGCCGTGTTAAGTAATTGGGAGTTAATATTCAAAATTCAGCGCTGATGTAATATGTAATAGACTGTGATGGCTCTATATAGTAATTTATAATAATGAAGAGACCTACAATAATCATATTTGATTTTATGTATTCTAACTATTTTGTCAGCTTCCATATGAAATACATACTTGATACATTGTAAAGAAGATATGATTATGTAGCAGGCTATCTTCAATTAGCATCGATTTGGGATGCAATTGTATATTTGCAAAAATCTTGATAATGAAGTTAGCGATAAACTAGTTTGCCTTTATTAAAATGATTAGAGGATATTAGCTGCAACTTCCTTAAGGCTACAAAATAAATAATGATATTACGATTTTATTCTGCCTAATTTATATGTATATTAATTACGATAACATTTAATAATTACTATGATAAAACCTTACTATGATATTTCTGCTCAGTAATCATATTCTAGGTTTGCATAAATACAGTATATTTCATAAAAAATACTCTATCTATCAAATTTAAAATATTTAACGAGCAATTTCGAAGTAAGGCTACCTATATGGATGTATAATTATTCTTATTAAAGGTCAAATAAAGTAGTTAATATATTTGTACAGCAGCACTTTAAAATAAGAACCGCTAATAGTTTCTTAGGATAAATATTCTGATGACATATGTACTTAACTATGGAGTAAAAAGGATCACCCTTTACGTGATTGCTATTGCTGTGCACAAAAATACAAATAATTTTAACATAATTCTATTCACTATTTTTAATCATTATAATTGATATGGACAGTACTGTAACTCTAATTTCTTCGGCTTAGACCGACGTATACTCCGTTAAATGGAGATAGAGTAGTTCCACTTCGTAGCTTTAGTGGTATTTCCGTCTCGGCTACTGTTTTCAATTCGAAATTTTGTATAATCTTAACCAAGGCTAACTTTGCTTCGAGCAAAGCTAATCGCATCCCTACACAGTTACGTGGACCTCCTCCAAATGGTAGATAGCTACACGGTATCTGTTTAGCTTTTTCTTCAGGTGAAAAGCGTTCTGGTATAAATTCATTAGGCTTAGGCCATAATTCTGGATTATGATGAATACCATAGATTGGGAAGCAGACCATAATATCTTTAGGAATAAGAAGACCATTAATCGTGATATCTTCTTTAGCTTCACGGTTAACAAAATAAGCTGGAGGGTACATTCGTAATGTTTCGGAAATGACCATATCTAAGTAAGGTAAGCTGAATAGAGTATCGTAGTCGATTGAATTTGCATCAGGACAGAGTGAATCAATTTCATCTCTTAATTTCTTTTGTGCATCTGGATTTGTAGCCAGTAAATATGATGCAAATCCCAGTGTATTAGCAGTAGTATCATAACCAGCGATCAGAAAAATAATAGCTTGAGCAATAATTTCTTCGTCAGTGAGCTTGTCATTATCACCAGCTTCGATCATTTGTTGTAGAATATCTCTTCGGCAAGGGATACCATCTTTTAAATTTCTTCTTCTTTCTTTCAAGACATTTTCCGTCGTTGTAACCAAGTACTTTACAGAAGAAACTATTTTACCACCGAGTAAAGGTTCGAGAAGAGCAAACATTGGCGTGAAATATATCACCAGGAATTGTAAAATACCACTAATATCCCGAAATAGTACACCAGCAGATTCAGTTAATTTCTTTTCTTGCTCTTTGGACTCGAAATCGATACCGAATGCCGTAGCTAGGATCACTTTCATTGTAAATACGCCACAAGTACGCCATATATCGATTACTCTCCCTTTTTCTTCAGCTGTTGATAACGTCTGGATGAGATCGTCGCCAGCGCCTTTAACGAATGGTACAATTGCTTTCAATTTTGAAGTACTAAAGGTAGGTATAAGAATTGTTCTTACGCGTTTCCAATCTTGATCCTTCAATTGTACAACTGCTTTATCGAAGGGTGGACGTGGTTGATTTAAGGCGAAACGATTGGTAAAGTTGGAAAACTCCTTGACCGTTATTGACTTTAATATGTCAGGATCGCCAATCCATATAGTAGGTATATGGAAAAAGAGTGTCCCCCAAATCTTACCATACATTTCTTGTCTCTTTATCTGAGCAATATGTTGGTTAGTTGATCCATAATCCAGATTGTTACCCATTAAAGGCGTAGGCATCGAAATTTTAAGTCCCAATTGACTGAGTCGTCGATAAGGGGCAATGAAATTACGATATAACACTATCGTAATACAACCAAGAAAGCTTGTAATGAGAAAGCTTTGAATAGAGAGTTGAGGCAGCCCCCACATGTTTAAAATTATTATTATACCTGTCTTGGATCGAATGTGAAAGGGCTAAATCACTTGTTACAACTACAGAATTTCAAGGTGATGATCAGTTGACAATGAAAAATTGGAAGTGGATTAATTTCGTTCTATCCGGCATAAAAATGGCAATGTTCAAATTAGTTCAAATTTTGTATATAATTAAGTTAATATACAGTACGAATAACTTTGCCTTTGGGTGTACGGTATAAGTTCTGGTCTGATCATGTTTACCGTAAAAGGTGATCTGATATTACGTCATACTGTGTTGCACTGTATCAGCAACTAGTCATGGGTTATTGACGGTAAATTACCATGGTAATTGGATAACTTTTGACCAGTCCCAAAGTAATGTAGAACAATGAATTTTGAGATGGTTCTTGGGCTTGAATTTCTTTGGGTTTCAATAGGATAGAGACTGTCAGATTCGAGCTACTGAATTTGTCGTTTTGCAGCATTCTGTCTTTTGAGACACTTGTTAAATATCGGCTTTCTTCTTCAGTAGAAGCTCGCTAGCAAGGCGATGCACGCGTAGCTCATCGATCAACAGCATGTAGAGAAGGAACTCGTAATATGGTATATGAATTTATCAATTTTGTACGCGAGCCTATCAATTTACAATGCATTAGCATACAACTTAATAGAACTCATTATCCGCTATCTTGCTGGCGGTATCTCCAAGCTAGTCGTATTTACAATAATCTTGTGCGCGTACATTTTAGGAGTTCAGTTTTGCTCACATTACTGCGCAACACGATATAATATTGTTAGTGTATCATACTCATACTAAATGGTAGTTTTATTCGATATCAATTGTGAATCTACACATAGTACATGAATATAATGATGAATTATGAACAAATGATGTCAACATTTAAACTAATCATCATTAATTTTTTCAGAATTAAACTTCGATATCGTTTATTATATTACATCCGATCACAAAGAGAAAAGTCTGAACTGACCCAGACTCCTGTATACGTTACTTAGGTTAAGAAAAAATAAAACTTCGATATCATTTATTATACTACATCCGATAACAAAGAGAAAAATTTTAAATGACCCAGACTACTGTATACGTTACTTAGGTTAAGAAAAAAATAACACATTAGTACAACATTAGTAGGACATGTAACAATTATAGTCATAAGCACTAAGGTAATCCTAGCTCAACAGTTGTGCCGTTGAGTAGACGGATATTATTTATTCCATGACACTGTAGCCACACATATGTCATATTTAATATAATAACCAACCTGTTACTAAAAGACATTTATAATATGTATAACTGTTGATTCCTAAAGACCGCATGCGGCCTTGAAATTATAGCATTTCGCATTAAAGTTGATTAATTATAGATATAGAATTATCACTACACAGAATATAGATAAATTGAGCGTTGAAATTGGTAGAGAAGTATAATTTATACTCGCATTACAGTATAAATACATATTGTATATGTGAACTTTTATGTAATGTATAATAAAAGCGAACAACACGCTTTTAAGGCTACGATTGCTTTACTGAACCATGAATAATTTGTACTAATTATTCAAAATTGGTCCAATGTGCTGTACTTTAAAGTTTCCGCAAGTCCACATCTTGAGATTACATCAGTATACGAATATTGACCAGATTTAGTATTCTACGATAAAGTAAATCGGTCATACTTAGGCTAATACAGGCAGTTCTGTCGCTTCAAGATCTTCGGCTTAGGCCAACGAATACACCGTTAAGCGGAGATAGAGTAGCTCCACTTCGTAGCTTTAGTGGTATTTCCGTCTCGGCTACTGTTTTCAATTCGAAATTTTGTATAATCTTAACCAAGGCTAACTTAGCTTCCAATAATGCTAGCCGCATTCCTATACAATTACGTGGACCTCCTCCAAATGGTAGATAGCTACACGGTATCTGTTTAGCTTTTTCTTCAGGTGAAAAGCGTTCTGGTATAAATTCATTAGGCTTAGGCCATAATTTAGGATTATAATGAATTGCGTAAATAGGAAAACCAACCATGACATCTTTAGGAATAAGTAGACCATTAATAGTAATATCTTCTCTAGCTTCACGATTAATAAAGAAAGCTGGAGGATACATTCGTAATGTTTCGGAAATGACCATATCTAAGTAAGGTAAGCTGAATAGAGTATCGTAGTCGATTGAATTTGCATCAGGACAGAGTGAATCAATTTCATCTCTTAATTTCTTTTGTGCATCTGGATTTGTAGCCAGTAAATATGATGCAAATCCCAGTGTATTAGCAGTAGTTTCATAACCTGCGACCAGAAAAATAATAGCTTGAGCAATAATTTCTTCGTCAGTGAGCTTGTCATTATCACCAGCTTCGATCATTTGTTGTAGAATATCTCTTCGGCAAGGGATACCATCTTTTAAATTTCTTCTTCTTTCTTTCAAGACATTTTCCGTTGTTGTAACCAAGTACTTTACAGAAGAAATTATTTTACCACCGAGTAAAGGCTCGAGTAAGCGAAATAACGGTGTAAAAAATACAAATAAAAATTGCAAAACACCATTTATGTTACGAAATAGTACACCAGCAGATTCAGTTAATTTCTTTTCTTGCTCTTTGGACTCGAAATCGATACCGAATGCCGTAGCTAGGATCACTTTCATTGTAAATACGCCACAAGTACGCCATATATCGATTACTCTCCCTTTTTCTTCAGCTGTTGATAACGTCTGGATGAGATCGTCGCCAGCGCTTTCAATCAGTGGCACAATTGCTTTCAATTTGGAAGTACTAAAGGTAGGTATAAGAATTGTTCTTACGCGTTTCCAATCTTGATCCTTCAATTGTATAACTGCTTTATCGAAGGGTGGACGTGGTTGATTTAAGGCGAAACGATTGGTAAAGTTGGAAAACTCCTTGACCGTTATTGACTTTAATATGTCAGGATCGCCAATCCATATAGTAGGTATATGGAAAAAGAGTGTTCCATAAAGGTTGCCATATATTTGTTGTCTCTTAACTTGAGCATCATGTTGGTTTGTTGGTCCATAATCGAACATGTTGCCTAATAAAGGTATCGGTCGTGGAATTTTCATGCCTAATTGACGGAGTCGTCGATAAGGAGCGATAAAATACCGGTATAATGCAAGAGTTATCAAGCCAAGAAAGCTTGCGATGAGAATACTTGGAGTGGAGATCGGAGGCAACCACCCCATGTGTAAAAGTTGCATCATTTTGATGGCTATCTTACTTGAAATAGATAACAAGATGGCCAAAGTGTACAAGCTCAATCGCCGGTGGAACAAGTAAACAACAACAGGGTTACTAGACCCTACTGTTGGGTCTAATTTCATTCAGAAAATTAGCTCATCTTTAAATGCTTATTGTACTATAACTGTATTGTTTCCATACGGCAACAATAAGTCTAAGAGCAACTGCGATAGCGGCTGCGCGACCTATTGTATAAACTGTATTGTTTCCATACGGCAACAATAAGTTCTAAGAGCAACTGCGATAGCGGCTGCGCGACTTAAAGGGTTAAAAATGATGTGACAAGCAGAAAACTGACGCGTACGTACTGTAGACTACAGTACACTTCACTGTATGTACTGTACTGTACACTGTACATGCACCAGTGCCGTACGGTACTAAATAATAATAATAAATAAATGAATTATTTACTAGTACAGTAATATTCAATGGATTCGATGAGCTGAACTTTGACCTCATTTAACGCGACAAGTCGTCAATAAGGGTGGAAGAACAGTGTACAGTACAGTACTGTATGTAGGGTTATGAACGACGTGATCCCCATACTGTACAGTGCTGTACATTGGATAGAATAATTTTGCATCATTTGTACAAAATTGATCGCAAATGCATGGTTTTAATATTGACGGATAGCTCTTGACTTCATGACTGGGTAACTATGTACAATAAGAGACCTATGTGTATAGCAAGGTTCATCACGATTGGTCTTTTTGGAGCATTCTACTACCGGCACTCAGCACTGAAAAGAGACGGGACACGCTTTCAGTGCAAAATACTGCAGCGGCTTATCATTTTTTCGCTGATATTACAGTACAGTACAGGACAGACACCTGAACGTCTCAGAACATTGCTGTTTGCGATATTCAAATCTCCAGAATATGATCTTACTGCATGCAGAATTTGCATATAAAGTTTGGGCACATCTTTCATACAGAAATAAATAAGATGTTGTCCAGACTTTCCGGGCGCCCCCCGTACTATCCAGTACAGTACTTTACTGTAGGCTACCGATGAAAGCGCACAATGTACAGTACTGTACGGTATACCATATTGCTCAAACCAACCTGGCTAATAGCAGCTAATCTGGATGTCAATCATGGACAGTGTAGTACAGTATACCATTACAGACATGCAATAGAGTTAAAATGACGGGCAAATTAATCAGTCTGCCCAATTTATTAGTAGAGTGAACAACCGTTTCCTGTTCCCGTCTCTTTCCTTTTTAGCCATGGCAGAAAACGGATTTTATTGTAACGATCGCGACTTGACACTGGACAGTGGACACTCGGAGTGTAGATACTGTACTGTACACTGTGTACAGTATGTGGAATACTGTACTGCATACTGTAGTACTGGTAGTCTGGTACTCAAACTAGTCTCGAACTTCTATCGACAACATCACAGTACAGTACAGTAGTGTATTGTAACCCCACTACGACTAAACATTTAATCCGATTGAAAGCGCTACATAAAATCCGAATCCGATCCGAAAATAGTACAGTACAGTACAGTACTGTACAGTCCCAAATTCTTTCTCTCAACACAATCATCTTATTGTACTGTACAGTACTGTACTGTACAGTGTACACTGTACACTTCGCTGGAACCCATTCTCTTGCCAAACTTGAGTAAGCATGCGCATGGCGGGTCGATTTAAATCTGATTGGTTTAACAATTTGCATTTTAACTGATTTAACTGTAAACTTCAGTCTAGTCATTCATCTCCCTCCTTTTTGTATAGTAAATAGCGACTGTTGTAGACTCTGCTAACTGGATTGGAAACAGTCTCTTGACTTGATCATCAGTCGTCCATCATCGTATTGAGGAGAGTTTATTTAAGCGGACTACGGTGCTACAGCCAAGCGACGAGATTGGGAGAAAGATTGGGCAAGCAAGTTTTTCCATTTTGCAGTTGGCATCGTTATCTCGACAGTCCAATTTTAAACCATCGTTCATTCATCTTGATTGCTGTAAGATCCAATCGCAGATGTTAACTAGTCATAATACAATTGTAGATAGTGTAAAATATTGATCACGACATTGATAACGATCTGCTGGATAGAGTAGATTGTACAGTATAAAGGCAGCAGACAGTACTGTACACTACAGTATTGATTCTCGAGGATTTGATCGCATTACTGCAAGCTTTGATCATCGCTTGAATAACAAGCGCTTTATTCTTCATGATACTGTAGTAAACATTTTTGCCATGAGGAAGGCGGCCGATTGATAACATATTCATCCTTGAAATTGGTAGCTACCGATTGGTATTGGTACAACAGGTAAAGAACGTTGAATTTCTTGTTAGTGATATTGCTACCATTAATGATATACTGAATAAACGTAGTGGCACACGTCTTCATCACTGGATTTGTCACACCTCTGGGCTTGTTGCCATGATGTAAATCCACTAGGCTGTATTCAGTATGCTGTCCTTTTTGCATTGATTACTATGACAATCATCGTGTTCTGGTCGAAAATAATCCATTGACTTTGTGTTGGTTAGCACCTCTTTGATTGCAATAGGATACGATTGAACTTGCTACCAAATGAATGATCGACTCTAGTAGCGATGAAAAAGAGAACGCTCGCATGCTCATAACACCGTCATCTTGAATACGATGCGATACAGTGTAGTTTGAAAAAGGGCTCAAGCAATGATCAAAGTATCGTAAGCCACTACAACAACACATAGTATTTTGCGAGGAACGAAAGACAAATATCCATTCCTATACTTTTCGCCTGCAGTATGAGAATAGCTGGAAAGTGATGGGCGCAAATACGGCTATCGTATTACACAATACGCTACATTATCATTTTACCAGCAAAAGTGATCCTCCATGCGACTGTTTAATACTTTTCTTTCTCACTTGCAAACCAACAGGCGTAGTAATATCATAATACTGTACACATCTGCCATTCGATCGAGTTGTCGCCAATAATATAATAGTCTATTTCGACCATTATGATCGAGAACGCTTGAAAGGCGCTTTCTTAATTTATCACACATCCTCGACCATGACAATGCAATGCCACTGTAGTAAAATGTTCACGCAAACACATTTACTCTTTTCCATACTAATTATTTCAATGCCCATCATTTTATTCCTGTAACTATAGTACTCTATTGATAATAGCAAATATTTTAAATGGAAAGATCGAATCCGGTAATAAACAGTAATAGTCGGTAGCGAGAATGAGCACGTTTTATGAACGATTACTTTACTTTCTAAATTAACCACTACAGTGTCTGATACTGTCCATGGCGATTGAGACAATACTGTACCGTAGCTACGGCATAACTTAGCACAAATTGACATATACACTTATTGTACAGTAGAAATGTTATATTGACTTACTCTCGATATAGCATGTGTTGAATTCATCATTGCTAGTACAAATGATTCATGGATTTATTGTAGTAGAGTGAAAATAATAATTCATCAATCAGGTACACAAGCAATAATACTAAACATACAAATGTAATATTCAATATCAAACCTCGATGTTAAAATAACCCCTGACAAGAACTGTTGTTGGCCGTTAGTCATGGCTTCAATTAATTAATGATTATTATTTATGAATTAATAATGACGACAACATGGGGCTATATTTAAAGCTAGATACTGAGATAATGCAATAGGAATTTTGTATCTTTTCCTAGAACATGATCGATTAATGATGACATATTACTCTACGCTATTTTTATAATAACAAATCGGAATATTCTCGACATGATGTCCATCACTAAAATTGAGATTCATTACATACCACAGGATTACGTTTCGTAAATTAAAAAAAAATAATAATAATATTAAATTATAATGTAGCATCCGTACAGGCAGGACTCCCAGTCTTGTTAAGATTTGCTATTACTGTACGCATATTTTAAATAAATTGTGAATATTGAAATAAATACGAATGCTATACACTCATCCGGAATTCCTGTGCATCGATAGAACAACATTGCCGCGGTCCTTTCATGTATATCAACACTGTACTATACTGTACAGTTCAAAATCAGTTATGAATTATCCTCTAGACTTGTTATTTGTGCTTCATTGAATAGTCGAGCAAATTCCAATCGTAGTTTTGCAACCATGTACGGGTAGTTAAGTACTGATTGTGGCGAGATATTGACATTGACTGGGTCGAGTATTAGAAATTACACGCACTGTATTTTATCCAAAGTGTGCATTTAAGGCAAATTGAAGATCAATATTTGGTCTTCCAGATGCGTTTGAGGAAAGACTTAAAATACTATCCTCACCATCATAAACCGATCAGTTGTGTCCTGTAGAGGTAGATGTATGCTGATGTGATCCACAATAAAAGCATCCTTTATTTCTGTTCAAAATAACACTATTTCTCTGCCAATGGTTTACTCGTAAATATCTACTAGTGAGTAATGATGTCATGGATGCAATTTTAATTCAAAGACATTAACGAGACGTCTGGTAGATGCGGCCATTGATACTTTATTTGATGATCGCTGTATAAACCAGGAAATTGGTCAATCACAGTGACATGATTTTTATCCTGTATTTACATAGCGAATAACTAATTCAAGAAGAATTAAGCCACTAGCAGCTAATATCAAACAAGGTACTTCATCTTTGCCGCCGTGTTTATTTTTGACAATTGAAATTATTTGAAAGTATGGATCAAGAAGTCTCTTACGGATTCAAGGAAGTGAAAAGAATGCGTCGTGATGATTCTGCCACATGCGCAATAATCAAGCAGCAACAGCAGCAAAAGAATCGACAACCTTTAGCTGCTTTCAAGTCGAACAAACAACCAGAAATTAATAATCAGGTATAACACAGTGTTGAATATAGCAATCTTTCTGTCCCTTGGTTGATACCAATGAAATATTGCGCGAGCAGATTACACTCGTTTAGTAATAATTGCTATAAAAAATTGGTTATTGCTTTTTTATGTACTCTACAGTATATGGTATGTGCATACTTACGTTATTCTGTAATAAAGTGGTATAAAATTATATCACGCTGCGAATCTTACTTTGAAGTAGTTGTATTGGTTAAGCCCTTATAGATAATTAATCAATGCGTTTCTTCTATTATTTTCAGTCCTTTCTTTCTGGTAAAGTAAATAATCTTGGCAATGAAGTGAGTATTTCAACGCAGTCTCAAGGAATGAGTAACAAAGAAAACGTGCCAAATTTGCAGTTGCATACGAACAAGTTAGGACCGACCGTACCTCAAACCCAGAAAACTTTTCGTATATTCGTCGATGACGACATATCCTATTCTCTAATCAATCAATCTCAACACAAGCACAAACCAGTAATGGCGACAGAAGGCTTGCGCTCTCAGCAACAGAAATCATTTAATAAAGAAAATATCTTGCCTCAAATGCAGCCAGTTAAGATAGAACCGTGTTTACCCTTAGCTCCCAAACCACTCTGTATTGTCGATCAAAACCAATCATCGGCTAAGGTCGTAGATCTTGCCGCTCAAAAAGAATCTACCAAAACAGTGACTAGCATGGATGTTGCTGTGATGAAACTGAAACCTTCACTGGCATCTATTCCACCGCCGGAAGCTCCCAATGCAGGTGAATGTCCTCATCGAGGTGTAACCTTCAAAAATTTCTAATTGATACATTATTCGATATGGCCTGTTGTATAGCTACGCCTCTGTTCTACAGTAGTTTAACTGCTTGTGTTTTATAATTCCTCCAGTATTTTTCTGGTCTAGTCAGTTTTGTCTTGCTATCCGCAGTAAAATCTGTATGGAACTAAACTACAATCTTGCGATCGTTAAATTTTTAACTTGATACTTACGTACTGTTTTTGAAATCTTTCAAATGTTTTTAATCGGTGAATATACTGTCGTAGAATCTCCGATGGTTGTTAGCCCAGATCGCAATGTCTCGTCTGAAAGTGTTGAAAAGCCACAGAGTAATAAGAGGAAGGCAACTTCCGTACTTGACGTAGATGTCTATGCAGACGACATCCATTCGTATTTACGAAAAGCAGAGGTATTACTTTAGAATCGTTTTTAAATTCAGATGTTGTTATAGCTTTTAGGTTAATGTAATGAATGAAGCTGTTACTTTAAGAACTATAATTACTTTTATGAAGGCTTCAAATTATTTTAAATCAGTATACTTTGATTTGCTACATAAACTTTTATAGTACTTTCATCGGCCTAAATACGATTACATGGAAAGGCAATGTGACGTCAATGGCACAATGAGATCAATCTTGGTAGATTGGTTAGTTGAAGTCAGCGAAGAATATAAATTAAGGGAGAGAACTTTATATTTGGCAATATCATACATTGACCGCTTTTTATCGGCTATGTCTGTTCGACGTAGTAAATTACAATTGGTTGGCACAGCAGCCTTATTTATAGCAGCGTACCGATTGTTTCTTTCCATTGATTATAGATAGCAATGTTTTGCTATCAAGTCTTAAAATTGCCATTTATTAGATTAGCAGTTGCTAAGATATTTTGTTGAATCGAATATTTGTCATCTCAGTATAGATTTATAAATGACGAAAGAACGTTTTTCTTGTTGCTTCTTTTTTTTCCCTATTCTTTTGGATATTATAGTAAATTTCAAGAAATATATCCACCAGATTGCGCAGAATTTGCGTACATCACCGACGATACATATAATATAAAACAGGTTAGCTTCCTCCATTCAAAGAGTATTCGTACAATATGATAAGGTACCTACTGATCGCTTTTATCACTGTAGTTATTAAAAAGTCACTATTATGATCCTTTCCTTTTAGGTTTTAAAAATGGAATCACTTATGTTAAAGGTCCTTTCCTTTAACTTATCAAGTCCTACAGCCGTCGATTTCTTGGAGCGTTACGGTAGTGAAGCTGGATTAGATAGCGAAATTCGTGAGTTATCTATGGTAAGCACTGATATATGTGTATTTGAATCATTACTCTCGGCTGATCTCAATGCAAGTTACTCACGTATCAACAAACGCGAATTTAGTACTTGACGGAATTAACGCTCAAAGATTATGGCTTCTTACAATTTATGCCGTCATTGATTGCTGTATCAGCCGTTTCTTTGGCTTTGCATACGTTTAAATTGAAATATTGGGTTTGTATGAATGAATATGCCGTACTGTATTGTGTCTTACCATCAAAGTATTGGATACTAATAAAGTTATTATTAATCGATCTCATAAAACCAAATAGCCACAAGAATTATCAACTTATACCAATTACCAATGGCAACAAGTTTCACCTTGTTTAAATAGAATATTTGAAGCGTTTCGATTGGCTCATACTCAGCCTCAACGCGCGGTTGTAGAGAAATACAAATCTCCTCGGTAAGTATAATCATCACTAAATTTAAGAGGTTGACAAGATAATGTTGTATTGTGAAAATATTACATTTTTTAACCGTGATTATTCGATTCGGCTTTAAGGCATCACAGGGTTTCATTACTTAAACCACCAATTAGCGCTCCGATCTAGATTAGCATATTGCCGGAAAAGAAAAATTTTTATTAGCTGAAATTACAACAATTGCCTAAATATCTGCGGTGCCCTACTGTGTGCGGTACTGCTTATGGTAATTTTAATGCGGAGAACTACGCTAAAATTAGACTGAATACCAATTCGTTATTTAATATACTGTCATAGTGCAACTACTGTTCATGTTATTATAGTTACTGCATGCAAGTTATGAATACTCTGAAAATAGACAATGATTGATTATAGCGCATACTGAGTTCATACATACCAGCAGTAAAGTATACAGTATACATCAATACGGTTGCAAATGTAAAGTAATCTGAAAATCGCCCGATTCAATTTTATTTTACTAGCTCATCATACCCTTGTAATAGAAATTGTGTATGGTGGTTTTCTTTGAGATGTCTTTGTGACCTCGACATTTTACTATCGTCAACGGTCTAAAAAATTACAGGCCGTAATGTATAGTATAGCTTCTCTATATACTTTTGAATATAATTAGTGTATTACATAGGCAATTCACTTGTGATATTTTCCTTGTTAATTTTTGTATGTTCATAGTACAATTGAATAGTTTGTCGTTAATTAATTGAAGATATTTACTATTGGGTTTTAAATAGCGAAATGATGTGGTCAAAAATATATCTAGATCCTATTGCTTAAATGTAGTAAACGCAGAATTAAATTATTAAATTTGAAAAGCTGCGATAATGTACCGTATAGTCAGTAATATTATTCAATAATTTAATCAGAGATTATGCTCTATCTTTCGTTATTCTCTAAACAATGACTCTAGAACGGATTTTGTTTTAATTGCATGTATATTACACAGCTACTCCTGTATTAGCTAGCAATTCTTGTATGAAACTATGTCAATTAAATGCTCGAATTTTGGCTGTTATGACCTACCATTGAAATCTCAATGTATCTTAATGTACAGTTAAGTAGTTAAATGACAAAAAGAAAAAGGCCACTTCAGTTAAATAAGTTTCGAAAATATTCAATAATTGTACAGTATTTATTTATAGTGCAGTGTATTCGCTAAGGTACTAATGCGCATCGATATATAGTACTTTTACTATTTCCGTATAGTGCAGCGCAGCATAGTAATGTAGGGGAAGTACGTGCAGGGCTAGTAACGAACGATTTAATTTATTAAATTAAGCTAATGCACGAATTAATTGTGGTGTATGATAAAGGCCAAATCCTAGGCTGATACGATCCAAGCTCATTTGTACTTTATCCTTATTAAATGATCATTTGCAAACATAATGGATATTTTTATAGCAATTAGACTTGATAAATTGCCGCATGAACATTACACTACTAATCAGCTAAATGATGGATACGACTACAGTACAATTATCTATAATTAAATTAGTTCCTATTTCATTATCATGCTATAGTAACTAAATTCGCATACTGTATATTAACTGCTTTCATGTATGCTAGTAACGTAATAATATTATTTTATTATATTTACCTCAAACTTTATACCAATGTACATTATCATCTCCATTAATTAAATATCTAAGATCAAGTTTGGATAATTACCGCTTCAATGAATTTGCCTTGTCATGAATCTATTTAAGTTGATAATATTAAGCTTCGATTTCTCGATCCGTCAACCACGGATTATTAAAATAGAGCCATGCAAGAATGCTTAAACAGCTATAAAATTTTGCATTTTCCCATCGATTCTATATCCAAAAATGGTAGTCAGCATATGACAATTCTACTGAACTATTGTTACCATCTCATTGTTTATTATACAAGCAGCCTATTAAATTCTAGCTTAACTGTTCGAGATAATAACAATAGATTTCAGGCCTGATTGTTCTTTCCTTAGCACGCGTAGTGTTCGATCTATCGAGAGAAAAACTACTTACCTGCCCTTGCAGCCTGCCGTTTATATTAATTTATAGATATTAATCTATCAGCTAGCTCAGTCTAAAAGTAATATTTTGACTCTACTGTACTTAAGGTGGTTGTTATAGTATTGACAGCATAGAAAGAATAACACTGGATTAATAGGATCACAACTATAGCCTAGTATTTAGATTTATAATATAATAAGTACTGTTCGAGTCAGAAAATAATTTTTTTACGGCCCTTGTCAAGAGGATTTAGTTTAAGGTCAATATTGTATAGAATCTGATGATTTCTTATATTTCACTATCCATTAATTGGTAGCGGTAGTTCAACACCAACGTCACCAAACATGTCCAAAAGTCAGGTTAGCTATATGCATTTTTAAAGCTCTTAAAATATAACCTGGATTGATTATGTTAACTTTGATACACCCATCGAAAATTATAATTTAGCTGGTAAAAGATGCTACTCTCTTAATGTCTTCCGAACATCAAAGATAATAAAAAGTTTTATCGTGCCAACTTAATCATAAACAGTTTGACTATATGAGCAGAAGGGAATACTGCATATCCTTAGCTAATTCTTGTAATGATATTGATGTACTCAAGCCAAATATTGTTATAAAGTAGTAATAAGACTTATGTAGCAATTCCGACTTGCTTTGCTCACGAATGTGTTATGCTGTTCGTGGATCATTCTCCATTTGTACCTCTACATCAGTTTAGAAACATGGAGCCTTATTTTAGATAACGGCTCTCAACTCTTTCTTTCTTTATTGGAGCATGACAAATCTGACTGTCAATAGTTAGATCTAAGTGATATAGTTATAATGGCATCTAACACATTAGATCAGTTTAAATTTAACTGTCCTTGTACTTTCACAACGTTTAGCTTTATTGATCTAATAATATAGCATTTATGAAACTAAAATGATAACTAACACAAGGATTCAGATATCATTTGTACAATATAACAAACTGCTTACATGCAGTATCAGTAGATATAAAAGATTTTATCTAAATCTTGCTATTTCAAGATTACGTTACGGTACCTAGTATGGTAATTATCTTAATGTTTCAAACTATTTCTTAGATTCTCTCCCTTTCTATTCGTTAAATATTGGGTCTGTAATGTGTAACAGATTTCTAGAATTAACTTAAATGTTAGGAATTGAAGTCATCTTCTGTTAACCTTGTTACCCCGGTACCAAACACTTCATTATTGAATCAGAACATGAGCTTAAGAATTCATATAAATGATTTCTGAAAACAACGTATAGCTTATAAATCATTTATGAGATACGTAACCAAATCGTAGGTTAATATCGCAGATATCGGATAGTTATGCTATTCTAACTATCCTTCGTGTTGCTTAAAGCTTTAATTGATAGAAATACTACTGTACTGGTATACTGTAATATTCGTTAGTAAAACAATACGCAGCAGTCATGAATTTGAATTATGGCTATATTCCTTGAAATGCAAAATAGCTATGCCAGAATGGTTGTAAATCTTAATTACTTCATGGCACGATACAGGAATCTTTAACATTTTATTTACCTTTTCCATCTAATCGGTAAAGAATTTTTGGCTTAGAATCTTGCTTGAATTATTTACGATCAGTAAGATTTTACTGAACAGAAAAATAAAGCACTGAACCTAGACACAGAAGTTATGATTCTACCGTCTAAAATGTAAAATGATATAAAGTAATAAATCATAATAATACAACTGACATCTAGACTTACAGATGTTGTTGGAAAGCTTAATGTTATTATAACTAGTGCATTTACCCACTAAATGCATTTTTATCCACCTTCTACGGGGTTTGACAATTATTAATTATAATAGATCTAAAATATGTCACATTTTACAACACCGTTACTTTGTACATTGTACGAATCCTCTTCAATTCTGTAAATGATTTCGTTTAAATTAACTATAGCAGTACTACCGATTGTTAGTAATGTCTGAAATGATCGTTATGATATCCACGAATACTATAGATTCATGGTTAAATATCACGATATTATCACGTCAGGCGTATATAGATGTAGTTATGGTACTATATTAAGGTTATCTATATATGTATTCTCATGTTGCCATACTTGGCATTATAGCCTATTCGTAATGACTAAACTAGAGAAACCTTTCTGTTAGTGATGATCTTGTGATCTACGTCAGTAGATCAAAGGTCACAATAAAGAAAGTATATAAACTCTTCATTTTAACAGTAAAGTTAGTTCTTCAACTTAATTACTGGGTCTCCTTGCTGAGTGCAGATCTAGTACTTGTTACAAAATTTGGAAGTTGTAACACTAGTTTTTATAGCTTTTATATTGAACGCTATCTTTTAGATTATAACAACAGCAACTATATATGAGGCGGCAAAAAGAAAAAATGTGCAGCTCTTAGAAAGATATCGGAATATAATTGATATACGCCAAGAAATGATAGACCAGGTCGATGGCATTTTCGTGGTAAGGAATAAAGTGAAAGGTGGTATCATTATCCGTTATAGTTTATGATAAAGTCGGAGTAGCTCTGCTAAGCCGCTTTGATATTATTACATCTTCATCTAGCAAATATTAGATTTGATTTTACAGATTATTTTATAGACATGATTTATAAATGTTTATAGATTTTAATTCACCAATCGTATATTACAACAATGATCTCTTAATCGTGCGATAAAATTCTGTTTTTCAAATACCGATATTTTTTGCCAAATATCGGTTTAAAAATGAAAGCATTTTTACTTTTTTCACTGAAAAAGCCGAAAAGAGTATCACTGCTTAATAGTTATCTTCTGATAGTTACATGAAATCTGTTGAATTATGCTATCGCTAAAGATGGGAGCTAAAGTAATAAGCTTTAATAGTTAGTTAATGTGAGAAGATTTCATGCGTGCATGAATAATTATGACTTTTAATACCTAGACTAAGAATCATCCGGGTGGTAATAAATAGTAACAAGTAGATTACTATTATCTTAGATTATACAATATCGGATCATATATCGTATTACTAATAGTACGAATACACCTGTGTATAAACGTTAAATGCTATTCTACAGAAAGAAAATTCTACTGCCTTACATATTGCCGCCTGGAAAGGAGAAGGTGATGCGTTAACATTATTGCTAAAGAATGGAGCTGATCCAAACATAGCCAATGTAAGCTTCTGCAAAATTAAAGTAGTATTCGTGATAGTAAATTATTGTCTAATGAAGTCGTTCAATTAAATAAAATGGTTGTAATCACTTTAAAATTCGCGAGCGCCTTTTTTCATGTTGACTGTTTCAATCTTACATGCATACTTGATGTAAGATTATTCACATTTGTACGGGTGCAAATGAGGAGTTCATACAAGAAACTATTTATATTGTCTCAAAATCAAATCAAGTTATGTAAAGGATGAAATTGGTCGATATAACGTACCAAACTATTTGTTCTAGAAATTAGAGGAAAGACCGATACATTATGCTGCTGTTGAAGGAAATTTATATTGTGTGAAAAAACTGCGTGAGTTCGGTGCCTCCGTTAGTCCAGAAAACATGGTTGGTGCTGCTAATAGCTAACGAATGACCCTAATAGCGTTATTACTAATAAGATAGCTTCATTTATAATTAGTATCTAATAAAAGTTTATAACATGCTTAGCTTTATAAATTGATTAATAATGGTATACTTCGGCGATCTTTTTATTTATTTATTTTATTTTGGATCGGGTACTATCATCTAATGAAGCAAGGGCAAACACCCTTACATGAAGCAGTCCGTTTTGGACATGATAACATAGCTTTATGGTTATTGCGACAAGGAGCTGCTGTTAATCATCAAGATAATGTAAGTTTTATTCATTTCAAGTAATAAAATTTACAGTTATTCGAAATTTCGCTCGTTCTCTCAAGCCGTAATTATGTTATCAAAATATTACATATCATATATATAATATCGTACTGCAGTCAGCTTATAACTGAAATCTCATTGAAATATCTCATCCCGGTAGTATGGCGATACTCCGTTACATGTAGCTACTCAACATAATTGCCATGAAAGTATATTAATACTCTTGGAGAACGGAGCAGATTCGAGTATCCTCAATCAGGTTAGCAATACATCACGATCTGATCAGTGCTGGTAGATGTGGTTGAGTATTCATTTTTCTTTATTTGTTTCTTTCATCGATCTAGCGTAATTTAATTCCATTGAATATAGCAAAAAAAGGGAAAGATAGAAAAACTATTAAATATCTTGGTGGTAAACCGAAGGGTAAGTGCAGTAGCTACCGTCATGGTATCAGCTTTACAAACGCATTCATGTTTCGCATCTCAAGTCTATAGAGCGTAGCTGATTGCGGAATGATTGTTATATTTGCTATTCTGTTTTAGGAGAATGTACAATTATTTGATCGTAAATGGGATATCTGCGGAAATGGAATGAAAAATTATTATCTTAATAAGATTCGAGTTGCTTTAATATGCTGTAAATTAGCCGCTTAATATTGATCCAGTCATGCTAGAAATTTATTGATTTCGATTATTTGTTTGCTCAAAAAGAACAATCTTATCCGCCGATACTTTTCTCTTGAATTTAGTTGTATAATTTTCAACTTGATTGATCCACAGTTTTATGATATCTGGATGATACAGTATATTTAAGTTATCATCTTATTGGAGTAGTAGCTTTAGTTCATCGAAGATGATAGTATTGTGGCTAATAGCTGCAATTGCGTAATTTAAAGGCTGTTTTAGATCATTTGGAACTTCACGATAAAACAACATTATTGACTTTAATGATTTCTTTAAAGATTTGATACATTTCTTACCGATAGATAAATATATCGAGAGAGATTGATAGATATTTAATCAGTATTGATAATGCTTTATTTCTTTTCATTATATTCTATAAATTGTGTTATATTGATGTACCGTAATGCTATAAAATTGACAGTGTTGCTTTGATGTATTTCTAACTTCAAATGCCAGTGTAATTTATAGTTTGCAGGGGCATACAGTACATAGATGTATCTTTCGCGATTCAATCATTAATTAATTTATTATAAGCAGTACTATTAGTAGATTCAGGCTCCGCAAAGCTGTTATAATCGCACATACCAATGTAGATCGGGTACCAGAGTAATATCAATAGCTATCTAGCATTTCACTCACACCTTCCTTATTGTACCATTCTCGAATTACTAGTAGCGCAGGAAAGCAAGATTACACTCATTTATAAATATGCAGTTACCTGCTAAACAATTGTATTTACCATGATTGATTTGATTTTGTATGCGATACAAGCCTATAATAAATCGGTCGTGGTTAACCTTATTCGCTGATGTAAAAGTATTATTAGATTTGTATAGCATTTGCTTCCTGGTATGAATGTTGTAGTAACAATCTAGATTTTACCTGTATAAGCAATTTTCATTGTGGAATATCTGAATATACATATAGGAGAAGGGGTCAAACGGGATGTTTCTAGGATAATTGCTACTTTACTAGGGTAACAGATGGTAGTATAAATCATTTAGAATGACTACCTTATGGCATTGATTATGGTCTAGCATAACGCAAACCTTCAAATAGTTCAAATGATGTAGTCTAGATATGCACAACAGATAGGCGCTAATTGCTGAGAACGCCAGCCCTATCACTACAATTCTTCTTCCTAGCATTTTTACGCCAGTCTGTTTTGGATATTTACATCTATCCGTAACTTGGAGTATCGCTAAGAATCATTAGCCAGGTAAAATTGCATATTGTGCCAGTATTTAGGACAGTAATGAGGACAAGGATTCTTTTGAGGTTGTCAACTTTATAATGCAATACGACATAGATTGAAACGAAATGCATATTACAGTAGCACGGATTACTTGCAGTCGTTATTGCGATTTACCATACTACGATGCTTAGAGGTTAATGCCTTAGCTTGCATGTTTAAATTCCAAGCTGTAGTAGACTCTTGTATGCGATGAAATTTGTACTACTTCCAGTTCTTACAATTTGCTTAGTAACCAGTATTTCTACTACGATATTCCGAGGTTGACGACTCAATTTGCAAGTCTAAACTCCAGGCTGTAATAAGATATTGTGTGCAATGAAATGAAATTCGTACTGTTTACATATTACTTGTGTATTGTAGTAAGGAAACGTTTTATTAGGATGTTTAAAGGTTTATGCCTTGGCTTATACCTTTAAATTTCAGCCTGTAGTCACTAACCGCTTTATTAGGATGTTTAAAGGTTTATGCCTTGGCTTTTACCTCTAAATTTTAGCCTGCAATAGAATACTGTATACATTATAGTATTCATTGGTGAAACCAGTTCTCAGCAAATGGCATACTACAGTACTGTAAAACTCCATTTCAATCCCTTACATGCAACTTCTCCTAAAGTGCAAAGTTTGATATTTACATAGTCTTAACAATGATGCGATTGCCACCGATTTTATCATTGCTGATATAATATATGAAATGCACGGTCGCTTCGACATGAAGTACAGCAAAGCCTTACTGACGTTTGGAGATGTAGTGGACATCAATGTCTTCTACCTTGGATGCCTGAAAAAGAAACACTAAGCAAACGATGATTTCAGTGATCTTCATCTACAAAACTCCGTGTTACACATTGTACTGTACCAGTCTAGTAGTGGAGTCTGAAGTTTACAGTAGTGTACAGTGTACAGTGTACAGTGTACAGTGTACAGTACACGTTACTTTACTGTACAAGTACGATGTTGTACAAGGCGAGAGTGACGTCATCCAGTGCGAATGACAACTTGTCAGTTTGATTGCTAGAAGCTTCACTTTCTACAGTAACATGGAATTATTAACTCCAAGATTGACTATCGACGGTATAGTAGTACTTTATTGCTGAGCTATGAGTAAACTAACGGTATACCATTGTATCAGAAACTCAGTTGGGGGCAAGATTGAACAACTAAAAAAAAATGGATGCCTAGGCTGGAGCAGACATCGACTAACTCTTTACGGATTCGCCAGAAAGTCCACGGTTGGCTGAGTCTGACAATGTACAGTACTGTATGTACTGAACACAGTGTACAGTACAGTACAGTACCTAATGAGTACCTACCTACTGTACACAGTACTTGTACAGTACACCCACTCGTGTTCACAGGGAGTCGTACAGAGCAGTGTTGTAAACAAGCGTTACTGAAGTGGATGTCACTTCACCCGCCCATTGCTTCGTGTTGCAACAGTATGATACGCTGCAAGGGTGACTCGCAGCTTCGTCATAACGCATCAGTTTGCCTCAGTCGTTGTGCTTGAAGTTCCAAAGTGATTACAGACTGTGCTACACGCTTCGGTAGCACGACCCACAAAGTCATAAAAGCCTTATCGATCTTCATAGGCTGACATTCGCCCTATTGTAACTTTCAATTGCATTCGTCAAATGCAATTGAAACTTTCTGTCATCGTCCATTGCTGAAAATTTCAACTAGGCCAGCCAATTAAGAAGAAATACTTTGTCAATTATGTACAATCAATAGTTGGGATTGGACGCCATTTTGCATAAAATTATTGAAACCGACTAATCCCTAACTCAAATCGAAAATGGCTGCTTTGAAGCATAGACTACAGAATGAGGTTTTTACACCTGGTGAAGAAGTCTTGCGTGCGTTTGTTCGGGTCAATAAACGTGGCGGTAAAAGGAAGAAAACGGATTTTTTATGTATTGCAGGTAAGTTTATTTGAATAATAATATTAAAGTACAGTATGCAAATAACCATGGTTTCAATGCCTAAGTGAACCATGTTGAACGGGACGAGTAGTGAAAAGATACAAGTTAATGTGGATAATGTTGTGATAGCCTGCGCTGTCAATGAAAAATCCTATTGCTGAAAGTCTCCGTTCAGTGAAGCCAATGTTCAAATGACTCTGTATGACAACACTGATTGATCGTTGCCTTCTTGTCTTCATAGACTGAGATTGTCTTTACCATTCCTTTGCTGTGATGATTGCAGTCAAATTACATTGGATTCAATTATTAAACTAGTTATCATAATAGTGAAGATAGCAATTTTTATTAGAAGTATTGTCGAAAATAAATCACTAAACAGAATTATCTGCGATAGAGAGTTATGACGGTAAGCTTTACTGTCAGAAGTCTATGGTCTATAGATGTATAAAAGTCTTGATTGCTTGAAAATTTTATGAATTGATGACACACCTAGATTGAACAACACTCGACTTGAATCGCAATTTACTGTAGTTGCAGCCTACATGATTTTTAATGCATATCAAAGTTTCCTTTGTACATTGCATTACCTCGTAAGCCATCCAAATTAAACCACAGCAATAGGTTGGGATAAATAGGTAGCTAGGAATTCTCTGAATACTAAAATCACGACCCAAATCAGCAAGATAGGCTAGCATGTAACCAAGTTGTAGAATTGACATTTTCATTCTTAGTCATTGTAGACAACGTTATAATAATAGAGAGCAATGAGGATTGCACGTCTCAACGTATTGTAGACGCCTTTATCATGATGAATTACGTATCACATATTTCACTTGACCAATTACTGTCTCAATCTTATTTAGTTTCTTACAGGAAATTGACTAATTGTGCCTCTGGTAATCATATACGCCTACTACCATTTTGCATATTGATAAAGCATAGAAACTAGAAATACTAACTACGTACAGTACAGTAGAATTGTGCTTCAACAGCTAGAATGCTATTTTTTCTTGTACTGTACTATATGAACATTTTGAAACAACATGATGCCATTTTAAGCTAAGTTAATAGAGTTTGATTTGAATGTTATGGTAGCGACTAAAATGGAGCCGATACAAGTTTCGTTATATCAAGTCAGAAAATCTGAAAAGGGCACATTCAAAAAGAAGACGTCATGGACCATCAAGCAACTCAAGGCAGTAGATGGCAAAGACAGCGGCGAGGTAAGTCTTCAGCATATAATGAGATACCAATATATTGGCAACTGAACATTTAATTGATCTAGTCTTTTTCGGACGGTTCCGGTTTTTATAAACAAGTAGCACACGTACAGTATGATATCTTTAGCTGTACAGTATACTGTAGACGAGAACCTTAGTAAATTGCGTTATTTTTATCATATTTCTCTACCTTCTGCTACGATTTACTAAAGCGAAATAATAACTTTCAAACTTGAATTTCTATTGATACGGATAAATTCTCCAAATTCGTAAGCTAATACGCGTTAATGTTGACCCAACTGCTACAGTAATGCAAATAAATATTTTAAAGTGATAGTTCCTTGTTATTTAGTTTAACTATAATTTTTGATCTATAATAAAACGCTATCGTAATCATTGAATCAATAGATGATATTGATATCCTTTCGACTGTTGTATAATTGTAGGAAAGTAAAGATTTCGATTTAATACTTGAGAAAACATTCAAATGGGTAGCTAATAATGTTTACGAAAAGACTGCTTTTATTGGGCAACTATGGAAGGTAAATTGAAATATTGTTTATGCTTTCAACATAATTCAGTGTAGTAACTAGCAAAAGTTTAAAGTAAAGATTTAATCATTACTTTTAGTTAATACAGTGTAATATAATTGTTACGCTGGTAATCGCTTTCTTGATCTTACTTGGATGGTGACTAACAAAAACATCACCATCATAAATACGATTTGCTAAATTGTGTCTGCTATGGTCTCTCGTAGATCTGTAACAAATTCGTTCCAGCTCAAAATGTCGATTTTCGAAATTTGAATAATAGTTTGAAGAGTTGAGTATTGACATCATTTGAGATACTAATGCGTTTGAATTTATAAATCGAATCGTAATAAAGTACGATTTTACTCCTATTGGTACCTGACTATGCACTCAAACTACAAATTAAAATTAATTTAGAACTATTACTTAATGCCAATGCAAACGAGGCCGATCAGCAGCAGGATGCTATTTTACAAGTAGAAGGAGTTGAAAGTATGTTGGTTGGACACTGTTAATTGCCTTATTATAGTGGAATTAACTTACGTAATTACTAACGTAATAAATAAATAATTAACTCAGCCGCAGAAGATTATCAAGAATTAACAACAGCTGAAGAAGCAGATCTTCAAGCCATGATGAGCAAATTCGATTATTCGATAACTAATGCTGAACTATTTACCGAAAAATTATCCGAAGAACTAATTGCACTCGATGGTGTACGTATAATATGCTTAAGTTACAAATGATTAAGCAGATTTTAAATATTGCAAATCGTTATAGCAAGAATTTGACACGGATAAATGTTCGCTATTTAGTTTTAACTCACTTACGTCTCGACAAATGTGGTACGTAGCCCATATCGATGACACCTAAACTAACTAATTGATGATTTGTATCTTACTATCTACAGGCTAATATTCAAACTATTATGAATGCCGAACAAGGTGTTATAGATCTTGTAGAATATATTAATGATAGCGTGAAGGAATTGGACGGAGTCGAAGATAAATTGAGTTACTATTCTGAATTGCTTAAGGTTGTTTTTCTGAAAGAATCGCATTTATAATTTTCATCCCACTGTAATTTTTACCAAAATCTGTAATATAGGTTCTTATTCATTTTAATTTAGACCGTTGAGAAGCATATGCATCAAATGAGTTCCATAAACGATCATATGATAGTGGAGATGAAAAATTATAACAAACTAATAGCTGAAGTAGAGGCAATCGTGGTTTGTAATTGTATAACTGCTATACAGTTCTTTCTATAAGATGATTATATTACCATATTCACAATAGTGTTAAGTAAGAGAATTACTTTACTATTAGAAATAGCTAATTTTGCCATTATATCTAGGAACGATTTGACTTACCAGAGGAATACTTGACTACACTAGCCGAAGCTAGTGTAGATGATGAATACGCATTACCGAAATGTACTGAAGCTGCCTTAGCTGCTCAAATTGCTTTAAAATCGGATTCGAAACCAGGTTAGTAATAAATTTAACATGGCTGAGTTGTTAGCCTCGAAGGTGTTGACACTAAGCGATAAAATTATGACAATTATCTAACGGTTTCAATTGGTTTAACGTCAGAATTGATTCGGCTAAATGCTGTTAGCGAACAATTTCAAAATATTAGCATGCACTGTACAAAATTTAAGAAACGTCTCAAGGAACGGTTAATTAGTATGTTTGAAAAGCAGGTAATATTGTCATTATGCATATCAATTATTAAGAGTTATAAATATTTTTTCGCTAATATGATAATTCTTATGATAACAAAACCATAGGGTAGTACATTCGAGTTTATAAGTGTTGGCTCATCAGGAGAAATTGTACTTCCAAAGCATGCTATCAGACACTCAAAGCTATTACCCTATGCGCAATTAGTTTTATGGTTAAAAGAAATGGACTCAGTTATGTTTGAGGATCTTTGCAATGTATGCGTAGCTGTATAATTTAGTTCTTTAATTGATCCTACTTAGTAAATGGGCGTATTACGATCAATCTTACTGTATAATATTTATGGTCTTGTTAGGCATATACTCGTTGTATCAGTAAGCGATATGAAAAGGAATTGCATGACTATTTTGAGAAAATTAAGAAAGTTTTTCAGAAGAGTAATTCTGACAGTAAAGTTTTTGGTAAGCAGTTTATCAACGATACGTTAGCGTTTGTAGTTTCTGTCATTCCATTGATTACTCTTATTCTGTTTTTACCCTTAATGATAGATGTTTTCAATACGGCCACGAAAAGTTTAAAGAATGTGGATATAAGATCTGGTATACATAACTCTGAAACGTCCGGGTTTGATAAGGAAGTTATTGCTAAATTTGGAAAGGTGCATCATTTAGGATTAATATCAAGATTATAGCCGTTTAATGAAAATAATTTAACCGAAATGGTTCTTTGCTTAGGTTTTTGGAATTTTATTAGAGGGATTAGGATCGTATGTTGGTCATGAACAGGACTTTATTACGGAATTCTTTCATCTTCCCGTTGTTAGCGATATCAAGACCAACCATCCGGTTTGTTGCTAGGCTATAATTTTATTACATGACTTGAGTCATGATTATGTTTTAACCGCATTTTCCCTACAGCAACAGATTAACGAAGACACGATTGATAGCTCTGGTAGTGTAGCAGAAAGTAGGAGGAGATTGAGTCAGCTATCAACTAGCAACTCATCAGAACTTGGTAATGGAAATGATATACCTGATGCGTTTCGTACTAAGAAGGGCAGTCGTGCAAGAAAGGACGCAATGATGGAAAAACAGTAAGTTCTAATAACAGTAAGGCTGAATTTAACAGATTTTGATCACCAACTTATATTTCTCTATACGTAGACGAAAGACTTTCGACGACGCCAGGTAGTTATTTACTACAAGTTTTGCTTGAGAATGGGTAGTCCCATGTAAATGTGGTATTACGAATCCATAAATGAATGCTTTGGTAACATTTTTAGGAATATGCTAGAAGAAATCTTTCCTTCACTAGATTCGGATATGGCTAATCTCATTAAGGCTGGTGACAAAGTTGATCCGTCGTATGTTCATTTTAAATTCACTTATATTTTTTTGTACCTCATTTGATGCTTTATAGTTGCAGATTGAAAATATACTCTAATTATATCTGCTACTATATTTTAGAATTTCTCTACACATGTTCGTACGCGTTAGTGCACAAATAAAATCTCACTACGGGTACGCTCAAGGTGTAGCTTCCTTTTACAGCAAGTTGATTGCGAATTGGTTGGTTACTGTTAAGCGTCTATTCGATGGATGTGTAGTAAGTACAGCAATGTAATAATACCCTTGGTAGTTCACCTTTACAAACTTTATGAAAACCAAAAGAAAAAATGATGCCTTGTTATTTTAAGGACATCATTAATCTCACAGCATAATACCTCCGTTTCATTAAAATTTGTATTAGACAAGTTTGACGAGATCTTTCGATGATTACAAAATCAGTAAGAAATCAAAATGCGGAATTCTTCCATTTGTCATTAAATTTGAGGTTTGCATTGAATTTATAAATATTCGAATATTAGTGCATATTAGTTTCATCAACGGGATCCAATATCTCCTAACTTCTCTTGCAGGAATTTGCAGAAGAGGCAGAAACGATATTTAAAGGTTCTGACAGGAGAGGCGATCTCGATAAGGCATATTCTCGTTTGTTTATTGCTATATGTGCTGGAATTTCTAGAGTAGCACTTGAGCATCCAAAAACACCTAAGGACGTCATAAACTTTGGTAATAATAGACAAGGAGCTTTTACGTTTTAATGACATTACAAATTAAGACTAATATTTGGGTGTCAATTTCTGTTTATCTCTCGATATAATGACTAGAAAACTTTCATCGATTATTTTGTAAGTATACTGTTGAAAACACTTCGACTTTATTTATCGCCCTAATTTACTTACTATAATTACATTTAAGCAGTTCTTATAAGCTATAAAACATTACTAAAAGGTAATCGTACATTCAACGTTATTCGATCCATTTGTAGCAAGCATTGCACGTTTGAAAATTACCAGCTTAGAAAATGAAAGAAAAGAAGCAAAAGAAAACTATCAATTTTATTTAAATGCATACATTACATCCATGTTGGGTCGACCAATGGAAAACCTAAACGTAATTCGAAACTTGTATCAAATAGTAAAACACTTTCAGACTTTGCGAGTAGGTAACTGATTTCTTTAATCTTTATAGACATTTATCGACGGGTTAGAGAATCTGTTAGCATCCGGTGTTAAAGCTGAAGAAGTTGGCTTCCAGTTAGCTTATAACAAACAAGAACTTCGGAAAATAATCAAAGAATATCCCGCGAAAGAAGTAAGCTACAGAAGTTGGCATAATTATTAACTTACGAATACGTCGTTGTTAAGTGAATCTATGTTAACATTGTATCCGCTATAGGTTAGAAAGGGTTTAGATAGTTTATATAAGAAAGTTGAAAAACACTTGTGTGAAGAAGAAAATCTCTTGCAGGTACAATGACGCTTAGTAACAGTGCACGTACGTTACTTATACAATAGCAGCGATATACTGAAACCATTTCACTTCAATGTTTATTTGTAGGTTGTTTGGCACAGTATGCAAGAGCACTTTCTCCGACAATACAACAATATACAAGATTTAGTTAAGAGATGTTATCCCGGCTCAAATATTACATTAGAATTCTCTATTGACGATGTACTGATTTATTTTTCTAATATTGCACAATCTCATTAATTTACTATTTGTTAATCGGAAAAACACCCTAAGTTCTTATATTTAGATAATCAGATTTTCCTCTTTCTTTTAACCTAATATAATAAAAGCATGGAACCATTTTAGACAACATTCAATATAAAATGATGTTATGAACATGAAGCACAGCCTACGTTTCGTGGAGGATTTCCTTTGAATAATTTTTGTTGCTTATCAGCTTTTTTCTACAGTAGTAATGTCAAAGATTAAAATAAAAGGATAATTTAGCAATCATTTTAATAAGCACAAGTTCAGCCTTCACTTCTTACTTTTACCGTAGTGGCCTTCCTTCTGGGCACAGTTTTTGGGGTGGCTTTGCTAGACTTAGCAGCACTTTTGCTTTTCCTGGTTGATTGTAGTGTTAATCAAAATTATTAGCATCATCAATGGATAAATCCAATTGTTAGCATGGGGTAACACGTCACTAGTTCGTTAACTAGATTTCAGAGGCTATATGATATTAAATAGAATTGCACTTTGTACAAGATTGGACATACTTTTCCGTAGTCTTCATTTTACTCGAAGCTTCAACATAATCAGAAGAGTCACTATCATCGCTATCTTCCATTTTAGCTGTATCCTCTTTCGTTTCGGTTAAACTACAACATATGAGATACTATCGCATCAGCTAAAACGGAAAGTTTTATCTTAAAAAATCTGATTGTCTATCTACCTCTCTTTCTTTGCTACAGGTTCGTTCACTTTTTTTTTTTCAATCCTGAGTAGGATATATATACAGAATAAAGAAACTAACATTTAACACGTTTTACGCTTGAATGATTTAATAACGAACGTCCTATTCTTACTTTTTCCTCGATCGTGATGCAGCACTACCCCTTTTCGTAACAGTTGAAATACTCTCTTCTTTCGCTTTACTAGTATTTGATGCCTTCCTTGTAGTGCTATTCCGTAAGATGCAAAAAATTAGCACCAACATCGTTTAACCTGTATTAATGATAAATTTAGGAGACTCCTACAATAAACTTTTACCTTTGTCTACTTTGTGAACGACTACTACGTTCCTTTTGGCTGCCGTAAAGTGTAATCGATGAAGAATTTGCAAGTGTTTTTGTCATTCAATTGTGATCATCTTACAGCCTTGAAAGTATAAATACATACCTCGGTTTTGATACAACTTTACCATCGGCCTTCTTTGCAGCCCCTTTCCTCAGAGATGTTTCTTTTTTACTGTAATATTAAGTATTAAGGATTTAATTTTCTTAATAGAGAGGGCCTGTAATAAATTTATATAACCAATTTGATAATTAGGGTGTGTGTAAGCGACACCTTTGAATATTTAGGGGAGAGTCGGATTTATGAGTATCTAATGCGATAGCATGTTCTTTCTCTACTGCAACGGCATCTTTTTTTTTCGAGCTAGTGTAAATATTTTGTAAATTGATATAAGACACTTATGACATCTAAATATAAAAACACATATATACCTTTGCTTAGATCGTGATGTACGATCGGACTTCTTTTCTGGTTGTTTTGCTTCGACTTTTCCTTTATCGTCTACATCGGTTATTTCCTTTTTCCTATGAGAACCAGAAAAGAAAAGCAATTATACATTCAATTAATCCATGTTCTAGAGTCGTACAAGCTGTTTACTATGTCGGCCGAGAGGAAATACCTGCGACCTCTAGCACGCCGGGCGGTGTCTTCATTGATATGACTGCAGGTAAGACAAATGTATTCCGAGATATCTTAACACTGTGATCAAACGATTGCAATTATAGAAATAAAACTACCTTTTCTGATTTTGAGTTTTACCAGAACTTTCTGTGCCGGCTTGCGTAGGTGATTTTTCGACTTTAATACTTTCCGTTACGTTAGTACTGCCATAAAGTATTGCAAATGCAAAGGTTAACATGCATGATGTAATACTACTTTTAACATCTTAAGTTTATCACCTTTGTTTATCCTCTCCCATTTTGTCTCCTCTTAGGCCCCTAGATAGTATCAGCAAACTATGGATTACTACGATATAGAGTTAAGTTAACATACAAGCGAACATAAAATACCTTACCTTCTTTTGGATACTGATTTACTTTCCACTTTAGATTTAGATTGCTTACTAGGCTTCCTTTTATCGCTTTTAAGTTTTTTCTTCGGACTTGTAGCAGAACTACAAATTTGTAATAAAATCTGATGTTAATACGGTAATTAAAGAAGGGAAAGGATCAAAATTTTATGTTGATAACAGAATAACGCAATTTCGTATCGGTACGTTTACCGTGACGGGGAAGCAGTTCTTTGCTTTTTCCTGGGGCTTCTATGCACAATGAGGATACAGCATTGTAACGTCTGGTTGAATGTTGCATACACAAAACAAATAATCATACCTTCGTCGCGAATGGGAGACTTTTTGATCTTCATCATCGGAAGTTTCGTCGTTACTGCAAATAAAACGAACGATTTTAAGTAACACAGCTTCTCAAAGGGGCTCAATGTGATGCCATGAAGAATAGATCGTGATAGAATTTATGATCACCTCCTTTTCGTTTTCGTAGGTCTGCGAAGCAGTCAAGAACAAATAAGATTCCAACATCATCGTATGCATAATATGCTTGAAATTAATAACTAATACCTGCTAATAGATGATGCTAACTCTTCCTCAGAGTCTGGACTTACAATATCACTAGAGCTACAATAAACAGAAGGAAAATATAACTTATACAATGAAATATTAACATACGACGTCAAGTAATAACTATGCCGTAACTATTATAAGATACACTATAACCATACAAATAACAAAATTGTAACTAACCTCTCTCTATTCTCATTTGATCCTTCGGAACCAAACTCTTCAGCCATTTTTTCTACAGCTTTACGACCTCTAATTTCCGACAATTTACGGTAAGAATTAATTTAAGCGTAGAAAATTTTACCAGGATCAAATGGTCGATTATTACCGTCTTGCACGCTTCGGACGTGTTTTAGTTTTTGTGGGTTGCTCCAACCTGGCGGAAGGATACCCAACATTACTTGGCGATATCAACATACAATACATACTTAGGACAAGAATTAATAGCGTTAACGTATTTCATACTTGGAAGGGTTTGTGTTTTTAATGCTCGGCCCCTTTCGCGATTTTCTGAGCAGTAAAAGAGAACATAAATAATTTTAATACCTCTATAAATATTTTTTTTCGATTCGATTATGTCTTACCTTGGTTTGGCTGCAGGCGTACTCGATACGTTCACTTTCTTGGGGGGGCTACATATATGGTCACAGCCATAATATTTCATTTTAAGTGAGCGTCTGATTAATAAATCTACAGTAGCATTATCCATGAATGCTAACAGAATATGTACATACCTTCGAACTGAATGGTTAAGGTCATTATCCGAGTCGTCACTAGTGTTGCTATACGTGATCAAACGTTAATATTCAGTAAGTGCACAGAGTATAAATACTTATGTTAATTAATTCAATTCAATCATACTTAAAATCGAAACTGCTTTTAGGTGTCGAGATTAATTTTCGTTTGAGGGGAGTATTCGATTCTGATGCAGAAGATTTCTATCCAGTGACATGCATGAGTATGCTTAAAATTGAGACACTGATTGACAACATTATTCAATACGTACCTTAGGCGTTGTTGCAACCTTTTTCGTTGGTGATCCCCTTACAATTCTTTTCTATTGAATGTTTAACACGATAACTTCAGGTAAACAACTTTAGTATTATCTGAATGTTGCCCAATTTACCTTACCTTATTCGGCGTAACCGCAAAATTGGCGGGAAGATACTGATGGGTGTTGACAAATCCCTGCAAACAACATTTATTATAATATTCCTTGTAGAAAAGATAGTGCGACTTATCTTTTACCTGTTAACAGGAAATTATTCATTCTTACTAAAGGTCTAGACAATTCATTACTAAACATTGCGACTATATCAATGGATAACATACACCGTCCACAGTAACAATTTTCTTCACCACGAATTCTCGTACAATCTCCAAGCTGTTTTTTTCAAATACCCCAGGAGCAAAGGTCGCAATTTGGGCAAGCGACGTTAACGTAGTCAATAGCATTTTAGATTCTACTTGTAGTGATTTTAACAATGTCTTACGTATAAAAGAAATACAAAGTATTTAATAAGTATGAATCATAGTAAAAGATCATCAAATTTTTATTTTTTAACATATTTACGATTAATTACAAATTTTTACCCCATGAATTCTTTCCATGATTACCACACTATCTTTACAGAGAGTAGCTATACACTTCATGGATAGTTTGGCCTGTGCCGGGGTGCCATTTGTGGCGAATTTTATAAGTTTTGGTTGAAAAAACCTAAATAGATAGATGTTCGCTTTTCAGTCCATCTCTAAACGCGTAATCTAAGCGGCAAGTAAGTTACTTACGATTTAACAGGGCATTCATCAATTTTTATTTCTTTCGCACAATTAACCAAAACGCGCAAAGCTAAGTCAACTGAAAATAGAATCTTAATTATTTCGATACATCCGAATATTATTTTGCTCAACCTATCATGTTTAGCTTACCTATAGATATCATTTGGCTTTCTAACATTTGTAAAATTTCTTCTTGGCAAGATTTGGAAGTAAATAGTGTTGGCATTAAAATACTCACGCTCTGAATAAATTTTTCAAGAATAAACTTAGATGAAGTTCTTTTATTAGCTTATTAATACGTGAATAGCCATGTTATAATCTGCAATACATAATATTCACCTGTAACATCTGAGTGCATCTACTAAATTCATTGCTTCCGCTGTCATTCTGCGCAAGTTTTTGCTGATCATCAGCAGACATACTCTTGGCAATCTTCGGTATTTGCTTGACTAAAAATTGCACAGTAGCACCATCAAAAGTCACAGAAGTACAACGATCGAATAGGATTTGCATCCACTCTGGCGAAATACGTCTTGAGCTTAAATCCTTTAAAATATCAACCTGTAAAGAAGAGGAAAAATTAAAACGTAAGCTTCGTCCATGGCAATGGTAGCCCACTACAAATCGAATTTTACCTCTGCTTGCAAAGTCTTTTCGCAATCAGTTTTAGGGTCAAAGCATTTCTTGAATGTGTTACAAAAGAATTGATCATACAAGCTGTCGGCTATGTATCTAAATTGGTCATGTGCTTTACTAGAATCTGGAAACATTTCTGAAATTTAAAAGGTAAATAACCTGATATAGCAGGTGCAGCTTTCAAATAATGAATGTAAAATATGAAGCATACTTGATAAGACCATTTTCTTTGCTAACGTTTTCGGTTCCATATCTTCGTTATCGGGTTCCAACTGTCAATGTTAACAATTAATGAATAAATCCGTCACAAATAGAAAAGTTTACATAATATAATACCTTCGCTTTGTCGACTAATTGAATAAACTCCATCATGTGCTTCCTCATACTTTGAAAATGATCAAAACGAAAACAAAAAGGTAACTAATATTGATCGCTAGTCACTTATTTGTACCGAATAATTTTATCAAAGCATATTTACTTACATAGCTTTTGATCTGAAAATTTCATTTAAGGCTCTGTAGATATAAATATTTTTCTATTGTGAAAATTATTTTCGGAAATACAATCTTACAGTTCAATGTTTTAATTTTACCTGAGGGCATGATCATCAAGTACTTTCTGAAGGTTAAGCAATTGCAAAATTTTATCATTTGCCTTTAAATTGCATGGTATTAATGCAGTTCGAAAAATCTTTTCAACGAAAATCCTGTAACATTTTCAGGTATGGCATTCCGTTCATTACCCCTTTAGTTAAGATCTACGTTTAATAATTTTCACCAGTAACATCCTACCTATCTTCAATTCCTGGCTGATAGTAACAATGCAATAATTTATTCGGCATCCACTGCAATTCTTTATGGTATTTATTCTTTTCATTCCTATTTGATTTAGCAATATATTAATACAAATTACAGCTATCACAATGTAGATGGTTTAAGAACATTACTTGGTTTTAAATGATTTATACAAGGCTGCAATTTTTATCATAGCTTCCTTTCTGACAATCCACTGTAATTAGGGAGTACAAAAGTATCACAATTTAGCACATCATCCATCCGGTGTATAGATAATGTAGGTACTATAAAGAATGATACAGCTGTATTTACCTTTTTATCTCTCATACGTTCTTTCAACGCATCCCAAAGCTAACGAAGAGAGAAAGGCACGAAGTAGAGAGTAAGCGATTTATAAATTGTATCACAATTAAGACACAACTTGATAAATGAATAAACCTCTTCCGTAACTGCTTCTAATTTTTCAATGGCAATCTCAGAAATGATCTTTACAACCTCTAATCTGACTTTATCATCGGTATCCCGACTACGAACGATCAATTTTTCTATTTTGTATATTATGAAATTAGATTTTATTATATACAGTAACAGCTATGATATTATAACTGGCTAATAAGAAATTACCTATTGTATCTTTAGCGAAGTGAGGGTGATACACCAAAAAATATTTTGCATATCGAATGCACTCTATACGAACGCTGGCATTAATATCAATAAATCTATATGGAAAAGTCAGATTATTTCAGAGTAGTTTTAATCTTTATTGGCAATATGTGTCGCTGAAATATTGTTAATATAAGCATACGCTTATTCAGTTTACCTTCCAATGAGTAATTTCCATAGTGGAGAATCAGCCTTCGCTACAGCAGATTCAGGATCCGAAAACATTCTAGCTAGTAATCGGGTTACATCAAGACGCTCGTCTGCTTCATTACTCTGCAGTGTTTTTGTGAACGATTTCCATGTAAATAGAACAAATTGTGAACTTTAACAATAAATGTTATTTTCGTTTAATTTTTCATCTAGATAATATTTTGCCTGCAAACCTTCAGTTTATACTCCAGTTGCGGTAGGACAGATATTAATACGCTAGGTGCAATACTATTAAGTTGATAGATGATGTCGTATAATCTGTCGGACACTTCACTTTCAGACGCCTTTTCGCTTGTCATACAATTCGTAAAAAACTAAACAAATTATCCATGCTATTAGCAAGTAATCTAGTAGACTGTCATGGCAGTTTCAAATTTAAGCTAAGTAAGACATCGAACATACCACTTGAACATAGGGTTCCAATGATGTAGCAGTTTTGGTAATAAGTTGAGAGGCTAAATTGTATGATGCTTTATTTTGGCTCTGTACAGAAGAGTTGAGAATTTTATTGATTAAATATTCGCTTTTAGAAATATCAACTTTGCAACTACAGCATACGCTATTATCCAGAATGGATAATAATCAAGTAAAATTGCAAAAGCGTAAGATCAGTTTACCTTATTCGGCTCAATGATTTGAATTAAAATAGTGTCCAACAGCTTTTGCGGAATAACTTCGCTATCGATCACTAATGAGCTCATGATCATGGTCATGCAATTGACAACCTTCAAATTATGTTCATCGCTAAATTGATTAATTCAGATATATATAATAGTTATTGCTGATACCTTGCTTAAGATATAATTTTAGTAACAGGAATAAAATTTGTAACTAAATTATACTTGTATTGAATTATTACATCTACAGGAGATGGAAAGCAATATAAATTATGTGTGGAAATTAGCGCAATTTGGTGTTTAGCTTACTTTATATAGTCACAGATTATATTACTTGCCTTATGATTTCGAAGAACAGCCGAAAGAGATCAATGATTGCATCATACGCTTCCATGTAAATAGCGACATTGAAAGTTTGAACGTACGCTAAACTCTAGCAGGATAGCATAATTTTTGATTAGTATTCCTGCCTTATAGCTACAAAGAACTGCTACTGTACAACACATGATCGCATTGTCAAGTGAGTATATTGCAAGCTAGTAACGTTGTTGAAGCTAAGAGAAGGTTATGCCAATTAATACCTCTAAGATATAATAATGTCTTCGAAAAGTTTGAGAATTTGGATTATAAAGGCCACGTAGTTGCTCTATCCATAAATATAAGATATCCTAACCATATCATAGAGGGAAATGAGGTTAATTTAACCGCTAATTTACATTTCATTGCAACGTTTGTTTTCAACTGTAACGCAATAGTTTAAGCCTGCTGAAGTTGAAAGGATTAACTTTCAATATCGTAATAATGCGTCGGTTAGAAAGTTGACAGGCTGGAAACTTTATAAAGAGTTTTTTATCATCTTATATTACACTTCTATATTGGAGTAAAGTTCTGCCAGGGAGGAATCAACTTTGTCACTATCCTTCACTTACCGACTGCAGATTGGTATCATATGGTGCGTTAGGAGCAAATATTCTCATGATATCAGCTAAACAACATGCTGCATAAAGTCTGACATCCTTGTCTTTATGTTTCATAATCTGTCGTGTTCCTAATGAAGCTGCTAATTCTTCCCATTCTTGCAAGTCGCACTTTTCTTGATTAACATCGGATAACTTTTGAAATTCAGCCTAAGATGATGGGGACAAAAATTTGTTGAAAGAATGACAGATGCATTTCTTGCTACAGAAGCAGTCAAGTTTAGCTGTCTACGATCTGCTCTGCTTTGAGTGATTTATGATACCCACTGAAAAAAACTGTCTATCCAATATGGATAGAGTTTCTATGATTGGTGTAGTAGTGATATATTACCGTAAAGTACTGTACAGTATGCATGTATTGGTTGCTCATGACATTCATCTATAGCTACTAAGATATAGAAATACGATGACTTTATCTAGCAGTACTGTGTTAGCCATGAGAGCAAGTGCACATTAAAGAAGCCACTTGAGATATTGCGAAACGTTGGAATACAGAGAAGCTCGAATGTTACTGGTGGTGGTTATTTGGAAATTCACTGAATACAACACTGTATATATTATATGCTGTATACGCTCGTCTATGTACATTCATTGCAGCCTGGTCGAATAAATAATATAAAATTGTATCTTGATATAACATCTAAACTCTGTCCAATCTTTGATTGGAAACTGTTTCAAAAAATAAAAAGTAAAATAGGATACAATATAAGGCATGCAGCTGCCAAAATGAAAGGAAAATGAGTCCTTTTCAATGAAGAAAGTAGAAATTGGTTGGACTCTTTGTGCCCATTGAAAATGAATCATCCCTGCAATTTTCCAGCTCGTGAAATCACTTGCTAATAACTAACCTTCAGTTGTTTCACTAAGTCATTCTTGGATAAACCTTCAAGCTTAGTCATGGTCGGATAACCTCTCGTTTCTACTTTAGGAATTTCCTGTTGAATTTGAATAACGAATGTTCAAATTTTGACCTTGGAATGCAATATCGCTCAAGGAGGAAATGCACTAAACCACAAGGTTTGGTTACGATTTGCGAGGCACTTTGGAGCCAATTTTTCGGACAAAGCAATGTCAGTGTATGGTACTGTACGCCGGTACAGTACCATACCGCTGTCATACTGTATCACTGACTGATCGCTACATACTGTACACTGTACAGCGTACACGTCCGTGGTGATATTACCGTTGTACTGTACTGTACGTACTGTACAGTATCAGTGGCAGTGAGCTGTACCTGTACAGTACATTGTGCCTGTTCAATACGGTAATGTACTGTACTCGTAGTCCATGACTGTAGACTGCACAAGACAGGCCAGTACTTGCATTTTGAATCCCCTTTGATGTATCGGATCATGGCGACATGGAAGAATTTCTCATTTTCCAAGTTGCTAATTGATTGCAGGATTGAGATTCGGATTGACGGTAAACTACTTGGCAAAGTCATCCATCATGATCAAGGCATTGCTATTGCATAGTCAGTAGACTCTTTGCTTGTGGAGTACATTACTGCATGTCTAGGCAGCGAGCATGCATTGAGTGATTGCAATGTGGGCTATTTTCTCATGCAGGATAGTGCTGTCATGAATCGGACTTGGAGAACGTCAATATCACAAACAGTAATATTGTAATGTATAGTGGATAACGGTGTATTCTGATTCAACCTTGAAATTCTCCATCATTTTGCTGCTGCTACATGGGCCCATATCGTATGGTACACGTTCATGCACATTACTTTATCCATCATGCAATGATTCAATTGATGATATTTATTTATTAAGCAAACAAACAAAGCACATCAAAACAGTATCGTCCATGGACGCAATTTTTTTTGGCGCTACTTTTTATGAAAGGATTCATTGAAGACTGTACAGTGTACAGTCTACGCTGTACAGTGTATGTACTGTAGGCACTGAACTGTACAGTACTGTACTGTTCGTTCGGACTACAGTATGGTACAGTACAGTACTGTACTGTATGTGGCGTAAAAAAATAGAGTTATTGGACATACTGTACCTGTACTGTACTCTATGCAGAAATTTCAATCGCCTTCATCAAATTACAGCTTTCTGTACTGTACTATATCATGGACTTTAACAGTATAATAGATACGATCGCCATCTAGAAGTCCGTGACTGTAAAATTAGAGTCCATTTCGTTCATCCACGCTCTACAGTACAGTACTGTACTCTACTGTACAGTACTCTACTGCTTTGTTCAACTTTGCCAAACCATTGCATCGAAAACTACAGTCTACCAGGAACTGCGCACTCTCTTTCCCTTCGGTTCAGTAAAGTACAGTACAGTGTACTGTACACTGTACAGTACGTGTAAGTTAAATTAAAGGGAAAGTATTGGACTTTACTCCTCGTCTACTCGACCGCCATTACAGAAGGTGATCTCTTCTAGTTCAAGATATCAATGTATAGCTACTTAAGGACACTACAATGAGCGGTGAAGGGGAGAATAGTAATAACAAGAAGTCTTTCATTAATCCTGCTTTCCTAAAAGGTCTTCTCACTGGCGTTGTTGTATCACATATTAATAAAGCCGTGGTTTTGGGGGCTATGATTGGTGTTGCTACTGGGATCTATTATGAACAGCATAACCCTAATGATGTGCCTGATGTGAAACAGAAGGCTAACGAAATTTACAGGAAATTTCGTGGCGACGGTGCCTAAAAATGTCTAGTTGTACCCGTATAATGTACAGCATATAAGTATCGATACATGCATCCATGTTACTGTAAACACGTAAATACATCATCTCGACAGTAAGCTTGTTCACAGATGCAACACTATATGATTTTTAAAGTATATTTGTTATAATTTATCATTCACTAACATGAATTACAAAATGGTAATGATAGAAGACTTTGAATGTATCACTGTATGTGAATCGCCTGTAATGCTCTAATATTTTTATTCATGCTATTGGAACGATTGTGTGTATATATATACGCGTATATGTACCGTACTATACTGTCTATGGCCATTGTAGACATAACAATATTGTATGCATATTGATGCATTTGCAATACTATACGTACGCATGATTTATAGTCTAAAGTTTATGTTTGACTGCTGTATGCTAGCTTGCAATTCTATTACTCTTATGGGTTCGGTAGAAAAGTCACAGCAGAAGCTACAGCGGCCACAACACTCATCAATCGCAACATTCCTGGATTGGCTACGCCAATGGAGTACGATGTTTTAAACATTTTGGTTGCATATGAAACGTCATTCTACGTATAGAACTGCGTAGCAGTGGTTAAAGTTTGCTATCTTCCTGTGATAACTTTGATGAAGAATTCAGCAGTAATATATTGATATGATTATGAAGTATCTTTGCTATTTGAAATTAAATTAGAGCCGAGATTTTTTTAAAACAGAATTTTGATTCATTATAGCAATTCATAACCCAAGTATTCATGGTAGCTCATTGCGAGCTACTGAAACTACTGTGCATTTGTATGCATGGCACGCGTCGATAAATTAGCATAGACATTGCACAGAAATTGCATTTCAATGGATACATATGACAGTCTATTGATGATGCATAAAAGTGGCCATGTTTGAAAATAATCATTAATTTACTGTACTGTATATCCCTGCAGAATGAATTGCTATGGGACTATACAGTACAGTGTACACTGTACTCTGTAAAGTATCCAGTAATTCATGAATCACTTTCAATGAGGTGGTTGTCAATCGCTCAATAGAGAAGATAGAAGTATTTACTTCATAAAATCTCAATTTTCCTCGCATAGTAAGTACTGTATATGGTATTTGAGAGTTATTTAATTATAATAATTAATTATTGCTTTTTAATTTCAATTTATATAATAATATAAATTACAGCATATCGTTAACAACGACTGCCAACGTTCGATTGGGTGTACACTGTACAGTACTGTAGGATTTGGAGTGGATAGGTACAGTACAGTACACTACGAGAAACAGCAGCATTTACACTGCAGTACAGTACACTACACTACCGAACTGCACAGTGCACACTCCGGTAGTATGCACTGTACTGTACAGTACGATCTCAATGTCACTTTACAGTACAATGTACTGCACACTGTACAGGAGACTCAAGTAAGTTGCTACTGTAACAACAGTCCGTGTACTATAATCAAGCTAACATCAAAACATGAATCGCTCGTATCCCTCGCGCCTCGGTGACTAGTCAGCAGTTACCTGCATTGACTGCTAGGTGCGCACTGCGCAGTCGAGAACGTCAGGCAAATTTTTTTCCGGACACATATCCCGCTTAGAGCAAAGCAAATCCTTTTGGTTGGAGAATCCAGCTGATTATCGGTGTCTTTACTCGTCTATCCATCAATGGTAAACATAAAATGTGAATTTTACTTTGCATTAATCTTCTTTGAAATGACAAGAGTTATTGGTAGTGATTGAATTGGTTGGTGAAGGATGAAGAAGGACCACAGGCATTTCACAGTACGGTCGATTAACATTGACCTTGTGGTGTACTGCAGCACATAGTTACGGAGGTTGATGTCGTCAAGTATACTGTAGTATAGACTCTAGGAACATGATGTAGCCGAGAGTTTTCTGCCCAAAATTACATGGTGTTATCGTTGCCGTGATATCTATGGCTACAACGAGTAGTCTTAAACTTCTGTTATGGACTTGGACAGGCTTCTAGTCAATGTAAATAACAGCAATCACTTATTAAACGCTACTTTTCCCCCTTTGTTGAGTGCTATGCTGACGCCATTGCTGAATACTGTATTTTGATTTCAACCGCCACTTTTCCATAGTAACCATAGAATATTCTGTTAACAGCATTAGAACAATCGACTTAATGGATTGACTGAATATTGTCTTGAGCGTAATTGATCATTGGATTGCTCATTAATCTGACTGTACTGTGTAGGCTAAATAGGTAAGGTGAAAATCTTCAACACTTGTACTTCTGTAATCATCCATGTTATCTTCTGCAAGCGGATACAATGATGGATTAGACGGTAGATTGCGAAAAGCAGTCAAGAGAACGTTAGTGCTACTGTTACAAAAACAATGCCATGAGAAATCCTACATTCTCCTTTGCAGTGCTTCTACCGATGGAATTACTTTAAAACAGTTTGGGTGTTGGAAAGTATTTTCCAATTGACTTGGATAATTTATCAGTCAACTTGTGTACGAGTAGTAAGGATCCAAGTACTTTATATCTTAATACATGATCGCCAATTTGTTTTCTTATCAAGACTCAAGATAAAGTAGGTAAAAAATGGAAAATGGTATTACTGATGGAAGGTTTCTATAGCTTATAATCACCTTACAAAACGATAGATTGAGGAAAAATTCGCATGTCAGTAGGATGCAGAGGCTAATGGGATAGTATCGATATCACGGTCAATGATATCCTAATTGAATGCAAAGTAAAACTTGACGTTGTCATTAACATTTATAGCTGTTGGGAAATAGTGGTAATGTTAGTATCATTAATAATCAGCAATTATAAGATATATTAAAATCTGCAAAAATTGGTATAGTATATTCTCAAACATATTGAACTGTCTTGGAATGTTACAATGAAGTAATTTGTTCTTTTGACAATTGTTATAATAAACAATGATAAAATACAATCCATACAAACTGGTGGATTCTGAAATTGGTCAAAATATTTTAGAATGATACAGTGAAGTAATTTATTCTTTTTCGAAATTGTTCTACGTATCTACAGGCATCTTCATATAGGAAAGCTGCATTAGCAGGTGGTCAGCGTAAAAAAGGTTCGTACTTATTTCTCTCACAACTCTTTTCCATTTCTATAATCCTTGCAAGCATCATTTACTGATCTAGCAAACTTACCTATCAAAGATTGCGTTGCTAATATTGCCAATTCTTAGTAGTGTATTATTGCTAACCCCTGCATTATACGGTTATGCATAGCCTTTACAGGTTACTTTACAAGTTTTGTTAAATTACTAAAAAATTCTAGTGGCATCTCACGCACAGCCTATTTATATCCCTCTATAAGAGATATTAAAAGAAGCTTATAATACTCTCTAAATATAGAATCTTTCAGCAAATATAATATTCGAACATCAAGTTTTAATCTATCTGTTTTAATTTTATTAAATGTCGATGTGGTATATAATTTTTAGCTTACTATAGGCCGGCTTGTATTGTAGTGTAGGTAAATTCGGCAATGATTCTAATTGAATTGATAATTAACAGAAGTAGTTATGTTGCTTGATAACATGTCTTAGCAAATTAAATCTAACACGCTTAAGTGTTGCTTAGTGTGAGTGACTGGCTTGCTACGCTTTCGAAAGTATTATTCTGCTGTCATAATTGAGAAGGATTATGTTACGTGAAAGCGATCATTCTTATTTTCACTATCGAGAATATGCTGTATAATGTAATGAAAGATGATTTCCTTACGGACGGAATGATTACTCGTATCTCCTCATGCGTGCTGTAGGTCCTAAGCCTGAGCTGACGGAAGAGCAAAAACAAGAAATCAGGGAAGCTTTCGATTTATTCGATACAGAAGGTACAGGAACAATAGATGCTAAGGAACTAAAGGTAAATATGGAATATAACCTAACAAGCAATCATTAACCTGTAATGTCCAGATGGATTAGTAACATCAGCTTTTATAAACCAGTGAGATATCTGGAATGGTATTGTCGAAGCTGTTGATATGTAATGCTCTATCATGCAGTAAATCTATTCATCATTATATTTTAGGTAGCAATGAGAGCTCTTGGATTTGAACCAAAAAAGGAAGAAATTAAGAAAATGCTATCAGAAGTTGACAAAGATGGCTCTGGTATGGGTGCTTGTATGGTCTTAATTTGCTATACAGCATTGTCTTTTGAATTAAAAACATTCCTCTTGGAATCATCTAGACATGTTTAAACTCTACTTACAATTTTTTCGTCACGTTTCACGCTCAATGTATAACTAACCCAGCTTAAAACTTTTTTAACAATTTCTGTCGTTATCTGTTTTCATTCCGTTACGTAGGCACAATTGACTTTGATGACTTTTTACAATTAATGACCCAAAAAATGGTAAGCTTAAAGTGATCTTGAATATTAATCGCAATTAGGGACATCAAAATGATACCGTATCTTGAAGGCTACTTTGCATATAACCTTTTAACAGACTGAGAAAGATCCAAAGGAGGAAATTCTCAAGGCATTTCGTTTATTTGATGACGACGAAACGGTATTGATAATAACGGAAATAGATGCGAACTGCTCCTTTTTAAAATGGTAATGATGTCATATGTTGATTTGATTAGGGTAAGATTTCTTTTAAAAACTTAAAGCGAGTAGCTAAAGAACTTGGAGAAAACTTAACAGATGAAGAATTACAGGTACTGATTAACTACAAGTTATGACTGGTTTGAAAGTATTTGAAACACTCATTTAATTATCATAATGGACAATATTTTATAGGAAATGATTGATGAAGCAGATCGTGACGGTGACGGTGAAATTAACGAAACGGAATTTTTACGAATTATGAAAAAAACGAGTCTTTATTGATTACCAAATTTCGTGTATAATGACATAAAGTAGTGTAACGGTAATTTTTCGATCGCCTTATTCTTATATATATACATACATAAATATATAAATATATATATATATCATATATAAAGTAAGTGCAGTGCGGCGTTTTACTGTTGTTGTAAAGACTACCGTAATATTAGCGTATAATGCTTGATAAAAAAGATTTTTATCAATTACTGTACCATGTAGTATTAGACGGTGTTTGCATCTCAAAAATGGCAATTTAGTAACATTTTAATAACCTTTATTACGATAAAATTAGTATCCACTAGAAAAGTATTTATGATTTGAAGTTTTGTGTTACTAATTTTAAAGTGCATAATTTTTCCTTTCCAACGTTTCTTTTAGCCATTTTAGCTGTAAATATTGGCTATTTGCTGTCAATATCGCTCGCATTAGAGAGATGCAATTAACCTTATAACAGCTAGTTGTTCAACTACTGCTGTCCATTACCGACCAACCTTTGTATACCATAATAAATCTCATAAACATATTTTACGATAGCTGATCGGTTTCTGCGTAATATAGTAAGTATTCAATCCAGAATTAATAGCCATATAGTACAAATGTAGCTTATGTTGAAATTAAATGCATCGCATCGTGGTTGATATTTTGTAGCTAAACTATGCTCATCATAAACATTCCAATTGTCGTTCTATATTACGCCATAAATGACTGATTCAAGAGCTATATGAAAAACAACTATAGCTTGTACAATAAGTGTGATTGACTTGATACTATATAATAATGTTGTTGTTCGGACAAATGACGATGCTCGTTACTTTATTATCACTCGGGTAACAAAAAACTTAAAACTACAGAGAAAAAATATAGCTTTAGCGATAATTCACAGATGCAATAGAGATTAAATATTTCAAACGATGACACACGAGTATCGCTTTTCGCGATTTAAATTGATCACTTTTAAATACTTCAGAATTATGTGCATTATGTGGGCTCCTATAATAAACAATTCCAGTATAAATAGATCTTCAACAATGGTAAACACTTTTACTTAACACATGCGTTGACTCAGCATTATAAACGTAAGTTTATGTCAACAAATATAACAATATTAACGTCAAAATTTATAAAATTAATAGGCTAATAAAATTATTGCCACTCATTTATTATTCTTTTAGAGGTATTATTTTGTGAGGGTTTCTGAGAAGGAAAAAATTTTGCTGGGGGAAGGAAAGTCGATATATTAAACAGGTCATTAAATATTCCATAGCGGTTACTAAATGGATAATAAAAACACGTTACAAATTATCAATCACTGTTCAATGCAATGATCTTAATTATAACATACACAGTAAACACCAGTTATGATACCAATTTTGAGTTAAGTAATTGACATATGAGTATACGCATTTAGTTACTTTTTTAACTTCTACTTGTGAGTTACCTAAAAGTAGACGTGAAGTATCGATAACCAGAAAAGCCGTAATTTTTGGCTTGATCTCCAAAGCGACGGGCTAATAAGACGAGATTGTCTGGTAGATCAATAAGAGAATTAACAGAAGATGAATGGGCAGACTTTGTACTTAACTGAGATTGAATAAATTTATAAGTAGGAAATAATTCGGAAACGAATTATACAGATCTAGAATTGCCTTACGTCGCCACTGTGCTAAATACGTCTCCAGATCCATAAGCAATACTAAATAATGATACCGCTGGTTTAACTGTGCCTCAGTGCTATGTAGTAGAAAATCCAAATTGGATCCATATCAGGGTGAAAGTAAAGATTAAATAAGATATACTTGAGCTGTACTCATAAATACACAAATGAAGAAAGGTGTATAATCAATTACCGAAAATAAGTTATCAATATAGCCCCTTGAATAGCTCTATAGGATAGCATGCGAATATCTATAATTATATTACACATCCGTAAATTTTAGATGCACAATAATATAACGTATTGCTCACAATTTATACAATTTTATTACCATTTTTAACCAGTTCATCATGTTTTTCTCTAACTAGAATAGTTTCGAACAATTCCTTGATAAAAATAACAATTTGGATTAATCAAATTAATCATCTCTACGAATCAGTGAGGTTATGTTGGAACAGTTATGGAAATACGGCGTATTAATTGTTTCCATGTAAATGATACATACCGCCGTTTTTATGTTTTCCTCTATTAATTCTTCCCTCAAGTCCGGGTCTACAACTTTCTGAAATATTCAAATAGCATAAAGTTAATATTCGATATTAATGAGGTATCGTAATTAAAACAAATTCAGTAAAAACAACTTATGATTATTACATTAGTTTCATCCTGTAGCGAAGATAGATAAGAGTTAACTGCTTTGGTATACTTATACCAGAAATTGAATCCATCTTTCTCTAGGCCAGGAGTCTTAGAAAGCCATCTCTATGGTAAAAGGATATATTAGTACTTCGTATTACTAAGAACCAATATAATTATATGTTTAGGACAGACTTTAATGATAGACTTTAAGAAGGACAATATTTATCGAATGAATCCATTAATTTGCATAATTACTCAAAATGAAGTAAGTGAGGCTAATCCAACATGAATTAGCCAGACGACTGACTAATTGAGCGAGTGATAAGGTAATGCTTTCATTAGCTGTCTTACATCTACTAACTGCAACAAAGTTGGGCCTTTTTCGGATTGCTCAATTCTGTCTAGCTCACTTCCTTTAAATATATTCCTACATATCAGAGTTAATCACCGGCTTGTTAAATACTAAAATGATAAGCCATTTATTCTAATCAAATAAATCATAAAGAATCTTCATTTGTCAACAATGTTAAGTTCATGAGATTTTCTTACTTGTAATTCATTCCTGAATCATACATCCTATTACTCTATATAAATGACATCGATGCATTAAAAAAGAATACATTAAGAATAAATATCAAACTCTTACTTTAACTTAAAACACATGTAAATAGATTACGCACTTCGTCTTATAATGCTAGATATAATCTCGGTAATAAAATTATGTATACGCACATCTTTGACTCCCAGCATGTTTTCGAGTAATCTAAACTGAAGACTTTGAAAAGAAGATCCTGGACCTATATAATTTCTAAATAGAGAATTGAAGATTATCGATATCATAAATGTCACTTGATCTTAAATCAAAATCGATACATAATTTCACCAAGCAAACAGTCTTACACGATAATATTCTAAACATAAAATTGTAGTAATGACAATGAAAGTACAGTAAAGCACTGCATATCTTAAGAATTAGTAAAGATTAATAACTGCGTGCCACGATACCAAAATAGCGGTAAAGTTTTGACTTCTAAGCATCAATCACATTACGATATAAACATGAAATTTGTAAATTGAGAGAAAGGGAATGCTATGCCAACTGGAAGCGTGATAAAAAGATGTATGAGGCATTTTTTTAAACTGTAGCTTGATTGCAGTCCATATGCAATGGCTTTTAAGAATGTTTGGTTTATAGTGCTATCCAGTATTAAAGAGGTTTACCTTAAATTTTCAAAATCGGTTACAGGTATAGTTTCAAGAACCGTAAATTGTTTAAGCATCAGCTGTTAGAAATGATAGGATGACATATTAAATATCAGTCAATAAAGCAAATTTAAACCGAAAGACTCATACACGTGTATGATAATCATAATATACCTTCAAAATTCTTACGATTCTGGATGTCCTTACAGTAATAACTAGCAAGTTAATATCGTTAATGCACTAAAAACAAGAAAGATTTAGAAGAAATAGCAGTACAGTTTAATTATGCTTGCATAACATTTTGCACTAGAAATGTCGAAGAAAATTTATACCGAGTTATATTATTTCAAATAGTAGAATGCATGGGTCCAAAATGTATATATATATATATATTTTAATGATCAAATTAAAGATACTACACTTAATAGTTCCAATACTTAATAGTAAACTTTGTAAATTACGAATTTGATACAAATCATCCTTAAAATCTTGCACTATCGTATGCACTTGTAATCGAAGTCGAAATTGCAGGTAATGTGACGAAATAGTGTAAACTTATGGGCGAGTATAGCTTCGTTAAAGTAGACTAGAGCTCACCACTTGATTGGTTACATATCACTGATTATTGCCGAGTCTAAAATTGGACGGCATTTTTAAATAGTAACCGTAAGTTACAGTTATTTTAAGTCACTTTACCTCAACATCCATTGCTTTACAAACAGCATCCAGTTCGTATATTATCTGCTTGAACCATAATTCGAATACTGAAAAGGATACAGTAATAAAGCTATAACAGTCAGAAGATTGTTAAAATATTATTATACAGCAATCATAATTAAAACACAACTTTGATTTTAAGTTTGGAAGGGCTATTCTACAATTCAATATTTAAGCTCTGGCCTAAAGCACCAAAGAGACTACAACTATAATTGTACTTGGTTAATGTTTAATGCACCAGACAACGACCTTACAGTAAGTTATAAGAAGCAAGTACAACAGCAATTAAAAATGTAGGTTATCTTCGAGAGATCATCAGTGATCAACCTCATCAACGGTATTCCGATATTAGTGCCTTCGATTTGTGGGACTACTAGCTTCTTAATAAATTTATGATAGCCTACATTTTCATTTATCTCTAAAACAGGAGCATAACCCTATAGTACTGTATTTGGACTGCCTAATTCAGCATGGCAGTAAAATCAGTTTGACAGTTGTTTTATTAATCAAGTAATTGTTACCTACAACAGAGTCCCTACTGAGTCCCTAGCTTGGAATTTATATCACAACTGAAGAATTTCATTAAATTTATTACTATATGGATAAGGTGTAAAATTTGTGCAATGAGTGTGATACTATCTTATAAATCATAGAATTTTTCGAAAAAATTGATATGCACTTTCGGCATGTACAGAACTTTTACTGATACACAATCTGCCGGAGGATAGCTAGTAAGCAAAATGCCAACCTCAATACCCAAATCACAAAATAATGGTAGATTAAAGCACAGTAAAAAGTGGCCGCTGCCCATAAGGCTACTGTATATCCTATTCATCGTACACTAATTTTATAGGCTACAAGGTGTAGCCATACTATTAGTTTCCAATACTCATAATAATTAGCTTCCTAATACCCGCTGTAAAACGAGTACAGTCGAATCAAGCTTTGCTCGGGACGCTTCCCGTGCAGATTATGACTTAGTGTTCACTGACCTAACGTCTAGTGCTCCATAATGTAATAACATACAGTCATCCATGTTAGCAAAACAGGATAGAACTCTACTATTACAATAACGATTCGATGCCTACTTAATATCGAATATATACTACAATGGAAATACTCATTTAACCATGCTGATGCTATCAAATCATCGCAGATCATAATCAAGAAAATAATCACTATAATAAGTATATCATCAACATGCTTACCTTGATGCACAACAATAAATAAATGTTCATCATGAACTGGCGTAAGTGTTTTTTGAAATTCTAGTAAGCTATCTACCTGTTGAGAAGTAAATAAGATACGTCAACAATTTGTATAAAACTTGTGACGGCTGACTGGAATTAAAGAAATCATCCAATAGATGCCAGTCAAGTTTGAATACAATTATTAATTTAATGATTCAGTAATTATATAATAATTAGGCAGAATCGATCAATTTATATTAACTACTTTACGGAAGTCAGCTGGTTCCATATGATGATCGTGTGGTCATGAATCAAAGTAAAGCCAATACGAAACGGAGCAATAACGATTCGCACCTTCATATTTACTACAGTACAGTATCCATTCCACTTGCTATTAGTGTACATGTATGTATTGGTTAGGTAAAATCAGTGTAAAACAATTTATTTCTGATTTCAATCAAGCCACATTGCTAAGCAACGATATAACTCTAATGACTGACGATAACTGTATGACAATATTTAGCAGTTAAAGGTAGTGAATATGACAGAGAATCAGAACTATTTACACAAGCAGGCTAAGGATCGTCGTTGTTTACTCATTGTGTTGATTCTCGTTCATCATTAGCATCAACGCTGATATTTGACAAAAGTCATCTGATATTGGGATCATTCGGACGAGTAGGAAATCAAGTTGGATGCAATATTACAGTTTCGATTATAATTATTACACGTTGAGGTAATTTGTTGATCAAATTAATAACTAGAAAATTGAAAAAGATCCCCGCTAAAAGCTCTGTATAGTTATGGTACAGAAACTTAGCCATATGATTGATAAGAATTAATTAATCAATCCAATGGTTTATCGTCGGCGCAATGAAATAGCAAACTTGCATTGTTACAAATTGATCATACCTTTAAATAACTTGAATATGTCAAGGATTTTCGATCAGTACCAGTAACTGGCGTCTCAGGCTTGTTTTCGTCCATTTCATCAGGCGATTTCTAAAAGGTGTTATCAAAGAAAACAGTACGATTACTATCGATGGCTATTAGTTTTTTTTTTCATACGCCTGCTGTGTAGTGCCAATATTTGTCAAGCGATAGTAAAGTCTACGTATTTTCATCATTCATTACTTTACAAGTACAATAGTGTGATCAAGTCCTAGCCTCTCTTCATATCATGATTATTGAATAGCTATAAAAGTAGAATTGACCATAACTAAAACTGTAAAACAGTCATTTTATATTTCTCTTTTCTCTTTTTTAGCCAATCGGGAAGGGCTTACTTTATCCGTTTTACGCCAACTACAGTCTATCATACTTTCTACACTATACTAATTCATCAACGTGACTGATTTGCCTTTAAAACGATGATCAAGTAAGAAAATGACGTTGTTTAAAGATCGTTTCTCTCAATCCAACTCATCAAGCAGCTGAAAAAAAATGGATCTATTATGACTTAGACTTTACTTTTCACAACAACCGTAGGCTACTAAACTGACTCCAAACAAGCAGCTAAACCATCACTTGCAATTTGAACCGAGTTGGGTACAAGAAGGATTGAGTAAAATAATTCTTGAGATTACATCGATTCATATTCAACAGTTGTTCGCCTATACAACTGGAATACTTGTACCAACCTGCGAAGTATCTTCATGAACTTCCATGATAACGCTGATCGCTTTAAAACTGGTAAAATAGTCAACAGTAAAAGACCACTTTAGCACGATTGTAATTAGTCACTCACTTTAATTGTGCTCCTGTTTTATAGGACCACATCTACCGTATATTGACAAGCTTTATACCCTACAACAATCGTTCTAATTGAATTATTGATGGCGGCAGTACTATGTTAAGGTATTAAAACCATAGTTAAAACTAGACTTGCTGCACAATAGTTTAAATAAGGTTCTAGGCGTGCCATGCTTTCGTGTTTGATGTAAAGCAAAGGCTTGTTGCTACCCAATCGAATCGATGCCAAACCTACTATACTCTACCGTTGTTCTATACAGTATGTTGTACTATTACCCCGACCCAATGTGGGCAGACTTTGACAGCCGCAACAATAAGGAACTTTCTTGATCTTTATTGTAATTAAAATTTCATTTCAAGCCAATAATAATCGGTGATGGCATCCAACAGGGACGAGTGCTTAGCGCAATTAATTTAATTAATATTGTCTCCTGTTTGTTGATCAAGTACTGTACTAGTAGACCCCTCGCTCGACCTACAGTATAGGATATCGAACAAAAAATATGATAGTGTCCTTTCAATAATACCACAACATAAAATAAATAAATGCCTGTTATCTCATACTTATTTAGCATGATACAAGATAGCTGTTCTTACTGAAGATAATTATTTATTATCTATTTCTCAGGAGTGATAAAATAAATAATGATACTAAAAAGTGCCTGTAGAGTACAATCTTATCTAGTGTACATACTTAGAAATATACTAGATAATATACTGTATACGATATGTGATTTAATCGAGCGATGGTCCAGAACATGAAGGTGCCCTTCCAAGAATACCACAACATAAAGAAAATGCCTGTTATCTCATACTTATTTAGCATGACACGAGATAGTTGTTCTTACTGAAGATAATTATTTATTATCAATTTCTCGGGAGTGATAAAATAAATAATAATACTAAAAATACTTGTATAGTACAATCTTATCTATAATACCACAACATAAAATAAATGCCTGTTATCTCATACTTATTTAGCATGATACGAGATAGTTGTTCTTACTGAAGATAATTATTTATTATCTATTTCTCAGGAGTGATAAAATAAATAATAATACTAAAAAATGCTTGTGCAGTACAACTGTACGTATATAGGAATACAGTAGATGATATATACGGTATGTAATTTAATTGAGCGATGGTACATCACATGAAGTTGCGCTATAACAAAATAATACATTTAAAACTACAAATCCCTAGTGACATCTTCCGATAAATTGGTCGATTCGATCAATTTTATTTATGATGTTTAAAGTTATTTACAGTTAAGTTGAAATTTGATTCGGTGAGGTCCTAGATAAATTCTGTTGATATCATTTCAATGAACATCACATAGCTGATGGGTGAACTTATTATTATTTAAATTTTATATATAACAAGAGAGGACATACGAGTAGTAAGTAGCCTGGACATACAAATAGATAATGTATCGGTAGTATATGATCATGCAACGTGGGAAAGATGAAAAAATAAAATAATTGCAAATCCTTAGTGGTATATAACATACTTTGATAGATTTATCCATTCGATCAATTTTATTGACGATTCTATTTAAAGGTATTTACAATCAAGTTGAAATCTGATTCGGCCAGGTTGTGGACAAACTATTTGCTGTACAGTACATCATTAAACTGGACATTATATTGCAGCAGGGTGAACTTGTTATTTTACGTATAGCAAAAGAGGACATGCAAGTAGTAACCTACAATACATACGAATAGGTAATTTGTCGGTGGTACATGCTACTAACAACGACATGGCAAGATAAAAAAAAGAATATAAACTGTAAACCCTTAGCGACATGCACGCATTCTGATGGATTTATCGACTTGACAAATTTGATTTTCGATTCCAATTAAAAGTATTTACAGTTTAGTGGAAATCTAATTCGGTGATGTTCTGGATAGACTCTACTTATATCATTAAAATAGACATCATATTATTGCGGATTGAGCTTGTTGTTTTACCTATTGAAAAAGAGAACATACGAGTTCGATACCCTGAATTGGAAAGGCGGTGAAACAGATTTCCACTAATATCAATGATAAATTTGTAGTTTTTCTATCTCTTCTAGAGTTATTCACTACGAGTTTAAACGGATAATTGCTAGGTAATATAAGGATTCTAGTTAACAATCGTGGATGCATTGATAAGCCCGTGATTTCTTTTTTTACATTATTATGCCTGCATATTGCACAAACAAGGCGTTTAAATTACCTTTATCTCCATGCTCTCATTTTCCTTCTGCTCCAGCTCTGAACTGGAATCTATTCAAATGCTGTGGTAGGCCATTACTCTAATATCTGTAAGTTGATACGTAACCAGTCCAATACGTAGTACACTTACATACATTTTTAACTAACGCCTATGTAACGGTGAGTCAGAGCAAGGACTTCGAAGAGGAAATCATTATACGAATTCCCTCTTAGAAGTCTCTGCACAAACTGCCACAGTGATACAATGCCAATGGGCAGATACGTCCTACTAGATACACTTATTGAACACTAATCTAGAAATAAAACGGTTTCTAATAAGTTGCATACATGCCAATTTACTGTAATGATATTGGTTGTAGGGTAATTTTTATAATGGATATTTGAATTGGACACACACACGAAACATGATATTTACAAATTTCATATACGAGTACATGTTTTAAATTTTCTAAGTTTCAATTTCTCATAGAAGATTTACGATAAATTAAAAAAAAGTACCAAAAAATTACGGCAACTCCCTAACCACTTAGCGTACATAACGCATCCATATCAACGGACACGCATGCATAATGTGATCGACAAATAGCGGTATACTATATGCGAGAAATGGCAATAACAACAACTGGACAAAAATTTAGCACGCAAAAGTTTATTAGCTTCCATTCTACAAACTATATTTTACTGCTAAGTGAAAATTTTTAGTTTAAATATATTTACTTACAGTAGGCAACGACACTAAATTTGACTTCGTGACAAGAGTATCGTGCTTTAACGTAAATAATTTACAATAACTAAGTTTATACGGTTACCGACTTGCTTAGTAACAATCGAGTGTACATTGTATGAGTGATAAAGATGAAAAGTTCATTTAAAATAAAACTACAATATTCATCAAAGTGAAACCTATAAAACTTTAAAATGTTGCAAACACACCAAAAACCTATTGGCTAGTATGTGTATAAATTAATCGTATAATGTGAATCCAACATAAACAACTGCGATACAATACTTATACATAAATATCATGATTTAAGATTTAAAGTAACTGATGCTACACTTAGAAGTATTGGCTACTGCAAGCATTAATAGCAGGTTATTACCAAGGTTCAGATTAAGAAAAAATCAAGAATGATATAAATAACATCACATTAACGTATTTCCAACGCTTAGTCGCTTAGCCATACTACGTGTTAATGGGGGAATATACTCTCGAGGAATCAAGAACGTTGACAGGTTAAAAAGATCATTGAATACCTTATAACGGTCACTATAGATTGCAAGTTACAGGATAAGTAATAATCTTGAAAAAGCTTAAGTAATTATTACATTATGCTTAATTTGGCAACACTAGCTACTATACCTGACAGTTGATCTTAAGTACTGATAGCCAGAAGAACCGCCTGTGCCAGCCTTACTTCCGATCATTCGCTGAACCAATAGTACATGATTATCTGTGTTATATCAATGTGATAGAAAGTAAACATGATTAAACTGCTATCTTTAAGCATGTTCATTATTATCAAATTTTAAATACGAAAAAAAGATTTTCATACTATAATAACAGAAATTACAAAAATTTCTCAAGACATACATCGCCATTTTGTTAATAGTGATTCTAGATCCATTAACAGTTGTAAAAACTGATATGGCTGGCTAAATCGCGGAACGTCACTATGTAATAATTCAATATTTGATAACAATAAAGATGTAAGTATAATTGATTTAACCTTTTTCACGTTTTATCATCAATGTTAACTCATTAAATGGATCACAGCGACAGCAAAGTTAAAGATTTCAGAGAGAAATTTCAATTACGAAATTATTTAGGAATTTTAGGCATTTACGAGTACATTGTTTTCGTATTGAAAAGTAAGAATACGTACCTGTAAAGCGATATCATCAGTGCACCCTGCATTGCTTTATAAGATAACCGGCGAACACCTACAAATTAAAAAACTTAGTTGCAGTATTTCTATGATGAAGTAATTCGGCTTGTAAGAGCACAATTCTTGGCATCGACACGATTATCAGATGTAAGATAACAGAAAAAAGATCATTAGATGAAATAAGAACACAGCTTAATACCTTGATTTACAAGTTCTTCATGCTTCTCTCTTACAAGAATAGATTCGAATGTGTCCTGTTCAATTAATCAGAAATAGCATTTATTAAATATGTGACAATTGTGGTCAATAAATAGGTCGAATTTAATTGTAGCCATTTATACGCACAAACAGCTTTTCTCTTTCTCTCAGCAGCTCCTCCTTCGATGACTGATCGGTTGATTTCTATTATACAAGAATAGAAATCAACATGATATGAACAATTTATGCTCTAGTCGAAAATTATTTTGGAATAGTCCAAATCAAAGATAGCATTTTAACTTCAAAAGAAAGTGAATTGAGTCCAATATCTCAATACCTTCGTCTGTTGTTCTAAACTATTTAGAAAATCGGTAACCGCGAAAGCAAACCTACGCCAAAAATTAAAACCATTTTCTTCCAGACCAGGTGTACGAGAAAGCCAATGCTATTTACAATTAGTAAGAATTGAATTATAGGGCTATATAAGGCAAGGCAACGCATAAGATTCATTGATACATAAGTTTATCAAGTATTCAACTGTACGAAAGATTCATCATGGCTTCATAATTGCCATAAGCATACAGCCCTTATATTTTTTTTGGAGGAACAGGAGATAATTATATATCGAATGCTTGATAGTTTACATCAGCTATTAGATTCTTACATCCACTAATTGCAGCACGGTCGGCTTATTTTCTGATTTTTCCACCTCTTTACGATGGTCTCCTTCGAATACCTCCCTTAATTTAAAAATATGGTCGTTATCAGGATATATTTTTACGGTTTGCATATTCATAAATAGATTTGATTTAAATCTACCCTAAGACTAACTTACTTGTAATCTACTCCAGCGTATTGAATTCTGTTATCCTAAAAATCGAGGCAGACGGAAATGTTTCAGCGATATGAAAAAAATTTTCTGATACTTAAAACAGCAACTCAGATGAACACTTTAGGTATAAAATTTCACAATAACTGTATCAATTTCAGCAGCTGAGTAATGATAGCATTATTAGCGAATCAACGTAATTGATAATAATCAATGATTCTACTAGTTACTATTTTATTGGAAGGCAAGTATTAACAGATCATTGTGTACTGTTACCTTTTTAATTCCTAATTTATTTTCTAGTAATCGAAACTGTACACTTTGGAATCCCGATGAAGTACCTAGGTAATCTCTGTATAAAAAATGAAATTTTCAAAACTAAACGCTCAATGAATTTTCTGTTTAACATCGATTATTCCTGTCTCTCGTTTAGCTTTTGTAGCTTTACTTTGAGAACAATTATACTCACAACACAAATATTAAAAACCAATAAATTTATTCACAAAATTAACGAATTTTTGAAGGTTAGGGGAATAATTTTAATAGTCAAAAATACGCGCATGTCCCCGACTACTGGATTTGCTGTTCAATCAGTAAAATCATGCACAATAAAAGAATAAAAAAATGCTGCCAAATCAGTAAGTACAAGGTAACTGACAGAGTCGATCACATTATCAGTTATATCAACATTTTAACTTTGTGTCCATTCAACTATTCATACCTTAGTATAAAGAGATACACTATTTTATCAATATTGTATCAGGTTCAAATAAAAATAGCGGTTATACTATATTCTATTTCAATCATAGAAAGTAATGATAAAAAATTAAAAACGTTTACGAATAGTTTTACCGAAAAGCCCTGAAGTCCAGCGGTGACATAGTTTCTAAAACCATGACTTGATCAACCATAAGCTTATAGGATAAAAATTTTATAAGAACTAGTGTTAAACAAATTACTGTAATAGTATTGAAAATCACAAACGATATCGTTAATATTTAAATTATACATTTCCATTAATTTTATTCGATATGTATCACGCATTCCAAAATACCTGCAGGATTCTAACAATTCTGTTGAGTCTCATGATGATTACTAACATGTTGTTTTCATTCACGTACTAGTAATTATGTTATATCATTTTATAAATAAAAAAATGGTTAGATGAAATTTTTCATAATCAATAAAATGAAGTTACTTCTAAATTATATTATTGGTCAAATTTACAATTACAGTACTTTTTTAGAAGTGATACTATAGCAAAAGTATCAATCAAACATACTTGATCTGCAAAACTTTGGCTTTAATTATTAATGAAGAGTATTGAATTTTTATTACGTATTAAAAAAGAGAAGCTACGCATATGTTGCCGATTTATAGAAATAAAGTACAATTGTAGAAAGTACACAAATTAAAACATTATTACTATCGGAGTTGAGTTTGTATATTGCATATAAATTAAGAATATAGTACGCATGATTTGATCTGCTATTATACAAGTTCATAACAATATCAGCTTGACTTTCATTTACCTCGATATTTAGCAATTCACAGACTGAATCCAATTCATATAAAATTTGTCTGAACCATAATTCATAAACTAGTACATCAGAGATAGATAAGGCATCTATTAATTAAACTGTTTGTACTAAAACATAACGACGTAATTGTAACGATACAGAGATAGTACATTTTTAATGAACCAAGTAGCAAATGCAGAAGATGGTAAAATTTAATAAGCATATATAGATATTGAAAATGTACAGTATACTATACAAGTACAAGGTTTTCTCTAACCTTGATGGACAACAATGAACAGATGCTCATCATGAATTGGAGATAGTGGCTCTTGAATTTCAAGTAATTTATCCACCTATAATGGCAAAGCCAGAACATTTCATAATTCAATCAGCACTTTTAAAATACACTAAATCAAAAATTTTTCATAAGTTGCGTTAAAATTTATTCATTGCAAGTATCTTTATTTATTGCTTGTAATACATTGTTACTCTATCAGTACTTCTATGATCTCAAATACATAATTGGATACATTACTTCATTTTTTGGTATAAGCTCTAAGTATTTAAAGCTAAAAATGATTCTTTTGCAGTATACAACAGATCAATTTTTGATTACCTGTAGATAGTTGGTGTAAGTGATTGACTTCTTCTTCATATGTCGCCTAATTGGCTGCTCCTCTTCGTCATCTTTTACGTCTTGCTTGCTTGTTGTTACTTAAAATAAAATAAACAATTACTTTGATAAATCGTTGATGAATCAGCTAATCATTTTATTCACTACTCAACATATGACCAAGTTTATATCCTATAAAGCTTGCTTTCAATGTCAAAGCTAGTAACGCTGTGACTCAACATACTGTATTGTCTATGATTACTTCTCTACGCAATTGCGTAGAGTCCATTATACGCATATACCTTACACGCTAAAAAATAGTATTAAGTAAAGTACAGCCATCTGAATCACTTTGAAATGTATCACTATGGTCAAATAGCAATACATAGAGTGATTGATAGAGTAAATCAAATTACCTTTAAGTCTATTTATTAGCAACTCCAAATTAGAAGCTGCAGGAGAACCCTATAATGTACATTTGCAAGAGAAACATAGCAATGGTATAGGATTAGTCAATTTAACTTGAGTGATCATTTAATTATTGCTATTCTATCAATATACGCATATATCCAATATTGTTAGTGAAAGAAGTGTCGTAGATTCATTACATCCAGTCTACTCGTATAAGTACAAAAGAACACAACGATTGGATCTATTATTACACCCAATCATACAGTCTCTCACTCAGACATTTCTGCAGCTAGCATGGGTCGTAATAAGGCATGGTCAACAATAAAACGTTGCAGCTACCTTTTTTTCTACTGTTGATTCAACTCCTGCAACGAAAACTATATTATCCGTCATCTACAGATTTTATTACATACTTTTCTGACCATGCATTGATCATTACTAAATGTGAGAATTAATCAACGACTGTCAGTCTTCGCAAACTACAGAGTAATCGAATGGTTAGGACGCAACTAGCCACCGATGCCATACCGCAGATTACGAAATAATATCACAGTATGCTGTGTCCATACTATGTGTACAATAGGGTATATGCGTGGTCAATTCAAATTTGATAAATAAATATAAATTTATTTACAGTATTTTAAATTGGATATTACTGTAATATCCTATGACTCTGAATAAGTGCAATTAACTAATTGTCAATAAATAAAATCGATAGAAATCATCTTTTATCGGTTACAACCTGTCCTAGTGCGGGATAAAACAGTTTACTCAACTTGGTAAGAGAGTGGCGTGCGCATATTGGGTATTGCTCGTTTTTCTCAACTAAATAAATAAACCAATAACGGAGGCTGCTATATGCCAAATATTATGAAAATCAATAACAACATGGTGCAAATTTTACAAGCACCAGGAAGGTTGATTTGTTAAGAATGCTGTAATGACGAAATTGTACATATCCATCCTATCACAAGCTCGAAATAGCGTAGCAGGTGGCCAGGTTACTAAATAGCACTAATTAATTATTGCAATAATAAAATAGAGTCTGTAAATGCTTCAGGAATTGGCATTTGCTTTGACTGCAATTTAATGTACTCTCTGAATTATGCTGTAAACTTCTCAATTGCAAACTAGTGCTACCTAATTTCAGGATCTCTACTGTACAGTGCAGTACAATAGACTCACGCCTTGAGAAAAATTTTTCAGTTTGATATTGTCGATTGATTAATTGATTATCATTATGTAACATACGGTATGATTAATTTGATCGATAATTATATCACAAAGGACAGATCTAGCAGCACAGCGATGTGTCATTAATTGATTGTAACTACTAATGCAATGATATCTTTGAGATTTAAAGTGCTGTCATGTAATGTAGCGTGGGCAAATATTGTTACCGTGCCCATGATCCAACACCTTCGTTATAGGTGATAATTTGTTCTTACGAAACGAAAAAAGTATCAAATTGCGATGGGCGATAGAAGGAGATAACCGTTGGTTAAGTTAAGCCTCCAATTGAAAATTGATAGTTAAACACCTGTTGCTGTGTGTTCGATCTCCAGCCGAATGTTTTATATGGATGAAATGAAATAGTTTACACTGCCATGGCAGTAATTAAATTGAAGAAACAATTCTAGCAATGCAAAAACTGTCCTAACTTAAGTTACTTTACTCATGAACACATACTATACGATCGGGAATGCTGAACTTCACAACCCTTTCAGTTGCTGTAGAGGAGTTTAATAGTAAAATTTGTACAACTAAGGCAATGTTGCAAAAAATAAATTGAACTTTCCATTAATATAACCTGTATTGATTATAGTGTATTGAATAGGTAGAACACTAGCTTGGTTAAACGGATTGAAAGTCACAATACCCTTTTCTTCCCATTTAAACCAATTCACCGATGATTAGAATGAGTTCTGCGTGATGTATTTTCCTCTTGTTTTGAAGCTACGATTCAATTCTAATCCTACGGTAGTTTGTGTTGTGTTGCACGCATTTACTGAAGGAAATCACACACATACACCTATGCTAGTGAGGATAGTATCATGTTCTCGTTCAGTGCGAATAAACTACTGTACTCAACGACTATAGCTGTATATCAAAATTGGAATCTATTTGACACTGTGCTGGTAGTAGCTAGAAGTAGACCCTCAGCAAAAACGAAGATGATTTTAATTAGTCTAATGACATCAGTAATTATGTATGGTGAGGCTGCTAAGACAATTTTTAGCCTTCAAGAAAGTGAGCTTGTCCATTTTCGATTACAATCTTGTGCAAAAAATGTCTAATTAGTCAATACTCGTTGTGTTGAAGTAGCTTACCACTGGATGTAATTCCTGGTTACTGTTGACTGCTATCTCGGCAGTGGCTTGATTGCCTTCAATTTCACTTTTAGTTGTAAAAATAAAAAATGAAAGAGTAAGCATTCATCACCAGCAATGACAGCATTCTCCTTCGTGAAGTCTATCCACTACGGCATAACCTATTAGGGATGAAACACGCTAATCCATTACCTCATGATTCTTCTTTGGGTAATTTTAGTGCTGTCGTTGTAGTTGAGAAGATGGAAGCAATGTTTACAGAATACTACAGCAAGCTACCTCAGGAGATACGTGGACAGAATGCAAAAGTACAATTTTCCACGACGATATCAAAGTCAATCACGTCTACAATCGATACTGTCAACGAATCTGCAAGGGGTAAATTAGTTCAAAGGAAAGGCTGCTGCCTACTTTAGCAGTGATAATTCTTCTTCTTGTAACAATATACAAATAATCTCCTTCTTGGAATGGATTCCCTTGCCAACCACTAGACTGTCGTTGTATAACTTCGATTTTCTTCCTCCCACGGAATGCAAAACAGCAGTCTGCTGTTGACGTGTAAAATACGGTAGGTTGAAGAATGTACTGTAGTGGATTGTACTGTAGGGATAGTATTTCAAAAGGGATGGCCATCCTAGTCGTTACTGGTTAGTATAGATAGAGTGACAACCTTTTAATTATAACAACTTTGAGGGGCAGTACAAAAGTGCTGGTATGGCCCGGCGCGTTTAGCCGTTTGCCTGCCAGACATTAGCCATGTACTGTATCAGCACACACCCATTTTACATCCATGGCGTGGGATAAAACTGAAAGGAAAGAGCAATGACAGACATGGAAGAAATGTCGGCCAACACCCTTGAAGAAGTCCTCGACAGCACGTTATAAAATGGAAGAGAGGGACAGGAAAGAGCGAGTGATGAAATAATCACTTCGTAAACGTTCAACTTGACCTATTGTAACACTGCCCTGGATGATTCTGATAGACTCGATCGATGGATGCCAATTGTACGATTAAAATAGTAATTGATATTTTGTTGACGTTGTACATCTTGCCGTGTATCTCCTCTACCTTTTCCCATAACACAGGACACTTTTTTCATTTCAACTCGACGTAGGCAACCGTACACTATAATGACTATACCCTCCATAAATGTAACCGCAATAAGTTACCTCAATATTATTAATCAGTTTGATGAATTTGTGGAAACATGCAAAAATCGAGGCAGCTTTTGTTTTCCAGTTCCTGCATTCTTTCTGAATTATGTTAATCGATGTTATACAGTAATACACGTGTACTGTATATTGTTCAATATACAATATGGTATTATACTGTACTATTAATGGTTAATTAACGTAGTACTGTATAGGTGTACTTTAGCGCTTTACTCTTCTCATACTCGCATAGGTCAGATTTTCTACTACATCCACATGATTTGTAGTACGCGCAAAAGACTTTCTGGTACACACACAGTCACATGATTATTATCGAGGTGTGGCGAGCTTTCGAAAATATTTGAAAATATTCAACACGGCATAGAAGCTATTGCCTATGCAATTAAACGAAAATGTTAGGAAATTAAGTTTCAAATTTCAAGGGAAAAGGTTGGAAAGTCTCCAAGACTTTCCAACCACGCTGTACGGTACAGTACTGTACGTGTTGCCTTAAATGATGCCTTTCAATTTTGAAGAAATGTTCTCTAAATTTAGCTCAGTGAAAGCTTGAGCAATTAGCTCTGGATATTTTGATTGCCGTATTAAATAATTTTATTTCTGTCAAGTTTCCAATACAAACTTGTTGTGCATTAGTGGAAACTGCAAGACTAATGCTTGAAGTTGGGAAATGCGCTAATGCAATTATCTCACCAAAGACTACCGTATGGATCATAAGCGTACAGATTGTACAGTATACGGTACAATGGCATCTCAATATGTAAAGTTAAGTTAGAAGTATAATGTGCCCACATGTATCCTAGATAATACTGTAGTGCACAATACTTTGCGTACATTAGGAAGTTGTCGAGGAGTGATTTAGCTCCTGTCGATGGTATACAAAGTGTACAGATGTCGACGAAACTAGTCAGCACATGATGATACCGTCAACTGTACACTACTTGCAGACTCTTCACGGAAGGACAAGATTAGGAGCTTGCCATTCTTAATAAAGGGAAATATTTTCATTACACATGCGTATTTGCCTATCGTTTGAGATTAGGGTTTTGCGCATCTTTAGCGTCTGACCGAGAATTTACAGCTATTAGAGGCATGCTAATACGATACTAAGCTTGAACCTAGCGTAATCGTCCAAGCTATTATACAAGTACAGACTACAAAATGATCAGTCGCTGTTGCATGTACGGTCGAGTCGGTCTAACCCTTATAAAAATCACGTCGAAATACTGGTCTAATAAAAAAGATCCTTATTCCAGGAGCGTAGTGATCTCTCTTTACTGTACAGGACTGTACTGGTTGAAAGCTATTTCGCTAGGGCGTAGCCTTTCATTACAGTCGATCTTGCAAATTTTCAAGGCATCGATATTAAATTTGGCTCAGATTCCACATAAACAGATTATTAAAACCTGGAGTCATAAACTCTTAATGTTTCTATTCATTTGGACTACAGTATTAACTTATTTCATTACTTCGGAAATTCTAATACAAACCAACAGTCACTGGTATACAGTATGGACAGTCCGTTCAACCAGTACGCAAGTCACGCCGTAACAGCGGTCTGTACATACAAACACTTCGGGTAAATCAGTAACCATAGAGATGAAGGAAAGGAAAGATGATCGTCCCCTGTAGAAGTTTTATTTTCTTCTTCATTTCTGGAGATGATCGTTGTTTTCATTGGGGCAGTACTCTTTCCTTTGAGTAATCGTGCTATTATTACGTGAGCATATGGATTACAAATTGACGTAAAATTGCGTTGGCTGAGGTGGACCACCCTACCAAATAAAGTTTTGCAATATGTAAGAATGTGTCTGCTCGGTGTAGTGTAACATGCCAAACTACATTGTAGACATTGAACGTAAATATACTCCAAACTTTCTGAAATTTGATTTGCTAGTTCAACAATGACGAGTCTCTTGTTCTCAGGGTCTTGCAAACTATACCATAGAAATTAGACAAATGATTACTTTTCTGAACTGCTCCATGACAACAGTACTATGCGCTGCAGTACTTTATGGGATTGACTGACCGACGTCCACCTAAGTATACAGGACTGTATATATATACAGTGAATGTATAGCAATACAATGACGGGCATTGACAGTGCTGTACCTCTGTGTATCAGTCTCTAGCCTCACATGAGCTAATGAATAATTTCTACTTTTCCAGCTGGTTATTGCAACAAAAAAAATCTCATCCTCGCCGAGTAAAGTAACAGCTAACTTTTCTGCTCTTGTTTTACACAAAACGTTGACAAGTTTTAGTGCTAACAATCTATCAAATGAATACATAAATCACAATGAGTAAAGCTAAGAATTCAAAATATCCTCCTCCTGGAATATGGTATTGGGTATGGGCTGTGTGGGGCTTCTTTAAGACAATCTATATCTGCATCTATTGGCATGCTTTTTATCCTAAAGTTGCGGCTATTAACCGTGTCAAACTGTTGGAAAAGTACAAGCAAGAAACGAAACTTGTCAACACCACCACATGGGATTTTATCAAATTTTTATTCTTTGATATCGATAACTTAGTCGGTACTTCCTTTGAGCCTTTCAATCCAGGAAGAATAAAAGTCGGTCAAGTAGCCCCGGCAGGTAGACTCTACACATTGGAAAATAAAGAAACTGATATACAACAAATTGTCAGCCAATGTACTAAAAATATCCAAGTGCTCAACTTTGGCTCGTATACCTGACCTCCGTTTCGCTACAATACCGAACACTATATGGAATTAGCAAAGAAATATGGTGATCGGGCGAATTTTTTAACTGTATACATTGCCGAAGCCCACCCATCGGACGGTTGGGCGTTAGACTTGTCTAACGATTCTATAGGCGTATGTTATCGTGCACCCAGAAAAGTCGAAGACAGGATATACATTGCCAAGGAGTTTATTAAAAATTATAACTATCCTGTGCCTTTATATGTCGACAGCATCACAGATGATACTTTGAAGACCTACTCATCCATGCCAGAAAGGTTATACATAATTAAGGATGGCAAAGTAGCCTATAAGGGGGGTCCAGGTCCATACTGCTACAGCTTAGAAGAAATGGAAGAGCACCTTCTAAAATTGTTTTAACGCTGGATAGCGATTGCCTAATGTGATGATGTCAAGCGTAAAGGGTAGAAATAGCATTATTAAATGCAACGAAGATTGCATGCAACTTCGAATCATCTGGCAGGTGATTCAATTGGAATACTTTTGCTCCGAAAAACTTATCAAGAAATACGTAATAAACGTATTACATAAAAAACTGATATTGCCCTATTGTATAAGTGTATGTATACAGTACTAAAGAGAACAATCTTTAAATACGTAGGATTTACTGTAATAGTTCTGGTAATCAAAAAGTTGATAAATACGAGTATAAAGCTTAGGATGAACTTTTTAGACTGATAGTTGTAATACAAGTCACAGTGAACTTGTAATAATTAAATTATAGGCTATATCATGTTCTATTTTTATATCACCATGTTTCAGTATCTTAAATTGTAATCTTGTGTTTATATTTCCACTAATTTATTACTGATAATTAATATATGCAGATTTACACATATGTATCAAAGGGCGTTTTAATGAAGCTATCTACCTCACAAACCGATCATCTCTCGGAGGGTAATAGCAGATGTAGTTTTTTGATAAATATTGCATCTTCATGATATTATTATCAATAATTAGATACGTGGAAGATTCGTAAACTCTCATGAAAGCATGAAAGCCTATCTATCTTTAATTTATTTATATATATATATATACATACAAATTTTAGATAATTAGTTGATAGGATCGGATACTGATAGCTTAAGAAGATTCGCAAGTATTCATCAAATGACCTTTCTCGGTGTATGATGCTGTCTATCTCATAACCGATCACTTTCCGGAGAGTAACAGCTGATGTAGTTTTGATAGATAGTAAAATCTTCACGACTTAATGATCTTATCAATTAATTATACTATTGCATATACTCGTATAAAAGATTCATAAATTTCCTTGTTTGAAAAATCTATCTGTATGCTATGCTATATTATTTTTCTCTATTAATACTGACGTCATGTAGAGTAGTAAATCAGTTAATTAATTAATTAAAGGCATGCATTCTCAATTCTCAGTTAACTACGCGACGACAGTAATTCCGTACAGAGTAGCCCTACTGCACAATGACAGTTATACTATTAAGCTGGTGTATAGTATACTGTACAACGTATTGTATGGCCTTCAGACAAACCCTATCAATACGTGAGATATCGAATTTTTTGCACGAGCAGCAGCAGCACTAAATGCATATGCAAAGATATTTATCAATTGCATTACTGATCAGATCAGATTAGAACTATATTATGCACCTATAAGCGTCGATTTCATCCTAGACTTGCCCGGTCAGCAATATTTAGGCACCGTAACGATATTTATACACAGAGCTTTTACAAGTGTGTGCGAAATTGTACACTAGCATCCAGTAAACTCCATGACATCGCATCTGACATTCTACGCGTTCTTGACGAATTCAGTGAGAGATTTCTCAGTGTGCTGTACAGCACTCGAATCTACTGCAACGTATTACAATTTCAGCCAAGAGTCTTGAAAATTTCCACATTGATGCAAAAACGATTTAATTGGATTTGAAAGCATAACTGATTACATACAATATGTGATATAGTATTATTGCATTTATTACAGAAAATATGAAATTTTCGAGCCACTTATGTACCGTAAAAAATAAATATAGTTGTACTTGCCAAACAAGCAGAAGAGTGTACGTGCAGTAGAATAGGAATTGAAATATGGTACTGCAATGTAGTAATTGAGCTCAAATAATACCTAGCTAGCAATTATAATTCAATGATGGAATGACGTTAGCCCAATACCGGTATAAGCTGCAGGCAAATAGTGACCTTCGGTTAATTGCTCGACATCCTTTTCATTTTATCGGCGAACCTATTAGCTAGCATCAAATTGGAATCTATGTAACGTTCAACGCAATTCATTAGGCAATTTTCAGTTTTAGAATCGAGTTTGGCAGAGGGTTTGTCTATGCAGGCATCCCAGCAAAGATCGGTAAAACTATGTATTTGACTTTGAAATCGCGCTTTGGCTTGCTCTACTTCTAAAGCCCTACGAATTTCAGGATCAAGACCTTCAGCGTCAGCCCCACCGAATGACATATTGGTTTATTGTAACTAAAGTTTGAAAGGAAAATTGCCTAAATTTTTCAGGAACCAAATTCACCTACAGCATGAGATACAAATCCTAAAGTTACTTATTTTACTCATGTAATAAATATTCGTATAGTTTCGAAAATAAAAGGCAGCACTTGTGAGCAAATAGCCATTAAGCTATGTCTCGTTACGAGGAAAACCAAGGGCTAGTCGTAAAGCGACTCAGCATGTAATCTGCTCCTAGCGAGAGAAAGCTACATAAAATGATTATAACAACTGCCGGTAATACAGGAATCTAAGCGTCTGTAATGCGCTACAGTATTAGTCCAATTCATTTTTAATTTAAATTTTATTTTAGTAATGGTTATTATCATAACTAAATTTAAAAACTTTTTGTAGCAAACTGGCATCTGCTGCATAACTACACACACTGTTAATCATCAACTTTAAGCTCAATCCATTACCTATCCTGTATTTGTATACTTTCTACATACACTACTTATTAATTTCCATACAAATATTAAACTGATTAAATCGTATTTCACTTTATAGCTACTTTTAACTGCGAAAATGGATTCCAAGTCAACCCAAACGAGGAAATGCAGCAACTGAATGGTACGTACGATACCACACTTAAACGTCAGAAGTGCAAGTAAAAAGATGGGATTCAGAGATGGCTTAAATCGAGTTGCACAGGCTACGAAGCAAAGCCATACAATCTACTACATACCAAGACACAATAACTTCGTTGATTGTCGTCAGGATTGGATTACAGTAGTTAGTTTTCAAGTTCTGTCCTAAAATCGCTGTCCTAAGGCAGCACAGCAGAGGCACGTTGAAGAAGGAACTATCCTCTATGCTGGAGCTGTAGAGCACAATTATCACGTGGCTCCGATACTGACTGCGCAAGCCTAAACTGGATACAAAAGCAGAAGTCTAATGATGGTACCAGTACTGTACTGACATCGCCGACATGCGCATACTCACGAAGAGCTGAAATTTGTATCACGGTCAAGTACTGAGCCATCAACGCTGCAAAGCGACCAAACCGACTGCTAGGTCAAGCTCCATTTAGCTGGAATCTTGGACGTAAATTATTTATATTTTCCGATTGATGGAATACAATCAAGCTGTGACATTCTAGTCCTCGATTGGGGAGATGCTGATGCCAAGGTTATCCTTTGTACTAATCTCATGCAATGTCGCTCGATGAGGATTTTACACCGCCCTTTCGATCGGTTTTTAAATATTACAAACGTCGTCAACCACCACCTGATTTGTCAGCTGTAATTGATTTCCACTCTACAAAATCACATCTATCCAATCCGTCTGTTAGGGTTAACGTAAGTAATAGAGTCGTTTATGACGTGATCTAGATCAGGGTCAGTTTGCATATTTTGCAGCTTAGCTTGAAATACAAATGCAATAATGAATCAATGGTACCAATCCGTTCAACCATGGGACTGATATTTATTTGTTTTATTGACTGTTAGGAATACCCACTGCCTGTACCAAATGCAGCAACAGACGCTCAATGCAGGAATGTTGGGCTCAAACCTATTACTCAGTGGCAATGCTATACCATCGAGAAGTTTCCAGGTTGATCACTTCTTATATTAATATCGACTGATTTCTACGATACTAATTCGGTACTCATACATTGGAATTGTAAAGTATACGAGCGTGTTACAGTTTTTACAGGTAGCAAAGTGTATGTTAACAATACTATGGCATAGAGCAAATACGCGTCCGTATAGTATAGAAAATGATTGCTATAGTTGATAAAGTTGATACAATTATTCACTATTAGCAGGTGTGCTAGAATGCTATAGTGATCATGGACGAGCAGTTTGAAGAATAATATTGCTTTATCGCCAACATTAATTTTTATTCTACAGTGCATTAGTATACGAAGCATCGAACGCGAATTCGAATGATATAAGAATGAATTCTGTACGCCCCAAATGAAGAAGACATTAAAGATATTCATTAAGAAGTTTCGTATAGTTTTGTAAATCAGGATTACTGTTGTTATGGCTTAACGTTACGGCCAGTTATTAATCGAATCCAAATCTGGCACTCTATATCGAAATTAACCTTAAATAGGAGTACCCCAAATTTGTAAACAGCTATATGAATCACATCATACACATTGGTACAGGTAGCTTGAAAAATCCCCATCACCCACCCACCTATTAAAAAGACACTGTAGACTTCTATACCTTTAGCCAATTATTACTCCACTTATTGGCAGCAAAATTCTCTATAGGTATGGCCATGTTGTAAGTACATACGTTACTCGCACCTAGAATGCTAAGTTGACACTACGCATTACCACAAAGTATGACTTACCGGGATATTACTGTATGCAACGCAAATTACAGCACAACCTAAAGTTCGCATAATACTAGATTTAGATTCTAAAATCTATGTCTCGTCCTTTCCTTGCTATGATACGCCAAGCTACTATCGTAATTATGATACGTATTTTTAAAGTGATTGATTCTATTACAATGTAATGTTTGTTAAGTCTGTCTTACAGATAGGACTGTAATCAATGTTGCTCGGTATATGTCCATAATAAAGCTACTTACACGTATAACTTAATAACAAAAAACCAAGATGAAGCTATTTATCATAGAATCTAAAATTTTACTAGCTTGAGATGACAGAAGTTTCGCATATAAAACGATTTTGGAACTTACAGTTGATTACAAATGCCACGAGATAATTCTAATCTAGGCTTATTACGCAGCTTTTCATAAAATAAAATTAAAAAACTAGCCTACAAAATTAAATGCTGAGTCAGACAATGCAATAGCTAAAAAGACTATAAAATTGTTACCATAGTTTGAAATATTTCGTTCTTGTAACTATTATAATTATCTATCGAATAGGATTTATATATATACGCAATCCTTTCCTAAATTGCGGACAGCGTTATTGGATTAAACGTTGCTTAAAAAATTTTCATACCTATCCAAGTAAGACAAATTTAGATGCCCAGTATTCGTTTGGTGTAGATGAGAACTTGTGGAATATTAGCCATTATTGCTGGTATGTAAAATAGAAGATAGTCATGTGTCCTTTATGCTTTCTCATTTGCCTCTGTTACATATCATGGCTTTTCGTCTCTTGTTTCAATTCTAAGGCAGATTAAATAGAAGTAATTATAATTATTATTGAAGAGATGATCTCGAAAGTTCAATGTTGCCTTTTGCCTTTTTACAACAGTGGTAACAGTACTAAAGGCAAGGAGGTCGTAACTAAACATAGAAATGACTTAATGGATAAGTTAAGATGGACAACCTTAGGATATCATTATGACTGGAGTACAAAAGTAAGTTAAATGTTTATCTTGGATCTGTAATGTTATCGGCTATATTCACTTACGATTTGTTTCATAAGTATATCATACCGTTACACCCGTTCCTTCTTTCTAATCGCTTAGGAATACTATCACAACAGAAAGAGTGAATTTCCAACAGATCTTGCTGAACTTACCAAATTACTAGCAGCAACTGTAGGGTTTCCTTTGTGCGTTGATATATTATTATTATTACTATATAATTTTTTCACCTTATCTCATTTGCAATTATTAGAAATAATAATTAATCAATCTGATATCATTTTGTCATTTCACTGAGCTTTGGGGTTTTTTGACTATAAATTAAATTTACTATATATAGATTTTCTCCTGAAGCTGCAATTATAAATTACTACAAGCTTGATTCTACTCTAAGCGGCCATACCGATCACTCCGAATTTGATTTTACTGCCCCTCTATTTTCTATCAGGTAAGATATTCTACATTTTATTCATAACTTGTTATAGTTATCTATGCTAATGGCTAACTAACTCACTATCTGAACAGCCACTATTTTTAATACTAGTGTAAGTATTTATATGTATAATATCTTCAATATGTCACATAGTTTTGGACAAAAAGCAATCTTTCTTTTGGGTGGTCGGACAACTTCGGTGACTCCCGTTGCTATGTATATTGAAAGTGGTGATATCTGCATTATGTCAGGGGAATCGCGATTAGCTTATCATGCTGTGCCTAGAATTATTTTAGAAGAGAGAAATTCTTGCAGTAACCTACAGGATAGTTTACAGTGCGAATGTGGACATACAATTAATTATTTTGATTACCCTTGTTGCGAAGATTGCCGATTACAAAATGTATTGAAAAATTCAGACTATAGTAATGTAGTTGCAAGCGATCAATTGATGGAAATTAATAGCTCAGATGCAACCAGCACAATTTTATCAGACAGAATAGACAATTATACCTCACCTGTGTTAAGTTTAAATCATGATTGTAACAGTTTACAAACTTTGTGGACGTCATTCAACAATTACCTATTGGGTGGACGTATTAACATGAACGTTCGACAAGTACTACCAGTGAATGGCAAATTTCCTATTAAAGTAGCCTCATTACCGCAAGTGTGACACTCTCCTGGAAGTAAATAATGACATACAGTATTTCAGCAGTTGGTTCTACTTTGATGCATTATCGATCCATTATGGAAGAATCCGAATGCTGCATGGTAACTAGCCCAAATCAAGATAACTATTACATTAGTAGCTTTAAACAAATATAGAAACTGTGTTGATACAAATCCACTGAATAATATCCTTACATTGAAGAATAATCTTGCCATGGGTATTACATTTAATGTTAACATCATGTGGCATATTAACTTAAATATCAATTATAATTATTGTTTATACGAAATATGAAGACTATTTGACTAGTATCAAATGCAAGATGTTGAAAGATTCCATATAGTAATGCACTGTATCCTGATAATATATATTTATATATATAATTAGCTAATAGAAAGAGACTATCAATGTATCGGCCATTGCATACTGGCCCAATTTTTAACGTTTGATTTTTAAGTTTACTGCTCTACTGTTGTGAAGACTGGGGATTAAGATATTGAAATCGATTTTTAGTTCTGTCTATCGTACTTATTAATTACTGAGTAACATGGGTCATATTGTATACATTTTACCAAACTGCTATTAGAATATAGTTTCATGCATGAGGCAAATTTTTAGATTGGCTTACTGATCGAAGTTTAATATATTTGATTCATTTTTGATGATAACAGTATATATCAATTTTTATCAGCCGTTACGATGGCTTTCTTGAAATGTATAATGTGCAATTTTACCAGAATTTTACTCTTAATATAGACTTTATAATAAGATTTTTGATGCGTATGGAAACATAACTATCTTCCTTCGCAGATTAGTATGAATTTAGGAATCGAATTGATTAGTCGATTATTTTATTATAATGGGTATTAACATGCTGTACTATTGTGATATTACCATTACTTAAGATATTTGTATCCTCAATTTAATTTGGTAAATATAATATTTATTCCAAATTTCATTATATTTTGATAGCCAATATATCTAATACTATTTTGACTATCCGTCAATCAGTATCTGTAATAGTGTCATTGCTTAATACGTTACACCCTTAATTTATTTAATAAATATATCATCTGTTACATAAAAAATTTAAGATATTCTGATAGCTAGTTAATTTTTGCAGCATTATTCATATTCACTAATACGTAATTTAAATCACTCAATCAATTTCATTCAATAATCTGGAAATTGGAATTAAACGATTTACTTCCATAGTGTCTTAAAAATATCAAAACCAAGTAGTTTATTGATTAATATCGTATTATACATATATACTTGCATACATAGTGTTCATTCGCGGGATTGCCATATCTATTCGTAGATACAGTATATGAGAGTAGCTATCGCTATCCCGAGATGCCCCAGCAATCTTAGCAATTGCAGCCAGGCAATAAGCACGAAATACTTGGATGAGAGCAAGAACGGATTTAACGATATCTAAATGCCTTTTATTTGAGTTTCCTGTATAAAAAAGTTGATCTAAGGCTAAAAACTGGAGATTATTATTTCATTAAGCTATCTGCCGAGCTTAAGGGAATTGATATTGGACCCCAACCCATAAATTTTTACATTATTTGGTATAAACCACATGTAAGACGGATTTTGTTTGGTCATATTATAAAGCTTAAACAGTCAATTTAGCCACCCCATAGCGTTTGTTACCTTCCTGTTTTACTTTTTATTATTCAAGAGTAGTTAGACTACCAAGATGTGTTAAAATGGACGATTCTTTTGTGCTAATCTACAGTGAAGATGTATGGATAAATGTTATGACTCACACTGGGCATTGGATACAATAATTGAAAAGATGGACAGGAATTGTTCTATTAGATACTTTTAGAGAAGTATCAAGGTTTAGCTACATTACGAGTCATATTATTTATGTTGGAGATTGGTCTGTGTGCTATTATTTTGTTTTATGGTATAGAAATATAAATGATGGCTATAATCTGTTTTTCTATATTGACTTTATTGCTATCTGCAACGATAATACTTATTCTTGGTTTACTACGGCGATTGTAAAATTTTTGTTCGATTATATTGTTATATAATTCAAAAGATCTTTATGTAGTCTACGTTTAATACTATTCCAGCTTAGGTATCGTTAAATTATTAAGGCGCTGTTGGCTAAATTATTGTAATGGGGAATGTAAGCATTTTACTTGATCATCATTATTACAGTATGCTAGCTTGAGTTAATTATTAATTGACATTGCTGACAACATTAAAGCAAAATTGACGACAGTTCTATTCGTTGTAAGATAGAAAATAAATTGTAATTTCATATAATAGATTAACAACTTACCCGCGAAAAAAATATCAATATATTAACGGCATACGCAGGAGAACAGTGATGACCTCACTAATGGCGCCATGTGAACAATATTACGGTCGTATAATACAATACTGATTGCTATCACGGTGAAGCTAGATTGTCTTTATCTTGGATTATCTATGATTAGAGGAATGAAAGAAGATAGAAATCAATGCCAAGAGAAATAAGGCTTGTATAGAATGCATATTAGATGTAGAATGAATAATAATATTCCTTTAATTTCAGTTAATGCTAGTGTCTTACCTACTACATGGATTAATTTTACGATGTCATTCACCAATTTAAGATTTTATCTGAGTAGTTGGCGATGAAATATCAATGTTCCATTGATAAAGAGACAATTCTTGTAAATGATGGCAGCTATTAGAATTTCAAATTAGAGAATCATCAAGATTTTCTTTGCACAGAGAGGGTGCCATAGTACCGTAGTCAGATAAGCAATCATCTTAAAATAATGGGTACACGATAAATATACCGCAAAAACCACTTATCGGTATATAATCAAACATGGCCGTTTTGTATTGCAATTATATTTTCCGAATGAACCAATTGGTCAAGATACAGCACTTTTACTTATTATATTGATATCTTACTTGGCAATTTTAATTAAAATGCATTGCGTAATCAAATTCGCTTACAAGATTGTACGTTAGATCTTTCGTATTCGCATTAAACAGCCTTAACTTTTTTACCTACAGTATATTAATCGAAGTAAATATTGTGTGCGGCTAGCATCTCCGTATAATTTTTAGTTAATTAGGGTGACTGCCATAGAATTTTTTGATCATAATAACCCTAGGATAAGCTGTATAATTTCTTGCGATCATTTGCGATGGTATTAGTAACTACTTTATTTTGCTATCAGTAATAGAAAAACAGTATAGGTTGCAACATCTTCACCACAAGCAAATCTAAATTTAATATTTAATAATTTAATAAATCTAAAATTTAATATTTACCTACTCCCAGCTTATTAGACCCGAATTTAGGTTGGATAGTTATATTAACTCAATCATCGGTCTATGTTCACTACAATCTATTACTAAATATTGATATTCAAATTTTTTAAAATGCAGGATGTTTAACGAATAAGTTACAGAAAAAATAGCTTATGTTACTAAATTTTAGGCTGAAATCGCTGTTAAAAGTTCTATGCGCATTTATATAACTTAATTATTCTTCACTTCAATTAAAGTTAAAATTCTAGAGAACAGCAATACAATTAAATCTGTAACTGCAACAAAATTGGGTTAAAATTCTTGGTTGATAAAAACAGCAATTATACGCAGTTCCCATTATCGGCCCTTTTAATTACATTGAAAGAATAAACTTGATTACACAAGATAGATGTAATGCGATTTAAGCATCTTTTCATTAAGTATTCTTGTTCCTTATTTATCTACAGAATCTTTAAAATAATACACGTATAATGTTTAAAATCTCGCCGTCTAAAGCATTCAATCGCTGGCGTCGTCTATGATGGAGCAAATTTATCGATATTCGTATCATGCAAGTAGAAATTACATCTTACGGATAGTCTTAATTTTAGAACGATACAGTAATATTCGCATTGAAATAAATATTATCGTTGTAATGCACTAATTTTAAACCTTCTATCTCATTCGCAATATGCTTGTTTGAAGACAAGATGTGAGTAAAAAACTAATAGCTTAATCAATGATTGAAAAGTTACACCACTTAAGCTTATGATAGGGTTGTTGTTCTATTGTACATGCATCTTCATGAGATATGCAAAGCAAAGTAAATAGTAGCCGCTAACAACACACCAAAAATGCCGTAGTTTATGAACCCATTAATCAGCTGTCGATAGCTAAAATGTAGTATACCAATATTTTAATTTCAATAATATACAATTGTAAATAATTGAAATGCGCCGTAACTATATTAAATGATATCTTAAAATACAGTATACATATACCTACTTTCTCTTCTTTGGTAGTATATATATATATATTTATGTACATACATGCATACAAATTTTTGTAATGGTAGCTTACACTACTCCGTAGAACAAAACAATTCACTTTTAGTAAATCAACTGATAAATAAGCCCATTCCTGATGCAAAATTCTATACAATGAACTGCTAAATATCTACAGTATATTAAATGTACATCTTTGATAGCTAGATATGTGAATATAAAACCTGCAAGTGAAATCGAGATGCTATGTAGCAGTGGCATGCAATGCATATATTGCCAAAGTATAACATAGCAATCATACATTTTTAGCAAAGAGATTAGTATTATCCCATTAGTAAAAGATTTAATACGTTCAAGAAAGCCGTAAAGTAATCTCACTGAAGGTAACTAATTAAACACTTTACTTTCATGGAACACCTCAGAGGTGTTACTATAATTGCACAATATTTCATGTTTCAAGTCATTAAGCTGAGGTAAAATTTCTAACAATAATCCTTTAATTGGTGTGTAACATGTTCTTAATACTTCTTCTGCATAGTCTTGTATTGCAATTACACCTAAAGTATTATAGTCATAAGAATTCATTTTGTTATTAAATGTTACTAGACACAAACCCTAAAAATGTTACAAAACCTCAAATAGAGAATTCTATAGTACGTTGAGTGTACGCTACCGTGTTTAGTCTTTGTTATACTTTTGAAATATATGGTCAATAAAATATTAATATCTTCTTTATCATCTTTTCCAAATACATCGCCAGACCATTTACGCCTAATTGGATTAAAGCAAGACATATAATATAAGCTATCGAAAGTCATCTTACATGTGAGCCATGATTTTTAACTATACTAACGTTGATTAGTTGTGTAAATTTAGATAAGCAACAATTTATTCCGATGCCAATCATCGTATGCGCTACTATAGCGGATTCATTACCTGCTATTATGTAACAATCGAAGAGCTTCCTGGAAGCTTTCCTCCACAAGACATTCCTGAATATTACTTATTGCCTTTTGTTTTACGTTAGAGGTTTCACTCCAAAAGCTACTAGGACTGCTGGTTCGATCACTAGGTTTATTCTTGACATCAATTAGACTTGTACGACACTTCTCGATATCCTCAGTAATGTTTACGATCTAGCAAATTTTTCAGGCATTAAGATAATTACGGTCTATTTTAATTAAAGTCTTATTAACAAATAATAGCATGGATACGTAAATATTATACCTTAGAGCTTTTCGAAATTGCCATGGACAATTCTCTTATATTTTTATTGTAATTTTCCAATAGTAGTATTATTGTAAAAGCTGCCTGATACAAATCTCCATATAATTGAATCCGGGATTCCTGCACTCTTTTAAGGATAACGGTTTCACATATGTCTTCTGTTGCCGTAATATCATACAATTCCTCCCATAACTTATCAGTAAGATTACAGATATTTTTACAGTAGTTGTGTAGTTCGATAATATGAAACGCGTGCTCTTGCATTAAGCCAGTTTCGGTTAAACTTTCCCAATCGGTGTAGACAAAAGGAATTTCAACCTGATACAGCAGTTGAGATACGTGACTTAATTTAACGACAATACCCTGAAACTCATCTAACTGAGTAATTTCACGGCTCTTGTCTGTCAAACGCTGATATGTGGAAATGATGCTATTAAAAGTTTTTATAAAAATCTCATGCGTACATGAGAGTTTGCTATTAATCCTTTTAGATAATACAGCCGAAGCATGAATTTGCCACATTTCAGATAGTTCTTTCATGCCTCCATCTGATGCTGATGAGCCACGTTTATATGTTTCTTCGCTTGCTATTCCAATACTTGATTCAAGACTTGACATGGAAATATGACTGCCAGCTTTATGAGTGACTAATTTGCAACTATCTTGGCTAATTTCCGTACCGCTTTCAGATAATTTTTCCATCCTATTATCACTAATAGCAACTTCAACATCACATTTTTGATCAACAACTAATTCCGGAATATCGCCAGTGTGAGGACCAGGCAAAACCGATAATTCTTCTGATTCTACTTTAAAGTTAATATCAATGCTTTTAACAGATTCTTCATCGTCAATAGTACTTTGTGATTCTTCATCTGAGGATTCGTACATTTCTTTGCAGATCGAAGCCAATTCCGATAAATCTTTACGCAGGTTGATTTCTTCTTGTGTAGTTGAAATAATTGATTCCGCTGATGGAGAGTGTAACACACTCACACTAGCCCAATTAAATAAGGGAGAATTAGCCTGTTCATTTACTTTGTATTCATCATCAAGAAAGTCGAAATCAGTTACAACACCAATCAGGCTCCTTCTGCGAAAATCTGAATTTTTATGAGTAACTTCGTCCATGATCAATCCTTCATCTGAAGAACTCTTTTCAATAGTTTGACGTCGATCGAACGCTTGCATGCTGCTGGTAGAGCTAAATACAATCGACTGATACGAATTTTTAATTAATGCTGATTTATTACCGCATGTGCTCGTTAGCAAACGTAAACAATTTCGTGTCCTATTTTGTGCGGCACACATTTTCTCAATCTCAAGTTCGTCATCTTCGTCATTTTCGGATGATATAGGGCTATGGATCAGGTTTACTGGGTACGATGTATTGCTAAATCCAATAATTTTTGTACTAGATAAATCGTAGTTAAAGCTTAAGGTAGGTCCGGGCAATTCTCTTTTTACCATTCCACCAAAAGTGTCTAATCGCCATAGTGCACGAGGTTCATTACTATCTTGTGGAGAATTGACAGAAGATTTCGCAACAACCAATCTTATTATATCTAACGCTTCCGACCAATGTGAGCCTGTTAAGGAACGGCAAATCGTGCGAATAAGTTCACCACCCCACTGCTGTACGTCTGAAGATAATATATCAATATGCTTAACATAAGACTGAAGAACTAGCAGATGTTCTCTCCGTACATTATCAGGGCAAAACTCTAGAACTTCCAGTAAAAAAGTTAATATAGTTGTTAGTAAATCGGGATAAGCGTCGTTAATATATTTGCACACAGCTGATAGCCAAACTTGACATGGTTGGGGGTACTTTTTGTCAATGTACATTTTAAGTAAAGTAGCAACGTTATTTAAATTACGACTTTTTTCACATGTTGATCCAAAACTTTGCGCACATGATATACAAAAATCATCAGGGCTATCAAAATTTTGGATTAAATAAGGTAGCACCGCAATCATACTGAGCGGTAAGGCAATACGCTGCGATGGGTCAATTATTCGATAATCGTTGTCAGGTATTAACCAACATAACAATTGTAATGTTGATGTAACAATGGACGGAATCGTTAAACCTTTCAACAATAAGGCATGTAATCCAGGATAGTTTGTCCATTCCATCTGATTTAATATGATTTCTAAATTAGCATAAAATTGTACTTTGCAAAATCGTAGCGACTTGAATAACTTATTTATGATTCTGAGTGACACAAGAAACTCGTGCTCGTAGTCTGACTCTAGCAAGCATACACAAGACCAAAAGATTCTCGCAAGTAAATCTCGAGATTCTTCGCTTAATAACAGGCTTAATTCATCTTCTGTAATCAGATTATCATCTGTATGATTATTCCCATGACGATCCGCTTTACTTTCAGAATTGCCTTTTGCTACATCATCGTAATTTACTTGTCTACTTACGTCGCCAGAAATTACATCGAAAGTTTCATCATTACAAAATTCATCAATTTTTAATTCTTCAGTAATTGATGATATTGATTCACTTCGGGAGCCAGATTTCGTATGAACATTAATAATTGAATTACCTGATATGCTGCTTGTATTTCGTTGTCGAATTTTACTTCTTTGGCTACCAGCATACATTTCCGCAGTAGAGTTTTTCCTCTTCTTCTGGAAGTTGTTAGTATCTGTTTTTAGTCGGCCTAATTTTTCATCAATAGCTTTTTTTAAGGGTGATAAACGCATATCAATAGCACTTTCTAAAGTTAACAAAATTTCCAATACATAGCCTTGAACATCTTCATTAAGATCAGTCGCCGTATCGCACAAACGCGATAGTATGTCTGAAAATGCCGGCCAATTAAGAGGTGGACACAGAAGTCGCAAAACCTGAAATGAACGACCAGCGTAATGACGTGACGAGCAAGATGTTGCCCACTGTAAAGCAACTTGTATCCAATTTTCTTTCAATTCTTTACAGGACTGCAATACGGAGGCTGCATCGATGATGCTCTTTACAAAATTTTCTAAAGAGTCAATACTTTTGATAGACATATTTCTTGGAGTGACTTCTTCGCATTGCCATAACGGTTTATGGCCACTCAATAGTAGCAATTCAATTAATTTCTCTATTTTATTGAATTCCCTCGTCGACAAAGAATCAACGTCAGCAATTAATGTTTCTCCAGTTGTTAGCTTTCGACCTTTGCGTAACCGTTTTATGACTTCCGATGGTGAATCTAAAACGTCTGTACTAAACGGATGTATCCCCACAAAAGTATCAATGTCCAACAAGTGATCTTGGTAGGAAATAAGTATCAAAAGCCTAATTAAGAGGCATTTACAATGATCATGAACTACTTGGTGTACGTGATCCATTCCTATCAAATATCAAAATAATTCCATCAACAAAAGCCTAATAACTATTTCTAAATACCAATCAATGCAAGTATTCTATGTAAAGTTTTCATGACATGTTGTATAGGCGAAAGAGTGACTACCTATATCTTACCAAGACAAATAACATGCAGTAATAGTGGCATGTGGATATGACTATCGAACGTTACTCGATTTAACAGTAATTCAGATATGAGCATTAAGGAAAAATAGCACCTACGGATTCAAGTATATAAGTAGTCGCGATTAGTCAATGTTTAAAAAAAATCTTTGGAAAAGTTCTAGACCTTCGATCGTAATTACATATCATGGAAAACGTCTAATTTACCTGAAATGACCGATCGTAGACTTGTCAGCAGAAAATAACTCATACAGTGGTGCATGAGTCAAGAGATCACTCGGAGTAGGTAATGGTACTGGTTTACCATTACCGTTACGGATTGATAGAGACCAGCTTTTAGCCCACGTCAGAAATTCTTCCTTTACAGTTGATGTATCACTAGAAAATTCCGTCTCTATTTATAGCGATATTACTCACTGATTAGTGCTGAAATTATTTACATAATATTTCAATATAACTTTTCGACATACCATATTTTCCATCTCTGTGAATAGTACGATAAAATCCATCTTCACTAGGATTAGTTACATTGACGAAATCGGAAACTGATGAATGCTTTCTCTTCTTAGTATGATCTGCTCCGTCTGATGTGGTATCTAAAATATGAACATGCACATACAACACTTCTTAATAAATCGATATGATCAATGGCGCCTTTTAAAATACTGCTGTCTGTACGATGCGAACTAAGACTATACATTAATACTATTTCGCCAAACGACTTACTTTGATTGCTAGTATTTACTGTCGGATCTAAACATTTCGCCTTTACCAGAAAGGCCAATTGTTTTCCGGTACTATCGCTGCTATCGAACGAATAAGCTAAATTTTCCACAAGCTATTAACAAATTATGTAGGTGTCAACATACTTCAATGCTTATTCACTTACAGTTATATGACTTAAGAAAATATTACAAAATTGAATTAATACAGACAATTAAAAATAAAATCTTACTCTTAAATCCTGAAATAATTCTTCAATTACGCGATCAGGCATTCGCTCACCGATATACATTATAACTGTTTTTATCTAATTGAATATAAGTATAAATAATGATAAAAAGTTTTTACCGTAAAACAAGAGTGCATATGGCTATCTGCCAAAATTTGAATTTCTAATCTACAAATTACTAGTAATATTAGTAAGTAAGATTACCATAATATCAATATCTTATAGAGTACCTGAGCTAATAAACTGTTACTAAGACCAGCTCCGGCCAAAATACAAAAGAAATTTTTTATAACTCTTAAATTTCCATTCCAGGCATCACATAGGGCACACCATAAGTTAGCTAATTCTCTAGCATAGTCGTCTGAATACTAAAATAAATTAAAACAATACTGATTACATTAATGTTTACGGCATAACTTCATTGCCAAATTGTTACCTTGCAGGTTATATGAAATAGATTGCATACTACCACTTCTGTAGCAGTTACAGAACCCCATCCTTCCCCTTGCAATCGTCCACGTGCTTGGAGAAACTCATCTAGGTTAACATCGCATATCATTTCGGTATTACTAGTGACATGACTACTGGCGGCATTGTCTATAAGTTCAATGTTTTGCATCCAAGGAAGCATGTTTATAAATAAACGTCGCTTTTCTGTTACATTTTTCCTTAGGCTAACGCACATTTCTATTGAAAATTACGTTATCAAAAATCTCTATTTAATATCAGCTTACAATCCATAAGAAAGAACGAAAATAGTAACTTCATGATATGTTACCTGAAAACATTGGTATGGTAAACTCCGGATATAACTTCGCAAGAGTAGCAGACAGATCTACTTCTGGCTTTAAAGTTATTAATGCAAATTGACTTGATGAAAAGACATTTAATCCAGTGCTTTCTCGATATATACTTAAATACCGTCTGCGGATAACATTGCATTATTTTAGCATCATTTAACAATAGTAGTACAAGATACATTACGAGAATATAATTATTCAACGATAAATAGCGACTGACTTATCTAATACGTGTAGCATCCGAACTGCGCATCCTCGCGATTCTTGATCGGTATCCATTGCTTTAAAGAGGATAACATTTAATGTCCGTATCAATCGAAGGGGATAATTCCTAAAAGACATTTACCATATTACTATGCTATTACAGTTTGGAAGAATACATTTATAGCTAGAAAAAAGGTAAGGTAATCATTGAAAATGAAAAATACCTTCTCGAAAAAATGTTTAAAAACGCGCGAAACAAGCCACAGGAAGCTAACGGCGATGCCGTCAAGCATTTATTGCTTATCCAATCCAAGAAATAATGACAGGTCTCGTTATAAGCTAAAAGTAATTCAACAGTTCTACAACCAATGCCATAAATCTAAAATATTTGACACAACAGGTTTGATTACATACCAGATATATTGTAAAATTAAAATACTGATATGTAATACTCAACCTTGCGATTACTCTTGCATTCAATTATAGAGTCTAGCCACTCATACAGGTATCCATTTTCTTCAATTCCTTTAGGATCGAAAACTGGACCGCAGCACGCAATAGCGGACATACCCTACAAAGGACCAGTTTATAGATGTAACATAATTCTTATCCCACATAGTAGTATTAAGCAGGAAAAATTAGCAAGAAAATCTGTTCTTTTATGTCTTCGTAAATAACCGTAAACTAAAATGAATTACTTATGAAACAATAGTATCTTACACCCTGCCATTATAATTATTGTATCATTTGTTGTTGGTTAATCTCGATACTTAGTACAACATACTACCTCTAATGCTGACAACATAACGTCCTTAGGTGGATTGCGACATTGTCTGAATTATAAAATTTGATGGATTAAATAATTCATCGGTAAATCATAGTTACTATAGCTGAACTTCACTTGCCTGAAATCACTAAATTTCTCGCTTAAATAATGCGTAAACTCTTCACAGCACGATGCACAAAGAAGAAATAGATTTCGTCGCATATCGTGGGTAAGCAAATTAGGCCTACAATTATCTTGGTAATTTATAAGTGTGACTGTTAAAATCCAGTTTATGAATCCGTAAATTATTTACTGTTAAATAGAATTTATTTATCGTATCAAGAACGTTATTAATCAAATTTCGTAAGAAAATGCATTTACTGTTAAATAGAATTAAGTAACATACCTGGAACGTTATTAATCAAATTTCGTAAGAAATTGCAAAAATGTAAACGCAAGTCCCAAGCAGAAGCTGCATCATTAGAGCTCTCTAAATCTAGATGGCACCTGTTTTACAGAAAAACGATATTACCTTACATAGGAAGAATAGTTAACAATCATACTATAATCAGTTTACAAACCTTGTGGTTTCAATGTAGTCTACAAATATCATATTTAGACCAGTATTCTTGTCCACAGTAAAGTTACTATTATGTAAAGCGTGTATTATTAAATTTAGTAGTACAGCAGCAATAAATATAGCTTTTGGAAGTCCTTCAATGATGTTAAATAGCTCAATCTCATACTTTGGAACGAAACAGCTGTTTTCAGCGGCAATTTCAAATATCTTGACAAATTTGATGCGTATGGGGTCTCTTTTACGGCGCTTACGAACAGACTATAAAATACGTGATTCCTCATTAACTATTAGGTTAATAGAACAACTGCTAATAGCTTATAGAATACGTCAGCGACAAACTAACTTCAGCTTTTTGCTTATCAACGCGTTCTTTCAACATTATTGAAATCTCGCTCGACAACAATCTACGAATACGAGTTAAAAGGTAAATTTTAGGATTACGATGTAAAAGTTAATCGAAACAATAACCGTGCGTCTTCTTTACAATTGTGCATATCTTACTTGAAAGTAGCAGCATTACAGTGCCCTAAAGCGGAAATAGCAGCATCTGATACTGCCTCTGAATCGTGCCTCAATAAAGATAGTACCGTTTTAAGATATGCTTGAATTGGATCATTGCTCTAGCAGGTAGCGTACCCAATTTAAAAGGTTAGAACGAGGACGAAATTTTAGTCACTTCAGTTCAGTTACTAAGTATTTGAATTAACCCTATATAAATTAACGGTGCATACTTTTAAATTTTCAGATTTTTCACCCAATTCGATGGATACCCTGTCAGTATTACAATTTAAGCAGATGTTATAAATATTTTGGGTTGACATTAATACTCATGATACATATTAAATGTACTTCAACAACATACTCACCCGTACACCTGGTCAGAAAGACACTGATTATTAGGATTTAAGATGCTATGAGTACAACAAGCACATGACAACATCAGATAATACTGGAGCAATAAGAAATCATTTTTGGTAGGTAGTCCAGCGGTTACTGACGGCTTCTTTAGGCTAAGTAACATGAGCAAGATATTACTAAATATTATTTGATCGAGCAAAAACGTGCTTATTCACGAAATCTTACCTTGGATCAATTAAATGACTCAAGCACTGCGTTCTTGTCTGCAAAATTAGCCATGCATACATGGAGGCAGTACAACAATGCTTCGGAAGATTATGCTGATGAAACAATCCTAACAAAAAAGAAATCCAAGGCGAAGTACTGATTGCACCCCGTCGAATACTTTGATCGTTTGTGATTGCTTCTAACATTTCATTTTCTTTTATAGGATACTGAGTAGCTTTAGTAAAAGGTTGATCCTCTGACTGGAAAGGATCATTTGATATAAGCGATACAGCTTTTTCAGATAGCCATTGCAGGTCAAATTTCAATAATAGAGCATTTATATTTATATTTTCCTACATTAAAAAATATATGCAAGGGCTTTAATACAGCTAAAGAATAAGACACGGTAATTTATTAATATCAAGATAATACTTTATCGATTCCAGGTATGTTGGCAACATATTTTTCAAAAACGCTAGGTCCAATATTATCAATAAACTGGATTACCGGTTGCTCACTAATCTAAATATCAAAAGACGACGGTATCATGTCGAAAATTATTTACATTGGATAAATACTTTTCTTAAACAAAACTCTGCAAACCTTTAAAATATTGTGCTTGCCAGCTATTTCAATAACACTGCGTATTTCTTTTAGGATTACAATAGCGATCTTCCGTACTATTGAAGACAAACTAACATATTTGCAGACAGTGAAAAGTTTTGCATCAAATTTTAGCAGATAAGGAACCTAAAACATCATCATGATGACGGCAAATACCTGCAAAGCATTACCAAAGCCAAACCTTCAATACAATGAAAAACATGTTCGAATGCACTTTTGGAATGTTCTTCAGCAAGGTACTTGACCTTATCATACTTCTATAAAAGATAACAAGAAGTAAACTTGCTAATCTTCTATTAACAGCTCCATTATACGTGGTTTGACTACATACATGATCGTCCTGCGAAAACACGGTTGATTTCCAGTTTGTAAGTAGTTGATACAACAACCGTAGGCTATTATGCACAATTTCAGTATTTGTAGCAGGAACTTCTTTCGCGATAAAATTGACAAATCCTAATCAGAACCATAAAGAATAAGCATGAACACAAATATGCAACATGTATATTTTTTCTCGTAAATATCATTAAGAATTATACACTAAACCTTTAAAGACAATTTCAGTCCAATCAGGAAAATGCAATAGCAATGTTTGAAGAGAGGATATTGCAAAGCTAGAAAATGTTATTATGTTAGGTATACATTAGTAATTAATGCTGATTCTTTACTTCAATTGTCAAATTATTAAAATATAGATTAATTATAGAACCTTCGCAATTCATTATCTACGTGGACAGACAATGTTGAAAGCATGTTTACCAGTTCCAGCTTCGTCATACCTTCCGGTAAGCATCTGTTGATACATCAATCACAATGTGCAATAACCATAATTATGAAACCTTACGTTTAATAGGATTTCGAAAGAGGGGTATGATTACCTCGGAATTGCTGCAACACAGGTGCGAAATAGTTCAATTTTAGCTTTACCTTCGCTTCTAAAATTGAATACGTAAAATATATGTTTATCGCTATAATTATACTATAACTTAAGAACTAGCTCACGGAAAATCAGAAAGAAGATAGTGCGCTGCTTACATTAAATCGTCAACTTCTTTGTGAAGAAGCTGACCGTTGATCATAGACATTGATCTACCAATTTGTGCATCTAGTGCACGTAAGATGCAATCAAGGGCTTTTCTAATACTATGATATAAGCATTAAATTCCACATTAATGCAGTTACATTTTGAACAGCATTCTATTTTTCGAAATATATAACCTATACTGCACATTTATTAATGACATTTTATATCCTTAATTGCTTGATAAGAATTTACAAATGCTGTATATCTATCCATAAAGCCTACCCATAGTAGTATGGTCCAATGCCAAGCTCTTTCGCACCAGTTTCAGTTAAAGTAGTATTTAAATACGATTTCTTCGTTCTTAGTAGATTCCCAGATGGTAACATACCAATTGTACTAGGCATTGGCGGTGGATCATCCTAATACATTTGTAAAGATTACATAAATTGTTAATTTTTAATACGCAAACTAACTACTGTTTACAGGCCATTAAACAACGAAATATTGAAACCTTTTGCTCTAACTGATCCGCAATAACTAGAAAAGCTCTCAAACCAATTGTCATTCGCTGGAATCGATAAATTATTAGAAGAACAAGTTCAGCTAGGTTTATAACAGCGGCACAGAAAAGACACTTTTCGTCACCGTACGTACTTCCGGGTTGATAACGAATTGTTTCGAAATTTTATTAACTCCCAATAGATCAGATATAATTTCTTTAAAGGCAAAATCTAATTTTTCCTATAGTGTTGTAATAAAGTAGAAATGATTGTCACTCAACTTCATCCTTTACACGTATACAAACAGCATGAAGTGTACCTGAGCTATAAATTGAATAATTCGAACGTATATGTTTAAAGGCATGTTCCGCGGCACAGCATTTCTAGAACCTCGTGGAAACAGTGCTTCCATAATAGTTCTAAGGCGACTATTTGTTGCATTGAATGCAAGTATTAGCAACAGTCTCAACAATATTAAAACTGACTATGCTAAATACATATATAAAACTCATATTTGCTAATAATTACATTTATACCTATTTGTATTGTTATTATCCTCTCCATTGATACGAATCATGTAAACCCTTAAAGTAAAGAATATATCACAACTTTGCAGTAAAGTAATTAGCGTACTGCAGCAATTTAGCATATTACCAAATGGATCTATACAGCGATTCCAAGGCAATCCGTTGAGTAGTAACAACTTTGTGCTATTTAACATTAAATATCACGTAAAATATACTAAGTACGAACATTGAAGTTATACCACAACGAATTTACATAATAATGAGTTAAATGCACTGATGAGGAAATGCAATTCCTTGCCAGAGTTTACACAACTACTACAACCTTTAAATTTGCTAGGCACATAGTCAAGAAGGCTCCCCAATTTGACAAGAAAAATGATTTTTGGCTGATACATAGCAACACTGTTACAAGAGGAAATATTACCTGTAAAATTGAAAATAATACCTTCTGCAGTCGCGTTACTTGCATAACGTAGTAGCGAGTATACTTCTTGTGATATTTAAATACTTATTTCGATACTTCGCAATCAAAACATATTACTTCCTACGAAGAATACAGTACTTTTACATTTGAACTTACAGACACATGCCTACTTTTCTTGGCTAGGTCCAAGGCATTAAAGTATAGCATTTCAACAAAGTTCTTCATTGCCGGTACATTAACTTCTCGCTTTGCCATCTGCACATCAAATTATTAAGTAAAAATACACAAAATACAAACTATGTTATGGACATGTAAAGTAGTGGTAAAAGCGGTAACTAACACCAGCAACAGGCACTAAAAGTTCCACCATCATGGCAGCCATAGCGTGACGAACATCACGATTTCTGGCTTCATTAAAGAATGCAGCACAATCCTATTTGTAGTACAAATGCCAATCTTATTCATTTGATGCGATACAGTAAAGTGACCGGAAAATAATCAGCCTTCCCACAATTTAGGCACCCAGCGGTGACTTCCTATGTCGATTTCCACTTTCTTAGTAGTTTATGTAATATACTCTTATACATACGAGTATATATCATTCGCATAAACTTATTAACTTTACTTACTTGCATAAAGTGAAATGACGCTTCTAATTCCTCAACGGGAAACATCTATAATTACATTGTAATCGATATTGATAAAGCATAGATTAGTTTACGAAAACAGCATAAGCCTTCTTCAGTAATGTCTACAACAACAATTTATACCTTTAGAGAGCAAAATCGCATTCCCATAACAACGCTAACAGTTACATCATATGGTTGATCGCCTTTCAGTTCTTTCAAAAAGCGTTTACGAACGCCTTGAGCTCTTCCATGAGATAGAACTCCAAGTACTTCTGCATACAGGTCCGCAATAAGCTGGCCATTATGCTGGCTTTCAGATGAATTGTAGCTGAAGTAAAGGTGGCACGACATGTAAATGTAATAAACAAATTTAAAATTGAGTAATATATTATCAAGTAATACATTATGGAAACCTCTTTCTTTCTTTAAAGTGCTTGAAAGCTAAATCCTCTATAAGTTGCAACAAATGATCCGGTACAGGACAATCAGGTAGCTACAATACATATTAATAAAAAAAGGTTACCACATTAGTATTCGAACAGAGCGATTAAATTATATGCAAAATGAATAATGATAATCCGAAGTTACCTTTTTAATAATTTCAATTAGGACTAGACAGAACAAAAAATCAACTGCCAGCTGAAGCCAAAGATTTCAAGGCGAAAATATTGAATCAATTAAGTCCATCATGTCATTACAAAGAAAGAATACATGTGCTAAAGCAATATACATGATCATATTTACATCTCGACGCTCCATCAAAACATCTCTTATTCTGTCTCTAGCATTGATCTTATTCAGTTCAAATAAACTATATTGTAAAGCAATAATTGTATTATTAGAAATTAAATTTCAAGCATTAACCCTAATAAATGATAGTCAAATCTTTCAACTTTTTAACTCTTGGCGATAAATTATCCAAGGAACAATCTAATTCCATGCCATTCTAAAATAACATAATTTTATGATGAGTCTCAATAAACGTGCATAACAATGCAATACTTTTCCAATATATACAATTTTTGTTAACAAAGACGGTAATTAGTAACATAACTAAGAATTTAACCTTAAATAATCAATTTACCTGTCTAATATACCATTCAAGCAATGTTTTAGTTAAAGATGGCAAGCAATGTTCAGCTACTGCATTAAGTGATACCAGAAGCTACACCGATATTTAAAATGATATTAAATGTAAGGATTCATCAGCAATGAACTTTTCATAAATAATATAAATACATTTCGTAAATCTCTAGTCAATTGTGAATGCGGTCCATTAAATACTTTATCGAGCATCAATTATAATTTTTTTATCTCGATATCACTTGCATAATAGCGTAACTACAGGATTGGCTACAATAGGGATCCAGCTAAGCAATAAAATCAGTTCATACTTTAGGTCAAATTATCACTCAATGGCATATTCTCAACATGAAAGGGACTTTCTGTTGCCGATTAGATCATTGCAATACGCTCGTATGTTGAGCCCTTTCCCTTGTTGATCCTACAATAGATTACCTGATCGAATTCAGGATCTTCACCTCTCTGTAATGACTTTGATAGTAGTTGCTCCTGCATAATGTAGATGCAGGAATGCATTCAATGACAATGAAATATTACAAATTGAAATCGTCACCAGCTACGAATAAATTAATTACTAGAATATCAATAATGATGATATCCATATACACATATCGTATTGAATAAGGTAATTTACGGTAAAATTGAAGTCATGTTTTACTCTGATTATTATAATAATAATTACTAGTCAATACCCGTTCAAATGAATAGGAACGCATTCTATATAAAACATTACACTAAAAGAAAATTGAAAGCTAGATTATCATGCTCTATATGAATCACGTCCTAGTATCCAGATTGCAGAGGAGATAAAATTCAGTCCAAATAAATTTTCATAATAAAGAGTCTTACATCTTCGTATAATTATTGTGCAATTAACTTACAAGAGGTTCAGCCATAACTTGCTCAATTTTACGTTGAGCAGCCGACGTGAATTCCGTAAATAAAGTACGGACAGCTACTTCGCCTAATGTAATGGTGTAGGTAGATTCTCGGTCATCCTCCTCATCATCTTTTGGGGTATCTTCAGACACAAGCTGTATTTCTTGACAATCCGTCTGGGCAACATCTATTCAACGAAAGTATCGATTACAGTTTTGCTTCCAAAAATTTATATTACCACAACAATGAAAGTTTCATTTAATCTACAATAAGACAGATATAAACGTCGGTGATACATTAAGTTGTTTATTAGACGAGATAATCAATCCATATTTGTGGAGATTAGAGTTACTACGAGGGTATAATGTAAATTAATTACAACTTGAACTGTGATCCATATCCGCTGCAACAACAACTGCTCCATGCAATGCTGATATATTAATTTATGTAAAATATAACACGGACATTTTTATCTCGTAGATATGGAATTTGCATAATTATGATTAGACAAGTTCCTTTTGTGAGGTTATCCACTCAAGGCAGCCAATTTTATATTTAAAAAATAACATATTAGAGCACTGTGCGTATGCAAGCAGACTATGTCAACGGAGTAATAACATTGTCTTTAGATATCCGCCTCGTATCTTTGTATTCAAGAAAGGGGAGAAGTAACTAAGTAGTAATATTCGGCTGTGGCTGATGTTCACTAGCTGCAATTGAAAGGATGTAGCGAATAGTCTTGCTTCGATGTTATCGCTAATGCTAGTTATGATTACTATAAGTGATTCGATTAATTCTCTATTGAACTCCATTTGATAATACTGCGTAACGTGGTATTGATTTTGTTTTGTTATTGGCTGTAAGGTTATATGAATCGATTCGCTATCCTTCTCGACTGAATCCTAAATTGTACGATCGGTGACTTGTTGTACTACTATTATCACTGAGTTTCCAATAAGAATAAAAGTAATTATTTGAAACATGATTAAGAAAGAAGACTTGGTTACAAAGGACTACAGTATTATTGTCATAATTATATCATTCATGGCAGCAGTCAAGTTTAAGTAGAAATCTTAGCTGACGATACCTGGCTCGGCCATTTGTCCAGAAGTAGATTTGACGTCGTAAAGGAAATTTGGAAATGAAGTGCGAATTGGAATGGTGGTACTGTACTGTACGGTACGGTACAGTACGACACAGTACAGTACAGGACTTTACAGTGTACAGTACGATGTACTGTATTGGACGTACTGTATATGGATCGGGTCACGTGATGCTCTGTCTGCTCGCAAGTTGTTTACTAGTATAAAATCAAAATATTTCGAAGGCAAAGATGGCTTCAAAGCCTGTTCAGGCACTACCTTGCCTAAATTATAGAGTTGAAGAAAGTATTGTTGCTCACAGCATTTCTGTATTACAGTATAAAGCTATTTTGTATATTATAGTACAGCGTATATTGATCAGACCACTTGACGTTCTTGTCTGCTCGCAAGTTGTTTACTCGTATAAAAACAAAATATTTCGAAGGCAAAGATGGCTTCAAAGCCTGTTCAGGCACTACCTTGCCTAAATTATAGAGTTGAAGAAAGTCTTGTTGCTCACAGCATTTCTGTGTTATAGTATAAAGCTATTTTGTAGATTATAGTACAGCGTATCTACTGGTGGTGAGCCTTTTACAAGGGTAGTTCTTAGGCGTTGTAGTAGCAGTACTCTACTCTTTACCAGATCTTTCGAGCGATTAGGGTTGGAATCTGTCGAAGCAAGTCAAAGTAAGTGTTAAAGTTACTGCTAGGGTTAGGTCTAGCGCTGATTGTAGAGTTTCTTGGAAACTGGAAGAAATTGATGCGTTGATATGATGAGTTTTTTAAGACAGCATATTATTCTGTGTAATGTTAAAGATCGAAATCTAACCCTAATTGAACCACTAAACCCTAAACTCGAATAGGAATTTACAAGTAAATGACTATGAAATCCGTAATTTGCAGTTCAAATGGCGTTGCTGACAGTAAGAATAATAATGTTGGATCATTCTGTGTGATATTCAAGGTAACTAGAAATTTTCTTCAGCCCTTGCTAGTCTACTTTCTGTTATTGAGGGCAGTATAATCTACGCAATTTCATCTTATGCTCCAATTCTCAACTTAAAATTTTTTATTCAAGTTATTTTATCACTACTAACTACAGCACAGTATATTGAAGATCATTATGCTTTATCTACGATCAGCTCTCACTTGTTTATTTAATACTATACGATTGTGAATTAAATTATAGTACAATTTCGTGTTGATAAGTCAATAATGAGACGCAACCTAACACATAGATCCTTGTAAAGAAGATCCCTTTTATTTTATGAGCTCGACTTTAAATGCCAGCTCAACTATTGGTAACGCATTCAATATTTCAGCAGCTTCATGGAACACGTATTTCCGACAGTACAGTACTGTAGTTTAATACTACCCACGAATTAATTAATTCAATTCAATACAGTTTATTCTGCTTGGTCAGCTGATTGTAATTATTTAAAGCTTAACGTGGGAATTTGTATCAGCATTGTCGGCTATCACGTTAATGACTATATTTTGCTGACTAAGAGAATTCGCATACTTTCTAGCTTTTTAAAAGTCTGAACTAGTTTTGTAATTAATCATTACATTCGCACTGATCTCAATCGTCTGCTTCACTTGCTGTTAATTCATCGATTAAATTACTGGAATTTGTTGGTCAAGATGGTCGTTGAAATTGCAAATTTCTTATGCCTACCTCAATCTATTTTAGGAAAAATTTGTCTTATTTTCCTATGTATTGCTGCTTGCATTTTATGGTATGTATATACAAGTCTCATCGCCCCATATTGTCGTCTTAAGAGACTAGGAATAGACGTTCCCAAACCCAAACTAATTGTTGGTAATGTAACCGATTTTGGTCCTGGCAATGGCCACATTGCTCAACTCAAGCGGTTACAGATGTACGGTAACATCTACGGAACTCTCTTTTTTAAAGTCCCAGCGATATGGTTTAACGATCCTGAAATGTTAAGGACCGTTATGGTAAAAGAATTTTCCAATTTTTCAAATCGATATTCTCTAACTAAAAGTCTTGGCCCTTTTAGCAATTCGCTTCAAGAATTAAAGGATGATGACTGGAAGCGTGTTCGAACTATTCTAACTACAACGTTTAGCTCTGCAAAGCTAAAGTCAATTATGCCCATTATTGACAATGCTAGCGATGATCTAATACAATCTTGCGATGATGCGATAGCCAAAGGCTTACCAATCGATTTTTGGCGTCAAAGTGGCAAGTTTTCAATGTCTGTCATCCTTGCTACCGTATTTGGAATAGAAATTGAGTCACAGGAGCAAGAAGAAAAATTAACCGAAGCAGCTGCTACGCTATTTAGAAGTTTACCTGGTTTATTACAGTTTTTAATCATATTTATGCCATCACTATTTCGCATTCTAGAACCAATCTTAGGTGGAAAAATAACCTATTCTATGGATTATTTAACTAAAACAGTCAAAAGTGTCATCAAGGAGAGGAGAAAGTCTATGGTAGCTGGGATACCCTGTCGTAGAGATATTCTGCAGCAAATGATCGAAGCTGGGGACAATGATAAACTAAGTGATGATGAAATCGTAAGCCAAGCATTTGTATTCCTTATAGCCGGCTATGAAACAACAGCAAATACCATTGCCTTTGCATCTTATTTAATTGCGACCAACCCTGAAATACAACGCAAGTTGCACGACGAAATTGATTCCAATTGTCCTGATACGACCTCTGTAAATTATGATACCTTAAATAATTTGCCTTATTTAGAAATGACCATTTCTGAAACATTACGGTTGTATCCTGCTGGTTACATGGCACATCGTGATGTTAGAAAAGATACTACCATTAATGGCATCCGTATTCCTAAGGGTATTATGGCAGTTATTCCAATTTATGCAGTCCATCACAATCCTCAAATATGGCCTAATCCTGAAAAATTTATACCTGAGAGATTCACACCGGAAGAAAAAATCAAACACCATCCTATGGCCTTTATTCCATTCGGCGGTGGTCCTCGAAATTGTATTGGAACACGTTTAGCCTTGTTAGAAGTGAGAGCCGCTCTAGTGGCTATTTTACAAAATTTTCAGTTACTGACCGTCAACGAAACCGAAACACCTTTGCAAATTACAGCAGGATCTACTTTATCACCAGCAAATGGTATCTTATTAGGCCTTAAAAGAAGATGATGAGCCAATCCGAAAATACAGATAGGATAGATTACAAATTGAAAGCTATTTGCTAGAAACAAACAAATATAACTAATAATCTATATTATATAAAAAATTTTGTATGCATATTTCATATTACAGTACATAGTCTGATATGTGAGTAGATAAAGCAAAAATGAATAAAAAGAACAAGCAATGTACTGTACGTGAGTAACTGGAAATCTTCAGCGGGCGTATTTATATACCCCTTGGTAAACTGGTAGCTTAATAATAAAATACTGCAACCGATTTAATTTTACAGCGCTACAGGGAATTACTGGAAATAATAAAGAAACTAATAGAAATTTAAACATAAACTACACTCAGAATGACAGATGATAGGAAATTTAAACAGTATCGCTACATTGATTACTGAGAACTGATTTCGCAGACGCAATTGTGTGCTGGTAATAATAATACTTATGTATAAAGCATGATTAAGCGACACGAGATGTAATAGAGAATTCAACTTAAATAAATGCTTTCCTTTACCCATAGCTTCCCTACTTTTATATTCACATAATTTCTGTTAGGAATTTCTCAAGAAAAAAACGTAGTGTTACCTAGACAGACTATACTATGCATTAGATGCTTTTGACTATAACCATACTTAGTTACATCTACAATCGATTTACTACAATACATGCTGGAAAGTACGACATAAATACCCATTACTCTCGCAGTTTCTAATTTTCTTTAAACGTAGTAATTAATATACAATCATACTAATGACATAGTTCACTTGGTTGAGTATTAATGCGCTCAAAGTTTGCTCGATTCAACCATTAGCACATCTCAATACATAGCTTTGTGGTACCTGCAATAAAGTAAAATGGCTAAACCAAATTTTAAGGGCTTAAGGAATCTTTGCATCTGATTTCATTTTTATCCTTGATGATAATAAAGCGCCAATACTGATATATTGCCAAGGTTATCAGCTACGAAGTATAAGTATAACATCCATGGCTATGATTCTTAAGATGGCAGTAGAAAACGTTTTGTGCTTTAGTATTCGTCAATCAGTGTCATACCTGCCTACTAATCCGAATCAACCTTCTAATATCAGTTTCTGAACGAGTATCTAAGTTGTATTCTGCCTAAGCCTAACTCTAGCCTTTTTCTAGTAGCACATGAGAGTCTTGATAATGCACACAACTATCCCTAGTCAGTTATCGCTAGATAATGTTTACGCTACTGTTTATTAAGTGGTGAGTAAGAAATTTTATTTTGCATAACATTTGTAACTAAGCACTTGACAAATCTAAAACAGAATAAAGAATTTATTGAATGTTAGCAAGATACTGAAATCAATTTGTGATTACAATACCGTATTAACGTGTAGATAAAGGATGATAAAAATGACAATATCTCTATTGATTAGAAGGATATATGTTATAACTTAACTTTTAGTTAATAAAGTAGAAATTATTTATGTCAGGGACAATATTTTTACGACTTTAAAAATCAATACTTCTATCCAGAATAATTTCATATCCGATTATAATATTATCGGGTTATTAAGTGGATCTGAATCGATTTAATGAAAACTTGTACAGCAGTACTGACAGCTATCCTATTTATTTAGAAATAGTTATAATAATAATGAATGGCATCAACATATTGTCAACACTTTCCTGCTTCAGTTATTCCAGTATTGCGGTGCCATTGATAAAGTAAATGATACCATTCCATGGATCCACAAGATATATCATATAAAATGCGTTGTCTAGCAATTACTAGTACAACAATTGGACCTAACACTAATTACCTTGTGGTCAAAATCTTAAAGATATTTTATGACAGATTAAACTGTAATTATTAGCTATATAAGTGATTAAGCATTTCTATATGCAATATGATTAATTTAAGAATCAAGATTTTCATAAAAAAGTAAAAATTTTTCATTTTAAAAATATACTTTAAAATACTCTACCTATGCAATTAAATATTTTTTCCATATCGTTACGTAAAATCGTGAGAAATTTCATTAACATACTTTTAAACCATTATGATTTGAGGGCTTATGATATTGCTCTATATATAAAAGGCGGCTTCATTTAATCATTTGCAGTTAATAATTATATATTGGAAAATTATAAACTTATTAAAGACAGTAGATTTTTATGGGATGCAGTCATCCACATTACCTCCATAATTGATTAAATCAATAATCAATAAATTAGGATGATACGTATATAGATACTTTATTGAGACGTCTTGCAATTATCTTATATATATTTTTGTTTAATTAATAGTTATAGAGATCAATAGTGGATGAATGATTAAGTAGATCGAGAATAGAGTCAAACTGTAGGCATAAATGTAAATGTAAGGGGGAAGGGTAAAATCTATAACTGGATAATTCCAATTGGACATAATACTGGAATTAATAAGATAGGTTGGATTCATAATTTTAAATTATTGGTCGATACCGTGAGTGGATTACTACTTCCTTTAACTTGTTTAACCACTTTAATCTTACTTTTCTGAATACGCTTACGCCGCCGACTATACAGTATGATAGGATTGAATACGCTGTTGCTGCATGAAATAATTAATAAATACAATCCTTGTGTTAAAGTTATACGAACCCAGCCAAAAAAATAAAATATATTGGCTAGGGCGTAAGGTGCATATGATAAGACAAATAAGCTAAATATAACGCCAAGCGTCTTTGCTAATTTAACATCGTACCTCGAAAAGCCCCTGATATTTTTATTTCGATGACGAAATAAATTCGACAACGGATGATTTTCTGCGTTATAATTACATATAATTTTATTGCTTTTGTGAATTATTTTATAGATTTGATAATAGCATAATGCCACAATAATCGTGGTCGACAAAAGTAGAGGAAAAATAATTCCAAATAGAAAAATGGCTTTATTTGTTGTGATTGATGGGCTAAAGTCAATCATGCACAAACCAGCTCCACGAAAATATGGAATTCTTGCCCAGTAGCCTAATGTTGGAAATAGCAGCAACGCGATAGAGATGGTATAGGCGAAAATTACCATAAGCCAAGATCGAGATAATGTGAACTTTATCTTTAATTGAGCAATCTTGTAATAGCTAACCATTGCACTCGATGCCATTAAGCAGATATTAACGAAAAATGATAGAACAAACGATGAAAATGCTAGCCGGCATAAAAATGTGTTGTGAGGGAAAATGGGTTTACTCACAGAGAGCGACGTAATAGGAAGAAGATTCCACCCTCTAAAGTAATGGTATAAATTGATACATATTATTTATTAGCAATTGACAATGTTTCAATCAAAGTAAATCACAGAATTATTTAGTATGGAAACTGTAAAGTAAAAAGTGAAAGGACTTACTGACTGTTTTTACAGTATGTGAAGCCTATCGGGTGTGAGTTTTATAAGTATTGAGGAGAATTTATCTTATTGGTAAATTCCAGTCAGAGAAAACTTAATGCATGTGTGAGAACAGTACCGTACTTGTTTACAGATTCTTTGCTTATGATTTCTTCTAGATTATCATTTCATATCTAATTTTAATAAAGTTCTGTAATTATGAGCTTAATAAGGAGAATATATAGTAAATGATATATTCGACGTTAATATTTAGGTGCAATTAAGGAGTGAACTATAGTACGTTATTATATATTTCAGGCTTACGAGGCTTAATATGATATAGCATGATATAGCATAATTGACCTAATCTGAATTTTTTGTGCTTTTATACAAGATTGGTATCTGTAGAAATTAGAATCGTATCATGCCAATATCAAGGTAATTATATGTCCATAAACAAGATTTTGTGATGCTTAAAAAAATTTAAGAATATTGATACTTACAATGATATTATATAAAAAAAATCGGAAAGAGATAAATTCAAGATTATGACGTCGTGAGGAGTTATTTTTTTATATTGAATTAGCATATAAGAAATAAAGAAACCGTTGGAAGTAATCGCACAAATTGCTACGATCAAGTAAAACGTTGTTATGGCGATACTGTTTGAAGTTGTAGGCACAACAGCAAGATTATTATCTGCTATATTTGAACTGCAGTTGTAAGTAAGATTATCGAAATTGTTTATATCCATTTTAAATCATTGAGGCCCTAAATGAGAAAGTACGCAGAAATTACAACATCGTAAAAGCTAGTAATGAGAATAGATCTGAATGATAATCTGAATAGAGTAATATACCAACAATAAACCTACCCTACAAATCACACTACTAAACTTAACTTACATAATTAAACCATTTTACAAGTACTTTCGGATATGTGATAAAATTTTACTAAACTATGATAAAAATACGGCGGAGGGATCATTCATGTGATAGTACAAGCTATATGAGCGTATAATATCGATTATGTAATGCACATTAAAGTGAGACAAAAATATCGACCAAGTAATAATTTATTTAATTCAGTAGGAAATGATTAATTACGTGTATTGATATTTAATGAATGAAACAGACGTAAAGCGAGAATAGTCGAGTATCCATAGTAACACTGAACTTAATTTACTGCCTTTTTTAATTAACCCACCTACTAAATTTATCTTCATTTTATCCATACATGAAGCAAATGAATAATGGATCGTTTGTGGCCCTATTACCTCAAACAGAGTAGCTAAAGCGAATTTGTTAAAATGTCATTCTAATAGTAGGTAACAAATTTAAAATAGAAATTATTACTTAAGACAATGATATTATGACGTTATTTACCACAAATCAAAAAGAATAGACTAATTTGAAATTTATCGTTAAGTCGTGATATTTGTTTCATATTCTACGATATTATCTGCAATCTTATCGTTCTAGAAAGATTTTACTAATTATTGTCCTTGCATATAAAATTCAAGCGATGTTCCTTTCTGTTGTAGTTTAGAATAATGTAAAATCATTTCGGCTATTTCAACTATGTTATTGAAAAGATTAACTTTATAATAGTTGAGAGACTTCTTTTATTGTAGCCAAAAAATAATACAAAACTCAATAAATT